CTGATGCAGAGGCCAGCAGTGAGCCGTCGGACGAGAAGGCCACCGCGCTCACTGAATGAGTGTGTCCTTCCAGCTTCTGCACCTCTTGACCTGTGCTTACGTCCCACAGCCTGACGGTCCGATCGGCTGATGCAGAGGCCAGCAGTGAGCCGTCGGGCGAGAAGGCCACCGCGCTCACAAAATCGGTGTGTCCCTCTAGCTTCCGCACCTCTTGACCTGTGCTCGCGTCCCACAGCCTGACGGTCCGATCGGCTGATGCAGAGGTCAGCAGTGAGCCGTCGGACGAGAAGGCCACCGCGCTCACTGAATGAGTGTGTCCTTCCAGTTTCTGCACCTCTTGACCTGTGCTCACGTCCCACAGCCTGACGGTCCGATCGGCTGATGCAGAGGCCAGCAGTGAGCCGTCGGGCGAGAAGGCCACCGCGCTCACAAAATCAGTGTGTCCCTCTAGCTTCCGCACCTCTTGACCCGTGCTCGCGTCCCACAGCCTGACGGTCTGATCGACTGACGCAGAGGCCAGCAGCGAGCCGTCGGGCGAGAAGGCCACCGCGGTCACCCACTCAGTGTGTCCCTCTAGCTTCTGTAGCTCCGCACTCCACATTACTGGAGTTATCGGACACCTCCGTATCCATATTGGGATCTGTCCACAAATGTTCCTCACAAGACTAGTCTGTGGTGCGAAAATCATCGCAGATGAATGAATCTGAAGGGGAGCAAGGTCGGTGATATATCGGTTCGCAAGGATAACGCGTCGCGCGTCTTCAAGAAACGCTGATAACTGAATTGACTCGTACACCTATTATCTCACTTTAGGGCTAGCCTCTCTTAATTTCCAAGGAGAGGCCACTTACCGACATAAGTGATTGCAAGACGCCCACATGTCCAATGACTTCGGCGATCCTACCTATTAGACTTAGAGCTTCAAGCCAGTGTAGGAAGTGCTTCTGCAAGAACACATGCACTTCATCATCGTCATGAATCGAAATCTTACTATGTTGAACATGATATACCCAGTACCGACATGCATACTGAAAAGCGGGTGGAAGGCGTTCATCGATTATAGTTCGGTTAACCTCTCGTCGTGGCTGACCTGGATATTTAAGCCCACATAAGTTCTCTTGCAGACCGTCAGACCTTGATAGTAATTCTAGACATTTCGTCACCAGCATTCGATGCGTGGCCGGGCCGTCTACTCTGAAAGGTTCATCTTGAAGTTTGTCGCTTAAAAGGAACTCGCGAAAGGACAGATGAAGAGTCCGAATCGGTGTTTCGAGATCATCAGGGATTCGCAGGACAGAATATAATGGGTTTAGGCGGAGCTTCAATGTACCTGGAGATATGTTCAGAAGGGCTGCAAGGGACTTCCTAGAAAGCGGCTCAGCAAGGGTGACAATAGATCCAACAACCATCCGGAACTCTTGATACAGCTTTTCCTTGTCATTTGATTTGGCGAATGTTGCCGATACTTGCGTAAGCACTGGTCGATACGTCTGTTCCATCTGCTCTAAGTGACCCGTCCCAGGAAATTTTAAGATTGTCTCAAGTTGTTCCTTAGGATCATAATTTCTGTCACTCACAAAACGATACACAGTGGCGGCAACGATAAACAGTGGGACAGCTAAGTTAACCAAAGCTTCAAGAACCTTGTCACCTGGCCAGTCACGATCGAGTGGCGTCTCCGAAGGCGGGTCAGCATTGTATTCATTCCGAAATTTCGAAAAGGCGTCTTTCAGAAAGGTTGAGATGTCATGTTGAATTGTCGTTCGGGGGACCGCATCATAGAGAACGATATCCTGATGGACATCCAGAGACATATCTTGATAGGCGTCGACAGACATGCCCTTGAATCCTAGTCGAATGGGCAGCTCCGGTCGGCTCGTTAAAAAGAGCCTTAGACGAATAGTCGAAATCCGACGTATCCGAGACCATAATTCAAGGATGGTTTTAATATCAACCTCTTTCTCACACTCGTCTAGAGCATCAACCACTAAGACCAGAATAGGACAATTATTGGGAGTGACGTTCGCTTTGTATATTGGCTGATACAGCAACTTGTCGAATTGTTCACCCAACGCCTTGTCGAAAATGAGCGGATCAGAGGTAATCACGTCGGCGATAAGATCACCCAGTCCGGGTATCTTTAACACGAGTTGACGGACAACAGTGGAAAAGAATCGTGAAGCGGAACCCCGGTCGCCTTCGCCTCGTTTGAAGAAAAAGCTCGCCCCGAGGTCGACCACTCTAAGATGACCTTGACTATCCAGCCACTCTGCGATGGTCCGAGATATGGTCGACTTGCCCGTGCCCGCCACACCATTGAGCCAGAAGATGCTCTTACTGTCTGGTTGTTGAGCCCAATCCTGGATTTGATGTAGTAGATCGACCCGAGTTGCAGGATGACAGGTAACGTGATCGTCACCATAAGAATTGAACATGGCTCCTTTAGCATATGGCAGCTTGTCCAAGTCGAGCTTAATCTCCAGTCGATTTAGCGATTCCTGAATCTGGCGGAAATATTTGAGCTTCTGGAGTACGGTCCCTAGATCTTCCTGAAGTTTTTCAGTAAGCTCTCGGTCTTGAGCACTCAAGCTGCGGTCAAAATTGCTCGCCTCGATTTCGACCCTCATTCCGAGCTCGTTACACTTGCTTTCAAAGTTCCGGACGTCACTGTCTTCCCAAAACGCTTGAAGTACGCGTTTGAATGTGGAAATCTGATATATCTGGATGGCTTGAGCCAGAAACTGGAGAATGCATGCATATAATTCTGTCGCGGCAGTCTCAAAGTTCGTTCGTGTCAATGTTGTTGGCAGCCTGTGCAAGAACTCCATATACGCCTTCAGTCGGTTCGTCATGTACAGAGCGGCTTCGCACCCAACGAGGAGCGAAGTCATTTGGTTCTCGTCAGAGACGGCGGCCTGTTGAATCAGTACAAGGTATAGTAGCCTCGACTAGACGGCTCTTACCTCGAGCAGTAAGCGAATACCAGCCCACGGCAAGCCAGCATGTATGGGGTCTGCATTGACGGCGACATCGCCCACGGCTTTGACTCGGTTTAGCCAGCGTATCACCTTGTCAGCCTCCTCTTTCAAAGTGACTTTCCGCCCAGCAAATGTAAAGATCCATCTCTTCTCGTTGCAGTATCGTTGTTTCTCCTCAACCGCAGCCAAAGATTGCCGAAGCGCAAAGTCAATGTCGTTGGAAGTCAGAGCGACATATTTTCGAAGGGTTGATCGTTCGGTATCCGAAAGTCGCTTGAGGGCATTGTCCAAGATGTTGTTGCTGGAGGAGGGATGAGTAATTGCCAGCTGCGATGATGAGGAAACAACGCTGGCGTTTGGTGTGTTAGCGGCAAGCAGTTTAGCAGATGGGGGCCTTGACGATGCCAAAGTCTGTGTCGATGGTAAACTTGGTGGCTGTACTACTGATGATGTCAACGCCTGGCTTGAGACCGATGCTGGGGTGGGTGACGAGTTGCGGCTTCTAGGCCCGAAGCGTTGCCGTAGTCGGTCCCGTACGCTAAGCTTTGCGGGCGGAATAAGGGATCCGCTCATACTTGACGATCTTTAACGGGTGTAGTTAATCTAATTCGCTAGAGGGAGTTGTCCTTTCAAGACTCGAATCGATCACAATATCAGCAGTGATAAAAGAAGAAACCGTGGAAGGGGAATTGTTCCGGGTGTAGCCTCGAGGCGCTCGTGTGAGCTGAACAGCCGCCCGATGCCCAAAGGCTGAGTGGCGCGTGTTGCCCCGACCCCTGCGGCACTGCTGCCCCCCGCTGCAGCAAGGTCGCTGGCTTCAGCTACTGTAGGCAAAGCAACGGACTTCAGAATGATTATTGGCGAGAGAGGTACAGCATATATTTTCAGTGAGGGCTACAATATGTTGTCAGGGCCTGAGCAGCCTCCAGTCTTCGTTAAGGTAGCTCGTAGATTGGTTGCGGTGATTGCAGCCAAGCAAAAATTAGGCTTTGTGGAAGGACGACTGCAGGAAGGCACGAATTATTGCCGCGCTAAATAATCTCTCATACTATCCTCTTTAAGTCAAGCGTGTTCGTAACGTACCGTTTGTCAAGAAAGAGGGGCAGAAATACCTTCTATCGATTGGTGACATAGATAAACCACGCTTGTCTCTATCTAGCCTAGGCCAGGCAGCAGCGGGACCAAAAGTGGTCCCTTAATTATTTGGAGTGTGTGTCCGCGCGAAGGAGCAATTGAAAACGCCTGTACAATATGACAAAGATAGATAAAAGATGAATCGAGTACCCAATCCTAAGAGAACCGTGTCATCACGCGGAAATTGTCCAACAGAAATTCCACGCCATCTCTCATCCATCTCAAGAGTTTGTCAAGGGTATCTCCATGTCTTCTCTAACGCGTCCAAGCACGAACGACTAAAGTTGTGCGGGAAAGACCCGAGTTCCTTGTCCTCGATTTGAGAACCACTTAAAGTAGAGCTTACTTCCTGGTGTTAGACCTCATATACATGCAGGCTCCTACAATTAGCCACTCAGAAGATCTTCCAGTCCGCCCTGTGGCTCTGAGTTCGATATCAGTGATTCATCTCCGCACCAAAGCGTTGACAAGGACTCTCTCAAAATTCACGAAGAGACCACGGTATAGTCGGGATTCAGAAGAGTTGTAGCAGCATTCAAGGTCAAACACGCCTGTCTCTGAGTCCAACATTGTGTTGGGCGTATCACCGTTTCAGTGAGAGTTCCCTTATCTGTTCGCTTTGCTGTTTCAGCAATTGCACGAGTTCCTTTTGCTGTTGGTCAGAGTCTTTCCTCTGTTGTTCCAATTGCGCCATTAGCATTGCTCTTTGCTGCTCTGAATCTTGCTTCCGTTGTTCCAATTGTGCCGTTGAGTCTTTCCTCTGTTGTTCCAATTGTGCCGTTAGCATTGCTCTCTGCTGCTCTGACTCGTGCCTTTGTCGTTCTAACTGTGCTATTGAGTCTGCCCTCTGTTGTTCCAACTGCCTTTGCAAATTTTGAATCATGGTCCGTAACTCTACTTGCAACCCACCAACTTTACGTGGCTTTCTGAAGCTTTCGTCCTGGGACTCAGGCGCACTGGCATCGTCTTGCGAACTTAGTACACTGAGGTCGTCAAAACTTGCTGGTTCGAGCGTCTGTGCAATCGGGTCTGGCAACTCATCAATTACAGTTTTGAGTCTTTTGAGCAGAGCCGGGGCGAAAAGTTGACAGACATTGAGTGTAAATTGGTAACATGTCCATTTTTCTCTACCTTTCCCGTCTCTGAAATTGAGCTCTTTGATTGTATTGCGCCAGTAAACCGTGTCGTTACCATCGATCTCGGGATAATGAACGTAGATACGGGCACTGTTATCGTCATGAGAAACCGAAAAACCTAGAGCCCTCCTATGCACGTCTGACGAACGATTCGCTTTCCGATAAAGGTCCACAATACCCCGGAGCGCAATGGTCATGCTGTGAGTATTAGGGCGATCGGCTAAATCGAGTCCTTGCTTGCCACACTTGACTTCGCTGGTCAGGAAGGGGAAATAGATATCTTCACGTGCTGTGTAAAGGGATTGCTCCGTGGGCTCGATATTAAGTTTCCTCCTTTGTGTCTCTGTGAAGTTGGACCACTTGAATCCGTACGTGTGGTCGGGCTGCGGACGTGGTCCATAGAAAGGGATCGCTTTAATCCAGAGGTCATTGTGGCCTTCGATGAGACCTTCAAATTCTTCTCGGCCACTAATATAGAGGTTCTCGGCCGATGGTACAATGAGAGGATGTAGGTCGAGATAGACTCGGGCCTCGGATCGGCCTCGTAAGAGTGAATGAAATTTTTCGAATCGCGCATCATCGAATAATGAGTTGTCAGGTACTGGTTGACTTAGAACGAGAAGTTTCTCCAAAAGTGTCTTATCTTCATCAACAAGCCCGGCCTTCGATGGCCGCATGAAACTCCCTTTCGTCTCCAACACCACCGGATAGTTCACGTCTCGGTATGCGGAATACTTTTTGTCTCTTGAAACTGTGCTCTCTGTACTGTCTCCTGATTGTGATAACCTCCGACTGAGAGTATCGGACGACCGCGATCTTTTCGGTGGTGGTAAACTCATGTCGTCCGCCTCGAAGGGCTCGTTATGTGGCAGATGCGATAGCCACTTCTCGACAGAGGAAAAGGTCTCGGTGGGTTCTGAGCGTGATCTCTTCGCTGGTTGGACGTTTGTTTGGGGGGGATCGAGGGATCTCGCTTTTCGCTTTAAAGAATTAACCTGAGACGACTCGATATGATCCTGAATTACCATAATTAGTATCCTATACAGGTGCGCGCCAACTCTGATACTTACACCGAAAGTCTTAGTTAGCGAAGGCGATGGAAGTTGAATGTGCAATTTAACATGGTGGGCTTGCTGTGCTGAATCTCCGGAAACGCGGCGAGCCTTGTGTGGACGTTCAGAATCGTCACTATACGTGTTCTGTCGTTTGTCTAGGAAGAGTCAGTCAACTGGACAGAAGTCATTGCTGGCGGGCTTACTGTTAAGCCTGGCTCGTTCGTGATCCTGCACGTTCGAAGCCGAAAACTCTGAGAAGCGCATTTACCACGAGAGAGCTAGCTCTCAGGATGAAAGTTGAGAAAGATGCCACAGCGTGTTGAATAATGGTGACAGTGGTAAGTGCGGAGAGGGGCTCGAAGGGAGCTAGGAATTCTAGGCAACCAATGTCACATGCTAGCTAGCCTGGTTCTAATCCCTTACCTAAATCCTTTGATTTTCTATCGGCATACTTTCTGTTTCCGATCTACTTACTAACCTTACCACGTCAATCGCACTCAAGACTTTCATCTTTCCTAGCCCTTTACCGCCAGTCTCGTACCCACCCTCCGAGGGTTAAATACAGTCTCCAAAACTACGCGTACAGTGATGAGCATGAGACATTCAATATGAAATTCGTTGATGCCGCCGAGTGCTGGCACTGGAACGAGGCGACGAACGAAGGTGCTTTCTTGCACACAACCGTCATTGCGACTGGTCAAGACCAGAAATTGTACTTCGCCGAAGTCCACGATCGGCAAACAAATGTCGATTCCGAAAAGGTACAACAGTGGTTCGAGATCCCACTCGAACACATATACCCATCCCTTCCGGCCGATCTGAGCGTGTTCCAAGGAGAACTCAACGAATCGATTTACCAGAAACAGCCACGCTTTTCTGCGTACGATTGCTCTCCTCATTTGGCGGAGTCACTTTTAAGAGAGGCTACAATATATGAGCGCCTACAGCAACACAAGTCTCCTTCCATTGCAAGGTGCCACGGGTGCATAGTGTCGGGCGGCCGTATCGTGGGCATTGCTCTCTCCAAGTACGACCAGACTCTGCATGAACGAATGAGGGAAAGCTTCGAGCACGCTCAGGCTGTCAGATGGCTTGACCAAATACGCCAAGCTCTCGAAGTCCTTCATTCCAAAGGACTCGCTCACAATGACCTGAATCCGTGGAACGTCATGATCAGCGACGAGGACGCTGTTATCATCGATTTCGATTCTTGTTGTCCGTTGGGAGAGGAATTACTCAAATGTGGCACACCTGATTGGGCTGACGAAAGTGCAATTATATCTGCTACAGCAAACGACGAGTACAGTCTGCGGAAAATCGCGGCCGTCCTTGGTATTCTGGAGTAAGACATTCTTCCAAGCCCCCAGACCACACCCTAACTATTTCCTTAGCGCCGAGGCACATAGCTGCTCGAGTACCGACAGTCTTGACTACCACAGTCCGCAGTTTTGACGCGATACGTTGATCCATCGGCCCTCCTCTTGGTGATCCAAGTGCACATGTTGACCGGGTCCTTCCCACCGACCGCAGGACCATCGTTGCGATCGAAAATGACTTCGTGGTTGTCTTCTGTATTGCACATGCTGGATATTGATCAGTACGCATTAAGAATAGGTGCTGTTCTGACCTGCGTTGTTCAATTCTGCCAAATAGAAGTGATAGAAGTGCGAACAGGAGTTTTGATAGCGGACAAAGTAGTACAGCAAATGCTCTTGATCAATGAGGGCGTTATGTGTGGGATAATTGAACGGTTGTTCCGCTTTAGATAGTTTGAGGGTATTTGTACTGCTAGTATACTGGGGATTATGAAAGAACCCACATACCACAGGTTGACCATTGTGGCCAGGTGCAAGGCTGCACCAATTGCAACGAGTGCGTGCAAGAGCCTGAGAGTTGACGAAGGAGGTGGCGACCATGCTGGTCGCACGATGACCTGCGTCCTGACCGGTGAGGCATTACAGGGTTTCAAGTCGTGTTCTAACACCAGCCACCCGTTTACCATTTACACTTCCCCCCTCTCCATTATTAGATCTTTCAGCAGAATGATTGTTTTGGTGGTTGATAGGAACCACCCTCAAGCTTCGCAACGGGGAATGGGGTAGGACTGACCATACATGCAGATGGACAGGGGTGGTCGTCATTGTGGCCATGGCCAATCCTTGTAAACGCATGTGGAAGCGCCACGCCATCTTCCGGACGCCATGCAACCAACCTCGGTCGCCCATTCCCACCCAAATTGCACAAAAAAGGCCCCAATCCCCCCCGAAACGCCCGAGGAATGTCAATTCTTCATTCATAAAATCCTCGCCCACACTTCTCTTCGCAAGCCCACATTCCAATATGATTCCACGAAGAGGGAAATCTTCGAAGAAGAAAACCAAAAAGCGTGATCCAAGAGGGAGACTAGCTCTTTGCCAAACGAGGCTTGATAAGCATGCAGACGCTGTTCGGATCCTAGGTCGATTTGAACCACGGGCAGCGAAACTCGTCGAAGGGGCCCGCAAGCTCCTCCAGGCTGAATCCATGCCAAATCGAGATTCGGAAGTGTATGCCAGAATCCTCGAGGATATCCGACGTCAGACAACACCGGCAATCATGATGCTTTTTGCTGGAACCATTGGGCAGCAACTTGCAAGCCATTTGCCATCTCCCGAACGAACAAGCTTGGTACAATTTGTCACGTCACGCCGTTCCAAGTGGTCTTGCCAGGTCCTGGAGTCGCTTGCTGAAGCATACGAGTTCACTCAATTAAATATCCTCCCATTGGACCATCCACGTATGACAACGACTGAAACCATTGATGAGGTTATGAAGACTTCCGGGAGCACTGCAGTCAGACAAGAACGTAAGAGATAAATCAGTCTTTGACATGGGGCTGAGATAACCAGGAGCAGAAACTTCGGCTCAGCAAGGAGATATTGAAAATCAATCCCACTGGCAAATTCCGGTTCCAGGTACGTTCTCTCAGTATCGCCATCATTCCACCTAACTTGCTTGAAGACACTATGGTCGGTGACGCATATGGCTTATCAATCGAAGAAGCTCGAGGCATCATTATGTCAGATCAAATCCGTGGTAATGTTTGGTTGACGGAAACCTACAATGCACAATCATTCTCGTTCATCACAATCCCAATATCCCAAGAGCTAAGCGATCAGCTTACGTTCCAGCGACCGCGGATATTGTGAACATTCTCAACTCTGGACGATGAACCCAAGTAATAGAGATCCAGCGACCGAATAGTACCATCCATCATTCCATGGTATCAAAATGAGGTTGCCGGCCAATTCTGTTCCAACACCATCAAGATATCTCCTGTTCGACGCCTCAAATATTCGTATCGCTCCTTTGCTCTTCCCACGTAAATCGACTGCAATCATCAGGGTATTTGGAGGGGCGATTTGTCCGCTCCCGCTGGCGGTCGACCACTGGATCCGGCAGTTACTAGACCGAGTCTGCTTGTACGTGGTTAGTCAAAGTTAGACGTAATGTTGGAAAGTTATTGAACCTGAACTTTGCACTCTTCCTCAATTTCCTCATCACTTGAACTATGACTCTTGATTTTGTCAACTTTGGAAGCCATCAACGGAGTAGATTGGACGTTCGAAGAGAGGACAAATGGCGTCGATCTGGCTGACTAGTGAGGAAGTAACAATCGATCTGAGGCTTTCAATTCAGAAACCATATGGTAGGAGAGGGAAGTAGCGATGTTGCGCGAGAAAAAGGGTAGAAAACAACGATGCGCTGCGCCCTGGAGGGGCAGATCATTCACATCTGAATTTGGGCAGCCTCCACGTGACCAGTGAGCTGGCACGGAAACACATCAGCCAGCAGACATTATTGAGACTGTGCCCTAGGTGGAGCGCAAGCCTTTGGACCAGCAGAGGAATTGATAAAAATCACTCTCCTCTGGGCTCTAGACATGAATATGTTTTGCAGCAGAGAAATACAATGAATCTATGGCCTCGATGATTTCAAACCTCCAAATCACGAGCTCTAGGGCTGCGGCCACCATCCTGAGCACTATTGCTTGTGAAGTACAGCCTAGAAGTACAGCCTAGAATCTGTCATTGTTACGACGCGAAATAGAATGGAAGGATCTTGCTGTACTGATACCTATTGGTCTGCTCAAGCGTATTGATGATGCGTGAGCCAGTGAGGGTGGGACAAATGCGGACCAGCAAGCCGTTCCATATCCGGTTTTTCCTCGGCTCGCTCTGTCGGTCTGATCTGGCTGCATTTGGGACACTTGGGGCCCTTTTGGGGCATCTTGGGGCAATTGTGAGGTTATTTGGTTGCGTTTGGTTGCACCTGGGGGGATAGACCATACCAACTGCGAAACATTTTGTGGAAGGCAGATTTGCGAATACAATTTCTCTGCTGTACTTTTGCTTCGGAGTCCTGAATGGACGGTCCACTTGACTTGCATAGTGGATTTTGCTTCTGCATTTCGACTGCAATCATCGCCAGATCGTTGAGAAAGGGGATGCTGGCCAGAGTACGACTACGTGCCAAACGAGCTTGTCAGATGGCAGGAGTAGAAAAGGACTGATGGGTGCTAAAAGGGCCATAGTTCCTTTCAGATGCAAGATCACTGATGCCTTTCTCGACTCCCTCCCAGCTCCACGATTAGCAAAGTCCCCCTGGTGTACTTGTCTTCAGTGTCGAGCAGCTCTTCCAGGTTAGCTTCCCCAATTGTCGCCATTATGTCGGAGCACCAGACAACCCTTCAAAGCAACTCTCCTCAAAACTCCAACTCGAAGACAGACTCTACTCCAGCCGAGACCAATACCAAACCCCATAATTCCATCGGTCAAGTCATGGTCAGAAACAGCCCCAATGCGAGTGTCAGTCGCTCAGACTCTTCCAACGAAGGCATAAAGCCGAACCTTGACAAAGGTTATCTTGCCAGACCAGTGATTTGCAGCCTCGACTGACATGTTCTTAGAACGAACGGAATTCCTTTGGAGCCATGGTATCTAGAGGTTCTTTTGTAAATTGTTTCGACATGGTTGTCCGGTCTTTGGTGCTTGATCTGCGCTGCTCTCGGCTTGCACAGATCGATTCAACTGTTGAAATCTCGATCCAGTAGTTTAAGGCAAAGGAGGGAAGTTGCAAGAACAGGACATTAGCGACGAATGCTAAAACACAAATATTCTCATAATTGCCTGTGGACTGCTAGTCGACAAGGCTGGGTACTATACTTTGTTATTGAAGAGCAATAATCGCGAAATGATGCACTCGGCATACCTTCTCTGACTGTGTTTTTGCATCAGGTGATCGCTAAGCAGATTGTATTGAGTGACCCAAACTCTGATTAGTACCGCTTAGCAGGGATCAACGCCATTCAGCACAGGTGCTGGAAGTTCTAGTTTTATGGGCTTTGCCGTCACGCTCCCAAAACCACCACAAGGGGCTCGGAAGTGCATAATGTAACTGGGAATGTTCGGTACGCTCGTTTGCAAAGTCAAAAAAGAGAAAAGTAGGATGAACATCCGCTTTAATGACTCTCCTCCTCCTGTTGCTCCTCATAAGCTGTCCTGATTATGATCCTTCAAGTTGAAGGTACTTTCGAATCGTCAGTCTTACCAGTAGCCTTTCTATCATCTTCCTTCAGCGAGTATCCATGGACTTCTAGGTCTCGATTTTAAGACCTAGGAGCCTCCTGCATGTTTTAACGGTTGGAAGCTACAAACCGTCAATCTAATATTTGGGATTGAAAGGGACTGGTAAGGACTGACGTGGAATACACTCTTTGCCCCGCTGTCGACAGCGGGTGCAGGGAGTCCCCCGGTCACACTTGGACTTCTGCTGTGCACAAGAAAGACATGATCTTCGATATCTTCCCCGACCTTTGCGCATTGGGGCTTCTCCTGGCCTGTTACACCGAAGCTGATGAACTGAGCAGACATCCCTACTTCTCAATTAGAGTTTTCGGTTTCAAATTGATCTTTCCTCTCACATTCGCTTAAAGGTTCTTGGACAAGACCTGCAAAGAAAAGGCTTTTCGTCAGAATCTGCGTAGTGTTAGTCAAGTAAATCCTTAAATTCAGGGAAAGTCCAACAGACGAGTCTGGAGATGGCGTAGCATGCCTTGCTTTTTGCTGTAAGTTTTTGAACACAAAGGGCAATGGAACCTTTCCTGCCCGGGAGAAGCTGGTTTGGACTGAGGCGCCATAGCCGACTTGTCGACAGTTGGGTGATTCAAGAATCCGACAGAGTTCTGAGTCAGTTGACATTCTCCCACACGGTCGTCGACGAGGACTTCGTCATCTGGCTGGTCTGTCAGAATGTTGGGGTTGAATATCTCAAGGTCTTCGATGATTGTAGTCGGAATATAAAAGGTCTCATCGAGAGAGAGAAGATATGGATCAATGCTCCCATACCATAAACTCTTTAGACCGAAGTCCATTTCGATAAGTCTTCTTTGTGTTCCGTAGCTTCGATGAACGCTATAAAGTCTTACAAGACCATAAGAACTAATATATAATGGCAGTAAATCAGAAAAGGGGGTTTCTTTGGGACGCAAAAAGCTGATCACAGGGTCCACTGCATGACCACCATGCTCAGGGGACCGCGGGAGACAGTTCACGCATCAGCTGATCCACCTTGATCGCAGGGAGTAACAAAGTAGCCCGCGCCACAGAGAGATTGGGAGGCGGCAGGACAGCGTTGTCACACCAACCTTACTAAGACTGAACTTCTGGGCTTGTGAGAAGCAAGTGAATGGGGGTCCAGTCGAGATCCACTCTCCGTTGTCGTGTACTTCGCAATCAGTATTCCACGTTTCGTTTGTTGATGATAAGAAAGGCAATGATCTTCAGGTCCCAAATCTCAGCAAAGAGATATTAACGGCGCAATTAGCAATGACCGATGCAACGATTCGGTTCCCACATGATGTTCAAGCCAGCTGGCTCTCCTGGTCTTTAGAAAAGAAGCTAGCCTGGAACGAGGGCGGCTTCCATATAATACATTGACTAGATTGGCCCTGAGAGTAACTCGGCTTTCATGTCGTTACAAGTCTTCACCGGTTGGACGAGGAATTATAAGATGCCACGCAGCCGTCCATAAAGCGAGAAACCGGGCAGACTGCCCAATTTGCTCGACTTCGTTGTGGCAGATCCTGCCAATGAGCGATCTCCGTGAATACTATAAAGAAAGCCCAAGAGAACAATTTCTAGGATGTTTTTGAAGACCCGCGACAAGTTGATGATTCTTTTTGGGGATTCCATGTTGCTGCCAAGCCCAGCCCCGCGGTCACATGACCTTAATGGCCAGTGGATGGCGCAGCCATGTCGGCATGGGCTTTTCCAACACTCAAACACCTCAGCAATGGCGGGAACAGCACCGGTCAAAAACGACGCCAAATTCTCCGATGCTCTCGAAGACATACGTGAATTTGCCCGTCGAACATCTTTCGAGAATTTCGGTGCAGAAACGCCTGGGCAAGAGCTCCCTGGGGTCAAGATATGCAGTGATAAGCTAGGCCTTCAGCCACTTGCCGATGCGTTCAAACAGAACTTGTCCACTCCATTTCGGCGGGTACGTAGGCCCTCTACATACTGGAGGCAGACTCCAGAAAGCCACTAGGCAGATAGCCCCTGACTCATTCACAGGATGATGAAGAGGGCGAACTTCGGTTTTTGTTACTCGAGTTTGCCCCACCCACCAGTTTACCTCTCCATAACCGTTACGCCGCCGTCTTCCCATTATTTCGCGTCACGCCCATCAATGGCATTTTGGTGGAAACGAACTCACACATCCTCGCCAAAGACTTCTGTTCTATTGGCCCCACCCTGATTGCCAGCAACGAACGTTTCGTTTGCGCTATTTTCATTTGGGAGAAGAAGCCTTGACGAGTTGAGATCATACGCAAGCATGTCTCCATCTGGCGGCTGATAGGTTACAGTCGATATGGCCTGATTCCATAAATTGTTGGATTGGACATGATATGCCACGGTGGTAGCATAGACCGAGGACTGTAAGTAATTGACAACAGCGTTACGCAGGTCTTTCTGACATGCTGCGTATTGTCGCAGACCCTTGTCGTTGAGGATGGTGACCACGGTGTCATGGACCGAACCTGACTTTGGGACATTCTGCTCCCAGCTGAACTTCATTAGTTTCACATCGATAGGATCCTGTGTGAGAAGACTGAACCTACAATTCATTACGCATTTTCAATCCCATTGTCGCGACCGTGCCTTCGCCGAAATCATTTTCCCACACAGCATAACGTGAGCCCCTTTTCAGAACGAGCTCTATCCGTCCTACCAGATCGTTCATACTCACTCGAGGAAGGAATGGCGCTAAAACTCCAGCGATCTCCCCCGCTGACAATCTGAAAGACTTTTGCAGTTGATCCAAGGCTACATAATGACAACGACGCACAATAGTCATCTGGGCATTTGTGTCACCCAATAGCAAACACTGCCAGACTGTTTGGACCACTGGATGAAAGGTTAATGGACGTGGAGAAAAATGGAACGACACGAAATGCTGTGGTTGCATCAACCAAAGCGTTCGATTTGGGTGGTCCGGTTTCAGAAGATCGAGGGACTCATCATCCAGTTCGAATTCGGTTGCAGACAGCCTGTGTGATCTCCTTTGCCGCTTTGGTTGGAGGGTGAAATCGAGCTCCTTCTTGAGAACCTTGTTTTGCTCAATGAGATCGAAAAGATAAGCTAATTGCCAATTCAATTGTTCCGCCGTCAGAGCCATCGCCTTTGTTGTTCTGGTAAGAAAGAAACGCAGGATAAAGGTGAAGATTGTTAGCTGAAAGGGAATTGAGACCTCTCAATCGAATGAATGCTGATCAGTCCCTAAAAACACGGGTCACGCACTAATGACGCTAAAAGAATGCGCATTCTTTTAGCGCCGTCTACCCATGCAGCCACCGACCTTGCTTCCACAAAAATGACCTGTCTAGCCCCGGCCCGTTATGGGTTTTAGCCCGTCGTTAAAGCAGACGTCAGGGCGACAAATCGGTCCCCTACCCTCCTTGCCATCACACCTTTTCTCTAATGTGGTGATCCCTCAACGGTTTGAGCAAGATCTGGATGCATCGACAATGCTGGAGCTTTCATAAAGGGAAAGGGCCACTGACTCACGTCCCATAATGAATAGGATGATAAGGCGACTACACCATATTGAGATCTCTGGCTGGGTTGTTGCGACGGCGACAACCCTAGACTGTCACGGGCAGGCAACCTGCACAAGGATTGCCACTCCCAGCCCTTGGTCTCGGCTCTCCAATCAAACGAAAAGACATGAACCGCATCAGGTTGCGTGGCTTGCCCCCGTTTACGGGAATATTGTTCGGACGCGCCTTCTTATTTGTGTCTCTTGGTCGACTTGGTCGACGTGTGCTCCCAAACTCTATCGGTATTTGGGCTGACCCTATACCTGTGGCGGCTCACACCATCGGCACCCACCTGCATCGTGATCGAGGGATCGGGGAGCATGCGCCAATGTCACCGCAAGGACTGAATCCCGCATAAAAGAGGCGACTTTCCAGTCCAGTTGCCTTGCATCAACCTCTATTCCGTACACCGCTATTCTATCGTGGTTAGTCGTTGCCTTGCATCATCCAAAATGAACCACCTCGAGATTTTGAAAGTTGTCATCATTGGAGAAGAGCAGACTTCTTGGGCATTACATTACCGGGTAAGATGTCATGGCTTCGTTGGGGCAACCGCTCACGCCCTGGCAGTTTACAACCATACGTAACGAAGGGGGAGCCGTCTTCACTCCGCGAGACACGACTCTCCGAACCATTCAAGTTCTGGCGGAAGGCGATAACCCGGAGGAGGTTGTGCTCGAGCTCTTCCAGAGAGGAGATATTGACAACCCCGAGCTGTTGCGGCTGTGTTGCCTGCATGGTGAAGCATTTGTGATCACTTTTAGTATGAATTCGAGACTCTCTTTCGATTCTATCAAGAAATTCATGAACGCGGTTGTGGAGGCTAAGGGTAGGCCTTGTCCTATCGCCCTGGTTGGGATGCAGAAGAAGGGACTATTGGAAGTGACAGCAGATGAAGCCACCAACCGAGCTGCAGAACTTGGGTTGCGTCATTTTCATGTCCAAAGCCAAAACCAAGTCATGGGCCCATTTGCCTACCTTGCTTGGCGTCACATTCAGGCGAGGGGGGAGCGAACTAGGCTGTCCAAGACTATAGCCTGGTATTGCCAGAGCCTGTGGGATCGCGTCGATTTCCGGGTCTGGATCTCATCGTGCTTCAGGAGGCGGCAGTTCCGTGTGGAACGCCTTGAGGATACGAATGCAAGTGAGGCCACCGTCTATGAGTTAGGTAGGCAACCTTTCACCGATTCAAAGCATCACCGGCGAAACTCTTCCACATCGGACGCCTGGACATTAGTCACAACAGACAAGCAGACTCATCGGCACTATCATCTGCTCGAAAACTCAGAAGATCGAGCTGTCCTTCAACATTTTCGTCGACAAATCCCGTGGTCTGTCCTCTGCCCTCCAGACCAGTGCTCTTCTGAAGAGTTTTTACAGCTTGCTCAAACCTGGCCTCCTGACCACCCAAACAAGAAGGGCTCACCAGCTTTATGGGACACGGTCCGCCACATTTTCAAAGACGAACTCCAGCGTATGATTAGCAACTTTCCTGCACACCAGTCTCAGTGTGACAAGTGCCGAGAGAAAGTATGTCCGGACTTGTATCGTCTTATGTACATGCTCTTGCAAGACCAGATCGGATCAACAATACGTGTTCAGCTCGATGACCATGATCTCATTTCTCCGAAAGGTACGACGAATTCTACTTTTCAGCTTACGAAAGTTCAGCCGCAGGAATCATCCATTCTACTCGGTTTCGAAACTCAAACAAATGAAAGAAGCTTAGTAATTGAATGGGACGATGTTTGGAGGTTAAATACGTTTGGGATATACATGGCTTTCCCCGTTGAAATTGCCGATTTTCTCCCTCTGTGGTTCGGAAATCCTCTTTGAGAATGAGACGGACACATCCAGTTCCCCTCGGAAGAAATTTCCACCAGGCTCACGAGAGCAGAATTTGATAGGCCTCACGCTACCTTTGGTGCGGCACTGATTCTCCCCGTCACTCTTCATTCCATTATTTTTCTTGTCTCGACCGACCAGCCAGGAATCTACACACCAATGATGGCCACCATTTTGGCACCGCCCCCCACCTTCATCCCCTTGAAGTTCTCGCCACCGTTCTGTAGGCTTACCCATCACCCATCTTCTCTCCCTAAACTGGCCCGATGGTCTCCCCTCATTCTAGCTATCGTAGACATGATTTTTAAACCTACTCCCGGTCGTAGGGTCGAAGAGGGCGTTGAAGTGGTGGAGATAGCCCCTGCCGTTTCGAGGTTGGTTCACGGAAGAGCGGTATCTTCTCGTCGTAGCCTTGCCGTCAAATGCGCGTACAGTTTGGCTAGATACTGGTAGAGGACGAGGAGTAAGAGAAAAACTCCGCCGAGTATCCCAATAATAGGTCCGATAGAGAGGACCAGAAGCTTGAATATGAATTCGAGGCCTAAGAGGAACATTGCGAGAATATGTTTGAATCGAGGAGAGAGCTCCGCTGAAGGATGAATTCCCGTTTTAAATACCTTTGTCAGGTGTTGAAACGGATTCAACAATCTTGGAATTCTTTGCTGCTCTCCCACTTATGTTGCTGTCACCTTATGTGACTAAATGAGTAATCCCGAGGATGCTCTCTGCTTTGTGAGAGGTCAATTTATGGGTTTTCTCTTCTTGGTTGAGCTTTTGCTTCTCGTCGGGTGACAAGCTGCATCGAACAGCTTTCAAAGTGTCTTTTGTGATATTTTGTTCATGCTCTAGACCTGTGAGTACATGTATCTCTTCCATAGATAAGTCATATTGTATAGGGGCCGCGTCCTCCAACACAGTTTCTAGATCCAAGGCATGACATTGGAGGCGTTTTGCCAGTTTATAAAGGAGTGTCGGCGTAGCAAGAGAGTTTGAGGGTTCGCAGGCACAGAGACTTGGTGTGGCAATATTTGCGAGCTCGACGTTGGTTGTCCAAATCCTAGTCAAACTCTGCTCCATGGTATACTCTAAGATCACTTCGAAGGGTCCGTACTGCTGGCGCACTTCTCGGTTCTTCTTATCATTAGAAATAATTTGACAAGCATCCTGACTGGCAGATGTAGAAGCTGCTACAAGTAGCATGAGGATCCCTGAGGGTGTACCTAAATTGTTGGACTCCTCTCGTACAGATTCATTAACCGTTTGGCATTCCTCAACCGGTTTGTTAGTATGTTCCAAGTCGACACCTGAGCTACCATTGAGTACGTACCACCATGATTGATTGAAGCTGAGAGGGCTGCTCAGCGGCCGGTTGACTAATGGTATCCCGATCTGGGGCGGGATGCTTACAATCTCAATCGCGACACACCTCTACCATAAATACTTAATTAATGACAAAAGCAGCCTTGTTTTATGGTATTCCGCATGGAATCCTAATGTATCGCAGTCATCCCTACCCGACCAGGGTATTTACCTTGGAGGGCTGCTGTTATGTTGCCCAATGCAGGGGTCTGCATTCAGTTGACTCTGCAGGCCTGTCGCATGGGTATAACGCCACCGGAGGCAGACATTCTCTTGTACATTAGGCTGCATGTCTAACAACCCTGGTTCTGTAAACCGTTGAGACTTCACCAGCTTGGCTACTATGCAATAACCTGAACGGTCTGCGCCTCACCACACCGGTTTCACGCATCGTCCACTATTGAGGTTGTCAGCCTGATGTTCATACGTACGACACAAGAGACGCAACGCTCGTAAGATACCTAGATTTTCGAACCCTCGAAGTCTCAAACCACCAAAATCTATAGCCCTTTGAACTGTTGACTACATCAATCATGTCTTCGTCGTTTGGTGACAGAATTCAGGCTGTGGATCCGCGTCAAATTTTCAATTACGGGACCGCGAACGCACAGTACGTAAGAACGGAGTACAGAGTGGTAGCGACGCCCTATTCATCCAGTATCACAAATGCGGAAAATGTTGTGGCGATGCCAAAAGGGAGGGGAGAGGATTGCGGACAGATGAATTTCCAGGATGAATCAGACGAGGGCTTAGGAGAGTATCAAGGGCTGTTTAGACTTGTCTTCGATAATATTCGGTTAAGTAGGCTCGGTAAGGCTAGCGGAAATCTTGTTGAAGGATCACGTAAGCTGGTCAATTCCGTGGAAGCTCTGGGTAAGTCCGATTCCGCCAAGAAGAGGAATAGAGAGTTGATGTGAATGTTATTCAGGTCTACACCTTGACGACGAGAAGATGTACGCAGGCCGTCTACAATTTTGGAAAACTTTCAATACGTGCTGGCAAGCGCTTGGACAAAAACAGAAAGACGTGACTTTGGAGGCTTTTAGAACCGGAAGGAAGCCTGCAGATATGCTTTCGGTGGAGAGAATCAAAGTGTTGATGGATGATCTGGTGGGTATGTGTGATCAACTGCAGCCGTATGGCTTGGTCGACTTCGAGATGGGCATTTGGGAAGAACAAATTATCGACATTTTCATCGAGGGCCTTGATCTACTTTGCCCAAGGGCAGTAGAGACCCAACGAAAAGCCCATGTGTAGGCCAGTCAAAAGGGCGCTGTCAGCGCAAGTTCCGAAAAGTTTCAACGTTAGGAGCAGGCTGATCGACATTGGTATAGGTGAGAGCTTCTGGTACAGCGGCTTCTGGACAAAACACCCAAACGTAAAGGGTGCTGTATACGACCAACTGAGAGTCGCATTAAATCTTTACCCACAGCCCTGGATAATCCTGGTGGCTGCTCCTGACGGAGAATAACTCCTGCCGGGTGGACGTGATTGACAGGTTAACTGCCCTTCCTAAGACGTGCGTGTTCGTTGTTTCGATTGCTTGCCCCGAACAACCTTAATCACATTTTGCCTGCGTGTACCGCTATTCACGGCCACGTACGGCTGGCTCTCCTTGGTGAAGGGTTGGAGGGCTGGCATTATATCATTTCTGAGTCTGAGAGGTGCGTTTTGGATTGTCTTCCGCAAGCTGGAAGTCTGTTTTGGGCACTAAGTTTAGAGAGTCGGTATGGGCTTCCTTGAAGGGGTACGCTCATGGTTCTAACATACTTTTCAGCTTATCTCGCTGAGACAAGATTCGCTTGCAATACGTCAGTCCCACGCACATTAGAAGGGCTTTTCATAACTGAAATTGGTTTGGTGATGTGTGTGACTTTCTTGACTTTAAAGAATAGGACCGAGATAGCAGCAAGGCTCGCTATTCTGCCATCGCGGATAGGCTGAGGGAAATCGATGTCTTGATTGGGTGCGAACAAACCGGTGTCAGGGACATAGCATGGCAATCCATCATTAGAATTGCTCTAACGGCGAAAGTAATCCACTGTTTGAGGACGTAAAATTTAGGGATAAATAACAGTAAAATCGGAGCTAAGGTGAGGTAAGATGAGAACGAGGATAGTAAAGAGCCTGTTGCTTGGAGGATAGAATCTTGCGATACCTCTCTGCGATAATTTCTAGGGTCGTCAGAGACACGCATGTATTTAAGCCTCTCTTGTGTACGTCTCGACGCTTCAACCGAAAACCTTTCCTCCGATGAAGGTTTTCAAACAGCTTTCTGAACCAATCGACTTCGTGACCTAGATGGGATTGAGATCCACTGAACGGACATCCACGTCAAGGAAGAGATCTTCAACCACTTGACGAGAGGGATAGGCATGGTTCTGAGATGCGGAGGCAGCAGCACAAGTCCTTTGCCTCTTCCGAGACCGACCAGGGTTCTGGTCCGCTGGGAAGTGCTTCAGTTGGAGTTTCAGCTGCTTTCCTGATCTCAGAGTAGACAGGCGTTCCTGTTGTGCTAGGTCTCGTGAGACCTTTTTGTCGTACTCGCGGAAGCGATGATCGAGATCCGAATCAGACGCTCCGCCTTCCGGAGGATGCATCCAGCACAGAACAAGGTATTGAGGCCGTTTCGTGTGTAGACGCTTACCCACAACCCTCACCACCGAGGGGTGTACTGGGCACCGCGTTTTCTCGAGCACTGACGGTGTTTCAGGGATTTCGAACGAATCTGCATTGCCTGTAGAAATATGTGGCGCCGGGTCGAATGTTGGTCCTCCCGTAGCAATGTCCTCGGTTCTTAGAGGGCTTGCGGAATGTGCCACGCGACAGGCTTTGTCGGCTGCATCGCTGTGCGCGTCGAGGAGTACTGGATGCTGCATTATCGCTCTTTCAACATCGCTGTCGCTCTCTGAACCACTCTCCGTCCCGACAGCTAGCCTAGTAGCGTCCGAGGATCTACCTGATATTTGCAAGGGTCTATCTCGAAACGCTGACCAACACGGTATGTTTTTGAACGGCGTCCTCCTCGGTGTTCGAGTTACTGGAGAAGTCGTACCTACGATGCGTGTTGTAGAAGGCTCTGATGGCTGTGTAGGCGACGGAGGAGGTTGTGGCGGAGTGATCGCAGAAGATAGGGCTGGGGCCACTAACATTGGAGCAGTGATTATCTCTAGGGCTGGAGATGGGGGTGATGAGAGGCTCGAGTCCTGCAAGAGTTAGATCTCTGGAAATTTTGGAGTTCCTGAGAGCGCCTACCACGTCGTCCTCTACTGTCAGATCGATGATGTCAGGATTTCGTTTCCACTTCCATTCCAAGAGGTCACGAAGCGAAGGAAGGTCATCGTCTTCATCAGTCAGATCATCATCGCTGTGATTCTGATGAAATTCAATGTCTGGTCGGGAAATAAGCTGGGTGTCTCTCAAAAAGAGGGCAAGGTAAGCATAACATCAGTAGTAGTCGCACTGGAAGTCTCATAAATCTCGAGCGCTTCAACCTCGAAAGAACTGGAACCAGATCCGACGGTCGGTGGGATTGAATCGTCGCCGTACATGGCTTCCGACATAATTCTTGGGTCAAAATCCTTGAAGATAAATCCTGAGTGAAACCGATACCTCACACTGTAGGCAAAGCACTCACACGCGATGGCTCTAGCAAGGAAACGAAGACTGGGGCTTCAATGTCGCTGAGATGCAGAGGGAGAAGAGGCAGATTTCGATTGGGAAGGAGCCGGGAGACTCGATCCTTAAATAGCCCTTGACGACCGTCCTGAGAGCCGCGCACACCGGTATCGACTCCATTCTCAGCTGTGCGCTGCAGTGCGCCCAGGACCGCCGAATTCGGCACCAGTCACTTGTTCACCCTGTTCTCCCCTTGTTCGATACACTTGTGCGGTCGGAAGGGCCATCACCCCCGGAACTAGCTGAGTCGACACGCGATCGGGTGGCTGTACGTTGGCAGGTGCCTGAATCCAACAGCAGGTTTCACAAACGCTTCCTCTCTTTTCTCTCACCCGCCCATCCGCCCGCCCCCGATCAACACGAAGTCTCCCTTCTCCGTGCAGTGTATGCAGATATGTCCGTTGCCCTGCTTTTCAATATTTACATCGTCTTAACCATCTGTCAGTCCAACCTAGATGTGTTTTCACAATTCCGCTAGACGGCGCATCGAGACCGTGACCGCGAGTCTAGGATCCTCGCTGTGTGAAGAGAAAGTCGCTACCATCGCTCGATGCCCATTGTACACGTACTCCACCACTTTCCACGAATTTGGCACCCTGGTGAAAGAAAGCCGTCCCCTTTCCCCACTTGCGGTACTTCGTTGACCACTGAGCCTGGTCAGTCTCAGCTGACCTGTCGCGCAAACCCAAAACGACGTGATCGCCGATGGTGAGGCAGAATTTCAGCTTGGCGGCGATTTCGCAGCCAATGCCACCAGAGACGCTGGGTCGCTCGTCGGTGTTCGGGCGCCGCATGTACCGTCGTCGCGTGGTCAATGGTTGTGCGTCTCAGCCAGCCCACCGTTTTGTCCGCATGCAGCTACCTGCTGAGGTATTTCTGCCATTGGATTGCATCGAAGATCAGGCGCCCTCTCGACCCATGGTAGGGTGTATTGGAAGCACAGCTATGCGACGTCGAAACTGTCCTCGATGTTGAGTCCGCCGGCGAGGGTGAACATCGCATTTAGCCGTGGCTCGAAACTAGCTATATAGACGCAGCTATGACAGTCATGAGCACAGAGGCCAGGACATCAAAAAGGCTGGCGTAGACCGATCGGAGGAGAGCGAGCAGAGGCGGCAGTAGGGATTCGTGGGAAGGCGTCAGTCGGACTTGTGTAGGTTGGAGTCATTCTCTCTAAAGAGTGATGACCACATGAGGGCCAATTTTTGTGTTGGACGATCAGGGGAGGCTGAGAGTCGGAGGGCGACGGCGCTGGGATATCTTGGGAACGTGGACTCAAGGTGAAAGCAGCGAGGAGGAATTCTCCCTATTTATCGACGGCACGAGCGTGAGGGAACTCGGCAGAATTGGCCGCTTGGGCGTAAGTGGCAGGCGGTCGGCCGCCCAGTCAGCAGCTCCTTGCCTCTCCAGGCAACGCCGGCCAGTCGAAGCCAACCCAGAAGTGTGCGTCCACCGACGCTGCTTTTGAGGACATCCGCAGTTCTATTGGATGGGCCCTGCGCCATCACGTGTAACATAACGATGGGTCCAAAAAGCCAATCACGGCCGTTTGCAAGGAGGTCCACCGGGGTGAGCAGGGACGAAGTCGCACCAAGGACGCCAAGGCGCCAGGGCTTTTCGCCCCCACGATGGGTGAGTCACAGGTGAGGCCTCCCCCGGCTCGCGCGAGCCGGGGTGAGCACAGGGCGGCATCACCCTCGTCCCAAAGGGGGGTGAGCTGGCCGTGGATTTACCTCATCTTGGCAAGGATTTTTGTGCCAAGCTCACTGCGGGCCACCGAGACGTGGTGGGGGGTGTGCGGGAAGTCAATCATTCAAGCCTGCGGCCATCCGCTGCATCTCTCATTATTCCGAGAAAGCATAGCTGACATCTTTGTCAATGTCTCTTATAGACATTTCTGACTGTTACTAGCCACACTTGCACCCCTTCGTAATAGGGAAGCCGATTGCCAGTCATCCTCGAGACACCTGAACACTGCAAGAGTCAACCCCAAGGAAATCAAAGCTCCTATCCGTGCACGCTGGCGAGCCCCTGGGAAAGATTCTCAGTGCATACCACAAAAACTGGAAGACCTAGAGAGAAATATACTGAAAAGATACCTGGAGAGCACGACACTTGGGAGGAGCGACATTTGGAACTCTTCAAAACACGTGGTAAAGGGGTAGAGTTGAAGGATTGATATTGTCCATTACTCAAGAAGTCCGGCTTTTTGTCAACAAGCAATACAATCAGGCCTGCTCTACTAGGGCGAAATGTTGAGTTGGGTAATATCAACAAGAAGCTGGGGTCTCCAAATTCTGTGGACCCGAGGGACGTTAAGACATGACTTCCAAGAGTGGCGGAGGTGATCAAAAGAACGACATCAATTACGGTAGGTGGGCAACGCATTTTCACTGCACTCTTGCCACTCAAAACGATTCTTCTGGTAAAGACTGGCAACAATGACATCTGATTTGCATTGAGAATCCAACTGCGTGGAAGCTCAGAAAAGGGTGACACGGAGTGACGAAAATCGATAATCTTGGAGCTTACAGCATACACGACTGGGTATTATTACTACTCAACGAGGGTGTTGACATACAGGACTATAAGTACCCCTTGGCTGCATTTCTGCACCTCTGCACCTGGTAAGCGAACCGGCTGGTATTTTGGGCCAAACCTTGCGAGAATGAGCGTTGATGCTCTGCATGTTCGTCTAAACTTTGGCGGGCTCTATGTTGTCCAAGTAGACAAGGGGACTTGAGAGCCATATTGCAACGAGCAATAACCGGATATCGGAAGATTCTTGATCCATATCACCGAGAATGTGAGAAATCTGAAAAGGTTATTATAAGGTGATCTATCTACCCTCAGATGCAAGATATCCCTTGTAATCGAACACTCACCCAACCAAGATCTTTTTTAGCTAAAGAAGCCCCAAAAATTCCGGGGAAGGGACGCTTTCTTCGAGAATCCGCAGGATACTGCGGCGCTTCCCATGGGTGATCAAACTTTGGTGTCTCCTGTCCAATGGTACGGGCAGGAGTCTAAGGATTCAAAGAAAAATCAGCACGTCGTTCACCAGGTCGGTGCCAACGATATTCCTCTCGCAAAGCATCCTGAGACCTCTACTTTCCGTCCGGGCAATATTCCTCCTCAATCTAGAAAGTCGCTGTAAGGCGCTGCTCGCTCGCTGCGCATATCACCACCTGTTGAGTCTTGATCCGTGGAAGACGCCCACCCTCTGGCTTCTGTGGGTTCGGATTGACTAGTGACTTCTCCTCTGGAGCCACTCTTCACCTTAGAGAATGTAGCCACAAGCGATGTCACTGAAGATACGATTAAAGAAGCTGCCGCTTCGTTCTCTCGTGCATATGGCGTTTGGGGACTGCATGCACTCAAAAAGATGGGATCTTTCGCGAAGCTCGGACTGTATCTCGATGTCCTCTCGTGCTGAGGTCAATAAATATCGTAATCGTCGCAACAGGCTGTCGGGTCCGCATGAGTGTCAACCGTCTGCGACAAGAATATTTAACAGACCATGCTGAGAAGTACTTCATTAGAGCTATGGTCGGTAGCAGCCTCATCGGTCATGTTTTCGCCACATGCTGGAACTTCGACGGTCGTCAGGTCTGTTGGATTACGCAGCGTCGCCGGCTGGCTACCAGGGTGAGCGCTCTCCTCCGGTTCCTATATACTATAACAATCTCAACCTTAACCCGCCTAGCTTCTACTTAAGCTCTGAGAGGGTAAGGAGGACTGTGCATTTGGTATTATTCTAAGCTCACCACCCGCCGCCATCCTTGCGGCTCAGGTTAGCCACATTACAAGGAAGAATTTTGCGGACACGCGCCACAGGGAGTCGTTTGCTGTGCCGACACAAGTTTCTGGCTCGACCACATGGAACCGGCTGAAGCCCTTGGCAGCAGTCAAAGCACGAGGACTTGGATGACCTTTTGGGGATCTCCCCGATGGTTGTGAGTTCCTCCTCTTGGTCAAGGCAGCATAGAGGGACTTGCAGAATACTTATGGAGGGGGCCGCCTCGTGGAACAGACAATCCCAGCGGTGGAGAGTAGCCTCAATCTTCTTTTCCCAATGTCATCGTCAGAACTTGAATCGCCGATCTGCCTCTTGTCATGATGTGCACCAGCAGGGTCGAGGTTGTTCCGCTCTTCGACAACGACTACCACAATTTTGAAGGGCTGCTTCCAACTGCCAATCTTTGACGAACTGCGGGCGGGTGATGGGCTTGTCGCTGTCCCCCGCCCCGCCCCGCTGAAAGCAGCCCCAGCGGTGCCACGAGGCTGGTGAGGCAACCGGGGGAAGACCCAATTTGGCCCTATAATTCATTCATGCTGCGTACAGTACAGCGCAAGGCACGCACTTGATAAGAGAGTTATCCGCCGCCAAGTTCAGCAGCTACACAGGCTACTGTCAAACTAAGCGCCTCTGCGTTCATCTTGGAGCGTCTTTACTGATAGCCGGCGCCAAAGTCTGCCAAAAGACATCTTCAAATGAGAGGGTCAGAGGCTAAAAGGTGGTGGCCACTCGGTGCTGGGACAAAAGCGGGACCAAAGATCAAAGCAGCTTGGCGCGTCTACACGCGTTGACAACCCCCCTATTAATTTACTAGCGACACAGTCAAATAAATAGCTCTCAGGAAACTGACTATCCTCTTCAATGACTAGGCTATTATGGATCATAAAGTATATACTCACTGGACTACTCCGCAGCGACAGAGAATACAAACTAGATCTTAAGATGCTAGACTCGGATTACTCACTAGTCCAGGAGGCCACCGAGTCACTCAACGGAGCCTTTTTACGAACATAAACGTACCTATTGTAACTGGCTTTCGAATATCACATAGCGACGACTCTCGACGACTCAAAAACAGTACGACTCGGTCTGAAACACGTGGGCGCAAGAAACAATTAACTGAACGAGATATTCGAATCGCTGAACTCGTTCTATGGCAGAATTACTTCGATGGTCGCGAATTACTTACCCTGGCAAGATCTAGCGCTTGAGGCTGGCCTAGATATCTCTCGTAGAACGCTGCAACGATATCTAAACCAGAAAAAGAAGCCTCGGAAAGAGGACGAAAAGCGTGTTCACGCCTAGGCTGTAATCGGTTTTAACTATAAAAGTTAATTATATTGTAACAGACCACTTCAGGGTTCGGCGTGCACGTGCAATAACGCACAGAGGCCTGTCCAGCAGATCGGGAATCGAGAACGCGTTTCTGGTTGATGCTGACAAGACAACACCACCACCAACACCACCCAGAGGGGCAGCGGCTAGGGCTACGAACACCTAGCACAGCGGCAGCATCGAGGAACAGGACAGAACTGATAAAACACTCAGGAATTAGGTAGACGGCGCCAAAAACCATGGAATTCGTGATACTCTGCTCAAATTGTAAAGAATGGCACTCTGCTAGCACTGTAAACTGTTCCGCACCCCCCCTTTCTGCCAGCCCATTTAGGTCTGACATGTGACTAGACAACTTTTCCTCCCTGCCACCGCTCTACCAGCCCAGCACAGCCCATCACAGCACAGCCACTTTGCCCTGTTACAATACAAGACCTCCGAGCTGGTCAACGGCAGTCTCGAATCGTTGATGGAAATAAACTTCCGCGCTGGGTTCCGGGAACGGAGCCGCAGAGGATAAATCGACCGCGAAGACGTCCAGGCCTGAGTAAGGTTGTTTCAAAGAGGGCAGATAGGTGCTATGGAAGGCAAAGGAATCATGGTCCAGCTCAATAGCTTGCTCACCATGCCTATTTCGCGGCGACCAACATCCTGGTCGCGAAGAAGCCACTGACCAGATTGCAACTGGCCGATGTTCTCTTAATTTGGTTCTAGTGCTCGTGACTCGGGATCAGAATGACGGGCAATCAGGGGAATCGGGAAGAGCGAATCTGGAAGAAGAGGGAAGAGGGAAGAGGGAAGAGGGAAGAGGGAAGAAACAATCCTCGAATGTTTGTCGTGTTTGGAAAAAGATCAGAAGCTCGGTATGTAGTTGATGTCTGGGGGCCTCTGGGGGCCTTCAATTCTTGGTTGGTAGGTTCAAGCAGCCGACAGAATCTCAAAAAGGCTAAAGGGGTTTTCGCCTTTGGTGGCGCGTGGGCCAATCCACTCTTCCCGACTAAAGCTCGCAGGAGATTTTATGCAGCCACGTTTGAAAGCGGCCCTGAATAACCTGTGATTTGGCCAATGCAGGGTCATCAGACCGCTGCGGCTAACGTGTCACCGCATCAGGCATTCCTGGACATCCGTTCACGGTTGGTGGAGGGCTGAACTTTTAGGACGCTAGCTACGGCGAATGTTACACAGCATATGCGGTCTCACATGTTGCAAATGAAGAGCAACATCTATCAGAGCCTCAAATACCAGTACTGTGTCCGGCTCCAAATATGAGTCAAGCGTCAGGATATGTCCATGTGTCTTCTGCGTATAAATTCTGCTAAGATCCCCGCGCTAGTTGGAAGTCACCCACGTTTGTCCCATCCTTCAATACATGTTCCCCATTCCCCCAGTCCTCACTCTCTTTCTTCTTGAGTCTCGTGTGACGCCATGCCAAAGACCACCAGATCACATTCTTCCAAATATGGCCATGGAAAGCATGCTCCACCTCCCCACAGTACTATATCAAATCGTCCCAAGGCTGGCATTCGACGGGAAGCTCCATCATTCTGGCGGTTAAAATACTCCGGTGCTGACTGTCACTAGTGACGATCCACCATCCTATATTAGTGTCAAAAGGGATACCAAAGCTGAGGTGAAGTCAATGTACGAGGTGTTGAACCAAACGAGAGAAATCGATAAGAATGACAAATATACACTCGCTGTGGTCAGTACAGAGGAGTTCGCTTCCCTCCTCGAAAGCAAGTTCGACAAACCATGGTGGAAGAAGCTCATGACAGGTAATATCTCGATATTCTGCCCTTTACAGTAACAACAGTCACTTAAAATCCCTGAAGGAGTGCAACGCCGAGAGGGGTGTCCGGTTACCATCACGACAGCCAAGCGCTTGCAGAAAGCAATTGACCTCGTTGAGAGTTACCTTAAGGCATTTGAGAAAGCGGAAATTTTTATGCTTGTCCATGCAAGCGTGCGCCGCATGTCCTTTCACGTGGCCGGCGACGATGTCGACACGCTCACCATCATGCGTTGGCATGGGGCGTCAGCTTCACGCGAGAATCTCATAATTGACGGCGCATCGACATTCGCGGCCACTAGACTGGATGACTGGCAAGTCAATGACGACAGAAACCTCTACATCGGCAAACATGGAATTAGCATCTGCGTCGACACGACCAAGTCCTCTGTATGGGCAGATGCCGCATCCCGGCCGTGGGGAGAGCTTCCTTCACACAGGCTCGAGGAGTTGAGGAGCGCCTTGCACGAGACGGACGGGTTGTCTTCCGAGACCGACTGGTGGGATAAATGGAAGGGCCCTGCGGCAGCCGTACTTGGCGTCATAGCTGGGACAACTAAAATGGCTGCTGGCCTAAAGGCTGCAGCTGGCGGATTCTACGTCAAGTACGCCGGCACTTTCGCGCTCACCACTCATACGCTCGAAGTCGGTGCTGCTAATGCGAAGATCACGGCAATCGCAACAGCGGCCGGCCCGGCCCTTCTGCTTGGCGCAAGTGTTGCCGCTGCAGTCTACTTCATTCCCTGGAAGAGGTTCTTCAACTGGCTCGGAGGGATTCTCCCCCGGATCTTTGAAGCCTGTCAACAAATCTGGGAATGGTTTGCCAGCTGGTTCGCTCGCTTCACGGAATGGGTGCGGGACACGTTTCAGGAGTCGTCACGATGCCGACCGAGGCAAGCCACATTCTCGGCATAAGGGCAAGGGGACGCGGGTAAAGTTGAGATCAAAATCTACCGGTCGTGCTCTAGAAGCATCGTGACACCGCGAGACTCATGACACGAATTCCCTAGGACAGGAATCTGATAGGCCTTCCTCTGCCCAAGTGCGACTCTAAGGCGCACCTTAGCCTGATCCGAGCATTTTCCAACATACATTTCGAGTTTCTGAGAGAAGGGTTTGGAGAGAGCGTTTCGTAATCTGCGAGAGATCCTCGCTAAATCGAGGGTTTTACGACATTTCGCATAGTGTTTCTCAGTTTTCTCAGTAGAGCATTCCACAGGAGAGCCAGCCCACCGCAAAGCCTAGGCGAGAATCACGTGCCAGGCATCCAGCTTGGTGTCTTCGCCAATCCGAACTCTCTCTTACCTCCCCCTTCCCGTTCACAACAGCGACCAACTTCAGGAACAGATGGCCACTGCACAAATTGGGACCATCAGGGCAAGGTCGATGTAAAGGCTGAGTAGGCAGGTGAGTAGAAGGTGAGAGGAGGGTGGGAGGTGGATGAGTCATGAGGTGATGGTTTTAAAAGTGGCACCGTCGGGGTGATCCCAAAGTGAGCTCCCTGCGCAGATTTTACTCATCTTGGCGCTTGGAGCCACTAGGCTTACTTTGGACAGCGGAGTGGACTCTTCACCGCCAACTTGACCGCCGCGTCTTCTCGCAATGAATCAAACTACGATCTCAAATACGGCCTCGAACAAGTCTGAAGACGGCCAAAGCAGCTGGCAATAGCCGGGTCCAACCATGTCGAGCCACGTTGTGAAGATTCTGACTTCCTTGGTCTGGGTGATCGTGATCTCGATCCTCACTAATATTCTCAAGCAACTGTTCTTCCGGAATTCTCACGCACCACCAGTGGTATGGCATTGGTTCCCCTTGATTGGCAGCACGGTGGATTATGGGCAAGACCCATACAGGTTCTTCTTCAAATGCCGAGAAAAGGTACGCTACTCGTGGGACCTGGTGTTGAGTCTTGTTCTACGCCAGTGACCCGCCGCCCCCACTAATCGGTGTCTAGTATGGCGACTTCTTCACCTTCGGGCTGCTTGGGATGAAAGTCACAGTATTTCTGGGGGCTAAAGGCAACAACTTCATCTTGAATGGGAAGCTGAAGGACCTCAACGCTGAAGTAAGCATGCAACAGACCCCCAATCAGAGCTATGGCAAGCTCACCAGACCTCTAGGAAGTATATGGTCCTTTAACCGTGCCGGTCTTCGGTCGAGGCGTGGTTTACGACGTGGACAATGCAAGGTTCATGGACCAAAAAAGGGTATGGCCAATGACTCCCTGCTTCCCTTCAAGAAACTCAGTCCGGCATGCCCTCGTCGCTAACACTCTTGATTCTGCAGTTATTAAAAGAGGGCTTTACAAGTCAGAACTTGCGCGCATACGTTCCCCAATTTGTCAAAGAAACCGAGCTGTACATCGATACCAATGCTGCCTTCCGAGGTGAGGGCGGGGTGTGCGACATATCTACCGTGCTCTCTGAGATTTCATTGTACGCAGCGGCTGGTTCACTCCAAGGAAAAGAGGTCAGGGATTCTTTCGACTCTTCGTTTGCCACTTACTACCGCCATCTCGACGACGGCTTTGCCCCCGTCAACTTCATGTTCCCGTGGCTGCCCATACCTGTGAATCGGCGACGAGATCGGGCGCAGAAGATGATGGCCAACCTGTACATGGCCATTATCAAGAAGCGACGCTCGACCGGGAATCAAGATGGCAGCCATGACATGCTTTGGGCCCTCATGGACGGCCGCTACAAAGACGGGACTCGACTCTCAGACGAGGAGATAGCTAACCTCATGATTGCCCTCCTCATGGGGGGACAGCACAATACTGCAGCCTCTGGAACTTGGATCATGCTTCATCTAGCTCACCGCCCACAGCTTATTCAAGAGTTGTACCAAGAGCAGCTCAATGTCCTCGGTGGCCAAGCACCAACACACGACACGTTGCAGGACCTCACACTGCATAACAACGTCATCAAGGAAACGCTCCGTCTCCACAGCCCGATACATTCCATAATGCGCAAGGTCAAGCAGCCGATGCAGATCCCCGAGACAGACGTCGTCGTCCCCGCAGGCCACATCTTGCTCGCCGCTCCCGGAGTCCCTTCTCGATGTGAGGAGTTCTTTCCGGACCCGATGGCCTGGAAGCCGCATCGGTGGGACAAGCCCGACGAGGCTCCGGAGCAACAACCGCAACAACAGGGCGAGAAGAGCGAGGACAATGACACAATAGATTATGGGTACGGAGCTGTCTCCTCAAAGGCAGTGAACAGCCCTTATCTGCCCTTCGGCGCCGGCCGACATAGGTGCGTTGGCGAAACTTTTGCTTATGCACAACTGGGAGCTATACTTGCCACGATGGTGAGGCTTTTGCAGTGGGAGCAAGTCGACCCCACTGCGCCTGTGCCAGCAACGGACTATTCTGTAAGTACTCTGCCCATCATTGAGCCTTCGAACCGCCCTAGATGCGGGTTTTTCTCCCCTGATATTCAACGTTTCAAAGCATCAAAATGCTGATTGGTTATGGTCGGGCAGTCCATGTTCTCACGGCCAATGCATCCAGCTACAATCAAGTGGCGGCGTCGGCATTAACGTGTCCCGCCACCTACTAACATGCCATCTTGTCACACTTGAACTGAGCCCCATCCATGCTTGCAGAGCGATCCTACAGAGATGCAGGTTGCGGCATATCTGGCGTTGCTTCGTAACTGATCCTCCCCGCGGGCAGAAAGAACAAGGCCACCAATGCCCCCCCTCTGACTTCGGGATAATGGTGCGTCCCAGGTCCTGGACTCGTCCAGCCTGCACCCTGCCACCCCTGCATGCCCATCAACTCTGCCGTCTCATCCACCAAGATCACGCAGTTGATCTCCCCGTACGGATGCTGATGGTACTGTCCCCGATACACCTCCTTTGAATCCATATACACCGTGGTGATCGAGATGTAGTTGCTCTCTGGCGTGGGCGGGGCGATGCGGCCGCGACGGTACTTGGGCCCGTCGAGTTCGTCGCGCGCCACCCAGCCTTCCTTGAGGCCCAGGCGCATGTAGTGCGCGAAGGACTCGTAGAAGGGCGTTCCCGGGCCGTATTCGCTGTTCAGCCGCGCTTCGAGGTCTTTGCCTGGGGTTCTGGCATGGGGCAAGCAGAGACATGTTAGTAAAAATTTTCGGTGGGAGGTTACAATTGACAGGTGAAAGACGTCCCGCCATGGGGGTTTGGGGGACGGGAAGACGATGAAAGGTGTTTGTCCGGGGGGGAGGCTCTGCATACAAGTTCTTGACCTCTCTGAAGAACTCGTGGCACTTTGACACGAATTCCTTCGCGGTAGGATATGCCTCGAGATCGAGGACCGGGGCATCTGCCATTTTATTTGTACTGTTCCGCGGGTCTGGGCTTTGAAGAGAGAAAGAAAGACAACACGGCTGTTTCGATCAAGCAATCACTTCCCTCCTCTCTGTCTCCCTTGCTTCCTTTTTTAATGCCGCTCGTTCGTTCGCTCCCTGCTTATCCGAGCGAGACGCTTGAAATGCTATCCTCGAGGACGAAGAGGATCGTCGAACGACTGTTAAATAGTCGATAGACCTGATTGTGCAGCCGCCACGCCGATACGTCTTGGCGACCAGTTTTTGTTTCCCGTAATCCTTCCTTCTTCCTGAGGCCCTGTCCTCTAAGCCAGATGGTTGATGATCAATAACTTGGTGATGTGCTGGGCTGTGCTGTATTACCAATTAATGCCTGAGCCTTTGACTTCAGTCCTCTCGCCCCTCAGCGCGGATCGTTAGTCAGTCAGTCAGTCAGACAGTGAACGAACGAACGAAGCGCTTCGTACGTACGTAGTCCGCGAACCAATTCACTTGGTACCCACGTAGGCAGCCCGACGACCCTCGTGTGGAGTTAGCGGCTATTATCTTCGCGAGCGGCTAATGTAAATGTGTAAGCCCAGGTGTTTACTCCAGGAAGTCCCGTAGTGGAGAGGAGGAGAGAAAGAGGAGAAGCGTTCGGGAGGACATGCTCCTCCACGTGCCGCATTGGTGCGTGATAAGCCGAGTTGGATTGCCGATCCGCCATATATGGACAATGAATCTGTGCTACAGGACGTACTCGTACTTACACCATCTACGACATACTAAATTCTACATACTGCGTCTGAGGCTGAGGAGTTAACTTATCAAAGCCTCCTTCACGCCTTACACCGCAGCAGCGGCAGTGATGCGGAGTGCATGTGGAGACAGATGAGGCCTGAATACATTCGCATCTACCGAGTACCTACCGCAGGTATTGAACGCCACGCCTGCCCCCCCCGCCTTTGGCCTAGTGGTATGTACTCCCTCTCGTTCGCATTTCTTTGGCAGGGCGTGGAACTACATAGAAAGAGGGAGTCATCTACGAGCATGTAGAATAAGGTGTGCAAATGACAAACACCCTCGCAGTCCGGGCCGCCTTTTGTCGTGGCAATCTGCCGGCTATGCGCCCCATTAGGCGATCACGGTAAAAAGGGGGAATTATTGCACGAGAGGATATAGACAGGATTGATTCGGTTACTCAATTGCTGATGAATCAGACTTGGACCTGGACCTGGACCAGTTCATTTTCTCCTCTCTTGGGAATGCCACGTATGACCACTGCTCACTCATTTGCCGAACCACTAGCAGAGAACCCGAGCAAAAGCATCCCAAGCATCGTCCTGCGCCGACAATCACTGCCGTGAGTTTTGGAAGTGAGCACAAGCGCGCAGGTTGTTCAAAACCTAGATTTACCACCTGAGACCTTTGATTCCAGAACATGTGGGTGATATGCTCGGTTTGGAGGTCGAACATTGAACTTGATCGACAAACATCACGAAAACACGCTTTGGGCCACTGAGTGCTTCCGGACCAAGCAACCTTCGGTCGTAATGGAGAGCTTCGATCTGGTCGTTGTGGGAGCAGGTGAGTTGATTCGCATCATCAGGTCTGCAGAGGAATGCCACGCTCATCCAAACTATATTCGCAGGATGGCATGGCCTCGCAATGGCAAAGACATATTCCGAGGTCTGTCCAGACTCCAGCATGCTCATCATAGACTCCGCCAAATCCATCGGCGGAACATGGGCCAAAGAACGTTTGTACCCTGGCCTCAAGACAAATAATATAATCGGCTCCTACGAATTTGGCGACTTCCCAATGACACCCGAGAAGTTTGGTGTTAAGCCAGGACAACATATCCCTGGTGCCGTCGTGCATGAATACCTGTGTCAATTTGCGGAGAAATTCGGCCTAGTGTCGCGGATGAGGCTTCAGACGAAAGTTGACACTGCAGAACTCCTGGAAACTGGCGAATGGCTGCTCCAGGTGCGTGGAGAAGACACTGAAAATGATGGACCATCGTCCATGAGGGCTATGCGGCTTGTTGTGGCTACTGGGTTGACGTCCGAGCCATACGTGCCCGACTATGCTGGCAGGGAAAAGTTCACAGGGAACTTCTTCCATTCACGCCAGCTAAGAGATCGTGCACAAGATATCCGGACATCAGAAGAGGTCGTGGTAGTCGGAGCTAACAAGTCGGCATGGGATGTCTGTTATTCCGTGGCAACCTCGGGAGCGCACGTCAGTATGGTCATCAGACCAGAAGGCGGCGGTCCAAGCTGGGTTTGGCCTGTCATATTCTCTCCTTTCAAGCTATCCATTCAAAGAATGGCGACCACCAGATTCTTCACCCTCTTTGAGCCCTGTATCTGGGCCGAGGGCAGCGGCTTCAACTGGGCTCGGAGATTGTTGCACTGTACGTGGCTTGGTCGACAACTGGTAAGGCTGTTCTGGAAGATACTTTCAAATCCTGTGCTCTCGGCGAATGGGTACCACACACACCCGGAGCTGGGAAAACTAAAGCCTTGGGCATCGATGTTCTGGATGGGCAATTCCTTAGGCGTCCACAATTATGAAAGGAACTGGTTCGAATTCGTGAAGCAGGGAAGGATAACTGTCCACGTCGCCGACATAACGTCTCTAGCCGGTAACAAGGTACAACTCTCAAACGGCGAAGTTCTCCTTGCTGACACTTTCGTCTGTTGTACCGGCTGGAGAGTGGTTCCGCCGATCAAGTTCATGCCACCAAATACGGCGGCGCAATTGGGGCTCCCGGGCCAAGACACGGCCGGGATCAAGTATCTTGTCAAAAAAGCAGATGAGGAAATTTATAGAACCGTCCCGGAACTTCGATCAGGGCCCCTGAGGGTTCTGCCAGAGGCATCAGCCCCCGTCAGTGTTTCCGGCAAGACTTTGGCCCACAGACCGTACCGGCTGTACCGTTTCATGGTACCACCAGCAAAGGCATTTCTCGACCAACGTAACATAGCCTTCATCGGCGCTCATCTTGCTCTCAACGCCATCACGGTGGCACAAGCTCAGGCATTGTGGATAACAGCATTCTTCCAGCACGAGATCCCGAAGCTGAAACCTTCATCAATCCCGTATCAAGATATTGAGTATCAAACGATCCTGCAAAGCGAGTACTGTCGACTGAGACATCCTCCTGCTGGCGGAGGCGCAGGAGAAAGATGTCCGGATCTTGTCTTCGACGGGCTACTGTACACTGACTTGCTGCTGCAAGATATCGAGATAGAGAACTTTCGGAAGCGTGGTGTTTGGCAGGAGTTTTTTGATCGGTATTTGCCTAAAGATTATGCTGGAATGACAAGGTTGTTGATTGATCGGATGACGCATAACCAGCGATACACCGTACCTAAGTCAAGATGAGCCTGCTCTCGAAGGACTCCCACACGGTGCTCTGAAAACTCAGTATTCTCCGGCTCTTCTCCAACCCTGCGGTCCGTCACGCACATATTGAGATGCTGAGATGCACGGAACCGGCAAACAGGAGCTCATACGCGCATCTTGACATCGGGATATGATCATCTGCGTCGGCCTCGCCGTAAGTCGGCGCCATCAACGCACATCCAAGTTGTGCTCGAACAACGGGAGAATGATTTCTCCCATCTGTGATTCGGGGAGCATTCATTCCGCTGATGTCCGCTGATGTGCGCAAGTGGGAAGGAGCGGCACTTTGGAGGGCTTGAAGGGAGGAAGGGGAAGGTGGAGTAGAGAGGAATTGGCCCATGGCAAGGAGTGCCTTGATGCAAAGATGTAACACATGAGCAGACGTCCCACGGTCCTTGACTCAGGCAGACCCCAAATGAAGTGGTTGTCGTCAGCCTTATTTCGCTGCAATGCCAGCAGCCTCGGAGCCGCCTAATAACCCCGTGTAAGAGGCTGGGGTAAAGATCTGCCGCGTACGAGTTTGAACCACTCGGATAGAGTTTCGGCCCCTGTAAATGCTTGAGTACTACCGAGTACCTTTGTTTAGTTTTCTTCTGAGACCATATCTCTGGTTAGACATTCGGGCTCTACTAACGTCAGCCTGAAGCCCGATACTCGCCCCAGAGGCGGATTTAGGAGATACAATGAGCACTGGGACTGTTCATCTGTGACTAACTGTTGCCAGCATGGACACGATCATGGAATTAACACTTCAGCCATCGCAGAGTAAAGATGCGAAATTGTATATAAAGTCGTGTGCGTCTAAGCATTGAAGGCTGACAATTCGGCAAATAGCATTGAAAGATAAAAAGCAGGAGAAGAGAACAATGTTTGAGTCAAGCTGCCTTTGCGGTGCCAACCGATTGCGTTGGGAAGCTGAGCCCTTTTTGAGAGTATGTCTGCCACGCTTTTCCAGTTAGTTTAGGTATTGACCCTCGTTCAGATGCGTTGCTGGTGTGTCGATTGCAAGAAGTTCTCGGGGTCAACGAATACCAACAACATCCTGGTACCCCTCCAGGGGATGAGAGTGGTAAAGGGGAACCTTAAGACGTTCACTTTGGATGTCGATACTGGGAACCAGATGACCAGCTTCTTTTGCGACAACTGTGGGTCGACCTTGTACCGCAAGAGCAGCGGAGTCAGTGATGGCGTGGCCGTGATGATTGGTGGTGTGGATGGAGATGAGGTTCTACACGCCAGCAAACCTCAGGTGGAGATTTATACGAGTAATCGTCCGAAATGGGTCGCTCCCATTGAAGGGGCTGACCAGGAGGAAGGGATATGGCATCCAAGACCTGACCAGTTGCTTAAGCGTGGTTGAATTGTGAGCGGCGGGATCTGGGGTTGGTGAGAGCGAAACTGGAGAGACCTCATCTGTGAAAGTGATCAGGAGAGTGTTTAGCAATACATCTGATCCAAGTAGCTTGACCTGGCTGATAGAGCAGAAGGAGGAAAATTGAGAGGAGTTGCAGGCTGGGAGACCAAACACATGCATAGCTTTCCTCACATGGTACCCGGCACGTGACCAACGTTCTTTTGTGATGATCCTGTGACCACGAAATGCAGGAAGCACCTCCTCATTTCCATTTTCCAAAATCCTCTTGTTCTTTCCTCTAGGCTTCCAAACTTGATCTTTATCTATCTTTCACGATGCCCTCTGCCCGGACATGAAGATCTGCCGTTGCACACTGATGAGAAACTGGACGCAGGCATTTGCCATCTCGATGAAGCTTCCAGTGAGCTGTAGCACCCGGCTGTGTGATTCTAACCTTCAAAAGTCAAGATCATTCGATTGTCATCGCCCTTGCTTGCCTGCTTTTTCCTCGGTGAGCCTCCGAGCCACTTCCGACAGTCCATTGGTCACCGCAACCGCTGAATGTGCGTTCTTCAATCACCCTATTCCCGGCTGCTCCTTGCCTGCGCAAGCCGCGGAATTCCTGTGCGCAGGACCTCAAACTTTTACCGGAGCAGAGCGAAACTGTTACGTCGACTTTACGCTATGTGAGCGAAAATTGAGCAAGAGGAGAGACGACATATAGCAAGGTGCCAGTCAGGAGTTTTGATCGAGTAAAAATGGACATGCTATCGAGTAATGGACATTCCTTTGAAGAGCTGGCCGAGGCCGGCGAGCCGGATGTGGCTTAGAACATGCGCAAGGACCCTTATCACAAGCCACCACAAGGGCTTCCGAGTCCCGAATTCCGGCGCATGCAGTCCATCTCTTCATGGGGCAAAGCGCCCTTCCGCAAAGCTCCTGGTTCAGGCACATGTCTCCATTTCCCAACGATAACAGGGCGTACGTCAGCGACTCAGCGCCATCGATGCCCACCATCCCACCAAAATTCAACCTTCAAGTTCCCGCCAGACATCTCCTCTTATCGCTACTCGATATGATCGAGTAACAGATACCGCCCACGCCTCCAGCGTCGGCGCTGATGCCGAATTTTACCAATGGCAAGTCCCAGAACATCCCGGATTCTAGATGTTGGTCGGACTCCTCCGCATGTATCGCTTCACCTCTCCCTCTGTGATATCTTTGGGGATTCACAGCAGGACCTGTCTCCCGACAGTGACTGCGAGTGACCCGAGCTGAAGCGAAGAATGCCCGCGAGGGGCCGTTTGAAGGTGGTATGTCTCTGTTCTGTCTCTGTCCTTTGTTCTATCCACTTTAAATCTCGCCCAAATTCCGTGCTCAAAAAAGGTACCGAGTACTGAGGCGACGGTTGACTTGCGCCTTGCTTATCAACTCGTTCGATAAGAAGTCTGCTTCCCGGTTCACATGCTCAGCATCTCCAATCCACGCCAGCGTGTGCACACAAGCCCTGTGTTGTTGATATCGATCCATTGCAAGCGGTCGGTTCTCTGCCACCTACCTTAACAATGACTAGCTGGACCAGAGCCATCCATCCCTATCCGACACCTCCACGATCTCCCCCGAATGGCTTGTTGGAAGCCGCAGGCGAGTCTCCGATAACCGTCATCGCTTCGTCTCGAGCGGTCCGGTCTGGAAGACTTTCCGCGGCCACAATCGTCATATCCAATGCCACAGGCAAAATCACTGCGACCTTTGATTCGATCGTCCCTGCGTCCGATTTCCCTCCCAATACTCCATATACAGACTACTCACCGCATATACTCCTGCCAGGCTTGGTGGACGCCCATGTCCACCTCAACGAGCCAGGCCGAACAGAATGGGAGGGATTCTACACGGGGACGCAGGCCGCCGCGTTTGGCGGAGTTACGACAGTGGTGGACATGCCATTGAACGCTGTACCGCCCACGACCACAGTGGCAGGGCTGCAGGAAAAGATCAAAGCAGCACAAGGCCAATGCTGGGTTGACGTTGGCTTCTACGGAGGCATCGTCCCTGGCAATGAGCGAGAACTGAAGGCTCTAGTCAGAGAAGGAGTAAGGGGGTTCAAGGGATTCCTCATCGACAGCGGCGTCGAGGAGTTTCCTGCAGTCTCATCCACCGACATTCAAAAGGTCTTCGCTGAATTAGCAGATGAGCCTACGACTGTCATGTTCCATGCAGAGATGATACCGCCCATTGCAGACTCTGTCGGAGACGACGTCCAGATCTCACTTCCTCCTTTGCAGCCCCACGGGCCGCTGAATGCTTACAACACCTTCCTTGAGTCGAGACCGCCCTCCTTTGAGACCTACGCCATCGAAGAGATTCTCTCCTTGGCCCACCTTGCGCCGAACTTACCACTGCATATTGTCCACTTGTCAGCGATGGAAGGAATTCCGCTGTTGAGGAAGGCACGTGCGCAAGGTATCAATATCACAGCCGAAACATGTCCGCATTATTTGTCCCTGGCAGCCGAACAGGTTGTATTGGGTGACACTCGACACAAATGCTGCCCACCGATTCGGACTCAGTCGAATCAAGATAATCTCTGGGAAGAGTTGAAGCAGCATGCGCTTGAAGGCGTGATCAAGACGGTGGTCTCGGATCATTCTCCTTGTACACCTGATCTCAAGATCCTCCCTTCCCACATCCCGGGCCATATCTCTCAACCAAAAGATAGCGTCAGGTCATTACAATTAGAGACCGACCGAGGCGACTTTTTCTCCGCATGGGGAGGGATTTCATCTGTGGGGTTAGGGCTACCCATCCTGTGGACAGAAATGTCTCGCCGCGGCTTGATTGGGCCGGACAGCGCCATCACCGACGTGGTGACTTGGTGCTGCACCAATACTGCTTCACAAGTCGGTCTGGAAAAGCAGAAAGGTGATCTTGCCGCCGGATTTGATGCCGACATCTGTATATTTGACGATACAAAGGAGTGGATTGTTGAGCCTAGCACGATGCTGTTCCGGAACAAATGCTCCCCGTATCAAGGGAAAACCATGATCGGGCAGGTCAAAGAGACGTGGTTAAGGGGGAGACGGGTGTTCGTGAGGGATGGGTCTAACAACGGGTTTGTCGGCAAGGAATGCGAGGGGAAGTTGTTGCTGGAGCCAAGGATGAAAGAGTTGAAGAAGGTGAAGAGTTGGTTCCGCAGGTGGATTTATGATTTCGACGGATGAGCCCTCAAGACGGTCTTCAGAGAGATCCGGACATGATGAAGCTAGACATTCTTCAATCCAACACCATTTCAAGTTTTGACCTTCTCTTGGTCTCTCTGCCATTTCTCTCTTACACGCCTCCTCATCCCGCCATTGATTCCCCTTCCCCATATCTCTTCTTTCTCCATGATCGCATTCACATCGACAGAGACAGGTGTTCCCTTTGCATCCAAAGCTATTCCTCCTGGTGCTTTGCCAGTATACTCTCCCAGCACAATTTTTCTCTCGTGCTTCTTTCTCTCCTTGGCCCTACTCATCTTGACTTTCCGCAAATACGCAGCGTATACACCGACTTCAGCAACTCCCACCACAATCCCGGTGGCTAGTGAGCCGAGTACTCGTAGCCCGTCGTTGGCCCACCACCGCGTCAAGTAAAATATTGCTGCTGCGCAGAGGATTATGCTGAGAAAAATGTTGAGGACAAGTGAAGGGGAAATATCGTCGTCTTCATCATCTTCGCCGAGCTGGATGGAGCTCGAGAGAGAATTGGGCAAGAGAGAAGCGTATTCCCGCTGTTCTTGTTCCCTACGCAGCTTTTCCATGAGAGCGACGTATTCTAGTGACGGCTGAGGTTTTGGCGGTGGCGGCGGGATATAGATGCGGGTTCCCCAGAGGAGGCTGTTGAGGGTCATGGTTTTGGTGAGGCGGGACATTGCGATCAGGGTTGAATGCTCAATTGGTTGGCCGCATGTTGTGGGTAGGTCTGCGGCGGCCAGGGACGAGCGATCATCGGAAGAAAGGGAGGAGATGGCCGAGAGGATGCGAGGTGTCGTTGTAAGGAGGACCATGCTGTCGTGTCTCTTGGGTTACCCTCGTGTATCATACGAGGAACAGGCGGGTCTCAGAGTTCTATGCGGAGTGATGATGGAACTGTCATGAACAAGGCAGCCCTAAATAGTCTGTTAGCTAGCGAGGTCCCCCGCTGGCCCCAGGCGCGCCAGCGCGTAGCTAGTGCTCAAGTTAACCTGTTCCGTGGGGGAAATTCTCTCACTCGCGAGTCGCTATTCACCTTCCAATCCTCCACTCCACAGCTGTTCGGCGATCCGATGTGGCAGCCCGTCAACTTCAAGTCCTCATTTAACGCGCATCTCAATCTTCCCTCACCCGGCGTGGCATCTGTCGGCCGTGAATATTCTCAGAATATGAAGCACTCATTCACATGGTGCTATTATTATGGGTCAGAGTCAAAGTCATGAGTCCGGGTCTTCCTCACTTCACACCCCAGCAGAACCTGATGACCGTAAGTGAAATCCTGTTGACTTATACCGTTGTCGCATTTCAGGCAGAGCGATTGATCGCGCATTCAGAAGAATTTGACATCTCACAAATCCCCGACGACCGAGACGAAACTTCCGGCCCCAAATCCGATGCTGAGCCTGATCGCGATCAGGCGCCTGCTCCCGATGAATCCGCAGACATGCGACAACGTTCTGGTCGCAGATACGCGAGCCAACCCGCGGTGGTGAAACAGAAGACAAATGCGCCACGTAGAGAATCCAAGAAACGCAATCGCAGACGGCGGCGGTCCTCGAACTACACCAGCAATGACGCAGCCAGTGAAGTCTCCAAACGAAAATCTCCTCCTTTCAACCAATATACAAACACAAGCTCAAACTATCGACCGTTGAAAGATACAGAACCAGAGACCTATCACATATATGCGACGTCGGATACGAGTGATGCAGAAGGCGCAGAAGGCCCTGTGCGGAATGGTGGGATTAGTCCATTTTCTGCAGTAGATGGAGCAAGTCGGAAGAACACTGCTCCAGTGTCTGGCGTGGGCGTCGAGAGGCTGCAGGACGACAATCTAGTTCTTGAGCAGGCTGAAGCTCCCCACGAAGACCCCGCACCTGAAATACCTGTCGCAACAGAGACGAAGTCGACAAATGGAGGGACTTGCAGTCCGGTAGCTTCACAGCTACGACAGCCCGAGAACAACGACGAAGACCGGTTTCTATGCCCTTTCGCGGACGTTCACAAATGCAAATTAACTTTTGCGACGAGAAAGTCAGCCATGAGACATTCGAACGTTCACACAACGAGCTTTGTTTGTGTCGTCTGCAAGAAACAGATGAGCCGCAACGATACGTTAGTCAAGCATATGAAGCTGCACAGTGCATTGCAGATCGCGTCCGCGGAAGCTTCCTCAACCCCCATTGAAGACGCACAGCCTGAGGAGCCCGAACAACTCCAACCTCCGCAGCCGAACGTTGGGGCGCACGCCGAGGGCAAGGCAGGAGCGCCGCCAGGAGAGCCCCCGGAAGAATACTCAATAGAAATTACGACTCCAGGAGAGGAGTCGGAGCCTCAGGAGCACGGTCACCACACCGAAGTCGAAACTCGGTCAGAGGGACAGGAAGGGCCGAAGGCCGAGATGAGCGAAGCTACGCCTGATGTCGACTTAGCCGAAGAAGTTTCCGACCAACAGTCAATTTCCCCGTCTAGCCTCTTCGACGAAGCAGCAGGTATCATTGTGAAGGAGACCCCAATGCCCAACGCGGACCTCAAACGCAAACGGAGCTCTGAAGACAGCACTGGACCCCCACGGCCTAGATTGGAAAGAGCTCGAAAACGCAGAAAGGGGTCGCCCAGCTCTCCGCCTACATCTGACCCGCCTGATGAAATGACAATGCCAGATTCTACGAATATGTTAATCCCAACGGACGTACTTCACAGTCGGCAGATGACACACAAGATTGTACCACGACTCCAGAAAAGGCAGGCTAGTATGGACGGCTGGGCCCAGAAATATATACCAGGTTCGGGCCTCAGGCACCCGACTCTGAATCCGGAAGCACCGCCGGCCTCGCGTCCCGCCGCGCAACAGATTGAAGTGGTCATTTCACGATCCAGTCAAGCTGGTCCTTCTAGCATCAAGCCGAAGAAGAAGAAGAAGAAGATCGCGCTGGCACACAGAGTAATGGGTACCGATCATGAAGGATCTGAAGCGAATGCCTTTGAAGGGCTCGGCCAAAAGAAACGTAGAAAAGCTACTTACGCAACACCAAAGGGCAAAAAGCGAGCAGAGGCCGGTGTAGACTACTCGACTCCAACAAAAGATCCGACTAACGGCGAAGTTGATTTATTTGACGCCGTTGGCGACATTGAACCCGTCGACATCGCAACGTCTATTGCCAAAAGGACATTCCCTGCTCGAAGAGGACAAAAACGAGGCGACGGTCAAGAAGACGATGACTCCGATTTCGATGCGGGTCAAAACACCGAGTCCGAGGACGAAGTGACCGGAGCAGAACCAGCTAACAAAGCCACCAAGGTCACTAAAGCTCTGAAGATCAAGGGATCTGGCAATGGAGATTCGTTCGAGTGCGGCAGGTGTCACCGAAGATTTGCAAATCGGGGTTCACTCAACAATCACTTGAGGAAACCTTCCGCGCATGTGGGTCTGCTCAGGTGCCAGAGGTGTTCTGAGGAATTCTGGGCGAGTACTGCGCTGGCCGAACATGAGAAGGACACGGGCCACGGGAAGGGCAACGGCTCACAAGGACGCATTGGCCCCTTCAGTCAAACCGAGGTCGACAAACTGAACAGGTGGAGAGATCAATTTTGCGAGAAACACAATATCAGCCGGGTCCAGTTCAACGATATGATGACTGACACTATGGTACGAGAAAAAGGAAGCAGTTGGATCTGGCCCTTCATCGGGCGAACAGCGTTTCTCAAAGAGTATGTCGATGTACTCCCAAATCGAAACAAAAGGTCGCTGCTTCGCTATCGTGAGCGAAACTTTCAAAATGTGGAGGGGTCGAAGAATTGGACGGCCGAAGATGACAAGGAACTGATTCGATTACACAAAGAACTGGGACCGAAGTGGGCTGAGATCGCAAGGAGGCTAACAAGGACAGTGGATGCAGTCAGTCAAAGGTGGGGGCATAAATTACGGTACGGTGAAGTCGACACTGGTGAATGGTCGAGAGCAGAGGATGACAGGTTTCGCAAGATTTTGGAGGAGCTACAGCACGATTCGGAGGAGAACAAGCTGCAGGATTACCGCATTCCGTGGAATAAGGTCAGTGAGAAAATGGGCACACGGTCTGCGCAACAGTGCTCAAATCATTACCGCGCTCGACATGCAAAAAAGGCACGAGGGACGTGGATTAAAATGGATAACCTGGAGCGGACCTCTGCTTCGAGTAAGGTTTTGCCGCCTTCGAAGATGGAGTTGAGGTTAAGCGGACAGAAATTGAGAACAGGATATTCGAAGAAAGGCCTGTCGGAGGAGTATGTTCTCGACGAGGACGAGGGTAGTGATGAAGGCCGAGACAGGGGCCAGAGAGATCGCAACGCTACCGAGAACGACAAGTCAGCTGAGGATATTCCAGACGAGGATCATGATGATGGCAAGGGTGAAGGCCAGAGAGATCGCAAAGCCACCGAGAACGACAAGTCGGCAGAGCATAGTCCAAACGAGGACACTGGCACCGATCACGAATCTGACTCTGAAGCAGATGTCGAGGTTGAGAGTCAATCGCGCTCGTCCGCCCAAGGTGCATACGAGGCCGACAGCGTTGCTCACACACGGATTCCAGACATCGCAAAAACGCCTGGTAAAACTCTACGTTCGAGCCAATTGTTCGAGCAGACCCAGGCCAACACTTCAGCACTAAAGCCCTCGCAAACAAGCAGTAGGAAGGCAAGACTCCAGGAAAGCCAAGAACGACCGTCGCCGAACATTCCCATCCAGCAACGGCGACTGGAGTCGAAGTCTCCTTTGCAGGAGATTCCGGTGCTGGAGAATGGTGAACTGAGTCTCGAGGAGGTTGAGGAGGAGGATGAAGAGAACGAGAGCAAGAGCGGAGTGAGCGACGCCGAAGAATCCAAAGACTCGGATGCGGCTCAGCAGACAGATGAGGAGCAAGAGACTACCCTCGAGGACGCTACTGATGAAGGCGAAGATGGGCCGGCAGGGCAGCTTGTCGACGATGAGGCGACAGAAACCGAATATAATGATGATGACGATGATCATGGAACTGTAGATACGGGTGAGGATCTGGATGAGGACGACGAAGGAGACACTGATGATAACGCTGACGAAGGAGCACTCGGGGAAGATGGAGAAGATGAAGATGAAGATGAAGTCGTATCCGGTGGGAACACATCAAGTTTCATGGACAGTATCAACGAGTCTGCGAAACGGTCGCGGATACGCAGCAGTCAGAGGCGACTAGTTACTGGTCCAAGGCATCGGGATCCCAAGGAGCGAAAACTGGACGACTTGGACCAGGACGGTAGCGACGAGGAATGAGGGCGAAAGGATAGACCAATGAAGTGATATTGCAGAGCAAGTTGGCCTCGATGCCTTCCCTGTGCGCAGCCTACTCGTTCATTTGAGTGCCCTGAAGCAGAATTTAAATTCGACACAAGCCCCCCCGGGTTAGATTCAGCAGCGAATCCCCATCCGTAGACCGGAAGCCATGTTCAGGTATTTCACGGATTGTCGGGTGGAAATTCAGCACCTGCAAGCAAACCGGAATCGTAGGCACAGAAAGATTACCGTAATTAGAGAAGAAGACGAGGGCGGAGGCAGAAGCAGAAGCGCAAGCGAAAGGAAAGGGAGTGATTGCAGCAGCAGGCGCCCTCGCTCTCGCCTCTCCCATGTCGCCTCTGGTATAGTTAGCTGATACTACTCGGCACCACCACCACCGCCGCCGCCGCTGGCGCCGGTGCCGGTGCATTGTGCTTGCTCCAACTGCAATGTCAAGCGGTACTTCCTCCGGCGCTGGCGCCTCGCGCCGAACGGCCTGAGGAGGATCGCGGTGCCTGCCGCCATGGTGAACCGCGTCTCTTTGTTCACAGGTTGGTGCAAGACCGTCTGCCAGACACAGCGTAGCAAGGCGGAATTCGTGGCTCGCTCGTCGGCGGATGCTGAAGACGTGAGTGTCCGTCCCGGTTGTGGTGCCGCCTTTCGTCCCAATGGCGTAGTACTCTGTTGTCCCGTTCCCGGTCTTGTCCTTGTCTGGCGGGAACGCGGTCCAGGTGACGAAGTCGAGATCTTTCTTGACGTCGTCGAGGTGGTGCTGGATCGCTCGTGCCGCTGCAATCGCCATATCGATGTCTAACCCTGAGAGAGGGTTGCCGCCCCTTGGAAGCTGCTCCTGCTGTTGTTGCGCCGTGTACAATGAGCTTGGATCCCTCAACGTGAGCAGCTTCATGAGGACCGTCGAGCCGGCGTCTTTCACCGGTATGTGGAAAACCTTGCAGAGGCGCGACAGGATCGGCTCCGTCACCAACGGCAGGATCGCGTCGCGGCAGATCCGGAGCAGTAAGGCCGGAACGATTGCGATATGACGCGGGATGTCGGTTGCAGACGGGCTAGACATGTCCGTCGCAAACTTCGCGGCCTCCTCGATGCGCTCTGCAAGAGGAGCGGTTTCCTTCACGTGACCGACATGGTAGCAGCTGAAGCTGACCGTCGACTTTGAGACTTCTGGCTGGCCGTAAAAGGTGGCGTGCAAATCGAGCTGGTTCTCGATGTACGGCAGCAGTGGGCCGTCTAACACAAGACGGTTTGCGTGCCCCGGAAGGCTTGGGGGGATCGCGCACAGCCAAGAGAACCTGCCTTCGACCGTCAGGGCCACCAGGATGTTTTGCAGCGCTTCGTGTTCTGTGTGAGTAATTTGGTACTGTACGGATTTCAGCCGAAGCACTCCACACAGCGCGTAGTATTTGTCGCAAGGCAACGTGGCATCAAGAGAGGTGGCCAGTTGGAGGACGTTGGATGGACAGAGAGTGTAGTTGAAATAATACGCCCTCAGGCGAAAGATCCGTCGACACCAGCTCGCCAGCTCCCCCAACCACTCTTTGTCCGAGTGCGCGCGGAAGAGGAGGGAGGCGATGGTGCCCAGATCTGACAGCTTGATCTCGCCGCCACCACCATCGTTGAGAATGTACTCCTTGCTGAGGAGGATTTCCTGGAAAATCCACGCTCGTTTTCGCCACGCACCGGCGAAGATTGACCGAAGACTTGACAAACAGCTCTCCTCCAGCTCTTCGGTCATCGTGACTGAGGCACAGCTTTGGGTTAGGATGCAGGAGTGGTTGTCGTCGTCAATGTCGCAGCCAAGGAGCGACTCGGCCTTCTGCAGAGGAGCAATGTCGACGCCTCTGAGTAGGAGGACCGTACACCTTGCTTCGGAGTATATCTCGTTCATTCGTGGCACCCAGTAGCTCTTGTCAGCCGCTGAGTCCTGGTCGATGCACTTGCAATCAAGCCAGCAACGTGTAGCATGGCCACTGCAGATCTTCATGAACGTGCTTGCGCCTGGGCCAACGACCGTCAGAAGTCTTTGGCGCAACTCAGGCCAATGGCGAAGATGGTGACCGGCGTCCGGGTCATCGGTCCAATCGCTCCAGACGTATGAAATTGCCACATGCTGTGCTCTTCCAACCTTGTGATGAAAGAGTTCGGTTTGAGGGTCGATCAGGGAAAACCCGGATCGCTTTGAGGCGATGATGCTCCGGGGCAATGTGGTCGTCATACCCGCAAGTCAATGATGATGTCAGTCGGCGATGAGGCATCCTCTAACAGATGGATATAGCCAGCTTCTGACCACGTCTCAATAGGCTTCACGGTGTTGTAAACCCGCTGCGAGGCTGGCGTCCCTGTACGAGCTTCGAGACGTTTTCTCTTGCCATTCTCTGACCGATTCCGACTGTGTGTAATAGTATTTCTTGCCAGGAGGGAAAAGCCATATGCACGAGCAGAAAATGCGTTCAGAGGTTGGTTGCTGACAGAAAATATACAGTTCAAAAGCTCGAAAGCAGTATCTCATAGACGCCCCGCCTTGCAATCTTCTGGCTAGGTGGGCCATCCAGCCTTGCTGAGTAACCGAGGAGATAGCTAATCAACGATAGTCTGCTCATGTGGGCCCCAGGCTAGCTCAGCCTTGCGAGGCAGTCGGATGATTCCCGGCCAAGTCAAAAGTCAACCCATCTCCCTATTTGTACTTGTAGGTTCAACATGGCCCTCCGCATGATTCCGCCTACGTCTGGTAATATGGACTCGAACCACGTTGAGTTTGCCATACTCGGAGTCCCTCGGTCCCTCGCTGTATGGGGAAGAAAGAGGTGGAAAGCCCTTGTTGATATATTATATCACACCACTACGTCAAACCTGCCCGGGCCCAGTTTTCCGACTTGCAGAGTATATATATATATATATAAATCACCTGAGGAGAATCATTCGTGAAGTACTTATAGACACAGAAGGGGATTATTAAAGCCCGCTGAAATCCTAGCGAGAACTAACTTCACCTCTGCTCCCCTCAACATCTCATATCAACTCACTTCTCCATCAACCTGGCTCGTCAAACAAACGACTCCATCCTAGGTCGCCTCTGCCATTCCCTCCCTTTCACGCGTCTTGATCGCAGTCTCGACATGTCTAGCACATCCACACTGGCCCAAGTCATGCGGCGTGCCGCAAAGGCACTACCACCAATCAACTCGACCAGTTTCGGCGAATCTTTCGACTGGCTAGGCCAATCGAAGGTGGTCCTCCTGGGCGACGGTAGCCATGGCACATCAGAATTCTATGCTGCTCGCGCAGAAATCACTAAGCGACTCATCAAGGAGCATGGATTCAAGTGTGTGGCGCTCGAGGCGGATTGGCCTGACGCAGAGGCAATTGATGCTTACGTGCGACGGTGGCCAGGCCAGCATCCTGATCCGGTGCAGGCAGCCAGGGATAAGGAAGCCCCTTTTCAACGGTTCCCAACGTGGATGTGGAGAAATCGCGAAATGCAGGATTTGGTTCATTGGATGAGGGACTATAACGAAGGTTTACCTGCGAAAGACAAGGCTGGCGTGTATGGATTGGATTTATACTCGATGGGATCGAGCATGAGTGCTGTCATTCGGTACCTACAGAACATCGATCCGGAAATGGCTAAAGAGGCCAAAGAACGATATGCTGGACTGCAACGTTGGGTAAACAGGGAACACCAATACGGACGCAAGATGCTCCAGAGCAAATACATGGAGAACTTGAAGTCTTGTGAGGAAGATGTCATCAAAATGCTCCTGGGATTGCTGCGCAAAAGGTTGGATTACTCGGCCAAAACCAACGACGGCGAAAGGTTCCACAGTGCGGAGCAGAATGCTGCGTTGGTCGTGGATGCAGAGGAGTACTATCGCAAGATGTACTACAGCGATGTGGTCAGCTGGAATCTGAGGGATATGCATATGTTCGACTCGTTGAAGCGCTTGCTTGAGTTCCGGAAATCCAAGGCCGTAGTATGGGCTCACAATAGCCATCTCGGAGACGCGCGATTTACCGACATGGGTACGCAGCGGGAAGAACTCAATCTTGGCCAACTCTGCCGCGAAAATCTGTCCGACGTGGTCCTCGTGGGCTGTGGGACACATGACGGCACAGTAGCTGCCGCACACGAGTGGGATGGTGATATGCAAGTTATGAAGGTCAACCCGTCGCGGGACGACAGCTGGGAGTATGTGGCCCACAGCACCAACATACCGAGATTTCTGCTTGATATGCGCAAAGAACACTGCGACGAAGATACTCGCAGAGCCCTCTCTGCTAATCGGCTTGAACGATTCATCGGTGTGATCTACCGACCAAAGACTGAGTTATGGAGCCATTACAGCGGGTCCAGGTTGTCCAAGCAGTTTGACGCATACGTTTTTTTCGATAGGACGCAGGCGGTCGGGGCCTTGGAAACAACACAGCCTGAGACACCCTTGTTGGAGGCGGAAACTTATCCGTTTGGTTTGTGATTGTTGATAACAAGGGCAAAAAAAGGCCGTGCGAGGTGTCTTTCCCGCGGAATTTGATGTTTTTATTTGTGAAGGATGGGCTCGTGGTTTGAATAGGCAATAGGCACAGTCATAGTTTCCGACGTGATCAAGGCAGATGAGTAATTTTGACGGATTTTCCCAAACCTGGGCCGACTGTACTCCGTGGCCTTAGAAGGCTTAAACACTAAATTGGTGTGGACGTGAAAGTCGTAGCTTTCGTATGGTCAACCCCATTTAGAAGTCAGCGTGGTCCGAATCACCCTGTCCTGCCCCAAACTGAATCAGGGTGCTCGCGATCCTGTAACCGACTGAGTGGCTCAATCAGACCAAGCAACCCTGGATGTAGTCTCCTCCAGTCAATGGCCAACATTCTCTTTGCGCGGGCCTCAAGAACGGGTACCATGGCCTTTCTCATGGCCTCACTGGCAGGATTGACGCCGTTCTGTAAGGCATGTTTCGCATAGTTGATGAAAGTTGGAGAGGCGCATCTGACACAATACTCGTAGATGTCGTCGGCAGAGAGTGTATTGAATCCGCCTTCACGCATGATAAGGACTGTGTCAGCAAGGATTGAACGATAGTGGTCTCGGCACCGACGGTCAAAAAACCGAGCTGCCGGCTCTGTCCAAGCATAGGGGATCCAGGGGATGAGCTTGCATAGAGGTTCATCGACAACAACATAGTGCCATCTCAACAACCGCCTTCTGGAAAGAGTATGCAATTCCTTGCCCTGCTCGGTAATAGTCAAGTGGGAGTTGTCGGTCACCTTCTCCAACTTGTCGTTTCGATTGTGAGCAAAGCATTCGTAGCGATGGCACAAAGCCTTGAGTTGTCTACTTCGGTCTGACGGCCGTTCGCAGGTAGAAGGAACCCTTGCGGCAATTATAGGAGTCCAGGAACGAAATAGCCAGAAAACCAAGGCAAAGCCTGGCAGACGAGCAAAATCCGATCCGTGGCGGAGTAGGAGCTGGAACTCACGACGCGAGATTTGCGGAATCGAAATGGATTTGCCCTGAACAGTGAGGCTGGAACCGCCGTAGATAGCAGCCAAAGCTGATGAGGCACCCGCTGGAGCGAGGCGCTTACGCAGCATAGTGCATTCCTCGACGTTTTCCCAAATCTGAGCTATGCCTTGTTTATAGAAATGTTTCAGGGCGGCCGCTCTCCGCCATCGATATCTGAGCCGCTGGAGCAAGGTGATGCGGCCATTCTTTTTGGGCTGAGGAGGGGGGACGAATGGCAGAGGAGGTGGTCGGAGGGACGACAAGTCGTGAGGAGCGCCAGATCCATTCGAGGTGAGAGACTTGATTCGGAGGACGTCGGGATAGATAGGCGTGTCAGTAAAGAAGGCAGGATACAGCTGTTCGAGCCAGGATTTGGGCGTAGAGTGACCCCGCGGTTGCCGCGTAGTAGAAATGGACGAAGTAGTGGAAGAGCTGAAGAAGCTGGAGGTTGAGACCGAAAGTGAGCGGCAGAAGACTCTGCGGAGGGATCGAGCACCGGTCGCGCTGTGGTTGAGAGAAGACAGGAGGCTCATTGACATGCAGAGGACGCTCTGCTAGGAGATTGTCGTGGGTGAAAGGGAGTAGGTATGGAGCAGGGGAGGTTGGATGAGGTTGTGTCCAGGTACGAGTACTCAGTACCCATTGCAATGTGAGGTGGATGTGAGGTGGATGGAGGTGGAGACACGACACAACACACGCGCAGCGCAGTTTCCCCATATTATTACCGACCTCGCCGAGTACTCGGTACAAGAACGCACACGCTGGCCTCCTTCACCACCGCCTTGTAGCCGAGTCATTCACCCAGTTGCTTCTTGCTCCTTGCCTTCCACCGCATGAAACTCTCTTGAGCTGGCTTGCCCACCACCGCTCCTATAGCCTTGAGCCATCTTATGTCTCTCAAGATGCACCACTGAGCAAGGCACTCTCATATTGACACTCCTTTCCACACAGCCTCGTCAGAATGCGGGCATCCAATGTACCTTGGAGATGGCTTCTTCTCCCTCTTTTGTCTTTGGATTCGCTCATGCTCCCTACACAAGCCTCTCCTTCCGTCAATGTCGCCCTACAGACCTCCTTCTCCGCCGGCCCTTACCTCGTCGAGTTGCTGTATATCCATCCTCCCTACCCCTCTTTCGCCAGAGGTGCTAACTTACAATCAGAGAAACGGCCGCCCTTGAGAACTCCTCCTCCTACTTTCCTCTTCTCGATCGCATTGCCGATGGTGCCTTTGCGGATTTGCAAACCGAACAAGAGCTGTATACTAGATTTCTCGACATCTTACAAAATGATGGCCACCTGTCCAGTCCCGAGTCTCTTTCCTCCTTCAAATTCGCCCTCGCCCTTCACGCTGCGGCCCCGAGGGTTGAAGCTCATTTCCAGTACTACAACACTTCCGTCCAACCGCATCTGATGGCCGCGCAAGATGCCGCCTGCCCAGTCTGGGTTTATTTGGACGGCCAGCAATTCTGCTCCCCTGCTCTGGACCGTGCTCAGCAGGCAGTCTCCATTCCAGACAATGCTGATGATCTCCCATTTGATCGGGTCCTCGGTGCCTCCTCTGATGGACCTCCATCCATCCTTTATGCAGACATCACGCATCCCTTGTTCGGTCAGTTCCACAGTGTCGTCAGTCAGACCGCTCGCCAGGGGAAATCCACCTACAGAGTCCGTTACAGACCTTCAGGGTTAGTCTCAAGCAGGCCCATCCACGTTGCAGGCTATGGTGTGGAGCTCGTTCTCAAGCGAACCGACTACATCGTTATTGACGACCGTGATGCCCAAAAGTTGGAAGATACCACGCCGGACCAACTGTCGCTGGACAACGTCCAGGATGGTGAACTCAACGATCTGAAGCCCCTGACCACCTCAGAAGTCGCCAATCTTGGCGTCAATGCTGCCAGCTTCATCGTCTCAAGCTCAAGCCCTCTAGATACTCTCATGCAAGTCACATCGGATTTTCCCAGGTATTCGTCGCTCCTCGCGGCGGCAAATGCCAGCAGAGAGTTCATTCTAGAACACAGAGCAAATCGAGAGCGGTTTCTACCCTCAGGATACAACGTCCTTTGGATCAACGGCGTCCAAATCGAGCCACGCCAGATCAATGCCTATTCGCTCCTCGACCATCTGCGAAGAGAAAGGCGCATTATCGCTGAGCTCAAGGATCTAGGACTGACATCGTCAGAAGCCATCAGCCTCCTTTCCAGTGAGATAATCGCCGAAGCACAAGCCCACGAAACACCTCAGCGGTTCGATTGGCGCGACGATCCTGAGACCGACAAGGTCTTGATGTGGCTGAACGATCTAGAGCAAGATAAGCGTTACGCCGGATGGCCGTCGTCCTTGCGGTCTCTGTTTCAAAGGACATATCCTGGACAGCTCCCCCAAGTAGCCCGTGATATTCATAACCTCGTCGTGCCAATAGACATGAGCAACATCAAGGATATTGAACTGGCTGCCACATCGTTACAGAGTCTGGTCAGGCGACAGGTTCCCATCAGAGTTGCTCTTATCCCCACCGGGGAAGGAGAGACCGCGGACGCTTATTCAAAGGTGGCGTATCATATTTTTGATACATATGGTTTGGCCGCTCTGATGAACTTCTTTGCCGATGTTGTAGCATCCAAAAAGTTGGAGGTAAGCCCGGAGAAAAGCTTCAATGCCGCAATAAAGGGTCGGGCCACCAGACAAGGAAACGAGCCACTATCGTTTCAAGATGTTCTAACCGCTGAAAGCCTGGATCTACGACTGCGGTCTCGAGACGAATACATCAAGCGCTTAGCGCTGGCAGGGCCAAATCCTCCTTTCCTTGTGAACGGGGTGGTCCTACCAAGGGCGGATAATTGGCTTGAGCTTTTGAGTGCGCGGTTGTACTCGGATCTCCAGTTGGTACAGCAAGCAGTATTTCAAGAAGCAATCTTGGAAGATACCTGGGTTCCCGAGTTCTTCCTCGTCCAGGCCGTCAAGCGGCGCAATGAGATGGTCTTCCCTGATGACCCCAAAGATGCCAAGATCGTCGATGTGGGCCACCTAGCCAGTGAGTTCGCTGATGGCTTTGCTCGCGTTCCTCGTGTGCCTGGGGCAGAGGCGACGTTGTTGAGCGACCGTGCTCATCTTCTTGTCGTCGTTAATCTTGAATCCGACCCCGGCCGGTCCTTGCTTTCGGAAGCGCTGTTGTTTCATCAGCGGAATCCTGAAGTAGAGCTCCTGATCGTTCACAATCCTGGTTCTGAATCGCAGACCTCCACATTTGCCCGCGGTCTATACGTGCTATTGCAAGAGGACGGGCGTGACTTAACTGTTGCACGGCTGGAGCAATTGCTCAGAGGCGATCTGAGTCCTTCAGCGGATGATTTGGCCGATCCATCAGCCGAGTTCTGGGGTTCTCAGGCAGATTTAGTCCGGACGTTATCGTTTTCGGAGGGTCAAAATGGACTATGGCTCAATGGTCGTCTCCTGGGTCCCCTCGAACAGCCTTTCACCTGTGTCGACTTTGAGTCCTTGCTGGAATTCGAACGGAGAGACAGGATAGCACCAGTTACAACTGCCATCACCGGACTTGCGCTGGAAGACCGATTCGCTGGTGCCCTCGATCTCGCAAAGGTTACCTCCCTTGTTGCTCGATCTTTGAAGTCTGACCTCCCGGAAGGTTTGAGGGAATCGGCACCCTTGATCAGGATGGAGCGATTCAGAATCTGGAACGGCACTCATACATGCATCAAGATGTCGAACTCGGATGACATCACTATTCAGATCGTGGCCGCAGTTGACCCGGCCTCTGAGCTTGTACAGCAGTGGGTGCCGATTTTGAAGAGTTTGTCGCAGCTTAGCGGAGTGAGCGTGCAGATCTTCTTAAACCCGAAAGACAGATTGACGGAGCTACCTGTCAAACGATTTTTCAGGCAAGTCATCAGTGCAGAGCCCAGTTTCGACACATATGGTTCGCTAGTGGTTCCAAATGCATCATTTAGCGGCATTCCCAAGGATACACTCTTCAATCTTGGAATGATCGTCCCTCCGTCATGGTTGGTGGCACCTAAGCAATCCATTCATGATTTAGACAACATCAGGCTTAACAACCTAGCCGAGGGTGAGAATATCGACGCCATCTACGAGCTTGAGCACATTCTCATCGAAGGTCATGCAAGGGACGTGACTAACGGTCCAGCACCTCGTGGTGTGCAGCTCCTGCTGGGTACTGAGGAAGAGCCACATTATACGGATACCATTATCATGGCCAATCTGGGATACTTTCAATTCAAAGCCAACCCTGGATACTGGCAAATATCATTAAAGCCGGGAAGGTCTTCAAAGATCTTCAACATTGACAGCGTTGGGCCCCATGGCTACTCTGCTCAACCGGGCGATGAGACAACATCGATCGCTTTGCTGTCATTTCAAGGGCTGACTTTATTCCCTCGACTCTCTCGAAAGCCTGGTATGGAGGATGAAGATGTACTACAATCCTCCGGCTTTGGAGGGGCCATGGACTACCTTAGCAAGGGAGCGTCTTTCGCATCTTCGGCGCTTTCCTCGTTGGGCTTCAAGAAAACCTCAACAAACGCCGACATTAATATCTTCTCAGTTGCTTCGGGTCACCTTTACGAAAGGATGTTGAATATCATGATGGTATCGGTAATGAAACACACCAAACATAGCGTGAAGTTCTGGTTCATTGAACAATTCCTATCACCATCATTTAAGAGCACCTTGCCTGTCCTTGCGAGGAACTACGGCTTTGACTATGAGATGGTCACATATAAATGGCCTCATTGGCTCCGAGGACAAAAAGAGAAACAGCGGGAAATTTGGGGCTACAAGATCTTGTTCTTGGACGTGCTTTTCCCGCTGGATTTGGACAAAGTCATCTTCGTGGATGCCGACCAAATCGTCCGCACCGACATGATGGAGTTAAACAAGGTGGACCTGAAAGGAGCTCCCTACGGGTTCACACCCATGTGCGACTCCCGCACAGATATGGAGGGCTTCCGCTTTTGGAAACAAGGATACTGGGAGACCTATCTTCGGGGTAAACCCTACCACATATCCGCTCTCTATGTCGTCGACCTCAAGAGATTCCGGCAACTTGCTGCAGGCGATCGTCTCAGACAACAGTACCAAGCGCTCTCCGCCGACCCTGCCAGTCTCTCAAATCTTGACCAGGATCTGCCAAATCACATGCAACACACTCTGCCCATCCACAGTCTACCTCAGGAATGGTTGTGGTGTGAGACATGGTGCGACGATGCAAGTCTTGCCAGGGCCAAGACGATTGATTTGTGTAATAATCCGCTCACCAAGGAGCCAAAGTTGGACAGGGCGAGGAGGCAGGTTCCCGAATGGACTCTTTACGATGAGGAGATTGCTGGAGTCATTCAGGCGGCGAAGGAGAAGCAGGAATCCATGGTCATACACGATGAGGATCTGGACAAGGCTGGCGGTGACGAGAGCCAGAAGAGGATTAGAGATGAGTTATGATGTTGTATCTATCTTGCTTCGAAATGGGGAAAAAAAGTTGTGGATACTAGACTTATAGAACTGTACAATACAATGAAAAGACATGGAAAGGCTATTTGTGAATCAATTTAATTGTAAAGAGATGATAAAGACTTGTCAGAACAGGCCGTCTCACATACAGCGAGGGTCTGCTGCTGGATTATGGGAACCCCTCACCCACGAGAATTCTCTCAAGGCAGCGAGTTCTAGTCCTAACAGAGAGCGAAACAGATCGTCGAAGCAAAGCGGGAGAAATCCCGTTGAGGTCCAAGTCGATTCGTCTTCTCTACACACTGTGCATGTATTTGAATGTGCATGTATTTCATATGCTGTGTGCTATATATATACCAGCTTCACTTTCACTTTCACTTTCACTGTCCTTTTTTTTTTTTTTTTGTTGACGGCCGTCTTTATCTTTGTCCCCGTCCCTTTCACCGGCCTCGGGATCCAAGTTCAAGTCCATTATGGGGATGCCGATGCCGATGCCGAAGAGGGAGGGGTCCTTCGGATGGGATGGGGGACGGGGTTGATGAATTTAATCATCCATGCCCACGCTCGCTCACCCGCCCTTTCTCGCGCCCTCCCTAAAAGTCGGCTGCGAGAACGGGAAGGTTACTTACTCCCTGATCCGCGCTGCGACTCGGTTGGTCATGTACTTCCCAATATTACCGATGAACAGGCACGCAATGATGGCGCAGCCGCCGAACGAAATGCTCGTCAGCCACACGTACTTGAGCGACTCGGCATATGCCCACCGGGACCCGATGGTGCCGGCCTCGATGATTTTGGCAGTGACGCCGGGGACGCTCGTGAGGTTGGTGGGCGCGGTCAAGTACGTCTCGACAAACTCGGTGGCAGATGAAAGTGGGAGCCCCGCAGCGACGGCGTATTGGCCGATATACTTGGGGAGGTTGGGCGTGAGTTTGTTGATGAATACATTATAGTAGATGGCGTATCCGATGCTCCCGCCCACGGCGCGGATTGTGAGCGAGAGCGCGACGCAAGTGGCGATCGATGTGTCTGGTGTGACTGTGATGGCAACGGTGGCTGCCGGGACAAGAACAGAGCCGACGCCGAAGCCGGTAACTGTTCCTAGCCCGATTGCGAGGCCCTCGCGATCGGGAGTGATGGCCGTCAAGGAACCCCCGAATGCCGCTAAATCGCTAATGTTATTTGAGGTAACGGCCGTACAAATAGATAGATGAAGTGGGGAGAATAAGAACAGCGTCATGTGATAAGGACGGAGAGCGTGGACAAACGACAGGTAACGAATTGGGGACCAGTCCACATACTCATCAGAATACACCCTCCTAGAAGGATCTCTCGGTTATGTCCTTTGAACCAAGACAACGCGGCGTTGGCAATCACGGCGCCGAACGTGGTGGATAACCCGGGAGCGAGACCTCGGAGACCAACATGGACCGGATCAGGATCAAAGACCGTGCTGTACACCAAAGGGAAGAAATTAAGCATGGCATAGAAATTCATGCCTGCAATAGAATAGCCATTATGTCAGTAAAACTAGTGTTTCCCTTTGGATCGTGAAATTGACCCAAGCCCAAGAGAAGTTTTCCTCGCAGGGTAGGATGAGGAAGGGTCAGACAGGAGGGGACTTTCCGTACCTGCGATAAATGCGATTCCATACGCCATACCCACGATTCTTTGTCCCGAAAACATCTCGTGAGGCACCATAGGGTCCTTGCAGAACTTCCATTCCCAAACCACGAAAGCGGCAATGAGGGCGATGCCAATGATCAGTTGGGCAATGACAAAAGCGCTCTTCCAGGGGTGGGAGTAGCCTCCGGCTTGGAGGGCGACCAATCTATGCCCTTCGGTTAGATATGAAAGGGTGGCAGTAGCAGACACAAAGGGAACTTACACAAGAGTCAACCCCATGATGGATAAGACTCCGCCAATGTAGTCGATCCTCTTCAGGATAGCTCTGGCTGCCATGCCCTTTGCTCTTGTCTGAGACTCTGGGAAGTACACGATGAGTAATATTATCCACCAGAAAGCATTCCAGATCCTTTATATGTCAGTACCGTGTCTCTCCGATGTTGCAAGAAGAGTAGAGACTTACAAGCAGATCCACATGCCCCATCGCCAGGTATGGTAAGTCGATAGGAGCTGCGCGTACATCAAATAAGGAGTGAATGGTAGCACAAAGAGTGTAACTAGGGCAAGATATGTTCCTCGCTGGTTAACAGGTACTAGCTCAGAAGTCCTATAAACATCTTTTGTTAGTAGAGCAGGCTCGATTGATGGTTACGATGTCCAGCCTTACCCAGCCAAAGCAGTCAATTCTCCAATTGCGGCGCCAGCGCCAGCAAATGACATGCCGACAATCCCTTGCCCAAATCTATGGGCAGTGCCCAGGATGACACACCCCATCATCAACGAGACCCCGCCACCGAGGGTTATGTTTCGCCGGCCTAGGAGATCTTGTAGATAGCCGCAGAAGGGGGCAACGGCAGAGAGAGCAAGGGCGTAGGACACCGACAACCAGGCGGATGCTTCTGCACCACCGATATCTGCTGCAATGAATGAAAGGGAGCCGCCCACGAAGTAAAGGGGGATCTGGGAGCCGACGTAGAGCCCGCTGAGAGCAACCGTGGCGACGAATGTTTTCAGTGTCCACACGGTCTTGGTTTGATACTCCGGTGTTGTTTCGCTGCTGGGTTCAGAGGAACTTCCGCTTGCTGCGATCAACTCCTCCTTGGTCTGCTTCTTCTCAGCATCAGTGTGAGCATGCTCACGATGCTCCATCATCTCCTTATCATGGCGGAGTTCAGCATCGTGCTGCTTCTCGTGCTCGAGTTTGTCAGTGTTCTCTGGTGGTACAACGCTCATGGTGGCTTTCTCGCTGAGTGCTCAAATTCTCCAAGGGCTGGATTCTCGGGATGGAAGAAGTAAGAGGTGCTGCGAAGAGAGGAGCTGCCTGTGAAAAACCTATCTGCATCAAATACCCAGCTGTTGAGGTACCACGGCTCCCCGCTTCCTGGGTCGAGGCCTTGCATTCAACCCTTTTGAGGATACCGGATACCTCGGTCACCACTGTGGGCCGACCAAGGGTGGAATCTGGGGTTGGAACACTGGGGTTAGTTTAGTCACAACATGGGGGAAGCAGGGTTGATCTGTAGGTCTTTCGATGAGGTGTAATCAGCTTTTCCTCGTTATTGGTAGTTTGGAATTCCTCATGGCCAGCATGTGCCAAACGAGTCAGTGATCCTGAGTAGTACCTGCGAATCGATCTCTGGGGAGCCCTGCAGGCGGCGAAATGGCGTCTCGAGTTAGCCTAGACTAACCTTATATAGACCACGGTACGCTGTGCGCAGTCTGAAGTCAATAGCTCCAGCATCTTGAGGGCGTGAATGACCCACCTAGTATGCAAATGTCGTATCACTTACGAAAAAGAGAAAGGGAACGAGGCGGGAGGCATCCGTCATTTCCCCAGGCTGGGGCCCTATTCGCCCCGCTTCCTGAAGAAACATGGGACCCCAGTTGCCTTCCCCCCGCAAACTCCCATCTCCTATCTCTCGAAAGACATTGGGGTGGGACGCTAGTTAGTGAGCGTTGATCATACCATGTTGAGAAAGGAATGTGTAATATAGCGCCTTTATGTTGAGTAGATAGATGGTCCATTCCTCGGTTAACTCTTTTGGGTGTGAGCCATCAAGCAGTGTTGTCAGCCGCAGTAATTCTGTCTCGGCTTACCCAACGAGCTGTTTTGCACACTTTAGAGAGGGAAAGCACCCGACAGCAAGGGATGGTAAAGGTAATGTTGGCAGGTACCTCGTAGTAGTACCAAATCTCTTCTCGTGAGCAGAATTGTTTGGGGGGTTACCTTCGCTCAAAGCTTTCACATCAATGCTGAGTGAGCTCGGCGAACGGCCTAGGTGGCCGAGGTCTGTAACGAAATCTGGTCTCAACGGAAAGTACTCGTCGACCAATAGAGGGGCATGGTGCAGCCACATAGATATTTGGCCGAATAGATGAACAAGAGCGTTGACACGTCAGTTGACAGTGAGTTTCCCAGGAAAGGTTTGGGAACACGGAATTCATTCCCTTTAGCAGTTGGCATGGTTAGTCCGAGCGCATCTCCTCCTGTCTCTTGTTGCCGCGGATCAAATGCCTTTCTGACACCTCGGTCGAGCCGAGGATATACGGCGTACTCTTCGTGGAAGTCGCTATGAATCAAACTGCACTCCGCGCAGGCCTCGGAAAGTCCAGCTTCACCGTATAAATGTTTGGGAGTGTCTTGGTGCAAGAAAGGGGTGAGAACCCTTGGCTGCTAGTTCTCGGCCTTTCATCAATCAGGACGAACAGGCAGCCTTGTGAAGAATGGATTGTTGTTCATCCGACGCCAAGCTACTTTGGTCGCGCTTTCCCGATCCGGAATCCTATGCTAGGCATTGGTGATGCTTTGCAGATGCAGTGACCGGCGGTGATGTACCTCGAGAACTCCGTCCACAAGGCTCAGTGAGTCCATGAGGCTACTAGAATCCAGGCAGCACCATTCCCTATTTCGTGGGTGGTTCAATGAAGAATCCTTCCCGCACTCTAAGATGGCGCTCACTCGAAGAAACGTGCTCGGTCCAGAAGTGAAGCGACGGAGACCGTTTGCGTGAAACTTGACGGCACAACAACAATCCGTGAGGAAGGCCACGGCCATGAGAACTCGGCTGCACAGTTTCCTGCGCAACTTGCACTATAAAGGCGAGGATTGCCCTCCTTGAATGTTGTGCGACCGGTCGGGAGCAGAACAATCATACTTTGCGTTTCCAAGCCACAAAATGGCGGCATCTTTTGATCTGTCCAAGCCTAACCGCACCATCCACGCCGGAGTGATTCTCATGAATGCGTAAGTGTCAAACTTGGATGCATTGTCCGGTTAGAGCTGAGACCAGGCAACAGAGAAACGGAGATTCTTGATGTGGCTCCAATTGACCTGTTGCATGCAGTGTCGAAGAAGTTCATGCGGACTCTGGAGCAATTTGTTCCAAAGGAGATGGCGGCCCAAGCCCTTGATATTGAATTCCATTGGGTCAATGAGACAGGCAACACTGCCAGATTGACAGGTGGTGTCTCGCTTCAGCCCACCGTGAGTTTGGGCCTCATTCGTCTTGACTCTTCTGAATCATTTCCCTCATCTTTCGACAGGACAAGTTTTCGACGTGCCCGCTCCTTGATATAGTACTCATGGGAGCCCATTTGGAAGGGTATACTCCAAACGAGGCGGAGCTCGACTTCGTACGCAAGAGTTATGAGAACTGTTCAGCGTTCATCACCATCTGCGCAGGATTCCAAACTGCATTCCAGGCCGGGTTGTTCAAGAACAAAACTGTGACGGCGCCGCGATTCATGTTGGAGCAGCTCCGAACAACCGGTTCTGAGACGAACTGGGTCGAAAAGCGGTGGCATCGAGATGGCAAGTTGTGGACGAGTGGCGCTTTGCTTAACGGACTAGAACTCATGCGTGCTTTTGGTACAGAATATTGGGGTGGTGAGGGCACGCTGATGCAATTCGCTCTCGACAGTGGACACTATCCGCAAAGAGACGTCCAATATGAAGACGCTACGTCGAAGCTTTGAACCTGGGTGACTGTTGTGCTGTTTGCATGTGAGGCACTTAGTTCTCCCGGATGCTGGATAGCTCACGCAACTCAAGGTCGTGTACCCAGTAGCTCAAGCAATCAAGATAGCTTCGGAGAAATCCATCTATATGATCCACCGTATTCCTGTACGGCAGAGTATTCAGTCTGCAAGCACGGTGGATATTCAACCAGGAACTCCGTCAGGCTCCGTCTGAGCCGATAACTGTGCATTGACACCTTTCAATCCTCTCCACAGAATGATAGCCTTAGCTCCGTCGCTTACGCAGCGGCATGTTGTTGCTGAAATCTCCGCCCTGGTCAAACCTCTCTACACAGTTCCCCGTCCCTGTACCATCGGGTCTACCTATAAGAGTGCGTGGACGAAACTATGTCTAAAGATCTAGAAGGCAAGTAGTGCTGCTCGGTTCTGACGAGCTGCTTTCGGGAAGCCGGTCAGCCATGGGAAACAACCCGGGTGAAGAAGACGTCTCGGAATGTCTCCTCAGCCAGCACAAGGCGGCAGTGTCGCTGGTATCCGACCGAATCGCCAGCTTCCATGCTCGCCAAATCCCCTTTCGAGTCTTCCATGGCAACACGAACTCAACTCGCCTTAGCGACCGCACACGGGACGCTACTGTCGACATCTCTGCTCTCAGCAATGTCATCGCCGTCTCGCCTTCGAAGCGGACATGTCTGGTGGAGCCTAATGTCCCTATGGATCGTCTTGTCGCCGCCACTCTGCAACACGGGCTGGTACCTCCTGTCGTCCCAGAGTTCCCGGGCATCACAGTTGGAGGTGGCTTTGCTGGGACAGCAGGCGAGAGTAGCAGCTTCAAGTACGGCTTCTTTGACAAGAGCGTGACTTGGTTCGAGGTGGTTCTCGCGGACGGAACAATCGTGAATGCCTCAGAGACTGAGAGGGCAGATTTGTTTCACGGCATGGCGGGAACATTCGGCACGTTAGGAGTCATTACCCTCTTCAAGATGCGCTTGATTCCCGCAAAGGAGTTTGTCGAACTGTCATATATCCGGGTTCGAGGCATTGAACACGCGCAAAAAGTGATCAGGGAGGTCAAAGGACAGGGACAGGCGCACTTCTTGGATGGGATAATGTTCGCTGTTGATAAGGGCGTGATATTGGCAGGCAGATTCGCTGAACGAGACGAGAAGAACAAGAACCTACCCCTCGTGACATTTACCAAGCCTTGGGACCAGTGGTTCTATCTCCACGCCGAAGAAAGAATGAACGGTTCTGATATTACGACTCCGACACTTCCATCTGCGTCACCATTGTCTCCTCCGCGCGACTTAATCCCCTTGACCGACTACCTCTTCCGGTACGACCGCGGCGCCTTCTGGACGGGCCGTTTCGCATATACATACTTCTGCGTTCCCTTTACGCGACCGATCCGTTGGTTGACAGACTATTTCATGCACACGCGCATAATGTACCACGCGCTACACCGCTCCGGCCTATATCAGCGCTTCATAATCCAAGACATGGCCCTACCGAATATAAACATTGCAGAGTTCTCTCGCTGGTTGGACAAAGAATTGCCGCACATTTATCCGCGATGGCTGTGTCCCTTAAAAGACGGCGAGAGCGTGAGCATGAATCCGCATCTCCGCAATCCGGCTCTCTCGACTGTGGAATCAAGTTCAGTCTCGACATCAACGACGGCCTCGGACCCCACTGCCAAGGGCAGTGATGATGATAATGATGATGATTTCGACAACGCGCTTCTGAATATCGGCGTTTGGGGCGAAACGCCGCCCAACACCCTACACGTCACCATCAACCGCCTCATCGAAGCCAAATTGAAATCCCTGGGTGGGATGAAATGGCTGTACGCCCAAGCATTCTACACGGAAGATGAATTCTGGTCCATCTACGACAAGAAATGGTACGACGGCTTGAGAAAGAAATATCAGGCCGACGGATATATACCCAGCGTGTACGAAAAGATCAGAACAAAGGATATCTTTGAGGTTGACGGCGATGGGCGAGTGGTCCGGGATGCGCGCTTGCCCGTTGAAACGGGCGTGTGGAGCATTTGGCCTATCGCGGGGCTTTACGGTGTCTTGAGCGCGTTGAAGGGTGGCGACTATCTGCGCAAGCGGTGAGAAAGGGATGTGGAAATGCGATCATATAGACAATATATGGAGTACTGGTCCGAAATAAGTACCGACGGAATGCAAACTCGGAGAGGTAGATCGATCGGCCATATAGTTCCGAGACTGGTCCCCATAGTTCATAGATATTGTGTTCAATTGACTTGCACTAAGTTTCATTCGATCTACATGAAACGTGAACCTAACAATTGCCATTGTCACTTTTCTTTTCCGCCCTCCGCCAAAGATACCACGATTGAATCGCGTTGGAAGGGGCGGTGAGGTACTGAATCCGCGAGTGCCAACCCTTCCATGCTATGTAACGAGCGTGAGCGGTCAGTGGGGGGGCGTAAGTGCAAGATTGCTTAAGAGTACAGGCCACGCACGAGATCTGGGCTCCGAATCGAGTTCCAGCAACAATCAAGCCTCTTCTGAGCGGAAATGAGAGGCGGAAAAATTAAATAAACCCTCTTTAAAATAAGATTGCATATAACAGGCTGTCCTTGCTTTCCTCTCGGGGCAGAAACAGGACCAAGCGATAATTGTGCAGCAGGATCTCCTGGGCTTTCACGGGTATAAATGCCTACATGGGCGAGGGATGGGACGGCTGTATTGCTGACTGAATTGGTAGCTGGCTCAGAGGTTTGGCGTTTCCTTCTGGGGAGGTAGATCACGGGTATCTGTGCATCGTCCCTGTCGCGGACATTTCGAACGGACCAGATGCCAGAGCAGGGGGAGGCTGCTGCTGCTGCGGCTGCACCTCGTTCTCTGGCGGGGGACTCATGCGCGACTGGCGCTGCAGGAAGGCTTCAATGCCACTTGCCGCCGGCGGTCCGGCCACGGAGTTCGGGCTGCTTGCTCGCATGGACGTGTTCTCTGTGACGATGCCGCTCCCTGCTTGGGGATACTGCGTGTCGTGCACTTGATACGGGCCAGGTGCCGGGACTGGTTGCATCGCAGCACCGAAAATATCGTTGGATGATGTCGGTGGCCACTGAGGGGACGGTTGAGGTTGGCCAGGGCTCGCCATCATGTTCTGCGGCATCTGCTGAGGCGGCGGATAGCCCTGTGGGTAAGGGTACATACCGCCGTTCGGGATTGCGTTGCCGAAAGCATCTGTTGAGGGCGCCGTGGCCACCGACATATGTTTTTGTGTGGGAGACATGTAGCCGTAGTTGTTGGGTGGTATATACGCCGGTGGGTTGTTCATCGGCCCCATGGCGGGAGTAGAGGGGGCTGGTTGACTATCGCCTTCTCCTTTCGACCTAGACCTGCGACCACAGAAGAATAGCAGCGCAGCAGCTCCGACGACGACGGCTGCTCCTCCTGATATTAAGTAAGTACGAGCACCCACGGATCGCGAGAGCTTGAGATTGATTGACTCACCAACTGCGATTCCTGCGATAGCTCCTGTGGACAAGGTTGAATGGCCTGATCCACTTGCTGCGGGGGTCTCGGTGGCTGAGGAAGTCGTTGATGTCGGCGTCGGAGTCACGGTCGAAGTAGTAGATGTCGTTGTGTAAGCCATAGTAGTCGTAGAGGTAGGTGCAGAAGGATCCTCATCGGGCCAACCCTGTCCAGGTAACAGCATATCGGTGGAGTCTGCGGCATATTGTTTTTGGGTTTGTAAAGACTGGCTAGCATTGGGATTGATCACTCCGACCATCTGGTAGTTGATACATGAGCCTTGGGCACCGCAATAATAGAAAATAGGATTGGTGTCGTTGATGAGGAGAGTCCATTTGGGCGGGTCGCTGAGAATGGCGTCGACGGGGTAGAAGCCAGAGAAGAATCCCACTTTATCCGTGCCTTTTCAATCGAATCGTAGTTAGCTCACCGGCCGATTGAATTTGCAAGCTCATGAGAGCAAAGAGCAGCAGCATCTGGCGGTTTTGATGGCGTATTCCCTACCTGTCAACTCGTAAGGTACGCACGGATACAGGTATTCCGCACGGATCACCGAGTGATTTAAAGGATAAAAATCGAATTCTTAACCGTAACATTAGCAATCATATACACACCGTGAAATCAGCTTGCTCAAGGACATACCAACATAGTTCCCAGGCGAAACTTGAACCACATCTGGGACGAAAGTATTCCCACCGTTCCCGACAGCCACCGTTACCGTGATTGGTTGCGAACTTGTGCTGGTGGGAGAGGTACCTTCAGAACTGGTGAAATCTGTAACAGTAGTGGTTGTGTCCTGGGCCAATATCGCAGACAGCAGAGCTGAGAGGGCGAGGAATGGGAGCCTCATGATTGTTAAACAGGTTGAGAGAGAGACAGAGAGAGAGACGAAAAAAACCAGTGAAGTTGCGATAGGAACTCGAGGAGCACAAGGTGTGTACAAAAGTCAAATCAAACACTACCGGGTTTCTGACTCTTGCGAGGTTGAGAGGCACCTACCAAGCAAGGCAATGCACCTTGGGTGCCAACCCAGGGCAGCATAGTGGGCGCTGCAACAGCGAAGAGACGCCATGTCTTCGTATCGATGAAAACAAAGCGATCGTGTGGTCAATGCCAATGCGGCTGCGGTCAAAAGCCAAGGGTTGCTGGTGCCATCCTCAGGGTTTCCGTTTCGACGGGAGCAGTTAGCGAGAGGCGATAGGCACGGCTTGTTCTCGTATTGTGATCTCAACTTCCACCGGTTGGTCTTACCGTGACTCAGGCCTGAGAGCTGGAGCAGACTGGAATAGCCTGGAGCCCCGAGTGTATAGAGAGAAAACACGATTCGGCAAGCAACAAGTGAGTAACCTTGATGAGGGTGTTGTCGAATTGGACCTGACAAAAGCCTCACTGGCCCTTGCATGGGTGTCACTGGGAGCGGTAGGGCTGGACAAACACGGAGACAAAACCTTGATACATACCTTGCAAAAAAGAGGCCGCCTTATGACACAGCCATATGTGTCCAATCGCCTGGAGCGAGAATGGGGCCGAACGAGAAACATCGCTAAGCGAACAGAAGCCAGCATGACCAGCAAAGCCGCCAAAAGTGCAGAAGAAGAATCCAAGAGATCTGGGCAAAAAGGCTAGGTGAAACGCCGTGCATGAAACGATTCGATAGTCTGGTACCTGTAGATCTGTGGAAGGTGTCTTTCTTCTGAAGCCAAGGAGAGCTGAAAAGGAGACTTGAAAGTTAAATGGCAAAGGCTGGGAAACCATCCCGCTTTGACTCTGACCAGGCCAGGCGGCAATCCGAAGCAGGACCCGAAGAAATTTCTCCCTTAAATTGCTTCGACATCAGCCGCCAAGGCCACTTCTAAAGGGGCCAAAAATACCTGGACGGCGATTGTCCTGCCTTACCAATGGCACCGAGCCTCCTGTCCGAGACTGTACGAGTCCCAAGTCTCAAAGCTGACGTTTTGCCATATATATACATGCGCACTTTGATCCCGAATTGGGAGGGTGCCTCGGGTATGAAATCCCAGAAGCACATCTCGACCCTTGGTATGGAGAGCGAAAAGTGTGTTTGAGATCATCCTGCCCAAGATATGATGAACAAGCACTCAGTGTCCACCGCTGGGATGCGAACTGCACCGACAAGGATTGCCACTTCTCTTGGGCGACTTTTTTCGCTCTGCATCAATGGCATTTCACGGATCTTTACTGAAACGGCCATCCTCCAATGGTGATCCTGAACAGCGCCTGGTCCGCCTCGATCTCTGCTTTGCGGGCAATCAACTCCTCGACATCCCAATTGGACCACAGAAATCTTCCCGACTTGAGGAAGTCAGCTTCCGAACTCGCAAGCCAAACCATGAAATTCGCGGGGAGTTCTGGTTCGTCCAATAAGTCGCCAGCTGGAAGCTGGTCAAGATTTCCCATGACTTTCTCGGTCATTTTGGTTGGGATGACACCGGGATGGACCGTAAATACTCGGAGTCTTGGGTTCTCGTCCGCCAGACACTCATCGAGCTTCGCCATGGCTAATTTTGAAGCAAGATACGAAGAGGTTTTGGGAAAGTGCGAGGCCCTCAAATGGCAAGCTGCAGCATTCGTGCCGATGTACGTCGCATTCGGACGGCACTTGGGTAAAAAGTGCTTTGCAAAGTGAGCGGCGAACTTGACATTGATCTCGAATGCTTTCCACCAGTCGTCTTCATCTGCTCCCGCGAGGGTAGTCAAGTCCGGCAAGTACCTATCAGAAAATTGTCAAATGCGGTTCATGTCAAAGCTGTTACCACAATGCTACTGTACCCTGCACAATTTGCGAAGACATCCCAAGCCCCCAACTCGACTCTGATGTGGTGTGCAGCAGTACCAACGCTCTCTGTTCTGGAGATGTCCGCAACGAATACCAGCACTGTTGCATCAGGAAATGCTTGATTAACTGTTGCCTTTGTTTTCTGGAGAGTGTCTTCGGTTCTTCCGACTAAGGCGATTCTCTGGGCTCCTGCTTTTGCAAACGCGAAGGCGACAGCAGTGCCAATGCTTCCTTCGCCTGCGCCCGTCACTATCACAGTCTTGTCCTTTGCTGACAACTCAGGCCTTGAAGGGTCAATGGCCGGGTATGTATTCTTGCGATATATCTTGGTGAAGCAAGGATATGCCATGTTTTGAAGCGACCGGCGAGCTCGAGAATTATAAATGACCAAGCCCAAATACTGGAAATACTTCTCTTGTATATGTTGTTATGAAGCTAGAGGGTGAGCTAGCGAAGCCTTCCAACCTCGCAGAAGAATCAAGACGGCCACTCTGCCTGGGTCAAGCGTCTACTCGAAGCTCAATGCGTACCTCAGTGGTACCAAAACTGGCCACTTTGAAGATGGTATTCCCTCGTGCCCCTGATTGGATGAGTAGGCGAAAGTCGTGCTTCATTACCTGTCAATCTCACAGCCAGATGTTGATAATGGCAGACTTGACGGTGCTTGTACGAGTGCGAGAGCTTGTGAGTGGTGGCGTCCTATTGAGGACGGAGGGGAGGGAGCAAGGAGCAGCAAGGAGCAGCAACGAGGGATAGTGAGGAGTTCAGTCAGAAAGACTCCGCAGTAATACTCCACCGTACTAGTAACTCATACAACCACCCCGCATCGGTCTCGCGGTTATCGCCGGTTAGTGACTACTCCTGCAAATTCACCACCAATGCAACACATCACCTCATTTCTTGAAAAAGTCTCCTGCAATTCGTGTACATGTCCTCAACCGAAGTCTAGGGTTTCCCAAGTTTTAGTCATCTCACTGTATAGCCATGGCCTCAGTCAACGGTGACAGGCTCCACGCCCAAGGCACGCACCAGTCCTCGCTGGAACTCATCGGCCAAACGCCCCTCGTCCGTCTGAACAAGATCCCCCAGTCTCTCGGTGTCGAAGCCACCGTGTACGGCAAATGCGAATTCTTCAATGCTGGAGGCAGTGTCAAAGACAGGATAGCGCTGCGCATGATTGAAGAGGCTGAGAAGTCAGGAAGAATAAAGCCTGGTGACACTCTGATCGAGCCTACCAGCGGCAATACGTAAGAACAACGGTACAGGGCAAACGTGGAGAATGAGATTTAGCTGATATAGAAACCGTCGGATTTTAGTGGCATCGGCCTCGCCCTCGTCGCTGCTCTGAAAGGCTACAGAACCATCATTACCCTCCCCGAGAAGATGTCCGCAGAGAAAGTCGCCGTGCTGAAGGCACTCAACGCAACTATAATCCGCACACCCACACAAGCCGCCTTCGACAGCCCCGAGTCACACATTGGAGTTGCTAAGCGCTTGGAGAAGGAGATCCCCAATGCCCATATATTGGATCAATATGGAAACCCTGATAACCCGCTCGCACATGAACTAGGAACTGCAGAGGAGATATGGCAGCAAACACAAGGCAAAGTGACATGTGTCATTGCCGGCGCCGGCACCGGTGGCACAATCACAGGCCTTGCCCGTGGTCTACACAAACACAACAAATCAATCAAAATCATCGCGGCAGATCCTCAGGGATCGATCCTCGCCCTCCCTTCATCCCTCAACGAGGAATTCGCAAATCAACCTTACAAAGTTGAGGGCATCGGGTATGACTTCGTACCGGATGTGCTTGACCAAAGTGTCGTGGACAAATGGTACAAGACAGACGACGTAGAGTCATTCCACTACGCCCGTCGCCTCATTTCGGAAGAGGGGTTGTTGGTCGGAGGAAGTTCCGGCTCCGCTATTGCCGCGACGATCAAGGCTGCGAGAGACCTCAAGCTCGGAACAGACGACGTGATCGTGGCAATCCTCCCGGACAGCATCCGCTCATACCTGAGTAAATTCGTCGACGACGACTGGCTCGCCGCGAACAACCTTCTGCCTCCAACACCACCCCCTGAACCCTCCTCACCACAACTCTCGAGAACCCAGAGCATTAAACAAGACGACCCATTCCGCGGTGCTCGCGTGCGCCATCTGCGATTAAAACCCGTTCAGACGGTCGCATCGGACAGTCCCTGTTCTAGTGCCATCGAAGTTATGCGCGACAAGGGCTTCGACCAACTCCCCGTATTGGCACCCAAGGGTTCAAAGAAATTAGTCGGCCTCGTCACACTGGGCAATTTACTGTCACGGATCAGTCACGGGCGGGCCACGGGACAGAGCCCGGTGAGCGATGTCATGTTCGATTTCACCAAGATCAGCGAGGTCACCATTGACCACACGGATTTGACAGAGTTGATGACCACGTCGGTGGACGAGGACTCGGAGCCGCAGAAGCCCTCAAGTGACATGAGTGCAAAGCCCAAGAGCAAGAGTAAAAGAAGACACTTTGTGGAGATCACGATGGACACCTCTCTCAACGCATTGAACAAATTCTTCGAGTGGCAGAGTGCAGCTATCGTCACGGAGCGCGAACCAAGTGACAAGAGCGGCACCTTGAAGCCGGTGGCAGTGGTCACCAAAGTAGATCTGCTTACTTGGATGTTGAGCGAACACAAACCGTAACGCTTGCAGGGAATAGAGGGGAAAGTGTACACCGGGCATTTGGAACATATTCAACAGCGTCATTGCTCAAAACATCAGGGTGGATTGTATTACGAGGGTGCAATCTTTGGGGGGAATTCAACAACAGAAGCACACCCCATGGCGGCAAGCGAATTGCATAAGCCGGAGTTGAAGTACTAGAGCAGATCCCAGAAATTATTGAGGAGCGATTAAGATCCATGCATTTAAACAATAAATCTGCATCCGCGAGGACAAGTTACATCTGGCGACATTAGTTCACTTACCTCTCCGACTGTCATGCAGTGCCTTCTACGTGAATCATCATTGGGACTGGGACAGTCCCGCTCAGCGGTACCAATAACATGAACAAGGGGTTATACATCGGATGTGGGAACGAGACAAGGGAAACGAGCCACGACATCGTAACTCAGGACGAGTCAAGAAGCGTGTGCAGGGGAATGAGCGCGTACAATGCCGACAACGTTGTGGTGCTGAACGCGGAACAACGGGTTCGTAGGAGATGGATCGTGCGTTTGAGGCGGAGGGTCAGGGCGCGGGGATTGAGCTGGGAATGCGACGTGGCGAAATTGCGAGAAGGGAAATTACGACGGCGGTGGCGGGGACGAGGAAACGCGAGACCGAGTACGCGGCGCATCGGCGCGGACGGGGGAATAAGGCTGACGACTAGGGCTGCTGTAACGGTTCGAATGGGAATAGGAAAAGTGAGGACGGCGGCACATGCTGTCTAGATAGGTATCGTCCGATTGTCCGTATCGACGTCCGATCGAATACTGCGTACGCTACCGAAGATAACGGTTGACGACCGAGAAGCCGGCTGTTGTACAGGATTGAGCCTGCACCGTTCGCTCGAAGTCGATCTAATCCCATGTCAAGTCAATTTTAACCACCGCTCGCTGCTATGCCTGAGACTCTCAGGTCATGCAAGGACTGCAAATAAATCATCACAGCAACAATGTCAAGGATGAAAAGTCTGAAGGAAACCTAGCACATTCTTGCCCTTTGCAAACACAGCAACTTGCAGTCGTGCCCGGTTGCAGGAAACCTGCTTGCTTGCTCGTTCTTTTGCAGCAACAGCACGCTGGGATTGCAGATCATGCTGTTCCTCATTCCGCGGTATCGAGCTCGTCGTGAGCGGGGGGAGGCGAGTCCAGGGCTGATACGGGTGTCAGCATTTCAAATCCGGACTGCATGGGCATCGATTTCCATCATACCTTTCCGATCGTCACCGTTCGCGGCGGTATCGCGGTCATCGTCGCGGCGGTCTCGATCGTCCTTCATGTCCCGGTCTCGGTCTCGATCACGATCACGGTCGGCAGGGCTGCGGGAGCGGCGACGGTCATCGTATTCTCGGTCTCGATCTCTTTCTCGATCGCGGTCACGATCACGGCGATCGTCTTTGCGGGGAGAATAGTCGCGTCGCCGAGGAGAAGGAGAACGAGCTGATCGGCGTGGAGGAGACCGTTCGCGACGGCCGCGACCAGCTTCGTATCGCCAGGTAGCAGATGGGGGTGTACGAGCCCACTGTTAATATGGTAGTCAGAAAACATGTTCTGGCGACGTGTTGAGCTTCAATGGGGGAACTTTTCACTCCGTACCTCGATCTTCAGGACATCATCACGGCCAATTCGCTTGTTATGCATCTCGTGGTAGGCATCGTCAGCATCGCGGCGGCTCTCGTATTCGACAAAAGCAAAGCTGGTCAGGCGTCAGTCTCTGCGGACAGCAATAGAGGTGGGTGATGCATGACTTACAGACGGCTTGATGCAGTTCTGGGAGCAGGAATGTCGCACCTGACCAGACGACCATAGTGCTCGAACTCATAGGCAAGGTCACGGGCACGGGTGCCATGACCAAAGCCTGTGACATAGAGGGTAGTACCAGATCGAGACATGATTAAGAATGGAATGGCAAGGCGTAAGGGGCCAGGTGGCAAGCGGATATGTCGTGGTCGCTGTCGTTTTGCGCCGGTCACCAAGTGCCTGACTCTAACCACGAATGACTGGTAATACAATCTCTGGTTGGTAGAGCGAATGCAAAAGATGAGTGACAAGGCAGAGCGAGGATTGAATGGATTGAATGGATGGAAACTGGAGGAAAGAAGGAAGAAAACGCCTGGCGAGAGGGAGCAACAGGCAAGCAGCCTTTTGCCTCATTTTTAGACTCGACGGCGCTAAGCCAGAAACAGAGCACAGGCTTGGCACAGCCCAGCAGTTCCCGCCCAGCGGGCCAGTCAATGCCACGGCTAAGTCATCGGAAAAGGCCCCAGAGGCCGCAGTGACAAGCCGCAGTCATCAGTGTGAGACGGCACTTTGGGAAAGGGTCACGCTCGCCTGCGACAAGTCCAGGGAGAGCGAGAACAGACTGTCACGGCCACTACGAGCTATCAATTTGGTGACTCTACCTAAACCTGCCACATGCCCTATTACCACACGCTTCTGCTTCTATTCCTTCATTTCACCTCTTCGCATTCTTGAATCCAGCTTGGTCGACAAACTGCTCCTACCTTGACATCTCCACTCGATCAATTTCCCTTTCCAATTGCGCGATACTCTTGCCCGACTTGTCCCGTATCCGGTTCTCCCATATCGCCCTTCTATTGACCCTATCAGCCCAGGTGGATGTTACAGCAGGCCTGCTTCGTCTGAAGCACCGTCCTTGAATTTCACGCGGAATCTGTCTGTAGCTGGTGGGAAAAGACGCTGGACCTACATACGATGTTCTCTCACACACACCGGTCACCGTGAAGAATTTTCCATGGACGCCACAGCCGCCTTCAACACCAGAATTCTACTTGCTGTGACGCCTGCACACCTGCGACTGTCTCCGCCGGCACCATTTCCCTCACCACCTTCGCCAAGCTCGTGTCAGAGTCATGCGTCTGGGAGAGAAGGACCCTGTTACTGTCAACGGTAACATAGGCCAGAGCTCGACCTCCATACGAGACTTGACAAATTTGCCGCAGGTCAGTGATATTGCAGCAGAAGATCGACTGGGCCCACATCCTAACCCGTATAGAACCCTACCACCATGGCAGCATCCGATTTCCTCCTCCCCGTGCGAGAGTTTCTGTCAACACCTTTCACGGCCGCTTTCTGCGCCGGTGGTGTGGCAGGCGCTGTCTCCCGCACCGTGGTCTCCCCTTTAGAACGTTTAAAGATTCTGTACCAAATACAAAGCGCCGGTCGCAATGAATACAAAATGTCCATTGTCAAAGCTCTGAAGAAGATGTACACCGACGAGGGTTGGAGAGGATTCATGAGAGGAAATGGCACAAATTGCGTACGCATAATACCGTACTCTGCCGTTCAGTTCGGAAGCTACAATGTCTACAAACGCTTCGCCGAACCTTCACCTGGCGCCGAACTCGACCCCATTCGTCGACTCGTCTGCGGTGGCCTTGCTGGTATCACCTCTGTCACCTTCACCTATCCTCTGGACATTGTCCGTACGCGCTTGTCCATCCAGTCAGCTTCTTTTGCCGCGCTTGGAAAACACGAAGGGAAGCTGCCGGGGATGTGGCAGACCATGATTATCATGTACAAAAATGAGGGCGGTATCCTGGGTCTTTACAGGGGCATCATCCCAACAGTGGCTGGCGTTGCCCCCTATGTTGGCCTCAACTTCATGGTATATGAATCAGCCAGAAAATACTTCACGGAACCGGGCGAGAAGAATCCTGTCTGGTATCGAAAGCTTGCCGCTGGCGCCATCTCGGGGGCGGTGGCCCAAACTTGCACTTATCCATTTGATGTTCTCCGGCGGCGCTTTCAAATCAATGCAATGAATGGCATGGGATACCAATACAAGTCGATATGGGATGCGGTCAGAACCATTATCGCACAGGAAGGATTTCTTGGACTTTACAAGGGAATCATGCCTAATCTGCTCAAGGTCGCCCCGAGCATGGCTAGCAGCTGGCTCAGCTTTGAGATCACACGGGATTTCTTAGTTGGCCTCGCTCCGGATAAAGAGAATGGAGACCCCATCTGAGACCGGCAAAGCCGGCACAAAATTCAATTTGGCTCTTTCATCTCACGCGATTCACCAAGGAACCGTTGAAGATCCTTCTACCACACAGACGGAAAGATCGAAATCAATTGAAGCCCCGGAGAAGGCATTGCCTGCGCAGAGGGAAGGAATGGATATTGTGATCAAATGTCTCCATCCTTTACAGAAGAGCTGCGCCGCTTTGCAAGGGCTGCTGTATATTCCACATACAGGGGGGCTCGGCGAAATTTCATGGAGTCAAAGGTCAGAGGAAAAATGGGTTAGAGAGACCTGGAGTGAGGCATTTTCTGGAGTATCAAGACAAGTCTACGACGGACTTGAAGTTTGAGTATTATTTTCCAGAGTAGATCAAGCTGAATATTGAATTGATCGCCCGCGTATTGGTGCCACGAGTGCTTCTAGAGACCCCATCCCTCAAAATTCTCTTCTAATGCTACACCTCCATCACGATGATATTCTCGCGACGGAATATCTCTGTCAAAGGAGCCGTTGATACTGGATCGACAGAAATCAACCTCACGGCGAGCGATAGCTACCATGTCTAGAACGTTGACAATGGCGTTCGTCTGTCTGGTTGTTGTGGTTGAGCCACGTGACTGGCACTAGGTTTTCCAAGCCACATACAGTTTAGCTTTCAGAAATCTTGGCACGCCGCACAGCGTTCGTACCCGCTAGTTTCTCACGTCGACCAAATTTCCAGATTGAACTTCAGAGGACGTCGTCGACCCTTTCTCACTCAACAACATCCACCACAGCCAGCGATCATGGGTATGTAAACTGCCGACTTTGGGTCCTTGCGATGTCCTATAATTGACGCATGTTTGCAGGTATCGACCTCGATCGCCATCACGTCAAGGCGAGCCACCGAAAGGCGCCCAAGAGCGACAATGTCTACCTCAAGCTCTTGGTGAAGCTCTACCGCTTCCTTGCCCGTACGTTCAAAAACACTGTCTGTGAGGTGGATTTAAGAGGAAAGAAAATTGACAAATGACTCTCAGGCCGAACCGATTCAAACTTCAACAAGGTCGTGCTCAAGCGCCTGTTCATGTCCCGCATCAACCGCCCTCCCATGTCCATCTCGCGCATCGCCAGCAAAGTCTCAACCGAGACGGCGCAAAAGGCGTACAAGGACAAGACCATCGCCGTCATTGGCACCGTCACGGACGACAACCGCCTGCTCACCGTGCCTGAACTCCACATCGCCGCACTGCGGTTCACCGCCACTGCCCGCGCCAGGATTGAGAAGGCTGGCGGTGAGTGTCTGACGCTCGACCAGCTCGCCATGAGACACCCGACGGGAAGCAACGTGGTGCTCTTGCGGGGACCCAAGAATGCCAGAGAGGCCGTCAAGCATTTCGGCTTTGGCCCGCACAAACACAAGAAGCCTTATGTCGAGAGCAAGGGGAGGAAATTCGAGAAGGCTCGAGGAAGGAGACGGTCCAAGGGTTTCAAGGTGTAAACGCGACCTCCGTGTTACTCTTCTACTGCTGGTGGTGGTGGTGGTGGTGGTTCACTAGGTGAGGTTTCATGAGCTGGTGGGAGAGGGAAGTTGCAAGCAGCGGGATGCCTCGAGCTCTTGAGCGCACCAAGATGGGGTCCAATCGAGATTTGTGAATCTCTATCTCTCTATGGGAACGGAGAGCGGCAAACGACAATCTCGAGAAGTGAGCTGCTCGAGAGGCTGCCTTGTCTCGATCCGTTCGTCGAAGCGTCCGCTTGAAACGAACAAATGAAAAAATTTTCAGATAACACAACGGTTTCATGCGAGGCGCCTCGGGACTTTCTGCGAGAAGAGAGAAGGGGGCGGGACGCAAAAGACGACCAAAATCAATCCAATGCAATTGATTCAAACAAACTCTTTTCGAGGACAAGGAGGAAGTCGGCTTCAATTCGAATCGGTCCCCTTGTGCCTTTTGTCTTTTTTGTTCTCAGTCCAACTTTTTGGAGTTCATGTTCGTCGTGAAAACTCCGGTGATGCAAAGAGGAACTACTCAATACTGCCCACTTACCACCGCAGAAGTAGCAACGACAACGTCACCACCACCGCCATTCCTTTTTCCCTTCCATCCAACCCCAACCCGCCACCTAGTCCCGTCCGTCAACGCCATCGTGGTCATATCTGCATCTTCTGATGCAGAAACCTCCTCTTCCCTTCCCCTTCGCCGTACTCTCCGGCGCTCTGACCGCGTCCCCTGATCTTGTACTTGTAGATGGCCAACCCTTCCAATCCCACAGGGCCCCTCGAGTGGATCTTGTTCGTGCTGATGCCGACCTCGGTGCCGAAGCCGTACCTCATCCCATCCGCGAACCGGGTCGAGGCGTTCCAATACACGCCGGCCGAGTCGACGGCGGACATGAACTGTTCGGCAGAGGCGGAGGAGCGCGTGACGATGGCGTCGGTGTGGTGCGACGAATTGGTGTTGATGTGCGCGATGGCGCGTAGGAGGGCAGGCTGGTCCGCTTCTTCTTCTTCTTCTTCTTCTTCTTCTCCTTCGCTGGCAGTTGAGGCAGAAGAGTGGCCGTTTGGTAGTAATGTGTCGCCGCTGGTGGTGGCGTTCGAGAGTGGTGGTGTTCCTGGGACCGTTTTGACAGCCATAACCAGGTCTAAGAACTCGGTTGTAAAGTCCTCCTCGGTCGCGTCTTGTAGTAAGGCTGCGTTCGCGGGACTCAGCACTGCCGTCAACGCCGTCTTGCTCGGTTCGTCACACCGTAGACTCACGCCCTTCTTTTGCAGCTCTTCAACCACGCTCGGCAGCACCGTCTTCAGCACGGCCTCGTGCACGAGAAGCGTCTCTGCTGCATTGCACGCGGCAGGGTAATCGCATTTAGAGTCCACAACCACCTTGACCGCCACGTCTTTCTCCGCGTCCTTGTGCAAATACACCGAGCACAGGCCGTCGGCATGTCCCAAGACCGGAATCTTTGTGTGGCTCTTGACGTACCTCACCAGTTCATTCCCGCCTCTCGGGATCACGAGGTCGATATACCGATCAAGGTCCAGTAATTCATCGATGACATCCCTCGTCTTGACCAACTGTATGGCCCCGACAGGGACACGGGTTCTGGCCAGGGCCTCCCCGATGACCTTGGCGATGGCCTCAAAGCTCTCGGAACTTTCCTTGCCGCCTTTCAAAATGGCCGCGTTGCCGGACTTGATGGCCAGGGCTGAGATGTTGGCGATGACCTCGGGGCGGGCCTCGAAGATGATAAGCAAGACGCCGATGGGACAAGACACCCTCTCCAGTTCCAGGCCCTGATCTAACCTCGTGCGCAGATCGACTCTGCCGATCGGGTCGGGCAAGTCCCGCACGTCCAGGATCCCCGTCAACATGTCCTCATACTTGCCCTTTCTGCCCAGGTCGAGACGCTTCAGTACCGACTGGCTTAGCTCGCCCTGTGACGAGGCCCGCTGTGCGCGCGCCATGTCGAGCGCGTTGGCCGCGAGAATGTCAGGCTTGTGCTGCACGAGGGCTGCATGGATTGCCGTCAGTGCGTCGTTACGCGCTGCGAGGGGCAGGATGGTGAGGGTGTGCGAGGCAAGTGAGGCGGATTGCGCACACGAGACGGGGCTCGAGTTTGTGAGGGACATGGTGGTGGCTGTCGACTTCTTCTCTGCTTTCGCGAATCCCTTGGTCTGCCCTGTCCCTCTGGGCGAAATCTTCAACGTCGAGTCACTTCGCCAACACGTCACCTTGGTTCATCCAACAATCAAGCGTGAAGTCGGGAGAGGAGTGAGGGTCGGGAATGGAGGGTGTGTATTGTGCGCATATGTCGTTGTAAAGGCGGCGCTGCTTTTGCTGGTTGGCGCGCCCTTCAAACAGTCAAGAATCAGGAGTCATCGGCTCCGGGTCCATGTACGGAGTCAAAGGTTACCGTCTCGCCGTCCAACTAATTAGCATCTTTTTTGCCACTTTCTTTGCCGCTTGAAACCCCTTGATACTGCGAGACTGGTTATACTAGACGGTGGCAGGGTCCACGTAGCACCCAATGATGATGTCTTGTTTGACTTGCAATATATGGAAGATCTAGCATCTAGGGCATGGGGTTCATTTGATTCTGCCTAGTAGATGTGCTACAGGCTCAATCCGATCTATAAACATATTTACATCCCACTTGGTGTTCTCTTGGAAAGCCCACGAGACTGGGCTTCGAGGAATATTATTCTCCCGCTGTTGATCCAGGGGCTCTGAAATCAGTGGCACTTCTTCTGAGAAACGGACATTCTATTCCTGTGCTTCCGGATTCAATATATCTGCCTTTCGTCTATTGGGATTTTCATGTCTCATCAGCTCATCATGCCTTTTATTGCTACAATGCTCTCAACAACGACCGACAACAACAACAAGCACAACAATAATCGACTGCAAAGGGTGGTCCTTCTGCATCGCGATAAAGATATTGTCCAAGGATAATTTCGTTTCCCGCATAGGTCCACTTACTTCTTGACCAGCAAGCTCGTTCCGCCCATTTCCTCGGGCTGATCGATTCCCATCGCGGCGAGAATTGTTGGTGCGACATCTCCGAGAACGCCGTCCTGTTTCTTCAAGCTCCATCCTTCAGGTGCATTGGCCATGACAAAAGGAACCTTGTTCGTTGTGTGAGACGTCTTGGGCTTGCCCTCCTCGTTCAACATTTCCTCGGCGTTGCCATGATCGGCGGTCACGAAGAGAATATAGCCTTCCTTCTTGCACGTCTCGTACACGGTTCCGATGGCAGCATCTGTGGCGGCCACTCCCTTGATCGCCGCCTCGTAGACCCCCGTGTGCCCAACCATGTCCGGGGGTGCGAAATTGTTCATCAAGAAATCGTACTTTCGATCTGCTATCCTTTCGCTGAGCTTGTCAGCCACCTTCTGAGCGCTCATAGGAGGGTCGAGATCGTATGTTGCCACTTTGGGACTGGGTATCAATTCTCGATCTTCGCCCGCGAATTGTTTCTCAACCCCTCCGTTGAAGAAAAACGTCACGTGGGCATACTTCTCCGTCTCGGCGACGTGACATTGTTTCAGACCTTTCTTGCCCAGCCACTCGGCTAGCACATTGCCCATGTGCTGAGGCGGGAAAGCGACCGGGAAGGTATAGTCGGTTTTGTACTGCGTCATGGTGGTAATTTCAATCCCTTTGGGATAGGGGAAATCGGGCTTAGGAGATCGATCGTAATCACCCAAAAGCTGCGTGACTTCTCTGACCCGATCAGATCGATAGTTGAAGAAGAATAGGGTGTCATTGTCCTTGATCCTCCTCTCGTCGCCACCAACGATAATGGGCTTGAGGAACTCGTCATTCTCGCCCTTTTCATACCGAGCCTTGATCGTGGCAACGGGATCGGATGATTCTTCTCCTTCGCCGAGCACAATGCCCTTCATGCCAATCTCGACGCGGTCCCATCTCTTGTCCCGATCCATGATGTAGTATCGGCCTACTACCGTAGCCAGCTCACCGATGCCAAGTTCGTTGAGCTTGTCGAGCAACTGTTGCATGTAACCAGCGGCACTCTTGGGATCAGTGTCTCGGCCGTCGCCGAAAAAGTGAATGAAAACTTTGGGCACCTTCATTTCTTTGGCGACTTGAAGGAGCGCGAACAAATGGTTGATGTGACTGTGGACGCCTCCATCACTGATCAGGCCAAGGAGATGAAGTCTGCCATTGCCGTCAACCGCTCGCTGGAAGCACTTCCTGATATTGGGAATCTTGTTCATCTCCTGCTTTTTGATCGTCTGATCAATCCTCACAACATCTTGCCACACCACTCTGCCTGCACCAATATTGAGATGGCCGACTTCAGAGTTTCCCATCAAGCCTTCAGGAAGACCAACGGCGAGGGAGGAGGCCTCGAGCTCGGTGTAGCCTTGGGCGGTTTTGGAGCCTTCTCTGGCAAACCCGTCCATGACAGGAGTTTCGGCGGCAGCAATGGCATCGCCTTGTGGAGGAGAGCTTTCGGACGGGATACCCCATCCATCGATGACAACTTAGAACGGCATTAGCAGATTGATCCCACCGCAATAGGAGCTCCGACGTCTTCTTACTCAAAACAGCTTTGTGCTCAACCTTCGTCATGGTGGCAGAGGCTCGAGAAGCTCGTCAACTGGATCTCTGGATATGGGAATGCGAACTCGGTGGGAGAAGAAGATGCAAAGGGCGACCAACGGTGCGTCAAGGTATCCGAACTGCTGCTAATACATTTGACACGGAGTACTGAGGGGAAAATAGGTATGAGGATAAATTTTGTTGACCTGAGAAATGAATGAATTGGAGGGGCTGATTGGGCCATGACGGCAGCTTTGTCGCAGCCAAGCAGCAGCAAGTAGTCAATTGGCGGGGCAGAAGAAAAGCCTGGGCGAAAAAGGGGCACGGAAGTCGGTTGGGGGGGGCGGGAGGGAGGGGCACGAGGGACGGGAGTTAAGTATCATCGGAGAGTGCCTTGGGTTGCTTAGGCGTCGGTAAGCCACCCGAGCCCCTGGGACTTTCCCAATTTCCCAACCGCAGCACCTAGCCTATCTACCCAGTAACCACCTGGGGTCTTAGGTGGCGTTGTTGTTTAGGGGATCGACAAGATCTGCCCATTTGACACCACAACCATCAACTGCAATTACGTCGTTGCCTTCCGCTTCATTCGTTCTCCGTCCTTTTTCGCTTGATCTCTTAGAGGCTCACAGTACCGACGATCGAAACTTTCGTCCCCCATCATCTCAATGTTGTTCCTTTACGCACCACTTCCTTTCTGTTTGACGAGCGTGACGGGCCAGAGTTGGATCTTTGGACCTGCCCTCGACTCTACCCGGCATCGAAGTGCTGTGCGCGTGGTGACCGCAGCAGCTCTTCCGACGACCTCTCGTGGTGAGAATCGTGCGTTGTGAGTATGGTGCGTCTCAATTGTTGTCTCGACGGTGAGTAGAGATGATCTAAGGGAAGGCGAAGTGGGAGCGAAAGAAAAAAGAGCTTAACAGGTCTTTGGCATCACCAGCATTGCCTTTCCCCCCATCGCCTCTGGGTCTTTGATGGATGGCAGCGGCCACCGCAGTAGGGATCGGCTCAGGGCGAGCAGACGAAGCCACAGCCTTCCCTGTTCCATCATTCGCGGACGGCGCCGGAAACATCTTGCGGAACACGCCCAATTGGCCTAGATTCTGCAGATGGTGGACCTTAGCTGCTCCATTTTCCGTCATCATGAGAGGGCTCAAGGGACATGTTGCTCCAAACAGGAGGGAACAATAGCCCTGTCTGCCCTGTTCACTTGAAAGCCATTTTGATCGTCCTTTCGCAAGACGCTAAAGGTTGACCCATCTCGCAATTTTCAAATCCCTACATCTCGAATTCAAAGTCTCGGCAACGTCCACATGATCGCTGTCGGCCCGGCTTGATGCGAGGATCTACCATTAACAATTTACTTCCTTCGCCTCCTATGTTGCTCCATTTACAGGTTAGCCGGCCAAGGCCTTCTCTGTGCTTATAATTCTTGGGCCGTGGTCGGCTCGCGCTCTCTGGAACACAAAAACCTGGGTCATCATGTCGAGTCCCAGGAGGGATCACGCTGGTCCGTCGCAGGGCCAGCGTCGGCGGGGAACTTCTCCTCCCAAGCCACGCTCTTCAAAGAAGAGCATCCCCCCGAAAGTGCGCACTTCACACGCTTGCGACCGTTGTCGCATGATGCGGACAAAGTGTTCCGGAGGCGAACGATGTTCCAAATGCGTCAAAGACAACGCAACCTGTGTTTACGGTGATCGCAAACGGGAGCGCAACAAAAAGTATGAGTGGTGTGGCCATCCCCCAATATATGTCGCTGACTTTGAGCAGAGATCTGGCCGAGAGCCTAGACCGCGTCAGCCTGTTGGAAGAAGAGAATACCAAGTTAGTCGGCGTCCTCCGCTCAGTCACGGAGTGGCCAGGCTTCCGACCAGAGGAACACGGCAATGTCATGGAGGTCTTGTCAAAGGTAGTCATTGGTGTATCTCACACACCCCCGAATTCTTTTAACTCCTAACAAACTTGTCAGTACTCGGAACAAGGTGATGAGGAAGAAGAGGAAGGGGAAGAGCCTGGACACGAGCCAAGCAGCCAGTCGCGGAGCCGGACCGCCCCTTCTAGCTCGCAACTTCCATCGTCTTCGTCGAGCCGACATCGGTTACATAGAAGTGAAGTTTCCGGTGAAGCCAAGGCCGGGTCGAGCGTAGGTTCTCCCCGCAAACAAGGGGAGTTGAACCATATTGTGTCCCTGGATCTCGGAGGCGGCGCCTCTGGCTTCATTGGGAAGATGTCAGAGGTCTCTTGGATTCAGCGTGCGTTTGAGACAGTTCGAGGACAGCAGGCCGCAAAGCCTACTACGTTGCACGCGGCAGAAATGGATGAGCATCCCGCAACAACTACAGACTTTGTCTATTTCATGGATGACACCAATGTGTTGGCCATAGATGAGGATTACGTGGATCCATCTCACTGGCCTCCTGAAAAGTCTGTGGTGATCTTGTCCGAAGCATTCTTTCATTCGATGCAGGGCGCATTCCATTTTGTCCTACGCGAAGAATTTCTGCAACGAGCATTCTCCTTTTCGGGCAAAGGATCGACTCCGTCGTCGTGGACACAACGACGCTGGTTGTCGTTGGCGAACCTCGTGTGGGCTATTGGGTCGAAGTGGCTACAGATAACTGAAATGGCCGACCAGGATAACCACGGAGAACACTTGCTCTACTATGCAAGGGCGCGGGCCCTGGGTCTCGACCACAGGGTCATGTTCGATCATCCTGATATTGAGCGCGTCCAAGGCATTGGCCTTTTGGCTTTCTACCTTTTTGTCAATGGATCCATCACGCGGTACGTTCCTGTGATCTTGTTAGGCTCAAGTATCCTAATCACTCGAACAGAGCCTGGAATACGCTAGGCCATGCTACCCGTCATGCCACGGCACTCGGTCTGCACTTGAGAATAACCGATCCGCGCGTGAGCGAAGCGGACAAGGCACGGCGAGCTCGCACATGGTATTCACTCTACAGCCTCGAGATCTTGATTGCCGAAATTACGGGGCGGCCTAAATCCATATTTTTGTCGGATGTGACCATACCTATAGACCATTTCTGGTCGGTTCCGCGAGAAGTCCAAGAATTCTCCGGACAAGTCGACAATCTCCAGTCGCCGGCTGGCTCGAGGAAGATTTGGCTCGAATACTTGAATGCTTGCCGCAATGCATCCCAGATGACCGGCGGGGTGGTCCCTTGGAAAAGTTTTGCATCGGTAGGACGCAGCATCCCCACTTCGTACTTGCCTCAACGACTATATCTCTGTCGCCTAAGTGACAAGATTGCATCGCAGATGTACAGCGGGACGTCTGAAGATTCGTGGTATGAGGTCCAACGGAAGATGGGCAATTTACAGACGGAGTTGAGAGCCTGGGCCGAGAATCTTCCTCAGGAGTTGGCTCTCCAGGGCCAGGATCCTACGGACACGGATCCTCGAATCAAGATCGAACTAGCCATGTACTACCAGAGCGTGGAGATGATCCTCAACCGCCCATGCCTCTGCGAGGTGATTATTGAGGACGAGTCGATCCATTCGAAAGAATTCAACCGAAGTTCGGCACGCGCCTGCGTGCATGCAGCCATGTCCATGTTGTCTCTGATGCCGGACTATCCCACTGCGCATGAGGCATACCAGCTGCTTCCGTGGTGGACGCTCCTCCATTTTGTGACGCAAGCAGCATCTGTGTTGCTGCTGGAGCTTGCTCTCGGCGCACCCCATTTCAGGGACGAGATACCACAGGTAGTGACATACTTGCGCAAGGCAATGGCATATCTCTGGTGCATGAGCAACAATTCACTGTCGTGTTACCGAGCGTGGAGGATATTCAGGCAACTGCTGACCGAGGTCATGGAGCGGCATGACGATTTGGACATGACCGACGTCCCTTCTGAGGCGCCGCCGCCTGCTACGTGGAATGAAGAGCTCGAAAAGCTGACCGTGAAGTCATTCGCGAATCCAAAGCACGGCTTTGCAGAACCCATGCAGCAATAAGGGAGGGAAAAAAGAGGGCGGGCACGAATTGATCCTAGCCACAACCTCAAGATTGCTCGATGATGTTGATCATGGCCAAACATATACTCCGCACACACAACGGACAATAGCTTTCTACATGATGATTCCTGAACAAGCATGCACGGGGAAACTTGCATTGTGGATTAAACAACAAAGGGGGGGTTAGGGCATACATACCTAGTATACGCATTCGAGCCGGTTGAGTCCGATTCATGCTTCTATCGGTACTGTCATCGCTTGTCTAGATCCCTTTGAGTTGTTTGTTTGTTGGGCTGAAGTTTGTCTTTCTCGTCAAGATTGGCACTGGTCGGAGGCATCTCCTCCCCTCCAGTGGATGGATATTGCGCCACGCCCCATATGTAGATCGTGTTGGTGGTTAGCATCAGAAGTCTTGAACCTCGGGGACATGTTTCTCCCTCTCGGTGATAAATGGGGTCTCTCTGGTAGATTTAATGGGCTCAGCATGTGGCGAGAGGGTGAATGCGACGTGGACTTGGAGTCGGAAGACCTAGGAGCCCTTTGTGGTCGCAGCCTTGGCCTACCAAGACGATGTCGTTCCTGGCACCTGCCAAAGGCTCCTGGGAACTGTTAATTTCCCAGCCCAAACGTCCACCGGTAGTTGTCAAGATCACTAAACGATGGCTTGCTGGCAGGCACCCGTCGGCGAATCTTACGGGAGGATGCCTGCTGGGGAAGAGAAGCACTGTGAGGACTTTTCATACGCGCCTCAATCCATACTCTCGACACCGAAGCACTACTACACAATTTTTACACACAGCCCCCTGTCCTCTCCTCTGTTCTCGTTGCAATCTTCGGGCTGCGAATTTCCACAATTTCTTCTTACACCGAGAGAACATATATCAAATTCCAACTTGCGTTCCATAAGGGGTGACGAATCCGATTCTCTATGCCCTCGCACATTCACTATCAGCCATGAAGCGCCCACACACCGAAGCGTCCCGAGGGAGCGTGCACCAGCCCTTCTTGTCTGAAACGCAGGCACTCGCGTTTCCAGCGCGCCAAAAGCTGCTAGATGACCCCTCAATCCTCGACGAGGTTCATAACACAGCCCAGCAAAGCCCGCTCTGCCCGCAGTGTACGACAGTCGATTTCGAGAAACTCTTTGCCATACCGAGTAGGCGACTTGGTCATGGCGGCCTCGCGGTAACGCATCATGTAAAAGACATCGACTGGGGATGCTCTCTTTGCACTCTTGATTCGCTCTCTCAATCCCTCCGAACTTACTCGGTAGGGAAGACGGCGACCCGGACATCCTCCAAGACGGATACCATCTCAGGGCTTATGCTAGGCTGAAGATCCTGAAAGCTTAACGCAAGGCGAGCAGAGTTAGTTCAAAGCCAAGCGTCGTGCTTGCCGTCGTTCCTGGGAAGCCAAAAAGGGGGCTTAATGGAGACCGGTCGAACAAAGCCATCAGCATGGGGTTGATATGCCCGTTTCAACCGCTTAACCTCAACAGCAACAATGATTACGAGTATTGTGGCAGAAAGGTTCATCGCAATGAAATCAGCTTTGTGCTCGTCCGCTGTTGGATTCAGGAATGCCAATGTGCTCAACGCCCCTCACATCCACGGTGTAATTTTAAGTGGAGAAAGTCCTCATGGGCGAGATCCGGCTAGATGACTATGTAGCTAGTTTAACTAGGGAGCTCGGGTTAGATCCTTCTCGAGGGTGGCTTCCATCCACATTGAGATATCGCCGACAGAGAAGGATTGCCAACTCCAACGCCGAATCGTATCACCCATTATGGACAGCGTCGTCGCCGCTCTACACATCCACAAGGCCCCTCAGGCTCAGCTCCGCCAGCCTTGGCTCTTCAGGCTAATCAGACTGCTACTGTAGAAATTATAGTCCAGGCGCTAGGAAAGTGAGATGTACTGCAAAAGCGGCCTTTCGGCGCGGGTAGACCTACTGGGCACTCCACAACACGCAGTATTACTCCGTCCCCCCGCATTATTGAGATATCGCCTCGGTTCCCTGGACGTCGGTTCTTCCACAGGTACGTAGATCGGCCAGGATATAAAGGAATGCTGACCCCAATACGAGCCACATCTGTATCCTGACATCACCTACGATCTTTCTCGTTGTACTCTCCCCATATCTAAACATGCCGTACCTCGCCCGTAACGGTGTCCGATTGTACTATGAAGTCCACGGGAGCGGGCCTCCTCTTCTGCTGACCCACGGCTACTCATCCACTTCTGCCATGTGGGCCGGTCAAATCGCCGCTCTCTCAAAGAGCTTCAGGCTTATTCTCTGGGACATGCGCGGGCATGGGTCATCTGACTATCCTCCCGACCAATCCATGTACAGCGAAGCCCACACGGTCGAAGACATGGCGGCAATTCTCGACCAAGTCTGCGGTCGCGGCAGTATTGCCATTGTCGGTGGTCTCTCATTGGGCGGATATATGTCGCTGGCATTCTATCGCGTCTACCCCGAGAGAGTGCGTGCGCTGCTCATCATCGACACGGGCCCAGGTTTCAAGAAGGACGCTGCCCGTGAAGAGTGGAACAGGACAGCCCATGCGACGGGGAAGAAATTCGAAAGCGAAGGACTCGGCGTTTTGCAGGGTATGAGTGCCGAGAGAGCCACTGTGAGCCACCGCGACGCGAAAGGGCTGGCGCTTGCCGCGCGCGGTATGCTTGCACAAAGGGATTCGAAAGTCATTGATTCGTTGCCAAATGTCAAGGTGCCTAGTCTGGTGGTCGTGGGCGCCGATGATACTCCCTTTTTGGCGGCGAGTGAGTACATGGCCAAGAAGATACATGGGGCGAGAAAAGTTGTCGTACCCAATGCTGGCCATGCTGTCAATATCGATCAACCCGAGAAGTTCTTGGAGGCTGTAATGCCTTTCCTAGAGGAGGTCAAACACAATAAGAAGCCGAGGGCGTCGCTCTGAGGCAGAGAGAGAACTGGAACGGAGACGACCTGACATGATAGCGGCATTCCCAGCGCGAGCTTGAATGAAACGCCAAATGAACTCTAGCTGCTTTTGTACAGTCTTGTTTTCGTTCGTGCTTTTGGGTTTGTTGTTTGGTTGGGTTTTGTTTTTGGGTTTGCGTTGTTTTGTTTTGGTGTTCCAATTCTGCCGCGCCCTTGTAACTTTTGCACTCTCCGCCCACCTACACACAACAGATTGTAATCCAGTATTCCGAAAATAAATCGCGAAAAAAAGAAGAGAGCGCAAAAAAGGGGGCTTACCTTGTGCGACTTACCTTTCGAACTAAAGACTTACCTGGATACATTATCCTATCCCGCCGCCGCTTCCTAACCAGATCTCGACCAGGTGTCCCTGGACGGTCCTGTCTGGCAGAGGAGGCATTGGAATATTGGGTCTGGTCCCCCTGACGCAGTGTTCCCAAGCGAGGATAGGCGATTGAGCAGCCCTACGTTACAGGGGGGACCGTTTTCAAACACCGCTCGATGGCCCGAGATCGGGCTGTCAATCTTGAAGACATTTCCTGGTTAATGAAATATATCCCCTAGAAATGAGTGGATATCTGGGTATGGTAGATGTCGCCGCTTGGCGGTATTGAAAGGGCGTACGCTGCTAGTGTATCATACACAACGGCGAGCGGAGTTTTCGCAGAATTTTCACAGGGGTTTCATTCTCTTCTCTTCTCGGCTGATTGTTTCCTTGCTCATCCTGCAAATCACAGCCAAGGGTAGTTGGTCTGTCGTCTCAAAATGAATCCAATGCCTTGGCCGAGTAGGGGGTCTTCAGCAAGGGAGTTGCGCACTACCAAGGCCAGGCCAAATCTCAGATGGTGAGTGTTCATCATGACAAGCAATGGCAAATTCGTCCAGGCTGGCAGGTCTCTCGCATCTATTGGCGAATAACGGGTTCCAAGGCGGCGACTTTCTCACCTCGCAAAGGTAGAGTATCGAAGCCCAAGTCTTGTGTCCAAAGGTGTCTGCGGATGGCGGGTCGTCTAGGACAAGTCGCCTACCGCGTTGAATTGCACCAACTCTCAGCTGTTCTCGCTGTTCACCTCTGCGATGAATTATATCCTCCTATCATTATGCGACATGGAGATCAACAGCATCCGACCTCAAGTCAGACTCTTCCTCCGAGAGCGATGCAACCCAGGACACCCTTATGAAGACAACTCTTTCTTGACCGCTTATACAAGCTAGTCCGGCTTGAAGCCCATCGACTCGAAGGTTGATCCATATAATAAAGTGGCGCCAAAGCCATGCATCGGCTTGATGGAGTGATTTGACTACGGGCTCTGCGGCTTTCGCATACAGCGAAGCAAGGCTCTTAATGTGATTCCGGCACTCAGGCTGATGACGGGGACACAGGCTGCGCAGGAAGCGGGTGGAAGGGTCTCTTCTCTTGGGTCGAAATCTCTAGTACCAAAGGGCATTCTCTGCAGTAGATGTATTTCCAGTACATAGAAGAAGGGCTTTCCCCCTTTCGACTCTTCCTTGCCCCTTCATACAAGTTCGTGTGGTGCATGTGATGAGAATTCAAGGCAAGTTAGCCGATACCAAACCACCTCCACCACCTCCAGCGCCTCTTTGCCTTCCTGCCTTGCAACGCATCTTGCCATGAACTGCTTTGACCATAAACTACTCCCTGTATTGAATGCTGGCGTTTCCTTCCTGACTCGTTTCACCTCTTTCTCTTTGCTCTCTTCGGCGGAGCGGGTTCTCAAGATCCGTTCGCTTTTGGCTGTCAGTCATCACAGCCTCAGATGCGCCTGCAAGCACATCGATTCTTCTTTGGCCTCATCCTGCGGTCTCAATGACAGCGATCATCTCCGACCCTGCGAGCGTTTCGACATTGTCAGCCTAGCTTTTGCACACACGCATACTTCAATCTCACCATGAAGACCACCTATTCGCTGATTGGCCTCAGACGGTGGTCATGCAAAAGCAAGGAACTACCTCTTGGACCTACAATCAAGGCTATTCACGTCTACGACTTTGACAACACTCTCTTCAACAGTCCCTTACCTAACCCCCAGATATGGGCGCAACCTACGGTCAGCCTACTTCAGACATACGAGACTCTCGCATATGGAGGATGGTGGCATGACAGCAGCATCCTTGCAGCCACAGGAGACGGGCTTGAGACCGAAGAACCCCGCGCATGGGAGGGTCACTGGAACGAAACTGTGGTCGAACTTGTCGATCTGAGCAGCCAAACCAAGGATGTCCTCACGGTTTTGCTCACCGGGAGAGGAGAGACGTATTTCGCGGATCTGGTCAACAGGATTTGCAACTCGAGGAAACTCGACTTCGACATGGTCGTGCTAAAACCGGAAGTGGGCCCGTCCAGCCAGCAATTCGAGAGCACTATGGCTTTTAAGCAGGAATTCCTCAAAGAGTTGGTCTTTACGTATAAGAATGCGGACGAGATCCGGGTCTACGAGGATCGCGCCAGACACGTCAAAGGGTTTAGGGATTACTTTGAGCGTTTGAACAAATCATTCCTGTCGCACCCAGTCGACCAGCCGCCCCCACCTCGGAAGCCCATCACTGCTGAAGTGATCCACGTCTGTGAGTTGAAGTCTACACTTAACCCAGAGGCCGAAGTCGAGGTCGTCCAGCGATGTGTCGCTCGCCATAATGAGGCAATCTCTAATGGGAGCCCAACTCTGACCAAGACTGTCCGCAAGCACCTGAAGATCGACCAGCAGTTTTGCTACTTTGGCTACATGATCAACCAAACCGACTCTGCTCGCCTCTTGACACTGTTCAATATCTCACCTGGTATGATTGATTCTGGTGAAGTTCGTCTTTTTGCCTCGAGTATCCTCATTACGCCTTATTATCCTCGGAACGACATTCTCAAGAAGGTTGGCGGACGCGGGAAAAAAGTCACTTGGCAGGTTACCGGCATCGCCAAGTTTGAAGACCGTATTTGGGCTGCTCGTGTTGCACCGGTATCAGATACACAAATATACACGCAAGATCCCACACCCCTTGTTGTCCTTGCCGTCCGAAAGGGGTCCAGGCAGATCGACGCGGCGAGAATACCTTCCTGGCAATCCGTCCCTCCGGACAGGGCATTCATGTTCGAAACCACAGTAGCTGACAAGGTCATGTTGAAAATCGAAGACGATCACCCCCGAAGTCAACGATGGCCAGGAGGAAACCGGAGGGGTCATTTTGGCAATGATGCTGAGACTGGACATAAGCGCAAATATGCACCAGACGAACAGAACTCGCGGAACAGAGATTCGTATGCGCGGGTCGCGGCTGGAAGCGACAGAGATGATGGTGGTTACCGAGGAGGGAGGTTTGCACAACGTAACCAGCAAAGTAAGGCTAACTTCAACAATCGCAACAATCCAAACCTACCCGGAGGGAGAGGTAACAATCCAGGCGCAAATGTTGGCACCAGACAGCGTGGTGGCGGCCAAGGTGCGGGTGGGCAAAACAGAGGGCGAAACAGCGGTCCTGCTGGTGGAGGTGGCGGTCGAGGAGCACCGGCATATAAGAGCCTCGACGACTATCCACCAGGAAACTTTGATGGGGCCAACGATCCGAAGACTGGGTCGGGCGAAATGGTCATGAACTATTAGTGCTGGTATTTCCAGGCGATTGTTATTTGTTGCAGGATGCGGCACAAGGGCGGAGTCACTGTCCAGTTTTATGATACGAACCAGGGGCGTTGGCACATTCATCGGTCACGGGGCTTCACCGCACAGCTCGGCGTTGGACTGGAACGTGGTGCACATGGCATCGGTATTGCTCGTATGATGCTCGAGACGGGAATAGGTTTCGGTCGGCCTTATACAACCATCCTGGCCGAAGAAAACTGGTTGCTGGGATAGCATTGCCGCTTTCAAAAGCAACATAGTGTTGTCGAGCGCAGACGGACACGTCAGGGCTACCCTTTTGAATGTAATATCACATCATGCCAGTTTGCTCAAAGGGGACATATATGATTAGAATAGCCAGGAAGAAGAGATGATCTTTTTTGATGCATCTCCCTGGCTTTTGACTTTCCTAGTCGACTAGTCAGTGGGCGAGTAGATATGCATCTCAAGAAATCCTAGTAGATGGGGCCGTCCATCCCCCTCCTTGCTCGCTCTGGCCATAATAGCTCTGTCGCGAAGGTGAAGACGCCTTCTATTTTTTTTTCCTGTTCGTTGGCGCAGTGCACCGTCCACTTTTAGCCATTGTTCAAAAGGACGCTGTGTCTGGACGTTGTGTCTTGGGTTTCTCGGTCTCGTGTCTTGTGTCCTATAGCGGAGGCTGTTTGTGTTCTGACTCTTCCCATGTCCGTGCAGGGCAGTGTAGTCGGTAGGTAGCGAGGTAGATAGGGTCCTTTTCAAAAGCCATCACCCTCATGCCACTCCCTGCCGCACTCCTTCGCCCGGGTCTGTGGATCGAACCCCCTCTTGAGGGCCTGCTCCCTCGCCTCGTCCAAGTCCCTGCCCAACCGGCCGCTCTGATCTTTGAGCTTCTTGAATTTCTTGCTGCCGCCCTTGTCGCCGCCGCGCCACAGGCCCTGCAGTTTCCCGTCCAGGACCTCCTTCGCTCTGAACGAGTCCAGCCACTTACGCAGCCCTTGCTCGCCGCCCTCAAAGCAGATCCCGTATCCGTCGCAGTAGCATCTGTGTTGCGACGGGCACAATTCAAAAACGCCCGCGAATATGTAGTGCCATGCATACTCCAGGATGCGGCCCGAGATTTTGTCGTCGAGCGCCGTCCTCAGCAGCCAGTCGCGGAAGTGCACGTAATCTCTCCGTGGGCGTTGGCGGATGCGCTCGCCCGAGACGGCGAACTGTGCGCAGCACGGTTGCGAGATGGCGCGCGGGATGGCAACGTCGCTCCCAAACAGGTCGTGGAAGAGCGACGAGCTGAGGGCCGGTTCTTCGGGCTTGCGCTGTAGATCGTACCTCCACTTTGGCCGGTCGACGTGCAGCCAGTCTGGGCAGCCCGGGTCCAGGTGGCAGCGCGTGTTGAAGTAGCCCTGCCGCATGACGTGGGCGTCCGAGAGGAGTTTGATGGTGATGGCGGTATCGGCGTCCAGCACGATGTTGTTGTGCCAGCTTTTCTTGGGCGGGTGGAAAAACAGGACAATATCTGGCAGAGAATCATAGTGGTCGATGATGTAGGTCAGATAGGCCATCGCCTCGTTACCTTTGTTGGCTGGCAGACCAGAGTAGTCGGGCGAGTCGACCGTGTATATCTTCCTAGGCAGCTCGGGGAGGTCCTTGTCAAGCCAAGACGCATCTTCAGTCGACAGGCGCGCCATGACAAGGACACGGGTGTAGTTCCCTCCAGCTGGTTTGGCAGTGCCGGAGGAGAAGAGAGATGGGTTATATGATGGTCCATCTTGGCCGTCGACGTATGATTGCTCCGACGAGAAGTTGCCCAAGTTTTTCAGGAGGAGTGTAAAGATAAATGCCGCGAGCACCAGAGACAGTATAGATGATCGGCGAAAGAGGGACATGGTAGAGAAAAATCGAGGGAAATATGAGAAGAGAGATCACCGTCTTCTTTTGCCCTTCATGGTGCTCCACAGGGTGGCAATTCTCCAGACTGGGGTGGGTGGTTTAGAAGGGAAGAATCTTTTTTTCTTCTTCTTTCTAGGACTCCCAAATCAACCAATTCAATATATAATAGCCAAGGTCTTTGGGTCCTTCCCATTTGCGGCTAACTCGAGTGCCAGAAAGACAGGGACAGGGGATGAGAAACGACCAACCGAAGATAAGGTATTAAGGACGAACGGGGAAAGACGTGACATTCTCAATGAGAGTCACGTAGTGGAAGGGATGGTTGTGCCCAAGAATGTATGTTGCGTTTGTTGTCCTCAGCTGTGGAGATGACAAGGAATTCTTGGAACCTTGCCGCGTCTTGACCCCGTCATCAATGCCTTTTGCGGCTTGTGGAAGACAAGCTGGTGGACGAATCCAATTTCTCTTGTGGTTGTGGACGAGGTGAAATCTTGGGGGGGGAGAATGAAATTGCGCCTATCAGGCTGCAGGCACGAGGCTCCGCTAATTCCCCAGCAAGGAGCCAGTTGACATGCCCTCAGTCGAAACAGATCTTTGACCCATTTGCTCTATCATTTGTATATGTATCTGCTGGCCCTCGCACCTTGTGCCATGATCGTACACGTTTGCCCCCAAAATATAGTACCGAGTACTCAGTGCATACCACCATGATGAGAGGAGTTGCGCCGCCGCTAATGCACTGTGTCCAAGATCTTTTCTCCGCCCTCAGCCGTCCTTGCAATGCCGCGTGTTCATACAGTCCAACGTCTTCCTGTAATCCTCCTTCTCGTTGAGTAGTCCCATACCATCGTCAATCGCATCGTCCATCCTTCCACCCATCTTTCCACCTCTGCTTCCAGAGACTGCAGTCGAACTCGGGCTTGCCCAGCTTCACATTCACCGCGTTGTGAGCTTGACACATCCACATACCCAGGTCATCTTGGCCTTTGACCTTGGGTTCGTTCCCGGGCTTTTTCATCCAGTCTCGAAAATCTTCCGCGCAGACCCAGCAAGGATAGAGCATAGAGAAAGTGGAAATGAATTGCTTCATGACCGATTGAGTCTCGGGAGGCGCAGCTTCCGGATATGTAGCGGCAATGCTGTGCAGTAGTGTCCACGTACAGCGCCCGAGCTCCTCGACGTCAGGTGGGCATTCGGTTCGCGGAGGAGGGACTGGAGCCGCAGCTTTTGTTTTTTTGCCGCTCTGCTTCATCATTGCCATCCACGCGGCAGAGGAGGTACAGGTTCGACATCTGTCCCGCAGTCAGTGACAGGGCCGAGCCTCCGGAAAGGAGCAACTCACGGTTTCCCATCCTTGTCCAAGACAACTCCCGGCGCATATTTCTGTGGCTTGTCTTCATGCTCTGCGTCCTTGGAGCCCGATGCTTTACTGACAGGAAACGGGAAAGACATCTGTTCTCTAAGTCTAGCGCACCACACGCCTTCCTCGGATCACCGCAATCGACCCTCACACGCTCTGGCAGGTACACAATGGAATTTGCAACATGATTGCAAATCAGAAATGGAAGCCTCGACTGGCGAGGCGGCAAACACCGATATATCCGATGCGGGCTCGCCTGACCTTCTGCTTACGCCTTACCAAGCAAGGCTAGGAAGGAGACTTGATCAGTACATACCATCACGTGTCTGCGTTGTTTATGCGGGGAAGCCTCGAAGCGATCACAAAACCAAATCCAATGGTCGACGTGGCTGATGCGACCAGTGCGTTTTCCATTGATCCAACCAACCCCTGCGCGCAATTGATCGATCATCTTACTGCCGTTCTTCGCTCTCCAATTGATATACTTCATTTGCATCGGTCAACACAATATGTCCGTGTCCGACTCGGAGCTTTCAGAGGCCTCTAGGACACCCGCGCCGCCGGACCATGAACTCGAGAGAAGTCTGCGACGCGAAGTGGTCAAGGCGCAGAGAGACGGGATAGACTTCTCGACCAACTACATTCGTGAAGCTTCCGAAGCAAAATTGGGGTTGACAAAGGGTTTCTACAAGAATCACCACGAATGGGCAGAGCGAAGTAAAGCCATCATAGCCGAGCAGTCGGTATGTTTGGACGCTTTTGAGTTTTGTGCATCACATTTAGTTAACACTGCTGTTAGGACATCCAGTCACACACACAGAGCTCTCCCGTACAGCCTAAGCCTAGACAGTTGAAGAAGACTCCTGCGAAGCGCAAGTCCTCGGAGAAAGAGTCCGCTCCAAAGAAGAGACAAAAGGCTGTCGCAAAAAGCGACGATGACGCTTCCGTCGACCTGTCTTCACCCTTGAGCGACCTAGACTCGGAAGCACTGCAAGAGAAGCCGAAAACGAGACAACCGAAGGCCCTCCCAAAGCCTCGCCTGACCAAGTCAAAGCCCGCGCATGCCAAAAGAGCAAAGGTCGCAGTGTCTAATGAAGAAGACGAGGACGAGAAGCAGGCGAACGGTGCTGTCGCAGAAGAGTCCTCAAATGAAGGAGAAACCGCAGCCACTGACAACGCTGACGGCGGTTCTGAGAGCGAGATGTCGATCCTCTTAGACGAAGCACCTCAGCAGAAGAAGAACAGGAAGGGGAAAAACTCGGTGGGACAAAGGCCCAAGAAGCCTAGTAGATCCTCCACAAAACCCGGGGCAGGCGCTGATGTCGACCCCGAGCAGGCCGAAATCAAGCGTCTCCAAGGCTGGCTGCTAAAATGCGGTGTCCGCAAGTTGTGGGGTAAAGAGTTAAAACCCTATGAAACGACCAAGGCCAAAATCAAGCATTTGAAAGAAATGTTAGCCGACGTCGGCATGACTGGCCGCTACTCCCTGGAAAAAGCGAATCAGATCAAGGAGGCCAGAGAGTTGGCGGCTGACATTGAGGCTGTCCAAGAAGGAGCAGTCCGGTGGGGTGCTGTCGAGGATGAGGACGGAGCGCGAGGTGAGAAAGAGACAGAAAGTGGTGCGCGGCCCGCGGCAAGGAGGTTGGTGAGAGGGGCGAAGAATTATGACTTTTTGAGCAGCGATGGTGAAGAGACAGATTGAAGACGGAATTCGCACTGCGACACCACGTCATTCAGATGTTGGCTTCAGGCCCGGGCCCTTTCAGTCGAGATTCTTCCTTGATGGATGGCGACACGACAGGCTGTTGCTTTTATTTGATAGCCTTGTTGCCGCTCATGCGTTGTGCTACGAGGCTGAAGACAGCCACGGACGAAATGAACAAGACCAAGTTGTAAAACTAGATCAGGCAGGTTAGAATGAGTGTTCAAGGTTTGTTCATACCGTTGGGATATCAATGAAGCTTACGGCATTGCGGGAGTACTCGTTCTCTTCTGCCTCGGTTCGCGCCTCGACAAAGAGGCGGCGGAGATTTGGCAGAGCCATGTTGATCACCTGGATTAAGGTCTGTGAGGTCCGCTGACTGACGGCGTATATTTGAGTGAATCGGGTCGGTGTCAAGGGGAGACGAAAAGAGAAGAAAGTCGATCTGTCAGTCTTTCGCAGTGCCGGTATTTCTTGGCAGCGACCCGCCAGAGCCTTGTGGTACCTCGTCACAGCCTCGCCAGAACATCGCCGCCTCTCAAAACCATTTCCAAACTCCTTTCTGAAAAGTGCTAGTAATCAGTCCTGCCATTTTTTCCACCCCGGTTGACCGGCTTGAACCAACTTTGGAAGGTTTTCTTCATTCAGAGAATGGCCTCACTTATTGGCTTTGTGTCACTATTCAGACTGAACCTTGGAAAGGGATTTGTGGATGCGAATCATCTTCAGGCCTCCTGTCCCAGCACCACAAAGTTCTTACAAAACATTGGGGTCCTGATCATCTATTGCAAAGTCAGCGGCAACACTTTTTCGTTGTGGGGTACATGTAATCACAGCACCACTTGTGGAAGCTACTTTCAGGCTTCTACCGATCAGCAGAATCGTCGTTTGCTGGTCTTCTACCAATGTCACACCATCCTAATTTCGAGTTCCTTGCGAGGAGGAAGTGGAAGCCTCTCCGGGACTCGATCATCAGCACGTTTCGACACCGCCCTTCGGGACAACCGTAGCGCTTCCTTCACCCATGCTTTGAAATCCTATCCGAAGGTAAGGCGGCTTGAATGCATCAATTCTAGGCCTTGGAGTTGGTCGCCTCAACACTGCTCATACATTAACGTCGTATAAGGCGTCAACGACGCTGATGGCTTGCTTGTTGTCTACTTGCTGACTTTCAGGCCCGTTGTCTCGCCAAGATAGAACGCTTACTTCATTCTCACCACATGTATATAAACAGTCGAAGCTCCTATCATTCCGTACTTCTCTGGGGAGTAACGTTGCTCGGCCTCAACAAACTTTTGTAACCATGGATGGCCATCCACTTGCTCCTATTCCACCCCTTACGCTCCAAGATGGTGTCAATCGCGATGATATCAACGCTGGGGACATTGTTGCCGACTGGCTCGCTGCACTGGAGAAGCGACCTAAGAATGGTCGGTCTACCGACCTCTCAGACCTCTTCATTGACGATTCCTGGTGGCGCGATTTTACTGGCCTTTCATGGGACATAGTGACAAAACACGGCCTCGAGGATGTTGCAGAGTATCTCACCACCTCGACCACGGGATTTGGACAGCTGACCGCCATCAAGGCCGGTGGGCTGCAAGCGAGCTTTGTAGATATGAATGGATTCATTTGGATCCATGGTGGGTTTACTTTCCAGACAGCCGATGGCTCGGGCACCGGTCTTGTCCGATTGATTAATGTGGGCACGTCTCGGTGGAAAGCTTGGATAGTCTTCACTCAACTTGAAAGACTCAACAGCCAAGATGAGCTTGACAAGCAAAGATTACGACAATCCTACACGCAGACAAGGGTCGCCAATGGTGTCAACGGGGAAAAGGATGACTTGCAGGTCTTGGTCATCGGTGCAGGTATGTTGGCTTAAGTTCTCTGGACCTCCACAAGCTGATACATTTCTAGGCCAATCGGGTCTCATGCTCGGTGCACATCTCAAGAACATGGGGGTCAAAGCATTGCTCGTTGACAAGCTCCCTCGACTCGGTGATTTCTGGCACTCCAGGTACGAAACAGTTAGAACACATACACCAATATATACCGACCATTATCCCTTTCTCAAATTCCCAACCAACTGGCCACGATGGCTTGAACAGGACAAGATCGCTGGCTGGATGGAACATTACGGCCAAGTAATGGAGCTCGACTATATGCTCAGCACGACCGTGAATAAGATCGACTATGACGAGCAGAACCGTCGATACACCGTCGAGGTGGAAAATGAAGGCGGCAAGCATGTCTTCCATCCTCGACACCTTGTTCTAGCGACTGGCGTGTTCAGCGGCCACCCTACCGCACCTGAAATCCCAGGCAAAGACTCATTCAAAGGAGAGACATATCACTCGATGTATCACAAAGCCGCACGCCTCACACCTGATCTCGCTAACAAGCGCGTCGCTATCATCGGCTCTGGCACCAGTGCCCACGACATCGCTCAGGATTTTGTCAATTCGGGCGCAAAAGAAGTCTCGATCGTCCAGCGTCACGGAATCTTCTCTGTTTCGGCCAAGGCAATTGAGGACGCCTACTTCTCCCTCTGGCGGACACCCGGCATATCTACCGAGGAGGCAGATGTCATTGCCAACTCATTCCCCACCGCAGTGGCTCGGACATTTAACATCGGCCAAACGCACATGATGGAGCAGCACGACAAGGAACTGATTGAGGGCATGGAGAGGGCCGGTATGAAGTTGAAACGGGCAAAGGAAGTGGGGTATGGCTTCATCGACCACCTCTTGGTTAAGACCGGTCACTTTTACATTGACCAGGGAGCCAGCCAGATGATTGTGGACGGGAGAATCAAGATCCACTCTTGCGAGGAGGGTGTCAAGGAATTTGTTCCGGAGGGTTTCGTCCTGGGAGACGGGAAGAAGGTGCAGGCCGACGTGGTCGTTCTGGCGACCGGGTATCAGCGAAATGTCGTCACTGTCGAGGAGCTCATGGGCAAGAAGGTCGCCGAGAAGGTTGGTGACCTGGGCTACCTCGACGACGAGCAGGAGCGGATCGGGGTAAGTGACTTGCTTTTGCTGCCTTCACCTCCCCCAAGATTTCTCCCGTCCTGTCTTTTACCTATTCGCCAGCCGCGTTTGTTTCGAGCGATTGCTAACCATTGCGTGACACACAGTGGTGGCGACCAACAGGCTTCCCGGGCTTCTGGTACATGACTGGCAGCTTCGTCTGGGCGCGACAATTTTCGCCGGTGCTGGCCTTGCAGATCAGCGCCATTGAACAGGGCCTGAATCCGGGATACTGGGAGCTACGAGAACGGAACAACAAGGGGCTAGGCACGATCGCGCGGAGAGGGTAGGGCGAAAGTTCGCCATGTTGGGCCATTTAAATCCCTTCAAGTTGGTCATCTTCTTGACTTCGCCAGCGTTGCTACGCTCTTGTCTCCCGTTCCGTCTCGTGGTCACACATCGCCGTCAACAATTCATTGTCTGTTGCATCTTCCAACTGAGCCTTGTCACTCTTTGTGCCCTAGTGCCTTTTGTGCTTTTGTTGCTCTGGCATTCAACAACGAACATGTTGTCTGTGTCACTTGACTGTCGTCTTCTTGTCCCCTATTGTGTCGCTTTCACCCATAGTCAAGAGGACAAAGGCCCGTTTGTGTCGGCGCCATTATAGATTGGCTTCTCGGGCTCCCTGTCGGAGTCTCTCGCAAATGATCAATCATCGTTTGAAATTTCATTTGAGAGACAAATACATAATACGATCACACACGGACTATACATGCCGATGCGAAGCAAAGCAAAGATCAACAAATCAAACATCAGACCAAGACCTATCTATCATTTTACTATTCACCATGAAATTCCTCGCCACCACCACCGCCGCCTCCGCAGGAGTGGCCGTCTTCCTGTCCCTCTCCCTCTCCGCGTCTCTAGCCTCAGCAGCAGCTATCGGCGACCCATCCGGCCTATCAGCAATCGCCAACACATTCTCTCTCGGCGCGCGTGGCCTGAAGAAGATGGACGGCAAGTGCACTTCCAGCGGCGGGTGCAAGGTGCCGGGGGGGCTGCACTCGGCGTACCCCTGCTGGAACTCGATCTGTAACGTCACGACCCACAATGCTGGCGCCGTGGGACCCGACAAAGGCAAGAACTGCACCATCGCACCCGGCATGGGCGGCGCGTGGGTCGCAAAGTGTCCGACCAACCTGCTCCCGTATGAGTGGGAGTGGCCGTGGGTGCCGCCCAGGAAGGATGACGGTAAGGGCAAGGGTGATTCTGGGAAGGACTGAGATGGTTGTAAAGGCCAAGTCACGAGCTATTAGGTAGCGAGTTTGGTTTGGGAGATACGGGCACATGCAGAGATGCAGGCTATGCTAGGTGAGGAGGTTCCTGGGAGTTTGGTTCGCACAGAGTATGTAGACAATTCATTAGGCAGACCCAGGTAGGCATGTATGTGGAATGGATGAGAGTGAACTGATCCAGACAATAGACAACCAAAAGAAAGAAAGAAAAAAAACATAAAAATATAAAAACGCAGCTTCGTGTCCAAACGTTAAACACGTTTTCGTAGCCTGCCAGAGGCCATGGTCGCAAAGAACCTTTGTGCTTCACAGATCTATCTACTTCTGGAAAGGCGCAAGACCCTCGACCTTATCTTGGTCCACGTTCCCCACGGTCCCCGTGAAGCCGTTCGCCTTGACGTGGGCGAGATCGTCTTGGTGCGCACCAGCCGAGGAGTGGCGGGAAGATTCTTTCCCGACGACGACGGCCAGGATCCGCGCGATGTCAAGTTTCTCGAGGCCGCCTGCCGGATTCTGGGATGACCGCCAAGCGACGTGGTCGTCGGGCCTGATGAGCACGGCGTCGCGCCCCTCCCAGACCTGTTTCGCGTGAGGCTCGTCGGGCAGGGAGACGGGTCTGAGCGGGACGCCCTGCCTCTTGGCCTCGGGCTCGAAGGCCCTGATGTATCGTGCATCGGGTGTGAAGTCGATCAGGGAGAATTCCCTGCCTTGTCCGAACAGGTCGAATATGCTGGTCTTGCCGTCCTTCAGGAAGACATGGGGCGCCCGCGCACCGGGCCACGTCGAGGGGATGTAGTGCTCCGGGTTCCATTCCGGCTCGGTCGGGCTTTCCTCGTCCGGGACAACGACAGGGGACCCGTTGTACCGGTAGCCCATCTCGATGCCGTGGTCCTTGTTCTCTCCATCGTGCAGGGTGATGTATTCGGCAATCTGTCTGCGCAGGCCGTCGCCTTCGGCCGTCGTCGCGGTGACGGCGTTGCCCGTCTTGTCCACCAATTCCTTGTAGAAGGAGTGCTGTTGCCAGTGCACGCCCGACCGCTCAATGTTCCTGGCCGCCACGGGCCTTCGCTCAACTTCGTAGGATTGCAAGAGCAACGGGCCGCCGTAGCCAGACAGCACGGCCGCGAGCTTCCAGCCTATGTCGAAGCTGTCTCCGACGGCGGTGTTCATGCCGTAGCCGCCGGTCGGAATGTTCTGGTGCGCGGCGTCGCCCGACAGAAAGATGCGGCCGTGCGGAGAGATGTACTTCTCGGCAATGCAAATGTTGGGCCGCCATGTGCTCGTGACGAGGACCTCGTCGATCTTGATGGGCCACGGCTCGGACGAGCCTCCGAGGACACGGTACACGGTTTCCTCAGGGTCGAGCGTCGACACGTCAAAGTCGAGAGGGAGGGGAGTATGTGCTGTCCACGTGTCGACTTCGTCCTGCGAGATGATGACATGTCCGGTGGTGAAAAAAATGTGCCAGAACTGGCCTTGTCGCTGAATCCGACTCAGGTCGCGCGACTTGAAATGAACCAGGTGAAGTTTGGCAGGGCTGGGAGGTGACTGGTTGTGAGCTCAACGAAGCATGAGAAACAGACGAGGTTGATAATACAGAACACTCACACTGGACCTCCTATCAGGTCTACTCCAATGGCTTTTCGTACCCGGCTCCCTGCACCATCGCAGCCAACAACATACTGGGCTCTGACTCTGTGAGTTTCTCCTGCGGTGTCGGTAAAGTCGCACTCGACGCCCGTGTCCGACTCGGACAGCGTCTCGAACTTCCAGCCAAAATGGGACTCGATGAGAGGCTGTTCCTGGATACGTGGTTTCAGCCAGGCCTCGAAGATTGCCTGCGAGCACCGCTGGTATGGTTCTCGAGGCATCGAACCGTCATTGTGCTCTTTGATGTGAGCACGCCACCAGTCTGGCGAAGGAAGGTCCTAGGCCAGAAGGTTAGTCCTTTCATGTAGAAGAAGGGGAGTTTCTCATTCGTTCGGGACGGTGGGACTATTACCCATTTCGCAATGCGTTCACCTCCATCCGAGAGGCCCGAACTGAAATGGACGTCGAACGAGTATTGCTGCGGTACACCTGGATCACCGCTTTGTATAAGCAATCAATCACCCAACTTTTCGCCAACACTCTGTGACGAACCGACTTCTCGGAGACCCTGGTCGATCTTCAGTCGCTTGAACAGCTCCATGCTCCGACAGTTTGTGATGTCCATTTTAGGCCATTTTGTCGTGTCGAGATTGCGCTCGGCGAGCAAGCACTTGGTGCCATTCTCGGCCAGCTGCAGCGCCGCGATCAAGCCTGCAGGTCCAGCTCCCACAACGAGAACCGGTGTTTCGTGCTGGACGACCTGGGGCAAGCAGGGGGTCAGAGATGGGGAAGATACAGGTATGAACTCCTATGATGAACGCACCATTTTCAAGAGACTTGGGGGGGTTTTTTTTTTTGGTTTCCTGGAGGGCCGATGCAATCGAGAAGTAGAGGGAGTAAGTCTGTCGATTATAGATCTCACCGGCAGCATGGCGCCATTTTCAAAAGTAAGTTTAAATATTCGGAGATCTTCCTCCTCTGGCTAGACTGTAAGACTGTGGTCTGTGGTCTGGGGAAGCTGTGGAGGCTAGGGACCTGGAGAGTTTACCCGCCATCGCCCCGTGGAGGCCCTCGGGGCCCTGAGAATCGTTTCGCACAATGGGATGACGATGGATCTGGTGACAGGACTTTGGATTTGTCGATGATGATAAAAGATGACAGCATCCCGCTGCCGAGGCCCCTATGTACCTGGTTCCCCTAGAGGAGTGATAGAATCATCCCAGATAGAGTCGGCGTAGATGTTTGCACCGTCTATGGCCGTTGCTGGGGACCACAAAGTTTCCTGTGGCCGACGGCCGATTGGACCGGCTGAGGAAGGTATCTAGGACATTTTGGTCCAGGCAATCCAGGCCAGGCCATGGAATAGTCAGCTGAAGGCACGCAGAGCGAAACAGGGTCATCATTTCGCACCAGAGGTGTGCACAGATGTCATTTACACGCCACGCCGGCGTTCCAGAGAGGTTACTATTTCCAGAAGAACATTTGAATGCGAGACGAGTAACTGCTAGGCGTACCCAGTACAAATATTTGTGCTATTGGCCAGCCACAGCTTTTGGCCCCGATTTGATCCTTCGCACTACTAAGCTGCCACAGGCACGTTGTACTGAGCTGGTTTCGCTTCTAGCGGGTCGGGAGGCACAGGCATCTCCTTGCCGGCGTCTTCGATTTTGCCCGACAGAAACGCAAGAGGAATATTTGGACCCCAGATGTGTAGTGTATCTGGCGCAGCTGCCTCCCTTCCAAAAGGCGTGTCTTCGTTCACCAGATCCCCATCAGAGTAGTGTTCCACAATGTTTCCAGAGCCGTCGAACCTATCAAGCAATGGTCAGCCACATCGTTGGAATTGCAAGCCAAAAAGAAAAAAAAGCCCGAGGGTTCCATACCAGTAATCGAAGATCTGGCTTCCAAGAACATGTCGCCCAATGCCCCAGCAATTCGTCCAGCCTTTGGATCGGAGCCAATCGTGGCCGAGGGTCTGCGTGTCGAAATCGTTGATTTCATAACTTGAATGGTGAATGAACACAGGGCGGTCCTCGGGACCAGCTGCGACAAAGAAACTCTGTGCACCTGTTAGTGTATAATAACGCAAAGCGAACCGGATTGACCCACATGGTGATCAGTATATTCCGGTCCAAGATCTATGTGGCAAAAACACGTCTCATCTTTGCCAGTCACGGGGTTGAAAACGGCGTCGGTTGGCTTCAAATTCATGAGGTTGGTGTAGAAAGAGAGCGAGCTCTCAAATTTGCTCCCAGGGACGATAAATCCATAGTGTCCTAGCTTGTGTACGGGTGATGCGCCCGGCTTGAATCGACGGAATGTCCCTTTTCTGGGTTTTTGGTGAGCAGTGTTTGCGATCGGTGCGGTTTTTTCCAGAGGAGGCGCAGGGCCGTCGCTATCTCTCAGTTTTTGCCCGAAGACAAAGCCGACCGTGTAGCCGTTAGGATCCCCGAGTGTGACAACCTTTCCACCTCCGGGTGCATCACTGTCTTTGATGGAGGAGCCACCTGGATGGGCAGCGGCCGCTTCCAGATCCTCGAGGCTGTCGACGACCCAGTAGCCCCCGATGAAATGTCTCTTGTTGTCTGGGGATTTTTCGGCGACGTAGACGAATGGTTGTTTCCCGTATCCGCGAAGGTATACCCGGTCTGGTGTTCGGTGCTGCTCCACAAGTCCAAAATCAAGAAGGAAAGAGAGTGCTCTTTCCAGATCTGGGTGCTGATATACCACGTGCGCCAGTCGGACAACACGAATTTGCTTGAGTGCCATCCTGTCTTCTTTCAAGCGCGCAATTGGATCTCTGTGTTGTTACGTGCTATGGGAACAAAGATGTTTTGCACAGGTACAACCTGTACTTCTCAAAGAGCTCCCCAATGCGCAATATATCAGAACTTGCTCAATGACCCCATATCGTCCCGCACCCCCGCCAGTACGGTCAATGACAAATGCATGGCAACAGATTTGCCCCGTAGGCTCTGGCTGCGGTCTTGAGTTATCCGAGACGTGGGTCGAGAATGGACACGGTCATGGACGGTCTCTAGCAAGCACCGATGACCGGCCACGTGACAATGGCCTCGATGGAGTTCATGACCGGTGCGACGTGGCTTCTGGTCATCGACATAATACTAGGAAGGTAAAGTGCGAAGCATCTGGCATGAAGACATTCCGGCCTTCCAGATGGGAGAATTTATCGGCCAGAGAACTTGGGGGCGCTGTCATCGTTTAGAATTACTGAGCCGGGCATGAAATCCATGTCTCGATAGCCACCGAAGAAGTCAGAGAATCCGAATTCGATCTCATTGCCTCCCTCATAAAAATTATGTTGGAGCGAAGGGTAGCTTATAGGATCAAACATGGGAGCTTGGTAGCTGGCTATGTTCGCTTGATCCGTCATGGGTAGCGATGTTGAATACTCTTCTTGCGAGAGTGGCTGCTGTTGCTGCACCTCTACCGGACCAGGATATGAAATATTGTCGCTGATCGTTGAGTTTTTCCTATCTCGCCGGTTGAGGTCGGGAGGAGTATTGCCGCTGAGGCGTGGCATTCGAAAAAACACTGCATATCTTTTGGCTAGCTGCCTTTCCTCGGGTTTGAGCGTGCCTCCTCTTTCGAGGATCTTTGCTAGTTCTATAGAATGGTTAGGCGGAGAGAAGGGGTCAACAAGTGCTCTGTCTTACCTGATACAACGGAACCCAACTTCCATCTCTCGCTGAAGTGTGCCAGAACCAGCTTTCCCAGGTCGTGACTAGAAGCGATTAGAGGCTGGGTTCTCAAAATATCGCCGTCCACATAGTAGGGTGGGAGCATCATGCATGTAAAGAATGGGTGTGCGACTGCAATGTATCTAGAATCCCAAAGACTGATGATTCGTGACAAATCGATGGCGCGTTGCCGGAGGGGTGATGGAGCGCTGGCGCCCACACTCGACACACTCCGGTCGTCATTGTCTGCAGTGGCAATTCCAGAAACCATGAATGATGCGGCCATCAACATGAGATGGGTCCCAATGACCCAATTGCATCGGGCAAAGGTCACGGGAGTGAATGTCAACGTCTCGGCGTCGAGTCGAAGCGAAGCAGGTAATGCTAGTTTGAAGCAGCATATCTCGTTCTCCAACGTCAATTTCTCGTCAGAGGATACATCTTGTTTCTGTTGCAATCGGTCGTGAACCGTGGCCATGAAATGATTGGCAACAAGGAACCATGCCCTCTCGTCTTGGTTGCTACATCCCTGCAAGGACCTCCAGGACTGGCCAGGCAGCATGTTGAGCTGTGCAGAGGACACTTCTATTTCGGCAAACCAAGCTTCGTCCGAAACCGGTAAAGCAACAGCCATCCTTTTTCGATCAATGGAATATGGGTTGCGGGAGACCGTGGATGCAAAAGTATCGAGCTCCCACACAGCCCACCAGGCTCTTCTATATTCCTCCCTTTCAACCGAGTCCATGGGCGTGAGAGGGCTCCAGTCTTCATCGTCAATCTCGGAGAGCCCCAAGTCATAAGCCAGCCTGACGCACACACCAATGAGGATCCAGCCTTGGTGGGTCGGGCCTGACGTGTAAAAGTAGTAGGCCAAAAGGATACAGCCTTGTAGATAAGTCAAGGACGGAGTCCGTATGGAACGGGCTTGGGCATAGCATTCCCGGGCTCGTTGAGCGAAATCGTGTCCTCGCCTGTTTGGGGGAATCCCAGCAAAGACTGGATGGTTGGAAAACCTCGCGGACATGGCAAAGATGCTGTAGAATAAGAGCGATTCGTCGACCGAGAATGCCTTCATGATATCGCCATCGGCCAAAAGTGAACTTTGGTAGTGGGCTAGAAACCGCGGTCGATGGAGGATGGGGACCCATGCCTGGACTTTATCAAAGAAGACCGAGACCAGATCTATGGCGACCGAGCAAGAGATCTCTGCACCGGAGCTCGAAGTCAGTGTCGGAGTCGAGAGGTTGGTGGTGGCTTCGGTTGAAATTGGTGGAGGCGATTGCTCCAAGTCTTGGGCGTCAGCTTCCGGGCCTTCTTCCTCGATATCCTCTGCGTCGGATAGCGCGCCATTCTGGGTGTGCTGCTCGGCGGCGGTGTCCTGGTTTTCGGTAGGGCGGTTCTCTGTCTCCTTGATCTCGGCGAGGAGACCTTTTAGAGAATCTCGAAGCAGGGTCTGGGGGATACCACGCCGGCCCTCTTGCTCGTCGGAACCATCTCCGGCCCGCGAAGCTGCATCGAGCACCTGGACCAACTTTGACAGGCTGTCACTGATCTTTCGCGACTGGGTTTTGAGTTGGGGTTTGCGAGTGGGCTTCTTCCTTTTGGACGGGAAGGTGCAAGAATTGCCGGTACGTAGGCAGAGCCCGCACACGGGACGACGCATATCACATTTTGTCTTTTTGCGGTTGCACTCCTGGCACGCTCGGCGCGGTTCCAGCTGCGGAACGGAGGCTTCAGTCTCGGCCATGCTGGTGGGGACTCAGAGGAGCTACGTAGCTCGGTGATTGAAGTGCACAATCATTGAAGCCGACGCGCGGGGATTGGACATGTCAGTGCCATGAGGTTGAAATTGGAAGAATGAGATGTCTGCTAGCCCGCGAATCTTACTTGGGGGCCCAGCGGGCGAGTCTCCGGCGCTAGACCAGAAAATACAACCCGTTGTAAGAAGACGTGAGAGTGGGTGGCGAGGCGGGCAGGGCGGGGAAGCTGGAAGCTGAAACTGAGGCGACGAGGCTGACTAATTCTGGCCTCGCTAGGTAAAATCTTATATATCCTGTACTGGGCTTGACTGGGTAATGGACCAAGTGTCCCACCGTGCGCTGTGCGCTGTGCGCTGCGCGCTGCATCCTGCTCTACCTCTTGGTGATCAAGGCTTAATAGTAGTATCGCTTGCCATCTTGAGCAATATCACATCACATCACAACAGAGGGACGTTGGTCCGTCAGCTACTCTCCCTCCGCACTTACCGAGACGCCTGAGTAATCATGTGCAGTCTGACCAAAATATGCCGCCTCAAGTTGAGGTAGCAAGGCGAAAGAGTCTTGTCAGACAGTGGCCCTTTTCTCTTCCGACCAGCCCATCACTTTGAGACTCACTGTCGCATAGAAGGATTGAGGCAAGGTTAATAGACGTAGAGTGCTACTTGTACCACCAACGCCCAGAGAGCTAGAAAGTAGATGCAAAGGAGAAAGAAAGTCTGCGGGTCGATCAAGCAGGAAAGGCGTCCTTAGACTGGTCGCACCGACTTCTGCTGTCTCCCGTTGAAGTCCGGTAGCTGATGTTGCAGCCACGGAAAGAAATGAACCATGCGCTGGTCTTGGGATATCAGCAAACATAAACGATTGCACGACATTCAGTCGATGCAATGCCCACCCTTCCGGATTGTCCCACTTGGGTATGCCATCGCCTCACGCTCGCTCAGTGGCATCGTCTAGTGGGGCCTAAAAGGCGTCCAACTGTCCTACCCTTCATCGGGCAGCCTTGCAGATATCAAACGCACATTTCGGGCCTCTTACATATGAAGTCATCAACTGGGGGGGATGATCTACCTGTGTCGAGACATCCACGCACGACAGAACGAGGAGAAGCAGATCATGCCACCACACAAAGAGGCTTGTTCTGTGCAGACCTGAGAGAACCAACCACATCTCTCAAGTCCGTGGCACTGGCTTCCTCTGCGTGAGCGTGAGCGTGAGCGTGAGCCTTGTCACGAGTGGGGAAATCAGCATTGCACACTAATATATGATCCAAGATACCCCGGTCCGAGGTAGTACTGACCTGAATGACCTCGGGAAGCGGCCCTTGAGAACTGACACTCGAGACGCGAGTGTCGATAAAGGCAGCATAGTCAAACGTGAGATTCCGACATGGACACGCTAGAAAATTGTCAAGCGACAAAGTCGACGGCGGCTCTTGGGGGTTCTGACCATTTGCTTTGGTGCCGAAGCATATCTTGGGATGGTGCGCGATGTCGGAGGCCTAAACCGCACCGAGCTACAGCTGCTGCCGTGGGACATGTTTTCCTGCCGTAGCTTGTACGAGGTAAGGAGCCACTTGCATCCACGCGAAGGGGCGTCTAGGCCCCATGTAGGAGCCTAGTCGCCCGAGCCACCGGGCTGGTGGGCTGGAAAACCCAACACATGGGCCCTCCCCGACTGCCCTCCCCCAGGTTTCTGTGCGAGCCCACCAGCCTAACCGCGAAAGAATAAACACTCCCTGCTGCTCCAGCCCAAGCACCACCACAGAAGTTCTCGCATGACCAATAACATGGGCTCATCTCAGGATCGGAGGCTGCAAAGACCTGCCCGGGAAGCTTCGTTCTCGTCTTCCCCCACCCAGCGAAGCCACCGAAGCCACCAAAGCCACCAAAGCCACCAAAGCCACCAACGCTGCCAGGAAAACCCCCACTAGCTAGTACCTCCTTTGTCGACTTTTTCTTTTCCTTTGTCTTCGTATCTCGCAGCCGCCACGCATGGAAAATCGCCTGGGAACTAGTGGTCCGTGACTGGAAGGACTAACAGATTGGCCCTTGATGTCCTCTCTCCTTCCTGAATTAGGTCCGAGCGGCCACGTTCCTTCTCAATCCTCCTTTGTTAGCCACGGAAACTACCAATCATGGCCAAGTGCGCAGCCCTGCTGACCACGATCATGGGCGAGAACAAACCGCGGATTCATAACATGGTCCCCAAGACCAAGAGAAAGGCGAGGCAGACCATCGGACGGGCTAGGTTTCCAACCAACTGAGCCGGTCTTTCTAAAGCCGGGTAATGATCGCCTACGCCCCGGGACAACTGACACACCCACGGGGTACGGAAAATGGTTGCCGCTGAATGAGAACGGGGATTTTTGGTTCATTTGTGCTGCCAGCCAAAGGTTGATGTCAATCTGTACGTACGGCCTGAGTGAACACTTCCTGATCCTGGACAGCTGCCAGAGGGTTCGGGGCTAGTGGGCTGAGAACCAATTAATCCGAGGTCAGCAAGTGTTCTTACACAAAGAACAAGGGTGACTCAGGCCCTCGGCTCTCGCGTAACCTAGACCAGGGGCCTTGGGATGCGTGTCAAGTTTTCTTTGTGTCGCAAACTCTTTTTCTGCTGCTCACTGACTAGGCCCTGCCGCGGTGATCCCAGCTGCATGGCACATGGCGCTTCGGGATTCGGTTCAGCTCTCCGTATAGCCAACTCTGTGATAAGCCCCGTTGAGCCCCCTACTGGTCTGGATGCTGATTAGTCCGAAGTGCCAAAAGTGAAGTCAAAAGATATGGCGCAGCTGACCCACCAACCGTGGCACTCGTGGGTCGCCTTCCCTCTTCAGGTCAACGAAAGGGAAGGAGCAAAAATGGTGTTATATGTCGCGGCAGCTGGTTACCCTCGGCGTGTTTAGTCCTCGACTCTTTCCTCCCCAGAAGGGCGACCTCTACAGTGACCCGGAGACAAACATGATCTACGCTCGTTTACAGGTTGGAAAGCCTACAACAGGCAAGGCTGCGCCTCCTCATCCCGACATCATCGTCGACGGCGCATGCAGCAGAGGCCCTTTTCGAATCAACGGCAGACTCAGTGTTCTCGAAGACTCCATCAAGCGTCATGCATTCGACACGGTGCAATTGTGTCTTAGAGGTAGTGTCGAGATGACAAGATTGTTCTGTGCCTGAAGTCTTACCTAATGCCAGGCGTTATTACATCTTCCGTGGGCTATAGGAATGCCCTCGAGGACATCATTACCTTGACCGATGTCAAGGCGGTATCAGATTTCAGACAATGCACCTGCATCGGCCAGGAGGACACGCGAAAAGGCCGCCATCTGGACTACTATTTCGAATTGCCCACCACAATATCCACCGCCGATAGCAGATTTCGTCCTCTTCCGTTGACGGGCGCATTCACGGGCACCACCACCATTGTGCAAAGCACGGCGCTGAGCGACCACCGTGTCGCCCACGGAGAGTGCGAGGTGTCTTACTGGATCGAGGCCATATTTCGTCTTTCTGGCATGCAAGTCGGTTTCTTGAACCAGCATATCCAAATCTCGTCTCTGTATCCATCCTTGCGAGCGTCGCTGAGGAAAGGGACACCTTTGACCATACGTGCGAAACCTGACATTCTCGCTCGATGTCGGTTTCAGAAATGCCCTGACCTTTCGCTTACCTTGCCCGAAGGGGATATGACAATACAACATGACCCAAAGACCGGCAAGCGGCACATCAGTCTGCCTCTGGCCGTCGCCATGGGGGCCTCTGAAAGCTTTCCCATGGATGCCCGTCAATCGCTGAAATGCTCTGTCGAGGCCAAGTGGGAAGTGAACACGCGCTTCTCAGTCACCCCGGGTCACCCATCTATCGAAAGACTGAGGGCGGGCGAAGCAGTCTATATAACGACCACCGCGTCGACGCACAAAACCACCATTCTATTTCGGCCGCTCCCGCAATACGATGACCAACGAGCCCAGAATGTCAGGACGAACGCCGTTGATCCCTATCTTGCAACATCTCAACTGGACATGCCGGTGCCGGATGCCGTCTCTCAGCCATCGTTGAACTGGAAATACCTGTCAAGAACGTACAGGCTAGACCTCTCTCTGACGTTCCACGGCGGCCAAGGAGCGCCCAAGTACTCCCTGCACACCGGCATTCCACTCTCGATCGCGGCTTACGGGTCGAAGGCGGACGACGCAGCGAAGAATCAGGTCGTCGTGGACGTCTCCGAGGTTGCTTCGGACCGGGAGTCCGACGGGGAGGATGACCTGAGCGATTTGCTCGTCCCTCTGGGTATGAGTGCGATGCAGCGGCCGCAAGGCCAGCGCGCTTCAACGAGGACGCCGCCACCAGCGTACTTTCGATGATTTGAAGCGTCACACTCGGCCGCGCTGTTGCCTTGTACTGTGTGCTCCAAAGTGGGACACTTCCAATACTTGAACAAGGCATTCAGATGTGACGCGCTGAAGCCATGCCCTCTACCTCAACACATGAGCCCTCGTCATTTCGGGCAGATAGTCAATTGGCCCGGCGATATTCTCGGACCGTCTTCGGAGCAACTCGCACCTTAACTTACGCACAGTTATCTCAACATCTCAACCGTTCCTCTCCACGGCGTGTTATCAGTGGAATGAAAAGAGATATCCATCGACAGGGATGCTCGGGATGAGTTGTCGCAAGGCTGCATTTCAGCCTCCCATCCAGCTCCCGGCTTTGTTGAGTTGCTCATGCGCCCACAAACTTTCAGGCAAAACCTTTTCCCACTTGAAGAGATTTGGCCCATCTGCTTGGCGGCGAGTCACGGGTAATGATCAGTCAACTTGCTCGACGGCGCTTCAAACAACTCGCAGGGCAAAATCTGACCCGACTTTGCATCCCACCCGCTGGGATACAAAGAGCCTTGCGATAAGCATCTGAAGGAACACTTCAGTCCTGACACTAGGACTTGGCCGCTGACCACCGGAGCTAGTGGTGATGGTAGGCATCGGCCGGGGGATGTCTATCGTCAATTCAGCCGCCGCTTGCGGCGCTACTTCCAGCACCTCGCGGCTATGTACCTATGTGCCATAAAGAAGAGAAGGGATTCTCCGTCCAGACACGCGAAACGGGATTGCACAGTAATCGAGACCCCACCCCCACCACATTCACCCTCCTTACGTGTGCCAGCCGTGGGGGTCGGGGGATGGGCGATCCTCTCTTTTTACCACCCCGTGCGAACATACCGTCTGCATCCCAGTGGCGTGATCTGCCGTATGCAGTAAACACGTGCGCACTCGCTGGTCAGCCGCTGGACTGGACAGGCGATTTCGCGGAAGGAGAATGAGAACGAGAAGCAGGAGGAGCAGAATTCGTCAACGTCTGGTCAGATCAACCGACAGACAGACAAACAGAAGATGGATGGACAGCGAGGAGGGACAGTGCAACGAGGACCTACCTCTATATCAACCCATGTGACCCGTGACGGGCACTTTTCGATGGTGGAAGAAAGATTGGTGGAATGAGGGGGAGTGAACCCGGGAGAAAGCGTCAAGCCGTCACATTAGATTCCTTGTTGATAGATCTTATGCGTCCACGAGGAAATAACTGGCCAGCTATATAGTGATAGTATAGAGACACTATAGAACGAGACGACTATCCTAAACTCTACCGACGCTGGAATGTGTATACTCTTCTCTCGGTACCTCTATAATATTAAGCGAGCTGATAAGTTGGCTAGCTAGGCGGTGACGGGGAAATCATTTTCGTGTTCTCTCTCTCTCTCTCTCTCTCTCTCTCTGGATGTAAGTGGAGGGCGTTGGCTGATAGTGACATGGCTCGTTCCGTCTCTTCGTGTCTCATCCCATTCCATTTTCGCTGGCCGGTTTGTCCTCGTGTACATCGGCATGTCCATACACGTATATATATATATATATGCCTCGGTATGTCTGCATGTGCGTCTGTCTGCCGGCGCACTCATTCATGTGTCTCTTGTTCCCTCTCGCATCCTCTTCTGTCAAGCTCCCTCTGAGAATAAAAATAACAATACCAATAACAAGCCTTTGGGAAGGAGGCAGACAGGAGAATTTCGACGGTTCCACCCGCCCACTCGCCCACTCACTCTCTCATCCCCCGGCAAAAAAAAAAAAAAAAAAAAAAAAAATTAATAATGAAGAAAATAGAATAAAACGTGGTATAAGCATGCATGCATGCAAACATGCCTTAATGAGGAGAGGAGCAACCAAAGTCCCTACCCTAACAAATGCTCCGTACCAATGTAAATGCTGTGGACACAGCCGAGGCGGGCTGGGATACCCAGTATGCTGTGTTGGTTCGATGACGGGAGGGAGGAGAAAGAAAATCCCCGCTCGCTTGTCGTGCGCCCGGAAACACGGAGCGAGGCATGTACCTCGACATTACGGATGGCATGCACAACGCTCAACCAAGAAACCCCACTTCACTCCCTTGATCACCGATCGAGCGCTTGTTCCTGGCACTGCAACAAACGGGTGTTAGTCTCCGTAGGACAACTTGAATCCAGATAGAGGCGGGGGAAAAGGGACCATAAGGGGAAAAAAAAAAGAACAAAGCTGCAAGTTCTTACATACCATCTGCCAATATGCCCCCCGTCTGCTCAATAACTCCTTGTGCGTGCCTCTTTCCAGGATCCTCGATCCCCGGCCCGCCTCGCTCTCGCCAAACACAAAGATGGTGTCGGCTTTTTGAATGGTCGCCAGTCGATGCGCCACTGCGATCACAGTCATGCTCCTCTGGCCCACCAGGCGCTCGATGGCGCCCTGCACGAGCTTTTCGGATTGTGAATCCAGACTCGAGGTGGCTTCGTCGAGGAGCAACAGGGACGGGTTGCGGAGCAGGGCGCGGGCGAGACACAAGCGCTGCTTCTGACCGCCACTGAGAGAAGTCTGTGTGTTGATCCCCAGTGGAGTGCCGTACCCGTCCGGCAGGGAGGAGATGAAGTCGTGGATTTCGGCGTCTTTGCAGGCTTGCACCATGTCTTCTTCCGCGACATCTCCGTCATCGAGGCCCAGGATCAAGTTCTCGCGAATGGTGCCGTCAAAGAGTTTAGGTTCCTGAGCGACAAGCGACAGGGCACGGCGATAGGACGACATTTCGATGTCTTTCAGGTTTTGGTCGTTGAAGGTGATGATTCCCGAAACAGGGTCGTAGAATCGCTCCAGCAGCGAGATCACCGTGGTCTTGCCGCATCCCGAAGGACCGACAAAGGCCACGAACTGGCCGCTTTCGACCGATAGGTTGAGGTTGCGGTAGATGGGGGTGCCTCGCGTGGGATATTTGAAGACGACGTCCTTGAACTCGATCCTGGCGCCTGCCTTCTTTTCAGTTGGTGGCAGCGGTGCACCCACGCCATTCAACTTTGCGTCTTCATCACCGATGGAGCGCGAACTCAGAATGCGATTGGCTGCCGCGGTGGCTTGAGCAATGTTTGGGGAGACACTCAAGAATTGGCCAGCCCCTTGCGAGCCTTGCACGATTGCGCTGAAGATGAGAAAGAATTGGATAATGTTGTATTCGCGGGTTGCCAGAAGCTGTCCCCCGTACCTAGAAGAACCTTTTGTCAGCTAACGCCGCTTGATCAGGGCCACTTTGCCAAAAAAAAACAAAAAACAAAAAAAAAAACAAAAAACAAAAAAAAAACAAAAAACAAAAAAAAAACAAAAAACAAAAAAAAAACAAAAAACAAAAAAAAAACAAGAGCTCACCAGAACGTCAATGCCATGGCACAGAGTTCGACACTGTCCGAGAGAGCAAATACAAGACAGCCATGTGTCGCTCGTCTGGTTGCATCCCGAATCTGCTCTTGCAAGAGATCCGAGTATTTTTGGAGGATAGAGTCTTCCATGGTCAACGACGTGACGGTTCGAAAGGCACCGACGGCTTCCGTTGCAAATTGCGAGCTGTGGGCGAAAACCTTCGAATTCCACTCTTCGAACTGGACCTCGTATTTGATGCGGACAAAGGCGGCAACAATGACGACCGGCATGGCGGAGAAGAAGGTCACCAAGGTCAACTTCCAGCCGAAGTAGAAGGATATGATAATGCATCCGGTCATGTTGAAGAAAGAGATCAAGGGGAAGGCGCCGTTCAAGCCGAGCAGTTCGCTGAGGAGTTTGAAGTCGGTGGCCAAACGGGCCATCAATGAACCAGAGGAGTTGCCTTCAGTGTCGAAGTATGAGACGGGATTTCGAAGGAGATTCTGAAAGTGTTCGCGCCGATACACGGACGACACGAGCTGTGCTTTCATTAGAACCCGATCGGTAATGCTCTGCTGCAAGTTGGTCCCTCTGACTTACCACGGAGAGGTGATTGGAGAAGAATCCGAGGAGAAAGTATGACACTGCCATACCCAAAGCGAGTATGAAGAACATCAGGGACCAAAAGTCCCCTCTTTCCTTCAGCTTTTGACCGGTAAAGGTGAAAACTTCCATCAGCTGAGCAAAGATCCAACTTTGAAGCGAGAAGGCCGCTGTTTACTCCACCGTTAGCTTACCAGTCATTCGTACGGAATGTCTTGGACTCACAGCCTGCTCCCATGGCTGCAATAATGACCAAAACGTAAAATATCCAATAACTTTGCTGTTCATAAAGAATCCGGCCAACGGACATGAAGAATCCGCGATCCTTGTATTTCGTGGTATTCTCGTCGTGTTGCTCTGCGGAGACGGCCGTGTCCCCCCTCTCGAGATGTTTCAGATCAGATGCCTCGATGTTCTCGTTAGTTGGAGGAGCTGTCTCGGCTTCAAGCTGCTGTGCGTGTACGAGGCCCGCGTAAATCCCGTCGGGGATCGAGAGCAGGGTATCATGGTCGCCTTCTTCCATCTTTCGTCCGTCACGCATAACAATAATACTGTCGGCCTTGCGAATTGTGGAAAGCCGGTGGGCAATCACAATAGTCGTCCGATTTTTGGACACCTGGTCCAGGGCTTTCTGTACAATCCTTTCTCCTCGAACGTCGATCGAACTGGTTGCTTCATCCAGGATCAGAATGGAAGGCTCTCGAATGATGCTGCGGGCGATCGCAAGCCGCTGCCGTTGGCCGCCACTCAGTTTTATCCCGCTCTCTCCAACTCTTGTTTTATATCCCTAACCGCGTCAGTCATCACCAATGCCATGGACAATGTTGCTCACGTCTGGAAGTTGTCGGATAAACTCATCGGCAAAGGCTTCTTGGCAGGCCTTCTCGACTCTTTGCTGCTTTGTCGCATCATCAGCCTTTTCCCACACGGTCCCGTTCAGTCCGAATGCGACATTCTTGAAGATGGTATCGTTGAACAAGAATGGTTCTTGTTGAACAAGGCCTATTTGCGACCTCCACCACTTCAGACTGGTGTCCCTGATGTCATGGCCACCAATTGACACCATGCCCTGGTTTTGGGGTGATCGCTGCTTGTCACTGTCAGGTTGCTCTGTGGTAGATGTGGCCTCATGCTTGTCGACATCATCCCTACCCAGCTCATACCAACGCTCCAGCAACGCTACAATAGTGCTCTTGCCCGATCCTGAAGGGCCTACCAGAGCAGTCGTTTGACCTTTCCTAAATCGAGCATTGAACCCTTTCAAGACCTGAACGTCGGGGCGACTGGGGTAGGTAAAGTCCACATTATCGAATTCAATATCATCATGCGACGACACGTCGGGTTCGGAGGCACCTTCGTACGAGACTCTTGGAGCATCGATCATTGAAAAGAACTCAGTCGAAGCGCTGATGGCTTTCGTTATGGCAATGATTGGGGTGGTAAGGACTCCCAAAATAGCCATGACGATTATGACCGAGAAGAAAACCCTGTTAATAGGTTCAGTGATATTGTGTCCAGCCGTGGAGGGGTGACTTACGTGACGACTGTACCGATGCTAGCAATATGCCCTTCCCGATATTGCTTGAGTCCGAACCAAAAAGACAGTGCAAAGCTCGAGTACATGGCAAAAAACCCGGGCGCCACTTGGACACCGTATAGAATGGACATGGCGAGTCCTTGCCTTTGCGACTCTTCGACGGCTGTAAAGTACTTCTTTGTCAGGCTCTTCTCAGCTCCCAGGGAGAAGACGGCGCGGATCGAACTGAAGATTTCCCCTGCTATTGAAGCAGCTTTGGCGTTGGACTTCTCGACCTGGGCCATCCTTTTAATTAAGAAAGGCGTAGTTATGCTGTATACGATGACGACGAAAAGCATAGAGGAGCTTGATACAAGGGTGAGAAGCGCCGAGTAGCGAAAAGCAATGATGTAGGCGGTGATGATCAAGGTGACGGCCATGAACAACGAATGGAGCTTGTCCGAAATGCTGATCTGGATGATGTTGGACGAAGCCGTGATAGTGTTGGCGACAGTGCCGGCGGATACTTCGTCGAGCTTCTTGATGGGCTGAGCGAAGAGTGACTGGAGGTAGCTGAGTCGCAACCTGGCAGAAATTCGTAGTCCAGTTACGCGAAAACAGAACTATCACGGTCAGGAACGTCCCTCAACGACAGGATACAGGGGTCGTCCTGTCGAAGAGCTCACCGTTGAGATGTAGGTCAGGATAAACCTGCCGATGAACAAATAGACCAGGTATAGCCTGCCAAAGTCAGCCCATGTGTCGCCTGAGACAACCGACCCCCAGCGCGTACGAATTCTGGCTGACAGCTGATTTGAATCTGCTTTCGGTCACGGTGGAATTTGGCAGGAAGTAGCCATTGAAATCTTTAACAAGGTTCCCAAAAACGATGTTCATAAGCGGAAGTGCCTTGCCGTCTATCAGTATCGAGAGCTGAACTCACTCAGGACAAACCCACCGTGCCAGATCCAATAGCGCACAGAGTACTGACTAGAAGGGCGAATCCGTCTCTCCTCGAACGAAAGGACAGTATGCGCTATGCAGCGTCAGCAGACTGCAAAAAAAAAGAACTGGATAAACGCACCCAGTAGTTCGAGAGAGGAGGCGTGGCTGTCTTCTTGGGCTTCTCCTTTTCCTTTTCTTTTTCTTTGACAGTGACGGCCATTTCTTCGACAGCTTCGGGGCTGGGCAATTTGGCGTCGGCGACAGACGCCCGCTCCTCGGCGGCGCTCATTGCGAAGTTTGACTATATTGGAAAGAGGCGCTTCTCCTCAGGCTCTGGCGAGGGGGATTCTTTAATGGTTTGCAGTTCGATATAGTACCCTGGAGATTGGAAGAAATAGTACTCGATGTCCTCATAGCTCAACAATCAAGGTTTCTCAAGGAGCCATGGCAGATTACTCGCCGCATCAGACAGAACCATGGATGCGACGAATGTGATCCATGTGTGGGAGAATGAATCTAGCTGGTTGACCCAATTGGAAAGTCGTGGTTCGCGGCTGCCTGGAAAGTTAGTCCAGCAAAATGGCCGACCTTGACCCTCCAGTCCAGCTTATGGTTATGGGTCCTTAGGAACATCCATGACAGAAAGAAGAGGAGACGTTGAGACATGGTGGAACGGCAGAATTCACGGCTGCCTAGAAAGTTGAAAGCGCGAAAGGAAAATGTATGCATATTCGGCAGAGTTCCCCATCGCGACTGGTCAGGAGAAGCTTGAATACGATCACGGATACGAAGGGAAATTTCACATCTCGGTTAAATGGGCGGCGTGCTTTAGAACACGGAGACGGGGGTTGGACAGGGTTGCCGGGAGCAGCCTTGCAGTCTGCCTGACGTGTTCAGGGGCCCCGTCTACTCGGATAGGCGGGGCAGCTCAACTTGGTGACTCTCTGTAAACGAACATAACTAGTTCTCTTCTGCAGTCAAATCAGAAAATGTATTAGAACGAGCATGCCCTATCAAGGTCCAAGGGATGGATTGCATTCAGCCCGAACCCTCACAGAAAAACCCCCCAAACGAAAAATAGTCCGATTCCCAACAAGAATGCCCCCAAAAAGGCCAACATACACCTTCTTTTCCTCCCCTCCCATAACGAACGTTTGGTTATCAGTCTTGAGCGGCTCCTCTCAGAACCCCATCACCATGATTCGGTCCAGTTGCCAGTCCCCTGGTCGAATTTCAGGACAACATCTGGAACACTTCCGTCATCGATCAGAGAATCCCGGGCATGACGGCGGGAATACTCCATCCCTGCAGGTAAAGATCGCTTTTTATATTGTGCCTGCGAAGAGAATTCCGTCGCAGAATTACCCCGGAGGAGGCCGGCGGCGAAGATGTTGTTGTTGTTTCCATCCTTGAGGGTCCCTGGGCTCGCCCCATTGGCAATCCCGGCATACGAAGGATATAATTGACATTGGGTACTTGCTGTAGGCGCGAACTGCCAGAGCTGGCAGTCCTGGCCGCCGGACGCAAGGAAGGCACTGTGATAGGACTGACAGACTCTTGCACAGTCGTCCGCCGTGGCCGGGGCTGAGGTGAAGCCAAAGATTGGGGTGCCGACAGAATAGGCTGGGATCAGCTGGGTTCCTGACTGCGAGTTCTGGAATGAGGAACCGCAAGACACATACCAGATGTTGTCTCGATTGTTGTTGATCGTCGCCGGCCCTGTACCAGTCAAGCCATTGTAATACACGCCGATGAAGGCCAACTGATAATTGTTGTTGTTGCAGAGACCTAGATCGGCGCCCGGAGCAAGAAGATAGGTTGCGTCGACCACATTTGGAACCGGCTGGCCAGTGAGGAGCCGTGCAGTCCGGACACCGCTACCCACAATCTTAGCTGGGGATTGCCCGCCAGCCAAACCAGACACGCCGCCAGTGTTGACCCTACTGTAGAGATAACATGTTCTGATCTGCGAAGCCCAGTAGGCAACAAGACAAGTGGCCGTTCCAGCTGCGGTACAGGCGCTGATACAGCTCTCGAGAGAGTAATACTGGCCGCTCGCCGTGGTAACCGTCCCACCGGTGGATCCAGAGCTCATCCAGCATTCAATCTCGTAGACCGAATTTGGAGAGTCGGCTATCGCCACCTTTTGATAATTGTAAGCCCCTGTGGCCACGGGTAGTGGCTGACTAGCTACTCCAGGGCTGACGTTGGCCCCTGAGCACAAGGTTCCCGTGACTCCGGCCGCCACTGAAGCAACTGTCACTGATGAGGCCAAGACTGAATAGTTGGGAGCTGCCGGAGGGGAATATACGCTGCTGGTGCTGATAGTGGACAGAGTGGCGGAAGATGCAACTGCGACAGTCGAAGGTGTCGCCGGAGAGGTTGTCAATGCAGTAGTGGTCGTTGAGACTGTTGTGGCCTGGACAGTAGTGGTTGTTGTCGCTGGAGAAGCTGTAGAAGAGGCCGTGGATGTCGCTGATGAGGAACCTACAGAAAAAGCAGTCAGTGAACTTGAGGTGCTGGTGGAAACTGACAATGCACTAGAGACAGTGGTAGTTATAAAAGGAGTGGTAGTACTAATTTGTCCCGTTGAGCTCGTCGTAGAGGCGCTTGACACCGTCGAACTTGAGGCGGTCGAACCGGCGACGCTGCTGACTGTTGAACTTGTTGTGGCAACTGATGTGGTGACTGATGTGGTGACGGTGGTAGCGGTCGAGCCTGTCGAGCTTGTAACAGCAACGGTCGAAGAGAGAGTTGTAAACGCCGCTAGGCTTGTCGTGGAGGCACTAGAGACCGTCGTGCTTGTCGGCGCGGCCGAGGTAGTAGATACCGTTGGCCCCGTCGAGCCTGTTGTAGAAGAACTCGAGGCAGTGCTAGTGGTCACTACAGTGGATGTCCCTGCGGCAGAGGTGGAAGTCGTGGAGCTGGAACCGGGCGAAGGCGTGGCCACTGTGCTCGAGATTGTGGAAGTACTAGGGCCTGTCGAGCTCGTGCTAGGAGGAACCGCTGAGCTCGTAGTCGAACTCGCTACGAAAGAGCTTGTCGATGAGCTATTAATGGTGGTAGTCGGCCCCGAGCTAGCACTCGAGGTTGTGGTGCCAGCCAAACTCGAACTAGTCGGCGAGCCCGTACTGACTGAACTTGTTACTGACGAGCCTGAGGTACCTGTGGAGCTCGCGCTGGCAGAGCTTGATGTCTGACCTCCTGAACTTGCGCTTGATGGGGAGGCGGAGGAAATCGTTGCCGTACTCAGCCCTGTTAACGTTGTCGAAGTCAGCCCTGTGGAACTCGTCGTGGCCGCACTGGGAGAGATCGTTGAACTCGATGTTGGGAGTGAAGAAGGGGACATCGACGTGGTAACTTGGGTGACAGCAGCGGTTGATGTGGTTCCCAGAGAGGCTGCGGTCGTCGCAGAAGATGAGGAAGCTGGATCAGAAGACGAAGTTAGTCACATTGCGGAAGAGGGATTAAGCGAGAAGCAAATCTTCAAGGTACAGTCCTCTCGTGATGTTTACACCTGTGTGATCTGTGGTTGCGGTGAAGTCATTACTTTTGTACCGACTTTGGCAAATACCTGCGAAGTTTTGGTGCCAAACGGATCACGACATATAGATGGTCGACAAGGCAGTGCTTTCCGTAGGCCTCTACAAGAGGATTTGGTATTGAGGGGCCTTGATAGTGCCTCACAGAGCTCTGGCAATCATCACTCCAGACAAGCTGCTGGCACGAATAGAACTCGATGGAGAAAGGGAAAACAAACGTGGGCTGAGAATGATGTGACATACCCAACGATGAGGTGGCTGTAGAGCTGAAAGACGATGGGGCCAAAGTCGACGAGCTCGATTCCGAAGCAGCAGTACTGTGTGAAGTTGAGGCGAGGCTGGTCGAGATTGGCGGTGCTGATGATGTGGCTGTGCTAGCACTAGTTGAAATCGTCACGATCGAGGTGGCAGCAGAACTTGATGTTGTAGCACCTGAAGGACTGCTCAGTATCGTAGAACCAGCGGAGTTTGTGCTCGAAGTTGAAGTCGAAGAAATTGTAGTCGAAGGTATTGCTACCGAGGATGTAGTGACTGAACTGGCAAGATCTGACGAGGTGCCGCTCAAGATAGGGGAGGTCGAAGAGAAGGCCATGCTTGATGCGGTGGCGGCGCCTGTCGAGAGTGCTGTCGTACCACCAGGCACGCTGCTCGAAGTACCCAGGGCTGAGGGGGGACCAGAAGAAAACACAAAAGAACTAGAAGCACTCGTGGAAGAGGCATTGAAAGACGTACCGGAATTTAGAGCAGAGCTAGCACTAGTTGTGCCGCCAATAGCACTGGATGTGGAGACGCTGCTAGGACTAGAAGGGGCTGTAATGGAAGTTTGAGTGGTTGCTTGTCCCGTTGTCGGCACAGCGGTGGTCACCAGGGGACTTGTGGTCGTAGAGCTCGGGCCTAGGGTAGTCGTGGGCGCAGCACTAGTCGTCGTGGGTGAGGAGGTAGCGACTACTGTTGTCGCTGCGCTTGTTGACGATGAAATGCCAGCTGCCAACGCTGAGGACGACGTAGTCGCTGCTATAGAGCTGCTGCCTGGGGACAAGGATGTTGTGCTTGGACTGGGGACAAAAGTGGATGAAGAAGGAGAGGAAGACACTATACCTGCTGAAGTCGTCGAGCCCGGATTGCTCGTATTCTGGGGTGCGCTCGAGGAAGGCGATGCTGATCTGCTCGGGCTTGTACTTTGAATGCCTGGGGACGTAGTGCTTGATCCACTCGCAGGTCCACTGGTAGCCCCAGTTGAGGAAACTGCCGAGGAAAAGGTGGTACCAGCCGGTGTCGTTGAAGCCGCAGCAGACGTGCTGCTGGATTGCGGAAGAACAGCACTCGTGGAGCTTGACTGGGTGGTGACAATACTCGACGAGCTTGACTGTGCAGGGGTTATACTTGTCGAGCTTGATTGTACGGGCGCCACGCTTATCGAGCTTGATTGTGCAGGCCCTGCACTTGTCGAGCTTGACTGTGGAGGGACCACATTTGAAGAGCTTGTCGCTGTCGTCGCAGACGACACAGGCCCAGTAGAGATGGGCGTGGTAGTTACCAGTGGCGCACTCGAAGTCGGGACTACGGTCGGCTGGGTAGTCTGTGGCGTGGAGCTGGTGACGGCTAGTGTTGAGCTCAAGGAAGGAGACGGCGTTGGTGACGATTCCGTCGAGCTTTGATCGCTTGAGGATGCCGGTTCAGCAGTTGTCGTGGTCGACGTAGGACTCTCCGTGGTAGCTGTTGTAGTCACCTCGGAGGTCGTGGTCGCCACATCCGCCGAGGTTGAAGTGCTAGAAGAAATACTTGTTGATGAGATAGTTGCGTCAGGATCCCTATACGGCACCGGGCAAGCGGCGGCCACAATGCCACCCAAAGTGACGTTATAGCAATCAGGCCGCGGGGGACTCGGGAAACCAGCCCAAACTTTGTTATCACCGCAGCGGTAGAAGGTAGCAGCACCTTGATCGGTTGAATCCCAATGTAGTATGCCATCAACAAACGAGAACACCGTGGTGACGTTGTTGGAATCGGGATCAGGGGTCATCAAGGCGTAAGAGTCGGTAGTATTCCGGCCGACCACATCGGTACCATCTGTTAATTGCCCGTGTTGTAGATAATATCTGACGGCAACGTCACATGCACCGCTAGAGCCCCCATCGTTCCCCGAAAGCAGTTCGGATGCCTGGCTTCCCGCAGCCTGTCTCTTCACCTTGGCTCCGCCTACACCACCAAGCGCAACACCAACGATGACGGCGGACGATGCTGGGAGGTCTGTTACAGTTCCAGACGGCAGACCCTCGCCCAGAACAAGCGGTGGCTGCGTAATTGGCACCAAGATTGTGTTCCCTTGCGCGTCGACCGACGTAGAAGTTAGGACCGGTGGTGGAGTTGGTGTTGTAACGGGAGGAGGAATAGGAGTGAATACTGTTGTGGATGTTGTTGAGATGCCCGAAGAAGTCGTGCTTGACGCCGACGTGGGAGTTAAGGAGACGGACGTCGAGGGCGATGAAGCAGAAGTCGCACTTGTAGTGACCGAACTAACACTCGCGCTGCTAGATGGGGCGCTAGATGGGCTCGTAGACGTAGTTGAAGGGACAACACTCGTGACAGTAGAGATGATGGTCGTGGTGATGTATGTGTTTGTAATGTACGTTGTTGGAGCATTTTGAATTGTAACCGTGTCACCGTTGCCAAAGAGGTTCACAATCTGTGAAGCTGACTGGAAAACAGAACTGTAGTATGCTGCTTGTACAACAACAACGCTGGTGACGGATGGCACTGGACAAGGACCGCTGGGTCCGTAGGTGACCGTGGCCAAAGCCTGCGCGTTCGCTGCTGCAAATTGCAGAGCCAGCGAGGGTAAAAGGAGCGACGACGATGGCCACATGGCGGGCCACCCTATTGCTTTCGTTTTATTTTTCCGTACTCTGAACACACAGGACTGAAAACAGGATTGATAAGAATCGGAGGACTGCAGAACTCCAAACCAAACGAGCGACTGTCAATCACGAAAAGGTGAAAGAAGAAGAGCAGCGGTGGTTGGTTTTTGAGGGATCACACCCTAGGAGACGCGAGATCACAACAACACAACCAGAATGCTGCATTCCAACGAGACTCCCCATCGACCACGCTGCACGGACCTCTGTTTGTGGGAAGCGAGCAATCAAGGCATTTCCATGTGGAATGAGCGAGCTCACCCTTGAGAATACGCTGAGATGAGCTTCTCTGGCGCTTTGTTCAGCGAGTGGAGGTGCCGCCACTGGGCCATTCTGGACTGGATGGAATGGCGGGAATTGCTACAAGTCGCGTATTCCCAAGCAGATTCCGATGTCCTCACGGAAACGCCGCGATATTGGCCCAAGAAAAGGCTAGTGCGTGCTCGTCATTTCAGCCCATTCGAGATAAAAAAACTTCAGCACTGATCAACGAACAGGAACGATGAACGGAAGCTGGGACGGGGGACTCGCGAGGGCCATCAAGGAGAAGATATTGGGGGTACTTATCCTGGCAAGACCTCCGCGATATACGGCGCTGTTCTGTTTGGCTGTCTCCAGTTGACATGCTATTTACATGACCATGGGCAGATAGACGGGGCCCAGTCCCATCTTCAGCCCATCTGCAGAGAGGGCATTGTGAAAAGCATGTCTGGACTAATCGAGCAGGGTATGAGTAAGGAGAGAACCCCGGGGGGGGGGGAGCAGTTGCGTCTAGCTCATTGGTACCCAGTATTCCGCTTGATCGAATTAGAGTTGGTGTGCTATACCCTTTTTGGTTTCCTTGGCCATTGACGTCATCTCCTCTTCAATTCCGGATTCTGAGCTTCTCAAGCTTGATGCGATATGCATGCGCGACAATGGCTCGAGGCCCTCCCATCGACGCCCATTAGCGGGCCTCAATTCGAGGCACCTTTCCTTGATTTTCACCTCCTGCTCCTTCTGCGAACTGCCAGATTCAGCAGGAGTCTGTCACTCCTTTCTCGTCGAACAATCCTACGCTCCTAGAGGCACGTCCCTCGTTTCGTTCCTCCTCCGCTGTCTGCGATCGCGTGCTTCTGTTCTGTTGCGGTTATTCTTTTGGGAGGTGCAGGTGGCCAGGGCCTAAGTCGTGCGAACCGAATATTTTCACTGTACTGGGTACAAAACCCACTGTCCGTACAGGCTTCTATAACTGAATTGTTGGCATTGCTAATAACGAAATCCAGCTATCACGGTTAGTGCTGGCCCCGTAGCCATGGCTCTGTGCATCATCCTAGCAACTTCTGTCCTCCTCCTTCAAGCGAGTGCGGTGCCGACCCAAGTTTCTCTGGAAGAACAAGCGTTGATTACACCTGCGCCTTCTCGCACACTTGCAGTATATGGATCATACGCAGGAGCAAGGCGAAACATCATTAGTGATCTGGAGTCGGAGCTAAATTCATACGTGAACTCAGTGTTCAGCGAGCTGGGGACGGCTATTCCCTCATACGTTTCGAATGGACTGCTACCAAATCTACAGAATCTACCCACGGGCAGTGCTGTTATGAGCACAGTGGGAGTGAGGAGCTCGGATCTGGCTGCCACTCCTACGCAGGTATTGAACATCCCGGGTTATGGCAATTGGACTTCCTCTGGTTGGAACCTGCGAATACATGGGAATGTGTTTAAACAACCAAACATTTCCAATGATACGGTGGACCGCCTCGCCAACTTTTTCCTCATCGGCACGAGCGTGGAGGATCTTCCTCCTTCACAGCAGGCCCAGGCCCGCAACCTCACAAGAGAGATCTATGTGGTTCAGCAAGGAAATCAAACGGTCACAATGGACATTCTACCTGGTCCCGAATTTGGTACCAACGGGCAGCCAGGAGGAGGCGGTGGCGTAACCCCAGCCGGCGGAGAGCAGGTCGTAACACTCCCCAACCCAACCACTCCGGAGGGCGACTTTGACGTTTTCGTTCCAATAGACAACAGCTCGTTTGCACTGACTCCGGGGACTGGCGAAATTCCCCCACAAAGATTAAATGTTTACGCACAGGGAACTGATACGGGGAATGCGACATCGTACCTTGTCTCTGACCAAGGCTTAACCATCATCTCCGATATTGATGACATATTGCGCGTCACGAAGATCTACGAGCCCAAGCAAGGATTGCTTAATTCTTTCGCCCGTCCGTTCACCCCGTGGATGAACATGCCAGACATTTATCGGAACTGGTCCGTGAGCCTACCCAACATGCATTTTCATTACCTCACAACCACCCCGGAGCAAGTCACTCGCAATTACATGCAATTCATCTACGACACCTATCCAGGTCCGTAATCTTCTTCCGCGTCCGTTGTTTGTTGTCTGACATGTCAATCTAGGTGGTAGCTTTGATACCCGACCGCTCAACTTCAGCGATGTCTCCGCCACCCTATCCATCAGGAAATATCTCCTCGACAGGATCTTCCAGACCTTCCCAAATCGCAAATTTATCCTAGTTGCTGATACAAGCAACTCTGACGTCATGCGTGATTACCCTGAAATGGCCACTCAATACCCAGGTCAAGTCCAATGCATTTTTCTGCGTAACACGTCCGCCACAGACCCAGGAGATAAATTTCCTTACAACACGGAGGGTTTCAAAAACCTCAGCCAGCAGAGTTATATGTTCTTCAGGGTGCCTGATGACTTGAGGGGGCTTGATATTGTGAATGGACAGTGTCTGAATGCGACGATTCCGCAGAATCTGACGTTTGGGTATCAAGGGTTGCCGTTTGGGCTGTCTACAGGTGATGGACAGAGCGGAGCTAGCCGTCTGCTGGGTGGCGGTACTTTGCTCGAGAGGGTTGGTTCGGTGCTGTTGCTTGTACTCTGTGTGGTTTCTGTTCATGTCCTATGATGCTGATGAGGTGCCGGTTTTGTTGATATGGCATTTTACGATGGAAAGCAACGCTTTTACCTTATGAAAGATCAAATGAGAGGCGCAAGGCTATCTTGACAGCCTGAAAAGCATTTGTAACAGAGGATGCCTGTTTCTTTCTCTCCCCAGCCTACTGTAGCAATTCCACAGCGTCTTGCGATGCGACGTGCGTCGCACAAAGTGGGCCTCATCCTGGTCCAGAATCACCCTGTAAGATTCCCCAGGATAGAATGCATCTTCTACTGAAATTGCGCCCTCGGCTACGGGCTGATGTCGAATCTATGCTCAATCATCCTCCCTGGCTGGGCGCTCTCGTTGCTCTTGTCTCCCAACATTGTCGTCACGCTCTGGGACTCCTGTCGACGCCCATCCTTTGGCTTTTGCGGCTATATACTGGGACTCGAGCTACATGCTTTCACGGTACAAGGATTTGAACCTGCTATATATCGGGGGCGTGGCCGGGCGATCAAAAGATCTGGAGGGGATCATGGAGCTAGAGCTGTCCAATGTAAGTCCAAGAATGGAATCGCTGTCTTGGACGGAGTGGTAATGCGAGATTTATGTCTGACCAGCAGGACTCTTATCGACAATAGCGCGGCAGATACCTCCTTTGAGAAGTGGATGGCAATTGCGTAAGACACAGCTACTTGGACGGACGTCAGCTGTAGCTGGAAAGGTTTGGATTGACCTCGGCATTCTGTAGCACCAAGTTGCAATGTAAATTGATCAAATATGTAGACTGCAGCTGGGCGCTGTACCTTCTAATCCTTCGACACGGGCCAGTTTTCGACTCTCTCTCCCCGCTGCCTAAGGCTGTGTCGGGGTCGACAATGGACTAGTGACTGTTTGGCCTGCGTTTGCAATGAAGAAGAACCTTTAGAAAGACCGATTTGAGCCAAAATGAATGTTCTGTCCCGTTCTTCTTGCTTGAGCTGTTGTACCACTAATGTTGGGATAAACGCAGTGATTTCAGAAAGATGTTATTTATTGCTCTTCTCCAGAGGTCTTCGCCATCCATCACTCCATGGATATAGTAAGTCATGAATGCAGTAAAACCCAGGCGGAAGCTCATGAAGGTCGCAAGACATACACCTGATCGCCCACATCAACCCAGGGGTTGACAAGGCCCATATGCCCCGACTTCGTGACTACAAAATGTTTCCCATCTGTGACAAGAGAGGCATACAGCCCGAGAGTGACCTACTTAGGAGCCGTTCTGGGCATGGCGGTGTGGTAACCAGGTTTACTGACTCTCCTGGTGGATACACTTCGTAGAGTTCGTGAATCTTAGAACCATCTAACTGGCGGTTCCCTATGAGAGCTTTCCGTAGCTCACTTGCAAGGGTTTCCTTGAGACAACGTAATTTGTCAAATCTTTTAACTAGTGAAAGCGGCTTCGGCCATCCAAGATTTCGGTTGTGCCTGGGACTATTCGGTGTATGAACATTCGAGACCTCTTGGACCATTTTCTTCAATGGCATCGACAATAAATCCTCTATTGACCAGTAATCGATTGTGACTAAAGAATCTATAGTCTTCTCCTTCCATCATCGAACCGGATTCACCAGCGTAATACCAGATAAGCCCATTAATCGTTCGATCGGGTACGTCGTCGCTCTAATTTGCAAAATCTAGTACCTAAACAGATGTCCTGTACGGGTCATTGTGAAGATCTATTCCCCGAGGTCTAAGTAATGAGAGAATGGGGAAACTCCTCTCACGTCGTATTGACCATATAGTTGCTTGATGATATATCTCTCGGCAGCTAAGCTCGTAATTAACTTTTAGCTCTTTTGTCCCCAGTCTAAGAGTGCTTGAAAAGACCTAGTAATCCGTAGATACGATCCCTTAGATCTGAAGTCCTCAGCGACCTGCATTGAAAAGTAAGTTTGGTCAGCGATAACCTCTAATTGTTTAATCTCGTAGATTAAAAGCCAATCTGCGCCATCCTCATGTCGGTAAAGAACTCAATATTTTCATAGAAAAGCTTTTGCTTTCTCTGGGAAGATTTGATGTGTGTAACGAATACTCTTGGATGCGTGTCATATCCAAGAAAAAAAGTCCCATAAATGTTTAAACGGACCACATTGAACCTGTATGGATTGCGCAAGACCTCCTATAAGACCCAAAGACGTGTGAACCATGGTAGCGCAAAAAGCTTTCCTAGTGAGCTTGAGATCTCCCCATGTGTAAGATGCTGCATGGTAGGAGAGACTGCTGTAGATGTCTGTGGAGCAGGTCCCACATACTAGGCTATCATTGTCTCTGCCCGGGAAAACAGGTAGAAGACGAATTGACTCACTTTTGATTAGGCAATAGAGAAACATATGGGTCTTGTTGATATGGTGTAGGGTTGATCTGGACTTAGAACTAGCAATTCTGTTCCCTTGGTCGGCTCGCGAGGTCAGTTATTGTTGTCCTGGACTAATATTTAATACCACTAGCACGGGATCACTGAATGAGCCACTGGGCTGTGTGCAGGCGCAGCCCAAGGTCTAGCAAGACCGCGCCTAACAGGTCTGGCGGACAGATGGCAATGCATGTTGAACATGGAAAGGCTGACGACTGCTTTCAGTCCGGTTTATCCTCCAAAGGTAATTGCTTTGTGTCATCCAGAAAGCACATCAAAAGTCTGGCGTAGCATGCGGTGAGCGGTCAGACTCTCGAAATCTGGGAGTAGCCGACCGGGATTTGGGCCACGCAAACGGTAAGTCCCAGGGGCGACCTCAGAGCGGCATCGCCTCCGCCGAATCCGGGTCGAGTACAGAGCCATTTTGCTCATCTTGGCGTTGTATTTGGTTACTCAGCCTTGTGTTGACTTCCTTAGATTTCATCCCTCTAAATATTTGATTCTCTTCGACACGGCTATTTCATAAGAGCGAGAGATCATGAATTGACTACTGTTCTCCGTCATTGCTGTCTTAGCGACCATCGTAACGAGAAAACGCGCTCGCCAAAGCCTGACGCTCATGTTAGGGATGGGACATTATTCCACGTCGCCCTTGTCGTCTCTCGCCCAGCAACTGACTGACCCATTGGCATCCATGAGAGGGCTATCATCAAGCCCCAGAAACAGTGAGCCGGTCTCTAGTTTCAAGTCGCGACCTCCAGAATGCCAGCTAGCCATCCTCTTCACAATCAGGTCTCCTCCGCCCTTCAAACACGCCATGGTATCCCCGTAAACCCGCAGTGGCTGAATACATTCCTCACGTCGCGCGGGCCCAATCCGCCACCGCTTCCAGCCCTTATATCCACGGCCCACTTCCGTATTCTCGCAAGCGACATCACGACGACCGTCGCTCCCACAAACGCTGCAGAAGCTTTCCCCGAAGGAGTTATCGACGTGAATGTCAAAGAACGACGACTCCAAGGCACAGTGATCGCCCAAGTCCTGGACGTTCTAGACGTGGGCAGCAGCAAGTGGAGCCAAGTCGAAGCTATTGAGCGGGTCGAACGGGGCGAGGAGGTGCGCGGACGAGAAGTCATCCGGACCGTGGACAGCACGGGTAACGACAACGAGGACGATGCGGGCGTCAATGGCACTGGTGCACCACCGAGAGGTGCAAGTACAAACGCCACCTTTACGAATTCTTTGTTCGCGAACACGAAACTCAGCGCTGGCCCGCACAAACTCCTTCTCCAAGACGCCCATGGCACGAAAGTGCCGGCCTTCGAGCTGGTGAAGATTGCAAAGATTGGGCTCTCCACTTCTGCATCTGCCACCCTTCCAGCTTCGGCTCGAAACGCCCATGAAGACCCGGGCATGTTCATCGGATGCAAATTGCTTCTGAGGCCCGACACCGTCGTGAGGAGAGGAATGGTCATGTTGACGCCGGATAATTGTGTTGTGCTGGGTGGGAAAGTCGAGGCTTGGGATAAGAAATGGAAGGAGGAGAGAAAGCAGAGGCTGACCGCATTAGTGAGGGAGGAGAATGCTACCGCGGCCGGCTAGAGAAAGTGCGAGCGAGAGAGGAGAAAGTCAAAAGGAAAAGCACTCGAGATGGATCTCACAAAAGGCATTCACGTTGTCTAGGCCAACTGGGCAAGGGCCATACCCTTTAAGACACCGGCATATCAAGTTCGAGCATATCCTCACGAAGCCGCAGCAGCAATCTCCAACCTCCACGGCGCAAGCATCTTCGCCTTAAGAAAATCCTCCGCCCTGCCCGTCCCTTCGTATGCTCTTGCCAAATCCTCCGTGGTCAGATTCCCACCGGGCGGAATCTGTCTTTCAGCATTGAGCACCGCCATCTCCGCAGCATAAGAGCCATCTGCCTCATTGCCGACAGCTTGTGCGAGTTCAAGCCAGCCTTGCGGTTGTCCTGGCGCAAGCATGATCCCATTAAGAGCATCTGCAACCACTGCGCCTTGGTCCACTTGATCGGCGGTCGGTTTTTGAGGCCGACACCCAACAATGCCAGCTAGGACTTTACTGACGCGGATCTTGTCTAGTACTCCGATCTCGTCTCCGCGCCTCAATACTTTCAGATCTTCCTCCACAGCTTCTAGCACGTCCTCATCGTTGTCTAATAGTCCAGTGACGGCGAGCAAAGCGACAGCTTGAACATGTCCTGGGTGGTTCTCAATCACATCAAATAGCTGGGATCTCGCCGCTTCCTTCTCCTCCGCACCACCCTTCGCCCACAGGACCTGGGCCAACATGCAGACAACGTCTGGTTCTCGATCAGATTCCTGCAGCGCCACTTCAAACATTTTAATCGAGTTCTCAATCTGCTTCAGATGACTGTGTGCAAGACCCGCCGTGATATGTGCTGAAAGTCGCCATTTTTGGCGAGCTTCAGCATATTCCGGGCCAAAGTCACCAGGTTCACCGGACAGATCGAGTGCAGTCTCGGCGTTTGAAACTGCTTCTTCATATTCACCGCACCCAAGCTGTGCCCGGGCTAGATCCGCTTTTGCCTGCGCGAACCTGACCAGGGATTCGTTCAATTCAGACTTCTCATACTCGGCTTCTGCGGCATCGCAGACTTCCTGCAGGGCATCGACGCTCGTAGAATAGTCACCCGCTCGCTCCGCAAAGAGAGCCATTAGATGAGTCGCGATCATATCACTCGGCTCTTGGGCATGATATTGTCGCATAGCAAAGAGTGGCTTCAACAAAGCAGTGACTTCCTCGGACCGGGAAGGATCCTTGAGCAGATGGTCAAACGCCGAAAGTGCATAGTGGCATTTTGCAGGAAGGACATAGGAGTCTGCAATCTCGAAAGCATGCATGAACAGACCTCTCGCCTCATTAAGACTTCCAGACAACATCGCCAGCAATCCCTGACCGATCCACGCCTCGGCATATTCTGGATCCTCCGATTGCGCCCGCGTGAAAGCTTCATTGGCAAGCTGATGGTCATTGTTCATCAGGTATAGCACCCCAAGATTCGTCCACGTCCAGGCACTGTTCTCGTTCAAATGCAGACTTCTCACAAACGAATGCTGCGAGACCTTCGGGCTAAGCGTCATAGTCACCACGCCCAGTGCGTTCCAGAAGTCGGAGTTGCTGGCTTCCAGCTCGATGGCTCGTTTGAAGCATGCCATTGATGCTTTGAGCAACCTGCGGGGTTTCTTGTCTTTCAATCTGAGGGATGCGCCGGCCGACACATAAGCTTGGTGTTCTGCCCAGCCGAGATTGTACCACGAAACAGCTTGGGCGAGTTGATCGGACGAGGCAGCGTGGATGGCGCGTTTTTGAGCCAGAATTGCAGCCATGAGATACTTGTCAGCTTTGTCCGAAGGTGTTGTTGGGCCATCATCGCCGGCGGCTGTGAGGAATTCAAGGCTGACTCTGTCGATTTCCCCGAGAGTGTTGAATTCGTCTTGAAGGGATATTTGCAGCAAGTCGGATATCGTCCGAACGTCTGCTGAGGCTGTGTACAATTTGACATGACCAAGGACAGAGCAAGCATCGCCAACAGATTTCCACAAATTGAACACGTCTGTCTCTTGCTCTGCGATCTGGCTTGCCAACTCAATCACAGAGGTAGCCAGTTTTGTTGCCTCGCCAAACATACCCAGCGCAACCTTTGCCCAAGCATTCTCAGATATCGTCTGGAGCAAGGCGATAAGCACTCCAAACTCCCTCGGTTTCAGAAGAAGGATATCCCTGTATGCAGCAATGGCCTCATCAAATAGCCCCATCTCTCGTTGAACATTGGCAAGCATGTACTTTGCGAACCAGGTCTCTGCGGGCGACAGACCATGGTTGATACTCTCAGCTTTGGCAAACGCCCGCGTAGCAGCAACATGCCGCCCTGCGTTGTGATAGCTCTCACCAAGTCCCACCCAAGAGTGGTAATCATCTGGTGTAATCCTCAGTGCATGCTGGAAAGAAACAATCGCCTGCGGATAGTGGTGTTTGTTCATTTGCACCACGCCCAATGCCGTGAATGGCCAACTGTGAGCTTTCTTCTTTGAACCTGGAGCCGGCCTGGCTTTTCCTGAGGTGGCAACACGTTGAGCGACCAGTTCCACAAGATCCCATTCTGCGTTATCGGCAAAGGTCTTTGCAAGTCGGTGGGCGGCTTCGAGTTCCGAGGTGGAGAGCTCAAATGCCTTTTGCAAGGCGACGCGGGCTCGGGATTTGCTTTTGCCGTAGTCTTGGAAGTAGATGCCCAAGAGAGTATATGCGGGTGCGTAATTGGGGTCGGCCTTGATGGAGGCGATGAGAAATTGATAGGGCCCAGACTTGTCCTTCCGTGAAGCTGTGGAAGTGTCGATGTGCCAGTAACAGTAGGCGATTCGGTAGAGCGTGACTGATTTCATGGTCAAGTCCTGTTGCCTTTCCAATTCAATAGCTGATAACGCCTGCTGGAGCCCTTCTAGTCCTTCATGAAGTTGTCCACTGTGAGCCCGGCACCAGGCAAGCTCGATCTTGATCCTGGTATTATCTGAATCGCGTTCAGCTGCTTGGTGGAAGAACTTGACTGCCTCCGCATAATCTTCGTCGTCCTCGTATATCAATCCGGCACCTAGCAAAGCAGCAGTGAGCTTGGGCTTCCGTCGCAGAATGTCTTCAAACAATGCTTTGGCTTCGGGATGATGTCGGGGTGACTGAAATGTGATCAAAGCATTTGCGAGGATGAGATTGACACCGTCGAGACTGTTTTGGAGGTCTATAGCATAACGTCGTTGGGCATCTAAGTGGAGTTTCTGAGCCTTTCGTGCAATATCCACAGTGCTCTCCCACTCTTTTAAGCGGAGGTAGACATATGCCATGATTCGATGGCCAAGCAGAGACTCTGGACAACGTTCAAGGCCTTCATTCATTAGGATGAGCTGGTCTGCTTCGCTCAGCCTCTGGGGCGTCTCTTCCCCCTCCTTCTCTTCAACTGGTAGCTGCGGAAATGGCGAGGCGTCACTGTCGAGAAAGCCACGGAGGACCTTGCTCAAGCCGTCATCTTGAAAATAGCCGATATAATCGCGAAAGATGTTAACGTCCCATTCTTGCAGGTCCTCGGCATCAACCAACTCGAGGGCGACCTTCCAAGCTAAGAGAAAAGGGTGTTTGATGATGACCATGCCGTTTGCCATATTCAAAACCTTGTCCCGCTGGTCTGGCTTGGATCCCTGCGGCAAGACGAGTAAATTATCGAACATACGCTGGAACAATTTCTGCTCGAGGTCATGACGAGTATCATCGTCCCTTGTCCAGTCAATGAGAGCGGCGTACTTTTCCTCGATCTGGAATTTGCTTATCGCCTCGAATTTAACTTGTCGAGTCACCTGGTCAATCTTTGCCCCGAGACGTGTTCTTCTTTCTCCGATCTGCGTGTTGATCCACTCCTTCTCTTCGGCTTCTGCCGACTCCAGAATGCGCTGGTAAGCCAAATTCGGTTGTAGAACACGGCCTTCAAGGGTCGGGTAGAGGCTTGAGGTCGGTAGAATTAGCTCGAGAGCCCGTCGGTACTGTGATCGGCTGCCATGCTTCTTTGCAAACAGCTCGTATTTGTCGACAACATTCTGGCATTGTGCTTTGTCGTCTTTCTGAGCATATATCTCTGCCAACCTGAAGACCGTATCATGATATTGGTCCAATTTGGCCTTCCCTTGCTTCTCGTACAGATTCACTAACCCCTTGTAAGCTTGGATATCATCGGGCTTGACGGCGGCAGCTTTGTGCAAGGCATTTTCCGCAGCCTCTATATCTCCAAGCTTCTCTCTTGCGAATCCGAGGAAGAGGAAGGCGGTGTGGTTCTTGTCATCTTGTTTCAGCAAATCTTCGGCTTGCTCAGCGGCTTTAGCGAACTGACTGGCGTCCAAAGAAGCTTTGACCGCCTTCAAAGCAGCCTTAGACGAAGCCATTGGCAATCATTTAGCGAACCAAGCCTCTTCCCCACGACGGATGAGGAGGAAACAAGTCGTCTCGCCGCAGTTGAGTGCTGGGGGAAGGCTCTGTCCCGGCCAAGGGACCTTGCGCTTGCTCCCTCACCCCAGACTAGATTTCTCTAACACAGCGTTGTCCCTTTCCAATAACATCAACATCACTCCCATATCGCTGAATCAGCCCGAGAGGAGAGCCTTCTTGAAATGATTATCCACAAATGTGATCGAAGAGAAAGGTGAAATCATGGTGATTGTCACGTGTTGAGAGTGACGTCTTTTGAACTGTGCTCCGCCGAAGTCAGCTACGGAGAAGCATTGTCTCAAATATCCTCCGTATTTTGTCCCATCTGGCCCCGTTCCGCCCGTTGACTCTCCCTGCTCTCTTTAAACCAGAGGTCGAATTTCTTGTTAAGTCCAAGTCCCAGGCGTATTTGTCAGAATGTGGCCGCTGCCCAAGCTGCAATCTTTTTTTGAGGCACAAATGATCCTGTTAGGATGGTGCATGAGTGCCGAGTCCACTAAGTGGTCGATGCGAATGACCCTTTCGAGACCACTCAAGGCTTCATAGACTGGGAAAGTCGTCGACCGATGGCCTCTCTGCCCTGTTTTATGGCTTAAATAAGAGTTCTGATACAGCCCGAATTCCTCTCTTCTCGAGCCTCGTCCTTGCATTGTCTACCTGGCCATGAATCAACGGGGACACGTGCACCGGCCGGAACGTTGTCGGTCGATCACCATGAAGATCATTTATTGCCTCTATTCTACTATCTCCAACCGTGTTAATTATCATTTGATATCCAGATGGTAACGAACGACGAGGTACCACCTCGAGATCAGGGGCATCAGCTGGTAGGTAGGAACGACGAGGCAAGTTAGAATCGAGCAATCGGTTCAAAGAATGGGTCTTTGTTTGCTGTTTTCCTCAGTTCACAATTTCAACAGCGTGCCGCAATCAGGCATGGTTGGACTTCTACCTGAGCAGGTTTTCGGAAACATTTGAGATACCTAACCTTTAGGTTAGTAGTCACAATATGAGGTCGGAGAGTTTTCCCATATCTATCCGATCGCTCCTTCGGGAAGTACCTGAAGTCGTCGAGTTGGAGGACATTTAGATTCAGGAGGTATATAAAGATGCCACCGGCTTCTCCCTACACTTAGATGTTCGCGATTCCCCTGGCCATTTTAAGTATCCAGATTCCCGAGCAGTCGCCGAAGTACACACTTCTTTTCCCTCCGTTCTCCCTGCTAAAAGTACAACATGGATCCCGGGCAGTTCGACAAGATGTTTTCTCAAGCTGACTCTATCATGGGCCTATTCGCAGACATGCTCCTTCAGCATGCCAGCTTTCCCCCTTCGGACAAAACCCAACTCATTGTCCTTGACCAGGCGTGCGGAAGCGGTGTCGTCTCCTCCCACATCATGTCGAAGCTCTCCCAAGAAGCGAAGCCCAGCCTTGACCTCACATGCGCCGACATCTCCGATGCAATGATATCAAATGTAGCCAGGCGCATCAATGCCTCGGGCTGGACAAACGTGACCGCGGTAAAAGCCGATGCTATGGTCCGCTATGCCGCTCCTTTAATTATGTTTGTCCAGCACTGACAGAGAGATTGGCAGGACACAAAATTTCCCACATCCAAATTTACGCATATCTTCTTCAACTTCGGCCCACAAATCCTATCCAATCCCCTCGCCGGCATTAAGGAGTGCCACCGCATCCTCCGGCCGGGTGGGACCCTGTGCTTGAGTACCTGGCAAGAAGTCCCATGGTTCAGAGACTACCGTGCAGGAATTGCGAGGGAGCCCTCATTGCCGCCGTTCCCTTCGGATGAGCAACTTCGACACGCATTTACCGATACACCAGAACGGTGGGATAACGTTGAAGACGTCAGGGCACATCTCGAAGAATGTGGATTCCAGGATGTTAAACTTCAAGTCGTGGAGAACACCACGAAGATGGAGGTTGCAGAAGTCGAAGCCATGCTGACGTTCTCGCTGGACATGATGATCGAGAAGTTCTGGAAGAAGGAGGGCTTGGAACAGGTGAAGGGGCCAGCACGGAGGGCGGTCTTGGATTATGTCAAAGAGAAGTATGCGTCCGGCCCGGTTGTGTGGAAGTGGATCGGCATCATTGCCAGCGGACGGAAAGGCTGATGGCCCTCACCTGATATTCCCCAGGACAGTGACTGTATATGTGATGATCAAAGGTGGGAGAGCCTGTGGGTTGAACAACGAAACTTGATATCATTGGAGCGAGACATGGAAGAATCGATGCGGCAACACCTCCTACCATCAGCCATGGGTGCAGCAAGAAGAATAGTCGAGTCCCAAATGAAGGATACTGAGTGACCCTGAAGGAGCTTTGTCTAGTCTGGCACACCCGGACTTTCCTGAGGGGTAAATCGAGTGGGATTTCGAGTTCATTAGTCATTACTCAGTCGCTTCTGTTGCCACTCTCGTTTACCGTGGGGGGAGTGATCAACCGACTGTTCACCTGTCAGTTCCCATTGCACGATGATAGGGTGGCTTGGTCTCCATCGTTGTAGCGTCTTCGGCGTGGTCAGTTCATGTGACAGCTCATCCGTTGCTAGCTGACAGGTATCTGCTAGCAGGCGTTTAGCTCGTTGACAACCGGATCCAACATAGAGTGACGCTGACGAGATTTATCTAGCATACTACCCGAACGCTTCCCAATCGCTTCTCGAAGCCGTTCGAGCGCGTGGGCTTTTCCCTCGCCATCGGCTTTGCCTACAAGCTGGTTTCCATGGGAGCTGAGAAGACCGAGAATGCTTGCCAGTCGAAACATCTGAAAGGTAGACGTAGCATCTTGTAGCTTCCCAGTACCAGCCAAACATCGAGTCGACAGCCTCTGAGAGCTCGGCGCTACTTAACTTGTCGATGCAATCCTTAGTGTTGAATATCTCAGGGCCCTCGGGCCTATCACATTTGCTTGAAGACTGGGGGCCAAGCTGAATGCATTGCTACCTAACATGAGAGCACTGCAGTTTTGGTGTATCCGAGCCTTCAGGGGAAGGGATGGGAAGGAGGAAGGGAGGGAATTGCTCATCTACTCATCTACGAATCGCCGTACCAAGAGTCTGCAAAGACCCCTTGGCGCTGGCGCAGCACTGCGACATGACCTCCCTTCAGGCTGCCAGATTCAGTTTACCAATTGACATATTAGTTGCCTATAAGTCCCAATTCAGCTTTGGCGGACGGCGTTCTTCAAAAGCTCTATATATCTAGCGACATACTCCTCATCCCCCAAAACTGCCCTCACTACGCGGCTACTTACCGCCAATACCAACAGCAGCTTCAGCCTGATCTACTTCCACAGTAACGACATTCCCAGGTATGGGATTCTTTCGCACATCCGGGATGGGGGTGATCAGGAGGTCACATTCCAAGATATGACGAATGCCCGAGGAACCGGCAGAACCGATACCGAGATACCTAGATTTACAGAGGATGCTGCCCGGACACTGACATCACCAAGTTTTGGTGACGCTGGACTCTGTCAGTCACATTCAGCGAAGTTGCCATTATACGAAGGTGCTACCCAAGGGCCAAGTTGCTGTCTGGAGAGATTCCCATTCAAGCGACTCTGGTTCGCTCCTCTTCATGGAGGCGGATGTTTGATGAAGAGCTGCTACAGCAGTTTCATCTTAACCGTTCTGTGCCAGTGATGAATCTCAGCTTAACCCTTGCAATGTCTTGATATTGGATAGGAAAATCTCTTGCTCGACATGATTCCGCATGTTGGCAGCACAGCCGGCACAAGCGTGCCATTATGAGGAGGGCATCATTGTTATAAACACCAAGGATTGTCTATACAAAGAGCAATTAATTGCTCCGTGTCTAGGTACTGTTACAGTGCGGTTGATGCTATGTCAGACAAATTGTACTGTGGGCCCATGGTGAATCCTCCAAGATCCTCCTATACATATTTCGTAGAGGCTTTGACTAAGCTCCGCTCGTGCCTCTCGTTCCTTCAGGGTAGCGACTTTCACGACTGGTATATCTTTACATCATAGACCACGAAGGCGCCGATTCTTGTCTTGCTTGTATTGCCAGTGCTTGCAGAGCAAGGGTTTGCGCCTGCATCAAAAAGAAGTCTCGCCACCTTCGGTAAGTCTCCTTATGCTGAGTGCGTCAGCGCACTCCAGCCGTTTGTGTCCGTTGCTTCAATCTCAATCTCCCCGGTCTCGAGCAAGAAGCGCAGTACCTCTGCATCCTTCTCCTTATTTTGAGACTTGAATTGAGCGTGGAGCACAGTCTCGCCAGTCTTGGTATCGATGAGAAGAATATGCTCACATGTCAGAGAGAGGAAAATGGTACCGTGACCCTATGGTGAATTCTCCGAGATCCTCTTACTCTTCTCTCACCGTAGCGAGCGGCAACTAAGGCAGGGGTACCGTGTCGGTGCCGTGGGGGTGAGTACAGGGCGGCATCACTTGTGACCCAATACGGGGCACGGCGCGAACAACCTCTATTGACCTTTGGCATGCATGACCATCGGCGGATCGTCCTTTATTCCCAATGGAGATGTTCGCTCGGTATGCTACTTGAGAGCCAATTTGGAGTCCAAGGCCACTACTACCTCATCCATCTCAGTCGACTATGAGGCACAACCAAGTCTCTGGAACTCTGTATTGAGTCTCCCGCCTCCGTCGCTGACGCCGTAAACAACCCTCCGTTCAGAACAAATTGACTCTGCCCAGCATCAGTGCTTGCCGCATGCTCCCGCATCACCCTCCCAGCATCACCCTCGCCCTCCAATGACGACCCGTGGACTCTCAATCGACGGGGTTAGATTTCGAGATGCCGCAGGACGCGAGGTGACTTTTCGCGGCATCAACGTCTCTGGAGACTGCAAACTGCCCCGTCACCCGAGTCAACCCTCGCACGAACTTAAAGACTTCTTCGACGCCAAAAATGTCTCCTTCGTGGGACGCCCTTTCACGGAAGAGGAGGCACATATACACTTTGCAAGGATAAAAAGATGGGGCTACAATCTTATTCGGTATATCTTCACGTGGGAAGCCCTGGAGCATGCTGGGCCAGGCCAATACGACGAGGAGTTTGTAGAGCACACCATCAAGCTCCTGCGGATAGCAAAGTCTTATGGTCTCTATGTCTTCATGGATCCTCATCAGGACGTCTGGTCAAGGTTTACCGGCGGCTCCGGCGCACCCCTGTGGACCCTCCATGCCTGTGGGCTGGATCCAGAGACCTTCGTAGCGAACCAAGCTGCTGTTGTTCACAATACCTGGCCGGACCCTGCACAATTCCCCAAGATGCTGTGGCCCACCAACTACACCCGCATGGCTACTGAGACTACATTTACCCTGTTCTATGCTGGTCGGGACTTTGCTCCAAACGCTATCATAGATGGCAAGAACATCCAGGACTACTTGACGGACCATTTCATTTCAGCTTGTGCACATCTGGCTCAGAGAATACACGACGCTGGCGGCCTGGAGGATGATTGTATCATTGGCTGGGAGACGATGAACGAGCCGCATCGAGGATTGATCGGCTGGGAAGACCTGGACGCGCTTCCGGATGAGCTGAAAATGAGGAAAGGAACAATGCCAACTCCATGGCAATCCATTCTCACGGGATCAGGGCGGGCTACAGAAGTCGACGTCTACGAGTTCAGCACTTTCGGGTCATACAAGAGTGGCCGAGAACTAGTGGATCCGGAAGGGGTGTCGGCCTGGCTTTCGCAAGATTTCGATGATACGCAGTATGGCTGGAAGCGAGATCCTGGCTGGAGGCTCGGCGAGTGTCTATGGGCTCAAAACGGCGTCTGGGATCCAAGCCAAGACCAACTTTTGAAGCCGGATTATTTCGCTACGATACCCAAGTCAGGCGAGAGGTTGGACTACCTCAAATACACCAACATATATTACATGCAACATTTCCGAAAGTATAGAGACGCTATCCGCTCGATCCACAAGAATTGCCTGATTCTGGTGCAATCGGCCGTTCTCGAAATACCCCCAAGCATTAAAGGGACCGTCGACGACGATGAGAGATTGGTCTTTTCCACTCATTACTACGATGGGATCACGCTACTCCAGAAACACTGGAACAAATACTACAATGTGGACGTCTTTGGTATACTGCGTCACAAATACTCCAACCCCGTGTTCGCTGTTCGGCTCGGCGAGACCGCTATTCGGAAATGTTTGCGGGACCAGTTAAGGGCGATACGTGAGGAAGGGGTGAATTTTCTAGGAGACCATCCCACGCTTTTCACAGAAATTGGCATTCCTTTCGACATGGATGACAAATACGCCTATAAGACCGGTGACTATTCCAGCCAGATCTCAGCCTTAGATGCCAATCATTTCGCCTTGGAAGGGTCGGGTGCACAGGGCTATACTCTGTGGACCTACGTCGGTCAGGTAAGTAATACTCTAGCCCAGCACGTTCGACTGCTAATGTCGCCAGAACAACCACGAATGGGGCGACTTGTGGAACGGCGAAGATCTCTCTATCGTCTCAGTCGACGATCCGCTCCTTCCCAGCATCTCTACATTATCTGCGCTCCCCTCGGCCAACCCCTCCATAACCTCCCTTGGCCAGCAATCAACCTCCCATTCAAGCGCGACACTGTCTGACTCGACCACAATAAACCCGTCAAACCTCAAAGACGCACTTAAAACCCCGCAGATCAATCAAACGCTTCAAGCTACTCCGAGAACTACGGAGGGGACACCCGGCTTCCGTGCTGCCGAAGCCTGGGTCCGACCTTCCCCAATCGCAACTGTCGGCGACGTTGTGAGTTACGGCTTCGACCTGAAGACCGTCACATTCACATTCTCCTTGACTTCTGACAACCCGACAAAGGAATCCGTTCCCACGGAGATTTTCTTACCCGAGTTTCACTTCCCGCCTGGTAAGACGCAGGTGGAGGTCAGCGGCGGGCGATGGAGAATCGACGTTCTGGATGTGGATGGCGAAGGCATGCAGGTCATGAAATGGTGGCACGGGGCCGGGGAGCAGAGCATGACCGTCAAGGGAATGAAGAGGAAGGCCGGGGCGTTGAACGAGGAGGATGATTCTGAAGCTGGGTATCTGGATACAATGAGGGAGAACTGCTCGGTCATGTGAAATTTTTTTTGGGTCCTGGAAAGGCGGTTTTGTTTGGTCTTCAGGGAACATGGTTTCTGTGTTTGGGCGCTTTTTGAAGAAGGCACTAGATATTCTTGTCTTGTCGGGATAAACTGCATGTAGCTGGGCCGCTGGGATACAAGTTGCTGAACTGTCCATTTTCCATTTTTCCATATCTGGAGCTTGGAAAGGAAAATGTTATCATGAATGAATCGGTACACAACCCCTGACGCAACTAGGCCCAAGTGATGACATTCCTAGGACCACCACATAGTACCGCGGTTCTAATAATAGTACCTAGGTATAACTTCGCTTCTCCACACGCATCCTGACCCATTAAGGGGCTTTTTTTTTTCATGTTGTATCACCCTGGTGTTCACTAGACACATCGTCATTACCACTACCGTCATCAGCGTCATTACCATCGACGTCGTCCTCATCCTCCCCCTGCTCCTCCTCATCCCCCTCAGACTTCCCGTTCTTCTCTCCCTCCACAGCCCCAGCCTCCTCCCTCAGCTTCCCGCCTTTCCTCTTGGGAATGACCCTCAAAAAGGCCTTGCCCCAATCCTCTTCCTCGAGATACCGCAGTAGGATCTCGACGACGTGGTTCGTCGCCAGGACCTTGCGGGACGTCATCTCCAGATACTCACCGATGGGCAATTTCGCCGTCTTGACCCCACGCGACGTGGCCGTCTTGTAGCAGATACCCTTGTGGCGGTTCTTGTCGACCAGGCCGCCGACGATGTAAGTCGAATACGGGGAGAGGGTGTCGAGGGTGTCAGGAGAGTCGGAGGTCAGGTAGATTATTTCGCCTTGAGATAAAGTGGGGTCTGATGGCGAAGAAGAACGGTGAGCTTCCGGTTGAGCGGACTCCGGGTTCTTTGGCGCTGAGGTATCCTGGGCCATGAGAGGGTCACCTGTGTCGGGTTTCCCGACCCCTTCGGCTCGGGGAGCTTCTGCATCTTTCAGATCTTCGCATGCTTCGCCCCTAGCAGGTCCCAGCCCACCAGCGCCAGCAGTCGTACCATGAGCGTACTTCTCAAAGCACGCGACCAACTTCCCACCATGAGGCCGTTTCATGAACTCCTCAGCCTTCTTCGCCGCCGCAACAAAATCCCCGTCCTCAAACGTCACATTCCTCCAATTCAGGTAATGCTTACTGAGCACCGTATCGAATCTCTCCTTCAGTAACCCGCCCCAGGAGCTAATCACAAGATTTGTCTGGTAACGGGAGCGGGAGTTGTCAGAATAAGACCGCGTAAGTTGTGAACCTAGGGATATGCGCTCTTTTTCCATCATGAGGTCGTCGAAGCCGCAGTCTATAATGATGGTCATGGGGACCTGGACCGGACGGCGGAATTTGATCTTGGAGGGCAGGTGTGGTGTATCCGTCTTTGTCCTTTGCACGTCTCCGTTTTCTCCTTCGACAAGGGAGGGTTGTTGTAGTAGTAGCTGGAGACGGTGCTGTTCCTCCTCTTCTCGAGCTGCCCGTTTCCTCGCCTTTCTCTCCTGTGTCTTCTGTTTTCGTTTTGCCTTGCGGTAATCTCGAGCTGCCTCCCACTCTTCTCGCTTGCGCAATTTCTTCAGCTGGTTCTTGGAAAGCGGCTTTGAACCGTCGTCGTCTTGCTGCTGATGTTGCAGTGGCACCTTGTGGAGAAGGTGGTGTTCGGTATCTGGGTCCAACTCCACGCCGTCCGACTCATCTTGGAGGTCTTCTTCTTCTCGTGTCACTGAATGATCTTCATTATTAGCAGCACACCCCTCTAGCTTACTGTTTTGCAACGAGAGAGCATCGACGCTGCCAGTGACCATGCCATGTAATTTTGACAACAAAGGTGTACCTGCATCTTCAGGCGAGCCCATGTCATCGTTCGAGTTGAGCTTCCGAAGCTTTGCAGGACGCTCCTCTGCCTCCATCGCAGGTGCCATTCGCGCTGACGGTCTTGGATTTGCTGGCAAGTGAACGTAGAGCTTTCGAAGTTTTTCTCGCAGCACTTGTGGTCGCTGCGAGATTGTGTACGTGCTGCTTTAAGCTGCATGTCCAAATTAGGCAACCCCGAACTTCGATCGCTCGACCTCTCAATTGACCTCATCTCCGACTCCAAAGCTTCCCTCACACAACCCATTTACCACTACCCGCGCTGTCTATGTAGGTCCAACACCGACAACAAGACCAGTCAAGCCTCGGAGGACCTCTAGACAGATGCCTCAAGATCTCCCGCCAACAGGCGGCTACGAAGCCGTCCAATACAGAGTACGTCTCACAAAGCTTCCTCCCACATCTTTCTTCCTCTTGTTCCTCCCTGCGCATAACCCTCCATTATTTTTCGTTTTCGGGAGCAGCAGCACTAACATTTCCCGCAGCGTAACATCCCCACGCGCGGCCTCAAACCCTTCTGGTACCTCGTCGGCGTCGGCCTGGTGATGGCCTACGGCTGGCGTCAAGTGTTCGTCGGCCAGCGCGAGAAACACGAAATGGCCCGAGAGAAGATGTGGAGCCGGATACACCTGACGCCATTACTGCAGGCGGAGGAGGACAGGGATCAAGTGAGGAGGTATTATGCCGATTTGGCCAGGGAGAAAGAATTGCTGGGCAGTCAGAGCGGGGCTTATAACAGTGATCGGTACGCCTTTCTTTTTCCCTTTTTCTGCATTGTTATTGTTCTCGTCTTGGACTCGGCTGGACTGGATCGGATTGGATGATGTAGAAAGAGGCGGAAAAGGGGGGACACAAGGACTCTAAAGCGACGACGAGGAAGACAACAAGAACGCTTGCTAATAGACCTGACCTGATTCACACAGATTCGTGAGACCGACGTTCACAGCTACACCCAGCAGAACAGTGGAATAGAGAGGACCACGTCGGAGCGTTGTTACTAGCGGAACTCCTTCCTCGACCTGAAATATCCTCCAACGCTGCCTGGCTACTCTTCCCCGGCGCTCGTAAGTCCCCTGGACGGGCGCAATCACTCCCAAAAATGGGAGAGCCTACAACGCCACAATAGCAAGGACCCTCGGGAGGGTTCAGGGTTGGGATGTAGAAAGATCTTCAGCGACCTCGACATGTACATAAACAAAAACTCACGATACAGAAAACAGCATTGGAACAGGAAACCATCATTCCATTACGGATGGTCATCTAGCAAGAAGAGGGCCGACTTCTCACGGCCCCAAGTCATGTTTGAGCTTCACGTGGCCCCTATCCAATCTTCGTTTGAATATCCCAACAAATCTGCTTGCTCTATTTTCCACTGTCGTAGCTTGCCTCTTGCTCCTAGCCAGCGAACATATCGGCCACTCCGGCCAAATCAGCTCCGTCGTCCCCAGCACCGGACCTAATTCTCGACTGCCCCGCTTCTTCAACATCCTGCATGCTCAACATCTCTCTTTGCTTGTACTTCTCCAGTATCTTCGAGTGCTGCTGCCTCGTGTCGATTTTGCCGAGTTCACTGACTCGGACACCTCTCACGCCTTCGAGTAGTGCTAATATGATGGCTCGGAGCCTCTTTGACCGGTTGCCCATCGAAGCTTCCTTGAGAAGCAGTGTGGAAGCATGGGCAACCTTTGCCTCCGTCATACCTGGTAAGCTGAGGATCACGTCTCGGGGAGTCGAGGTCAACGGCGGGCGCTCGTGGGCGGGCACAGTCTCTGTCGCGGGGATGTGGTTCGGTAAACCGTACGAAAGCCAGATTGTGGCTATCAGTTGGGAATAGTATACTTGCTGGTCGGCAAAGTAGCCATCGTTCAAGCATGTAATCGCCGTCTTGAGCATCTCCGTCGAGATGTACTCGCGCACAGCGGCAGCTTCCTGGCCACTAATAAAGCGGTCGGATGCAAACTCTGGAACAAGGCGGTGGGCAGTCATAAGCATCTGGTAGGACGATTTCGTATCCTTGAATGCCAGCGAATGGGTGATGAGGACAAGCAGCTTCTCGAGGATGAGCACATTTGAAAGCAAAAATTCCCGCATCGTTTGTTGAGTGCTGTCCGTCAAGTATTTGCCATTGACAATCGACTTTTTGGTGCTCAGTTCCTGCTCGCGCCTTGGTTGTAACCAGTGCGCAACCAGATTGATCGCTCTATAAGTAGTTTGCCTCAGCACCGAGTCGTCTCTCATTTCGTCGCCGAGATTCTCCTCGTCATGCTTGTTCTGTTTTCGCTGGTTCATCTTCTCCCATTCGCTTGAGAGTTTGCTGTCCATCTGCACGAGGACTGACAGTATGATCGGGGTCAAGAAATGCAGCCGACTCTCCGGTGGACATTCGTCGATCAGCTTCGGCAACATCTGAAGCATGACAGAGAAATGGTGCAGACTCAGGGGAGCTGTAGTATCAATAGCAGCTTGTGCGATCAACTCAGGGAGTTGCTGCAAGCTGTAGAAAGTCGGGCCCAGCCTGCCCAGTGTATGGAGGATGCTGTAGCACTGTTCAAGGTGTCCCCGTATTTTGCCGCGCACTGATGAGGCAAATCCCTCGAGCGTTGACCTGGAGGCTTTGACCCTGCTGTGAAAGTCGCCCATTGAACCTGCCGATATCCCTGACTGCCAGTATCGGTCTCGGAGAACTCGTCGGATGACGCCCTCCAACTCAGGGGGAACATTGGGCCATGATGATGGATCGTGCAACTGATGGTTATAGCTCGTAAGCCGGAGGACGTACTCCAGCATCGTCGGGACCATAGGTGACCACATGTCGCAAATCATTTTCTGGAGCTGAGAACCCTGCTCGAGTCTCTCGGTCGATATGCTCAGAAAAATCCGTGTTGCTCGGAGGGGCAATTTCGCATAAGCGGACGACATTTCGTCCTGGATTTGCAGCCCACGATTGTCGTAGGGTACTGCAGACCAATCCTCAATCTTTCCCGCATCCAAGGATGCCAGGTAGGGTCCGATCTGATCGAATGCTTGAAAATGAGCAAATGACTCAAGGCTGCCCAGAGCCGTTTGAAAGCGTTGATCCGCCCAGGCTGCAGCAATCGGTCGAAGAAATTCTTCGAGCCTAGCCTGACGTTGGGCGTAGCCGACTCCTGTTGCGTGTTGGACGACAGAGAAGAGCGTAGATTTCAAATCAACCTGCAGCCGCTCACTGGCACCGATTTGATCTATCAGATCTGCGAATTTCACCTGCAGCTGGTCGTAGAAGGTGACAAAATAGTCGGCATGTTGCAGCGACAAGCGTCTCAACTCGCTGGTTGCATAGCTGTGAAGGTCCTCGACAGCATCCGCATAAGCAGAGCCTTGTTGCCCAATTATGATGAACGATGACAATATGTGCTCCAGAACTCTAAAGGCGAAGCCGGTGTCCTTCTTTAAGGCTCGATTGGAAACTTCGACTACCGTCTTGATCTGGCGTTGTCTGATTTGCGGGTCTTTAAATTGTCTGGCGCTCATCATTTGCCACGTCCAAGTTTTTATTTCTTCCCGAATTCTTCGTCCGAGCTGTTCTTCTTCCGGACTTGAACTTTCTCGATGCGCCACCTGCCATCGATCGAACCCTTTGAAAGCTGCATCAACCAAGGCAAAGTAGCCATCGGCGCGTAGTAAATGCATTGAGACACGTTCGTACCTCGTGGGATCGAATTGCTGTTCAGCTGCTTCGATCTCATTCAAGAGAGAATCGACTCGGCCCATGACCGCAAAAATCGCCTCTTCCAGTTGTGCGAAACAGATCCATTCAATGACAGCCGAGCAGAGTCTGCGATAGTTCATGTAGAAACCCTGCCGCTCCGGAAAGAGTTCGATCTCTTCATTCACAAAAATCACGACGGGTTCCTGGGCGTCCTCGGGAATCTGATCGTATTGCATGAGTCGTTGTGACGCCACCTCCAGGAGCGGCCCGATACATTGGGAGACGGCAGAAGATGTCCGCCAGCTCGGCACCTCCAGCATCTTGACCCAAGAGTGAACGACTGGGATAGAGACGATCAGGCTTTCATGTTCTGCAACCATGGTCAACAACCGCAAAAAGGGAAAAAAGTCGAGAGTGCCGAAGTCTGGAGGTTTATATTGGCACATGTGATCCGCGAAGAGGGACATCAACTCAGAGAGCTTCTTCGAAATGGCATACTTGCTGCTGTCCATTTCATTCACCGAAACAACAGACCAGCTGTATAGTTGCCTTAGTGTCGCGATGCTGTCCGGCTGAATTATAGGATGCACGAGGGCTTGCACTTCGAGCTCTTCTAATCGCACTCTTCCGTACAACGACAGAAGACTGTCGATGGCAGCCATGATGAGGTCCGGGTCCGCGCGGGTGAGGAACCCACAAGTCACTGCCAAAGCCATCGAGTGTACAATAGCTGGTGTCATTACCCAAGTGAAGACCGAGCGTATAGTCGCAAGAGCCTTAAGGACGACTTCCTTGAGTTGTCCTTCTATGTTAGGGCTTTGGATTGCTCTCTCCAGGAATGTCCTGATTCTAGTGAGCCAACCCTCCTCTCCGTAACGCATGTAGTGGGTGATGTCGCCGATCTTGATGCCTCCTGCAAAGTTGGAGCTCGATGTGAAGATCTCGACAAGCGCCGAATTCAGGTCTCGCCCTCGTAAGATGGCAATGCTATCGTCGCGAACAAAGATGTCTTCGGACAAATTTTCCAGTATGGTGAGGACGAAGTCCTTGCGGACAAGGTCCAGGTCCCACAAGTGCACCAGTCGCCTGTCCAAGTCGAACATATCTAGGGCCCAGAACCGCTTTGCCAATTCGATCCATAGCTCGGCGATTTTGTTGCGAATGAAGACAAGATCTGTGTCCTGAATCGAATGGGCAAGCTCATGAACACATTTCTCAAGCTGATGAGTTTGCTCTTTGGAGAGATGGTGATGCTCATGACGGATAACATGGCTCAGCAGGGAAAGGCCGAAATGTCGTACCAGAACCGGTTGCCCTCTGTCTTCTGCGAGGGCGCAACCGTACTGAAGCGCTTCCCGGCTCAACTTTAGATTTTCCAGGTACGCTGAAGCTTGGGTCCTGACCTCGTTCTTGGTGGCGGGGTTGTGAATGACCTGTAGGGCCTCCAGGATATGGGCGGTATCGTAAGTCTGGTCATGTGCTCCATTTGGGGTGCCGTTTGCCGTAGCTGTGTCTGTCATCTCCAGGTTTGTCGATCTAGATGGTGACAGATTGTGACGTGAGTGGCATGTCGGCCTCTGATGGACTGGGCTCAGGAGTGTCGAGGACGAGATTATAGAGGGTTGCGTAGTGTTGATTTGGTGTTGTTCTTGATGATAAGTGGCAACGGCCTTAGGAATCGTGAGTGTAAGATTTGTTTGTCGGTCTGATGGTTTGGCTGCTTCACAGTCAAGATTTGTCACCCCGGACACCGCCCGTTCTTGTCGCTTTGTCTAGGAGAGCATCGGGTCTCCAAGCCTAAAAACTAAAACGGTAGAGAGCCACAGGGTTGCTGGGTAGCGCTTTCAGGCGATATAGACGAAGGATGGTAGAAGAGCGGAATTGTTTGAGGAAGAGCAGAGGCATGCGACACCCGCCACGACGCCAGCGAGTGAAGTGACGATTTGCTGAGGAAACAAACTGAACAAACGAAACAAACTCCTGCCAACCAAACGGCCATTCTACCTCACTAGCCCAAAAGGGGAAGTTTAACCGGACTGCTATTCATCCCTTGAGCACCGAGTACGAGTATCACCCACCTTGGTAGGTCCTTTTTATATTACTCTTACCAATTGATTGATATACACATGCCGACGGTCAACTGTCAAATCGAGGTGAGAGACCTGTCATTTTTTGTCTACCCCGGGACTTTCTCTCTACTGCTGCACACCCCCACCTCCCATGCCTCTGCCCATCTTCCGGGCCCTCCCCTCACGTCTATTGTGACTTGCTCCTCCCCTTCCTCTGCCTTGCTCCTTTCGCCTCCTGGCGGCCTGGGTCGCTGCGTCGCCGCTGGGGCCTGCCGTACTTCCAACGCCACCGCGGCCACGTCCCCATACGCGACTCCCCCGTATCTGTGCCTGCTCCATCCGTCGCCCGCCACTGCCCGCCTCTCCTTCACTATCCTCAGGGGTGTTGTCTCCCCGCCATCGGGTCGAAGTAAGCGCGGCTTGGCTCCCTCTGAAGCTCTGTGTACCCGAGTACTTCTTTTCTAGGCGATCCTGCAGTTTCGGATCCTTCTTCAGCATGATGGCCCATCCTTCAAGTTGTTCATCACTCATTTCCGTCTCCCGTTTGAGATCCTGTCGAACCTTCAATGCCCGGGTCTTACTGTCGCGTGCGAACAGCTCCTGGCTGTCTTTCCATGCTCGGAACAATCTCTCTTCGTGAGGATTCTGATCAGGGCCTCTTTCCGGTTGCGGCCTAGTGTCAGCGTCTAGAGTGGAATCCACAGTTCCACCCACGTCGGCAATATCGTAAGTGTCGTCCCGCTCATCGTCGTCTGAATCAAACGCCGCCAATGCCGACATGATTGCCGCTTTCCGTTGTGCATGCTCGTGTTCCGTTTCGGTGTGGTCGATCCTCACGTCCTTCCGTCCTCTGTGCAGGCGACCTGCAGATATCCGAAGCTTGTCCAGGCCATCTCCGTCAAATATGTTCTTCCTCTCTGGAAGTAGAGGTGGTGTCGAATGTGGCGCAAGATCATGTGCTGGTACAGCAATGTCAAGCGCAGGTCCTTCAAAAGCGCCTCGATCTCGGAGGTCAGACGGGAGAGAATCAGGCTCTAGGAGTGCAGCAACCACAGCCTCAGTGTCATCGTGAAAATGGTCTAGCAGCTTGAGGATATACTGGTTTGATAGATCCGGAAAGAGCTCATGCACTTGTGATATCTGCGAGGCCTTGTGAACGTGCATCTCTTCATTCACGTTAGCCTTGCCTTTGCCTTTCGCAGATTTCCGTCTTTTTGGGCTGACCGGAGGGTGTAAATGCCTAGTGTTTTGTCGATAGGTGCTGAGTGACTCCAGCAATCCTTGACCTCGCTGACTGGAGGTCACAGAGGAGTCTGATGCGAGGTGTCTTAAAAACGACGTACTGCAAACCAGGCTCGAGGACAACGTCGGCTCATTGGGTTTTGCCTTCATTAGCCGATCGGCCTCGGACTTCATGAAGTAGAGGTGATCTAACAAGAGCGATCCGTGGGAACACCCATCGGACATAAGGCTGCGCAGGGAATAGAACATGTGCTCGGTCAGTAGTCTTTGGAACAAGCCGGCGTCAGGCGACGTCTGCAACCGACCGTAGGTCTCCATCAGCGTCTCGAGGTAGTCCGAGCCCGTCATAAGAATGAGGCCTGCGTCCGGGGAGACTTTGACAAATGCATTCATTTCGCGAAGTCTCGTCAGAAGCGCCCCTGAGCCGGGCTGTATCGAGAGATCTGCTGAGACGGCTTTTTTCCAGTCCTCCACCGCGTGCGTCAATTGGGATTGATCCCTCTTCCAAAGCGTCTTCAGCGTCGCTCTCCAGTCCGGCACGGCTGCATAGTGCAGACTTGCCTGACACAGGAGGTCAACGAGTTTCGCCGCGTCGTAGTCAAAAGGCGTATGCGTAACCAGCAGAAGCCGTCTCAGAAGCAAATACGCCCGCTTCACCAAGATTCTCTCTTTTTGCGAGCTCGACGACGGTGCCGCCGCCGTGCCACCTGCTCGAGTCCAACTGAAGAACGACGCGAGAAAAGGCACACCACTGGCGTCCTGGGCGAAGCTGAACCTGGAGAAGTCCTTGTCCTGTAGCCGCAGGCGGAATTCCAAACTGAACAGCCATGAGTCAAGACATGCTTCCCACTCGGCAGGCGGCAGGCTGACCTGCAGGTTTGGTTCTGGGTAAAGAGCCAATGGAGGGAGGCCGTCTGGCATGCCTGGGACTTGCTCCATTCCAAGCGGACGGTATGTTTAAAATCTGTCTCGGAAATAGGGGAAGCCCCTCACCGGTTCAAGGATTGAGATCTGGGCAGAAAACTGTAGTTTTTCGAACGAGGTCAAACAAGTCAACACTTGATCGTCTTGGTGACTAATAAACTTTTGGAGAGTGTTCCACAACAGGCTTAGTTCTGCGGATCAAGCCGCCGCCAAGATGTCCAACGCACTTTGACCGCAGATGGCATCGCTATTGAAAACATCACAGGACAGTTGAGACTCTTCCCTCGTCTCTTTTCCTCCTCCAGCCTTTCATCACTTTACCGAACCTAGTCGTTCAGGTCTTGACTGGCGCCGACGCTCTTTCCAACCTCTCTAACATCCATCTCACTCCAAAAACACCCACATCACATCCTGCACACAAACGCCACACCTCAAAAATGTCTTTCCAAAAGCCCGAGAAGGATTTCGGCGAAGGCCCAGTGCGTTTCCCATCTCCGCTCCCTCTCTCCCGCCGGCGCCCATGTCTCGAAACCGGGCGGTTATGACTGACTGACTGGTTTGCGTGTGCAGAAAATCCACAAGATCCGCATCACCCTCACCTCGCGCAAAGTGCAGTCTCTGGAGAAAGTGTGCTCGGAGCTGCTCGACCGCGCCAAGACCAAGAACTTGCGCGTCAAGGGCCCCGTCCGCCTGCCCACCAAGACGCTGAAGGTCACCACGCGCAAGACGCCCTGTGGTGAAGGCTCAAAGACCTGGGACATGTACGAGATGAGGATCCACAAGAGGTTGATCGATCTGAATGCCCCGACCGAGGTCGTCAAGCAGATCATCATCAATATTGAGGCCGGCGTCGAGGTAGAGGTTACGATTGCGGCATAGAAAGTGAGAGGAAACGAGACGAGATCCCACGTACGACTGTCGCAGTTCGGCGGAGGAGAGGGTCGGAGACAGGAGACAAGTCAAAAAGGTGCTGATGATTGTGGGCGAGCGAAACGTCGAGAAAGATGTATTGGTCCTGTTCCAATCGTCCCAACGCTAGAGAGGACCAGCATTCATGAGACGAAATTTATGTCAAGGAATCAATGAACAAGAAATTTCGAAGAGGACGCGCGTGTTTTGCGCCGTTGACCCTCTCGTAAGCGTACATGTCCCAATCGACAAAATAGTTATTTCCCAGTGACTGACGCTTTGCCCATTTCTCCATCCATGCCAAACTGTCTGTTTTCGGAACAATGCAATTCGAAATTTCCAGAGCCCTCCAAAGTCGATTGCAGATGCCGATCAAAAGTCGTAAATCCCCCATTCCCTCAAGGGCGGCACCAACGGAATCTTCCCATCCCGAAACTTCCCTTCTTCGAATAGATACCTATAGCGCCCCATAACTTCATCTGTATACTCCTCTTTTGTTCCCTCACAATCCTCAATCTTATCCTCCTTGTTCAACGCCACTACATCCGGCGTGGCTCCCGCATCAGGAAACCAGATTTTTTCCATCCCTTGGCCATCAGGGCGTCGATAGCAGGGTGTGGAGTTGATGTACTCAACGCGTTGGCCGCGGTAGAAGGTGAGGCGACCGGAGACATCCTTTTGAGTGGGTTGGAGAGGGAGGGTCTGTGTGTAGTGCAGGGCGTGGGGAGGTCGGTTGGTGAGCGGATGTGGAATTTTCGAGGTATTTATGATGGGCTTCGCTACTGACGGACCTTGGGACGGGACAGCAGGTGGAGGTATGGTGGAGGGTGCGAAGGGGTTTGCCCGAGATTCTGGACGTGAAGGTGCAGGAGTGGTCGTTTCCATGTTCTCATCTTTGGTCTGGGCTTCGGCAGGTTTAGGAGCAAATGGATTCACTGAGGTAGTTTGGCCGAATCCAGATATCGAACCGGGCCCCAGACTAGTCTGTCCGAATGCGGGAGCAGTGGTCTGGCCAAATCCGGCTGAAGGAGATGCAGCTTGTCCGAATGGTGAGGTAGTAGATGTAGAAGCTTGGCCAAAGCCGGATACAGTCTGCGGTGACTGTCCGAATGTCGATGATGCTTGACCGAATGCGGGTTTGCCGAACGCTGAAGGCTGGCCGAAGGCAGACGCGGGCTGTGATGGTTGCCCAAACGCTGAAGAAGGCTGGCTTGGCTGACCGAATGTCGAAGAAGGCTGAGTGGCCTGTCCAAAAGTCGAGGGGGACTGGCTTGGTTGTCCGAAGGTGGACGTAGGCTGCGAAGGCTGTCCGAATGTTGAGCCGGGCTGAGAGGGTTGGCCAAATGGAGAGGAAGCCTGACCGAAGCCACTTGAGGCCGAGGCTGGCGCAAAAGGATTCTTCTGAGGAGTCGACCCAAAGCCCGATGAACCAAATGCCGGCTGACCAAATGCGGAGGATGGCTGAGACGGTTGGCCGAATGCAGAAGTTGTTGGCGGAGGTTGGCCAAACGTCGATGTTGGCTGGGAGGGTTGTCCGAAGGTAGACGTCGGTTGCGAGGCTTGGCCAAAAGCTGGCTGTCCGAACCCAGGGCTACCAAATGCCGGTTTTGCAAATGGGCTTGATGACGACCCAAACCCACCACCAGTTGAAGGCTGTCCGAACGGACTACTTGTTGAGCCTCCGCTGCCAAAGCCGCTCTGCCCAAACGCTGGTTTTCCGAAAGGAGAAGACCCGAAGGCAGAGGGTTGGGTAGGCTGTCCAAACGACGATGCAGCGGGTTTCGCGAACGGACTTGATGCTGAGCCCTGGCCAAAGCCGCCGCTGGTTCCTCCGCCAAATGGACTCGAACTACTAGACTGCGACTCAATTTCTTTGATAAACTGATCTCGGGATTTCGTTCCATCCATTTGCGTAAAGTCGTCTCTGTTGGGGCGCTTCTTCTCCGCCTCCAGCACAAATTTCTCGACATCACGCGCATTGCTGAGAATCTGGTTGATGCCTTGTTCTGCCTTGTTCCACAGTGCGATGGCTTCTTGGTCGGCTTCAGTTTCCTTGCCTTTGCTCGCAAGGTCATAGAACCTCACACGCACTTCTTCGGAGCTGAATTCATTCTCAACCAACAGCGAGGCCGGAGGGTTTTTCCCTGGCCCGTATGCGGAGAGAATCCATTTTGGTCGACCTTTCCCGGCTCCAAGATCGTGTGGGATATCGTCCGGGTTGAACTGCCAGGCATCCCTCCGGGCTAAGTGGTCAATGGTGTCAGTTGACTCTGCGGCTTACTGAGGCGGAAAATGGACGGAGGATATGTGCGTCTTACGGCTGCCACCGCTTCCACCAGCAAATCGATTGCCTGAGAGAGCGCCAAATCTGTTCTGACTTGCAAAACCACCTCCCCCGGGGTGCTCGTTCCGGCAACTGGCTGAGAAAATTTTGTCAGTCACATCTGGGAAGCGAGGAGGGCGGACAAGGATGTGGTTTAGAATGACGCTGTCGGAGAGAACGTACAACCAAATTTGCAGTTTCCCTGCAGGAAGTATTTGCAGATGACCATGGCGACAGGCTTTTAGCCCTCCGGGGGAGGCTCGGAGAGACTGGGTAGATAGTACAGATAAACTGCAGGATCTCGGCAATCGAGTGATCTTAGTCAATCATTTCATACTATGGTGCCGATCTCCCAGGCGTGATCAAAACTTGAAGCAATGATGACTTCTGGCTAAGTTTCTGGCAGAGTAGCGTCTCAAGCCGAGTGAAAGTTCTGTCAACACGGATTGATGGGCCTCTTGGAACGGAGTAGCTGTCCAGTGTATTGCGAAATAGGCTCACTCCATCGGCGAGATATTATGGTGCAGAAGAGGGGATAAATTGGTTGGTGGATATGACTAAAGGACTTCGCGTTGGTGAAGGGAAACCGGTCGTTGCATCTCCTTGAAGGTGATGCGCCCAGACGCGTCCGAAAAGAGCTTAGCGCAGCGCGAGTTGGTCGAATAGACACTTTTTGCAGTTTCAGCCTCAGCCTTGCATCAACTTGCAGTGTACGAGGTAGAACCAGGAGGGTTCAACCATTTGTCCACTGTGATTTTCTAGGGCTCACTCCGTCACAGACTAAATCACGGTCACGATGAGCACAAACAGACAATCCGAGCCAAAGAAGGTGCCCTCAGTCTGCCGGTTAGCAGCACAAAGGATCATTGCAGTTCTAAGTTTCTATTCATTCTACTTTCATCTCGCGTGCGATTTCTGTTGTCCAGCCACATGTGAGGAGAGACTATCTGCTCAGCTGAGAATCTTCTGTGGTCCCAGAAATTGGTGATATTCTGTTGACCAAGCAGGAAACGGCGTCATGGCCCAGTCTTAGGAATCAGCCTTAGCCACAAGTCTGTTGTCGGATTCCAGGATGGAAAATGATAACAGGTCTGGCCGGAGGACAGTGAGGTTCTGGGATATCCACACAGCCAGAAGGACCCGAGCACGGATATTAACGATCCAAATTCCTCGAAATGATGCAAGAGCTCACAACAAGCGATGGGAAAGATGCCCAAGTTTGAGCTTTTGCGCCTTCCTACTCAAGGAGACGATGCGTAGTAAGTGACCTTCGGTAGCCCTTGGCCCGGCGGCGAGCACGGCTCCAGCGTTGATTACTTAGGTGTGCACAGACTTTTTAAACGCTCGGGCAAGGACGATAAAGGATGCATCCCCGATCCTATCTCCAGGAACGTGCGTTCACCTATGCCTATCGAGATTGTACTGATTGACCCCTTCAGGCTAGAACAGGGATAGTAAGTCTTCGCTTGTCTTCTTGCCACCGACATTGTCAAGTTGCTGTTTAGGAGGCGGTGGCTGCGAAAGGTCCATCGAGGCAAAGCCATTCAAGATGTCACTGTCAGACATGCCCCCAAAAGCAGATGTAGACGACGGAACAGTCGAAGACCCTCCGTTGCCGAACACTCCAAGTAGATCGTCCATGTTGTTGGGAGCAGCAGGTTGCCCGACCGTCGGTGAAGCCACTCTTTGTGGAGTTCCTGCAAGCCCCTCCAGCCCAGAGAGACCGTCCGAGGGTTTCTCAGACGCCGACGCAGGTGCCGCACCATCGAAATCGATGTCGAGTAAGTTTTCGATGTTATTTTGTGCTTCAGGAGCCTTGCCTTGAACAGCGGCAGCCGCTGCGGCTGCGGCCAACGGGTTTTCGCGTGCATTCTGCATTTGTTCCTCGATTGCAGCTTGTTGTACCGCATCGGCTCCAAAGCGACCTTGGCCGACAAACTGCTCTGGCGGCTTGTGATATACCGAAGCTAGCGTCGAAAGCTCGCCAAGCAACCTTTCGAGGAGTGCAGGTGGCAGTGATTGAATCGTGGTGGTTATGGGTGGCTTTTCAGAAAGGATGATGTTCTTAGGGGCGTTTTGGTCGCTGGTGTTGGAGAGAAGTCGCCAGTACACATATGCTCGGTCGCGAATGTCAGGGTTGTCGCTTTCGGCCGTTGCAGCATTGAGAACCTTCTGGACCAGACCTTGGGCAGCTTGCGGTCGCTTCAAGAACAACTTAACCACGGCGGTGAGGATCTGAAGCTGGGTCTAGTTCATCGTCAGAAATCTGTATAGTGAGGGGATCTGGTTGAAGACCCACCTGTGTAAACTCTTCGGCGAAGCCATCCACAAACCCACCGAGTATGTCGCCGGCGTTGCTGATTTTTTCTGCATACTCGCCCACGATCCAAATCAGGGACCCCCGCGCATTTGGTTCATCCAGCTCATCGATACATTTGCATAACGTAGGGATGATGCCTTCATAGCCTGGGTATTTCCGGAAAATATCCTTGATCACGACAATCACCTCTTGTACCACGTAGTTGACCTTTGTGTTAATCAGGTCCAGTAGCGCATTTACGCAACGTTCGCTGGCACTTTCAATCTTGATAGCAACTTGCCCAATGGCCTTGACTGCTCGTCGCACAAAATCCATGTCCACTTCCAAGGCATATTCTTTGAGTTCGGCCAGCAATTGATCAACATTCGCCTCGCTTGCTATCCGCACCATTATTTCAAGCTTCTGGAACTTGACATAAGGCGGATCATTGTATTTGCAGAAGAAGACTCGTATTTCCTTGCTAAGGATATCGGGTTGCTTCTGCAGGAGAAGGTCAATGTTCCGAAGGGCAACATACTGTACTTCCGGCGCCGAAGACACCAGTGTGACCAGCGGAGGTGCCATCTTCTTCAAGTACGACTTTTGCGTTTCTGACGGAAGGTATTTCATATGCAGGAAAACAGCCTTGACCGCAGCGACAACCACGCTCGAGTTAACATGCTGAAATTGGGGTGCCACTCTTTCGCAGATGTGTTCTGCTTCTTTGACATCCTGCGCCTTGTACTCTGCCAGTGTACTCAGGATGGTGACACGACCCCACTCCGTACATTCATTCAGGGCCATGAGGAGCTTCTTCAACGTGTTGGGTGAGATCTGGAGGGCGTTCGTCTCGGGTGCTGATTCGTTTATTTCTGCGAGGGCTTGGACGGAGTTTGCCACCACCATTGGGTTCGGATCACCAATCATCTCCTGGAGCGTTTCCAGGAAGCCGTTTTCAAGACACATGGAAGGGTTGAGATCGAACAGTTTTGCGACGCAGATTGCAGCAGTCTTTCGAACATAGGGCGATTCATCTCGGAGTGTCTTTCGCAGAGGTTCTTCCATATAGTCAATCATTTTGTCAACTCTTATGCACCCCATTGTTCGGATTGCAAGGGCGCGGATGAGGGGATTGGGGTCTTCGGAATCTTGCACAAAGGTGTTGACGGCGAGAATGCAGAGGTCAGGGTGAGATTTTGCGTAGTTCCTACAGCCATCATTAGCATCACAAAGGATTCGGTCGAGTCCCAGCATACTGACATGAGGTACAAGTACACCAGTTTCTTCTGGTCGAGGTCAGAGGTCGCAATGTTTTTGAGGACATCGGGGAAGAGTGCAGAAACGTCTTTGCCCAGGGTCATGGCCATGATGGTCTTCTGAATGGCTTCCTTCCTATAAACAAGACGTGAGACTCTTGTACGGACCACAGCAATTCAACTCGGCTCACCGTTCGTAGGCATATTGGGATCTGAGGATTACTCGGTCAGCTCATCCATTTCGAACGGGATGTCAGAGCACATACACAAGGCCAGCTCGCAATTCAAACGTCTCCCCCTTTTTGGGAGGCGCAAAGGCATTCCTCACCCTGTTCATCGCCATCTTGCCGGGCTCGAATAGGACAAGGGATCCGCGGCGAACTATTGTGAAGGGCCTATGGAGGTCGAGGGGCTACCTTGCCATCTCAGAGGGCTGCTCGATCCATGAATCTGTAAAAGTGGGGGTCTTTAAGGCAGGCCTACAGGTGGTCCAGTGACAAAATATCGACACCTGACACAGTCAACGTCAAGTCAAGTTGTGCGAAGCCAGAATAGACAGCGTCAACAGATGACCTGGCGCATTCACGGAGTCCAGGTCAACCTGTACCGCCGACTGGGGTGCCAAGGCGAAGGTAGCTCAATCCCTTTTGGGATGACGGTGATGCCGCCCTATGCTGGGCCACCACCACCCCCCCCCCCCCAAAAACATCTGACGCCTATTCATACGTAGCCTACCCCTATCTACTCCGTACACGCCCTGTGGGCTACGTTTCTCCTGCTCGCCACGTTCCGCAGAGACGTTGCAGCTAGTTATAGAAAATGCACAGAAGCGGCTCGGCGGGTGATTTCTCGTTCGCATGGAGTTTAAGGGTTCGGTGTTCCATTTTCGCAAGAGCTGTTATCAAGTACTTGTCAACCCCGTTCCTGGCAGATGTATGTGTGTCGAAGACAAGTAAACCTGCTTGCGTCTTACCCAAGGTAGGGAAGACATTGGAGTTGGCGATATGACGTCGTTCATCACCGAGACTCCGATATGAGAGGATTCATTGATGTGCGCTCCGGTGAATAGATTCATATTTCCCGACTTAGCCCTGTATCAGGTTGAGTTCGTGACCGCCTGGGAGAAAGAGGGTCTTGGCAAATCAAGGGCTGCTAAACGTCCCACCTTGAACGCCATGTCACTTAGCCGGGCCATGTGGTCTATGTTTGTTCCAGAAATCCCATGCTCCCTCCCAGACAACCTTTCAACCATGGATCGTCGACTGTCATTCAGCTCGATGGTAAAATAAGCATTGTATACCAAGGAATTGCGCATTCATGTCGGCACGTCCGCATCAACCATGTCTGGCCAGGGGGTTCCGTTTATGTCGCCTGCTGGAAGCAACGGAAGCTGTGGACAAAAGTCCTCGAGAGATGTGGCAAATGCTGCATCGAAATCGGCGCCATTGGCGGCAAATTGATCATTCTCCGCACTGAGGACCGCTTGTGCGATACCGAGGCTGCCAGGTGGTGTGGTATTTGCATTTACAGGTCCGGGAGTGGGTGTCAGTTGACGGGTCCGAGCTGGCCTTCTGGTGCGTCTTTGTCGGACCTTGTGGGCAACACTGAATAAACGAAGTCCACTCTCGATGAGATATCCCAACTCCCAGCATTGCTCTGGGGTCAGGTGCGGTAACCTTCCCTCGCCCTCCAACATTTGCCATTGATCACTTGCCCAAGTTCGCAAATGCGGAAACACAGCTGATGGGAAAGTGACAGTTCCTTGGTGGACGCCACATGGTGGAGATTGCCCAGGATATGTTCTCACATGTATGAGTAGCCACCACGTGGCCCACGGGTTCTGTAGGTCTCCACGGTCCCTTGTCTCATACGCTTCAGCCATCTTCTTCAGATCCTCATACCCAATGTAAGTTCGTGTAGCTCGGTGGAGACCCGGCGTACAAATTGAGGGATTATCAAATCTGTAGACATAGTGATCTTGAGATGTCTGCTGATCTCTGAATTTTAAGCCACACCGGGAACAACCTGAGTGATCTCGCTTTAGATGTCTCCTGTAGGAAGCTCATTAGCACCACCCTTCAGGGACAGATGACCACAAACCAAAGATCGTTGAACAATAAGCCCGCCTTTGCGCAACCAGCAGCATTGCCTGCTGCGCCCGAAGGTACTCTGTCGAAAGGACAATCCCACCGAAGCTGTGCCTCTGAACCGCTTTTGACTCGTTTGGACGGCCCTCCTCCATCATCCCCGCCCTCGTCATTTTCATCCTTTTCAGGGTCGCCACCGTCACCAAGAGGCGTCTTACGTTCATCGCTGCCCGGCGAGCTCTTAGAGGGAATTGACAAATCCGCCGTCGTCCCATTTGAAGGCGCGCCGCCGCTGCTTTCACTGCTACTAGGACATTGCCGGAACACAAGCTCAATACGCAACAAACTGAAAGGGTCATCTGATGCAATTTTCTCAAGCGCATTCAGTGCGAAACGAGCATGGTCATATCCGAAACAAGCAGCAACTTCTTCTATGGTGTTCAGCTCGTTGACGCAGCCACCGTTGTCGATATCTTCAGGACCGACACCACCAGACAATTCCGCTCGATGTGCATATTCCCTCGTGGGCGTGGCATTATGGTGTGTCTCGAGACTTTGCCGCTTGGTAAGGCCTCTTGGTTTCGCAAGATCGTTGAGAAGTTGTCGTCTTCGAGCACTAGCAGCCAAATCAGCGGCCCCTTGATCACTTTGCGGCCTCAAGGGAGCAGGAGATCCGATTCGGATGAACTCGTTCCAAGGAGGAGAGTGCTGATGACTTAAGGGGAAAATAGGATTGCGGGCCTGGGTAATTGGAAGCTCTACGCTTGTAATTTTTTCGCGACCCTGAAGGTCCTTCGGAGTCAATTTAATCTCCCCATTTGCTGCCTCGTAGCGATGAGCAGCTTCCTGCGGAATGGAAGTTGGGGTGGCAGGATAGGCCGTGTCCTGCTTCCGGTCGCCATCGTCTGCTCGTGGCCAGTAACTCGTGCCTTGTTTCATGAATTGCCGACAAGAGCCAACGTCAACATCGAGAGCGTTTGCAAGAAATTGGAACAGTTCATCCGAAAGTTTACCTTGTTCATTTAAACCCCGGTGGACGATGTGCTGCTTCCAGCCAGCAATTGTGGCCGATGGTGTACTTTCCTGGACTTCCCTGTCATGGCCTCGTGGGAATATTTGCCGAGCGGTAGCGGGCAGCTCACTGGAGGTGTTCTCATCGATTCCGAGACAAAGAGCCAAAAACCGAAGCTTGTAGGCCTCGGATGAGGGTCTTCCTCAATCACCTTACGGACAACAGAGAATCTTGGTAGTAACTTGGGCTCCTATGATACGTCAGAAAACTGGTATGAGGAAACAGGGAGACTTTCGAGGCCCACAGAAGACTCTCGAGGACCAGGAGACTTCTCTGGATGACAAGATTGTGTCGAAGATGACGCAGTGGTTGACAAGGCCAAAGACGGCATTGAAGAGGGGGACGAGAATCCTGATGTTCCAGAACCAGAGGATAAAGAGACAAAACGGGTGGCGCCGTATGGCTCCGGGACCATGCGTTTTGCCGATTGACCTTGATGATGCTCTGGGAGCTCTTGTCGATGGCATGGAATATTCTGCAGCAATGCCCAAGGATCATGCCGACGAAAGTCCGAATGGCTGCATATCACATAGTTGCCATGTTCTTTTATAGGATAGTACCTCCTGCCACCCTTGGGTGACGGGAAATTTGGATAAACATCGGGAGCGGAGCGACCAGCTTCAGTTATTCCGATCTTGGATCCGATAGGTATCGATTGCGACTGCGAAAGGATGTCCTTCTCCAGTTCTCTTCCCGAGACCGCCGTCACTGGCAATGTTGGGAGCTGGTGTTTTGGGACATCTTGTGGGAGTCCTTCATGCAACCTCTCTTCGAGAGCCTCCCCTGGTAAGAACGGCGGCATCAAATTGCCATTGCCATTTCTATCCGTCATGCTGCGAGGCGTGTAGTCAGAAATTTGCACGGGAGACCCGCAGGAGCCTGGGAATGGGCCTTTTCTTGGGACCGCCGTATACAAGTGAGGATTTGGATGGAGATTGACTGGAGGCATGGTGAAAATCCCACGATCCCGTGCACGTAAACTTGTGGAAAAGTCCGAAAGAGTGCGGAAAGTTCAGAACAAAGTCGGATTGAACGCATGGGTTGGCCAAGTCACTCGTGTGGCAGGACATTAATTATTGAATAGGATCAAAATATAAGTGAACAACAAGGATGGCCGTGACAAAGCTTGACGGCCGACTACGCCGAGAGCAATGACGACGAGAAGGCAATTCAGAGAGGGAGCTCGCCATGTCTTCTTGACCCGATTCTGACGCAGCTACGCCAGGAGGGCGCAGAGGTGGTGTGCAGGTGCGCATCACGGCCTGCCTACCTCTCCCCGTATTTGGGACGCTGCGCAATTGCGTGAGGCTAGGATTGCGAGGAAAGACCAGCCCTCTCTAGACCCATGCATGATGTCTGGTGAGTTGGTGCCCAAAATATCAGGTTGGGCAAGTCAGCCTAGTGAGTAGTGCCCAGGTTAGCTCGGCCCCTGGCAGAGCTCTTCTGAAAACTGCAATTTGAAGCAAGCGGCCCTCGACCATGCTGTGCAGCAAAACTCTCGACCTTCCCAGCGTTGGCAGATAGGGTGTAAGGATAATGTTGGGGGATGGTGTAGGACGTGGATTCGGGTTTCCACAAATTAGTCAACGACAGTGGTCTGTAACAGACATACCAATGACTCGTGCTCGGTATGCTCGCCAATCGCGACGGTTCGTGGCACCGAGTCCGGGGATGATTCCCTGGCAAAACCTTGCCTACCCAGCACCGTAGATGGATTCAATGGGCGGGTCCAGGCACCCAGGTACCTACCCAGTACAAGTACCCCACATACCTAGTACCGGGGTAGCGAGCTGGATTCAAAAACAAGTGGCACGGTCCGTCACGGAATATGTACCCGGTACCTCAGGAGTGCTCAATACCGTCAAAGCGGCCGCTATATCGAAGGTAGGTAGTAATTGACAGTATCGGATGAATGACAGACGACCACTATTCCTGAAGATAACCAACATACCTTCCGATCTAACAGTGAATCAACTCTACTTTGTCAGGCCCTGCCACTTATTTTTGAAGTTCGGCTCGCTAGGTACCGAGTACTATGTATACCTGTCCATGCCAAGCGTCGAGTGTGTCTCTCCAACTGTTGCGGGACAGATGGTCGCACTGCCTCACGCCAGCGCAGCTGCGTGTCAACCTTCCCACCTCTGCCTGTCCTAATCACAAATGCTCTCCACCGAGTCAGAGCGGGTCATTATATGGGGCCTTCCACAGGCACCGAACCCACCTCGACGATTAAATGGCGCCTCCTTATCCATCGTACCGGGGCCTTCTACCTATACGAGGTATCTCTCCTTGCCACTGATCGTGGCCCCGATGTCGTGGAGAGACTTTTCCGGGGGTACCGGCGCGCCGAGTCTTTGCTGGCGATGTTCGTCCCATTCTTGATACCCACGTTATATATGGCTAAACTGGCTCCGGTAAGTTCTGCTGATTCTTAAGCCTTGTCGACTCTGCTTATACACCTATCCCCTCCAGGTGACTATTGAAACCCTCGCCAGCTTCCCCTGTCTGGTCAATGTCGACACCCAACCCTACTCACACCCGTTAACCACAGCACTCCCGCACCCAACCTATCTTCCAGCAACGCCGCTCTTCTTGCCTTCCTATGCCCGCTTTGCTGTCATCCCCGAGCCTCCTGACAACACCATCTCCCGCGACGCCATCCTGGTAAAAGTACGGCTCAGCAAGCTTGCCCTCCTAGTTTTCCTAACTCTTACTTTCGCCGCATCGGTCATTATCGGTGTCGTCGCCGGGGTCGTGCGACACAGTCTAGATTTAGGGTTCGGGGTTTTCGGTGCCATCGTTACTGTGGTGGGGCTTGTTGAGGGCTATGCAACGTGGAGATTGAGCTGACCTCCGGGACCAGAGAGCCAAGAGAGGAAATAGGAATAGGTAGAGGAGGACTCCTGGATATGATGCTCTTTGGTAGATGGATCAATATGGCTCGGGAATGTGCTCGCGAGTGAGGAGTCATATGCCAGACAAGTTTGACTAGAGCAGTTGAGTTGACATATCTCTATCTCGTTTCTGAATCTGCATTGCTCCCATTCCTGTTTGCCTGAAGTCTTATTTAGGAGAATCAGTCAAGATCTATTCTCGTTCAGTCATTATCAAAGTCTAACACTTGATATACTAGATAGTACGTTCGAAGATGTATTGTGACCCTGAAATACGCGTGACAAGCTGTACCAGCTCTCTTCTGCAAAGCGCGACGCAGAACTCTTATGTATCCGAGGCCTCGCGTCGTATATGGCTCCTCACCCGAAATGGCAGCGCATACTATACATAATACCATTTTCAAACATTCTGGCCCCCGTCGTATCCTCCTCTCTCATGGAAGTCTTCTGCTCAATGTTTTTCTACTTCTCAAACAGGTGCTGTTGGAACTCTTTTCAGGACGACTGGTATCAGAGAGACCTCTTATTATGCCGACCCCCGCCACCATTCTACTGTGACTGGGGATGGGAAAATACGTCTGAGATTTCCCTGGCTCCTCGAGTCCCCCGTTAGATGGCCTGGAAAAAAAAAGTTTCCCACTCTCTGAGAATTTACTCGCCCCCTTGCACAGTCTGTCCGACTATGTCTGTGCCACGCTGCCAGACGAGTCAGGAAGCGCCACCGGTCTCTCGGTAGGGATCGCCCTGCTTTCTAACTCGACCGGCGAATCGGTGTTTAGTGACGGCTTGGTATCCTTCTCTTTCACTGATCCATCAGTCAACAGAGCCTGGGTGTAAGGAGGAACTCGGACTTGTCGCTTTCGTCTTCCAATGAGAAACCCCAAAGCTCCAAATATGATGCTGGCGGCCAGCCCACCAACTATTGCACCGACTATTGCACCAGTGTGGCTTGAATGTTGCTCGGTGTTAGGCGGTGCAGCAGAGCTACCAGTTGATGGGGGAACTAGGCATGAGCATCGAGGTCATAGAGCTCAAACACTCGTCATGGTGGCCGAGGCAGAGGCTGCTGTGGACGGAGGCGTTGCAGAGCTTACCAGTGTCGTGGTGCTGTCTTGTGCCGGATCGCTGTTTGTGCCCACAAGGACCGCGAGGCCCAGCCATGAGGTAGGTGCGGAGCTAGGTAAAGGTTAGCAGTTATCTATTTTATCCGTGCTATTGGCTTATCGACCTTTATGCATAGACCCGTGGGTATCACTGAGATCAATGGGCGATGCCACCAACAGAGCACAATTCCTGGGGTAAGAATCAAGGTCTCGCAATCAGAAGGGTCATAGAGACGGCAAGGACGTACCATGGGCATCCTCGCCGGCGCTGCACATTGCGTACAAGCGCAAAACAGGTAATGTGGATGTAGAGGCTACAACAGGGGGGTGGCAAATAACTCCTTCGAACACATATGCATGGTCACTCTCTGCTGTCGCCACCTCTGTAGCGGACGTGGAATAAAAATGGTTGAAGAGCTGATCATTGTGCAAGCGATAGAAGGGTAGCGGGTCGGGCACCGGGGTCGTGAAGCAATATCCCATGATCTGTTCTAACACCCACCCGCTGTTGCCAGCGACCAGCGCGTCACTCTCTGATGAATTTGTGGCATAGAAATAGCGCCCATAGCCTGCAAGTTGAATGGATAAACGGAGCTGGGGGACAGTGTGGTTCTGGTAAGTTGGAAGTATATAACGCGTTGAATTGATGGCACTAAGGGAGTAGTTTCCGAAATCTCTCACAGCCAGACTCGCCTCTGTCGTGCTGGTGGTCATGAACCAGTCAAACTAAACCGAGACAAGGGAGGCAATGCAAAAGAAAAGCATTTCCAGCATTTCCAGCATCTCGGAGGCATCTCATAGTCGAGGAGCAATGAGATGTTCGCCAATGAAAAAGTGTTTCCGGGATGTTGATGTTCGAGATTGCGAGATTCTACAGGGAAGAAGCTCGTCTGCTTATCTGGAAGACTGCTTTACCTGCAAGGTGCACAATAACTCGGCGGAGCTGGGTTGGTGATTACCACACGGGCCTCGAACTCGTGGTGGTCGGATAGACGGAGAGCAGTAGGGTGGGTTGGAACCGGCATTTCAGCCTTATATACATAACATGTGGAAGTACCAAGGGAGAGTAGCTTCATTTGAAACTAGCATGCTTGCCTAGAGGGGTGCGGCTAAACCTTCGCCTCTGGGCTGGGTAGGGCGAACACGAGGATGAAACCAATGATCGAGGCGACATTGGTGAGGAGCAAAGGTATTAGCACCGGATTTATGGGACAGATTCTACATAATGGCTATTCAAACGCTGTCCAAGGCGCGGCGACAACTCGTTGCGGGTAAAAAGGAAATGAATCGAAGGTTGCCTTGTGAGTGACCGAGAGGGCGATGCAGCATATGGAGGACGATTTGGCCTCGAAAGATCCCTACTATTAAAAGCCATGCAGCCATCTCAATGTAGTTAACTTGATCGATTAAGCTTTAGGCGTACGCCAGGCAGACGTATCCGTAGTGCGGCATCGCTTCAGATGTACCATGTATATGTAGATATATAGGTAGCTTCTATATGCAGCTCAGTAGCATGTTAGACATAGAGCATCCTTCCCCCCTCCTTCTCTACCTCCTTGACACTGTGAAAAGCCTCATCTCCCCCCCAGTTCGCCCTCATAAAAGTTCAATTATCTCCCCCAGCATGTCCCTCACAACGCACGCCGTCAAGATAATCCCGTTCTTCACAACTCCGCACCTCTCCTCGCTTCTCGCCTTCTACAGAATCTACCTTCCAGACTTCACAATCTCAGCGCACCCAGCCGACTCTCCGGAGCCGACGTTCGCGTCCATCGCTGCAGGCCCGGGCGCCGCGGCAAACATCTATATCCTCCAGGACACGGCCCAACAACGCGCCCGGGGAAGCTGCATGCTCATGCTCGACTCGCTGGGCATTCTGGGGGAGTTTCACGCACGCCTTGGAGCAGCGGCCGCTCAGGGAGGCCTGCTGCGGCGGGGTGACGCGGTCGAGGACTGGATCGGAATGCCCAGTGCTGCGCCCGCCACCGACGGGCCACAGATCGCTGTTTTGGGACCGCTCGAGGACAAGCCCTGGGGATATCGCCAGTTCGACCTCGTGGATTTGCACGGCAATATGATTGTATTCTTTGCCTTCTTGGACGAGTGAGAGAGCGATCGGATACTAGTAGTAGGTAGAAGCGGGAGGTTTGTGCTTGGGGGTGAATCGAGAAAGTCAGACGGCGGGGATGGAAAGCTTCAATTCCATATTAGAATTTTATCCTTTGAAACCACCCCCGGGGCTTAATGTCAGCTTGCGAGAGATTCGATCGATTGCAGGTGTGGGCCTGTAGTAGAGAGCAAGTGGTAGGGAAATGGGAGGGAGATTGAATGCAAGATTGGCCAACGTTTAGGAATCAAGGAGTATACAACAGTGAATTAATTCAACCAGAACCGATTTCAATTGCTTTGCCCGCTTTCGTAGTATGGTCTCACCCTCAGTCAAAGCGGTGGCTGTTTAGTCTTCCACTGCTTGATCTGGCCCGAACGTCCTGTCTTAGTTGGCTCCCTCTGCAAATTCTTAGATGATGCCAAACTAATCCAATTTGAATCATCGAGGACAGTGCAAGGAATCATCTCTTCTTCAGGGTACAGATCACACCCTCCTGCTGCACGAACCAGTGGTTGCAGATGTGCCACTCCTTTTCCGGGTACGTCAATTCGACGTGATACTGCCTGAGCAGCTCAGGTATGACTTTGTGGATCTCGATCCACGAGATGTTACGACCGATACACTTGCGGCTCCCTGCCCCGAAATTCAGCTCCCAGATGCTGTCCATTTCCTTCAGCTGAGTCTCAGACGCAGTCAGCCACCGGTCTGGGTTGAATTCCTCCGGTTCCGGACCGAAGACGGCTGAGCGGTTGGTCACCCAAGGATTGATACCCACTATTGTTCCCGCAGGAATGTGGTAGCCCTGGACAGTGAGGCCCTCGGCTGGGACATGCCGCTCCATAAGCAGGCCGACCGAAGGGTGAAGACGCATGGATTCCTTGACAACAGCACCTAGATAAGGAAGGACAGTGGTGGCTTCCTTGAAGGTGATGGGTTGACTGAGCTTCCCCTGTTTGTCCACGTTGTCTATTTCGTTAACCAGACGGTCCATACATTCCGGATGGCGGCAGAGGAAATAGACGATGGCGCGAAGCGCGATGGCTGTCGTGTCTGAGCCGGCGAAGACATTGGTCGACAAGTGGACGACAATGTCGCGGGTGTTCATCTTGAGGGGATCTGAGGATTTGACATACGCCCAGCGGCTGAGCATGTCACGGCCTTCGACGTCGGCATTGATCAGCTCGCCGTCTCGTTTGATGCTTGCCCGCCCATTGATCGCCTTGAGGGTGAAGACGAGCACCTGGTTCCAGGTCTCCATGGCGGGCATGAGTCGGGTAAACAGTGGATTTCCCAGGAGAGCATGGTGCAGTTCGGGAACTTGACCACAGAGTGCTGCATACGCGAGCATGCCTTCGATTGCTTTCATCATTCCCTGGATCGACAATCAGCAGAGCTCCAAGATCACTTTTGATGACACTTACGTCGACATCTTTTCCCTGGTCGAGAAACCCAAGTTTGCTTGCGAAAGTGACCTCGCCAACGACATCAAAGGCAAAGTATTGCAGCCAGGCACCGAGATCCACGGGTTCTCTCTTGGAAGCAAATTCATTGAGGCGATCCATGAACAGGGTGACACAGGAATCAATCGCTGCCTCTGACTGTAACAGGTTCGGCATGCTGTAGGCGGCTCCGATTTTGCGCTTCTCAATACGATGGTACTCTGGGTCACGGGTCGAGAAGAGATTCATCTCAGGCCTTTTCTTCCATGAAATACATTGTATCGGATAAAAGGCGGTTTTTGTGAAGTTCTCCTTGATTCCATAGATGACTGGTATCAACGAAGGGTCGGAGATGGAGACATGGTTAGGTCCAATGCGGACCACGGGGCCGTACTTCTTGTGTAGATTGATGGCGGTGACGTGAGCGTGCCCTTTGTAGACATCGTACAGCCTCCAAAATTTGGTGTAGGCGGCGAGTGGGGGTCCGGGAATGTTTCTGAGCCCAGCCCTGAGCCTGTTGTAGGCCAGCGAGATCACCAACAGACCCAGGACACAGATGAGCGGGTAGGTAACAACGACATGCTTGGTGGAAGAAATGAGATCTGCGAGAGTAAGAGTAGCCATGTTGCGCAGGCGGAGTGTTCGCTCCTAGGGAAAGAGGGACAGAAATGAAGACGCTGGTCCCAATTTTTGCTCATAAGGCTCCATCCTTTTTGTATGGTATCTCGCTTTCTTACTCTCGAGACGCCCCGGATAATGCACGGCTGACAACACGCAACAGGACCGAGAACTCCATGTGTAAAGGTTGTCCGTCCATCAAATCCCAACGTGGTGATTGGCCATTGATGGAAGCTATCCTCCAAGGTTTGCAGCTTCGTGCTGGAACTTGATCAGAGGCAGCCCCTCATTGAACCAGCGATCACTAGGCCCTGGGGCAGGCGAGACCAGGAGAGCCCCTGCTTGGATGAACTATTATTGCGGGTCTGAAAAGGTGTAAACAGTAGACTCGTAGGGTTGAGGTCTCTTGAGGCAAGCACAGAGGGAAATGACCTCCGACGAATGTGGTAGAGACACCAGGGGGGCCAAGCCAGCGCCTCCCGCTTGCCCGAGCCACCAGCAGCCATTGTGCGAAAGGCACGCTCCACTTCGCGTGTCACGATACGCCTCTTGGCACTTAGTTGTCCTCCAGAATGGAATCGAAAGGCCCACTGCCCCGGATCCGAGGCATGGGGTCGCAATAACCGGTCGTCGGAAGGAATATGCCCATGCGGAGAAACAGTTGTGGTGCTAGCTGCTAGATGTCTTTGAGAACCAGCCCAGTCCCTCACTTACATACTAGTAACATCGAGGTTGTGGGATGACGGGTTGAGTCCCAGCTTCAGCATACCTTGACGTTAAGGCCTGGCAAAAAGGATACTACCAACGGCCACAGTATAGGACGATGTGTGGTCTCTCGTCCTGACGTCAATCTATTACCCTCAGACAGTGTGTGCTACTCTTTTCGACTCTCGTAGATGGAAGAATTTGCAGCATCTCTAGCCAGCTTTACGTCCATCTCCCTTATCACGAACCTCTCGTAGTTTTCAATCCCCTGGAAAGGGCCTTTAGCTGTGGACACTCCATATTTGGTCGTCACAACACAATGACGGCAGAAATCAAGCACTGGGAAGGCAGTGGTATCGGGGATATGCCTAGATCTCTCGGTGAAGGTTCCCCCACCCAGCGCCGTAAAGCACAATATCAAAATGAGTCCGCTCAACACCACGTAAACTATGAGAGACGCGAGTCCCACGTCGATCTGGTTTCTGGTCACTGCGAAGAATATTGGGCTGTTGCGTTCGAGACCCTCCGGGAGAATGACGTTGTCGTAGTTAGTGAACAGAATGTTGCTGGGTAGCTCAGGGGCAGCTTGTCGCTCAATGTAGCCAGTTTGACAATAGGAGATGGGGATTGCCAGCAATGCCTGAAGGGCATTGACTCCTCTTGTTTGCAGAGCCGGGTTGTCCTGAGAGAGCTCGGTGATGGAATTTAGCATCGAACCGATCATTGCTGGAAACATGAACTTGCCAGCCCCCAACCCTAGGATTTCCAGAGTGGTGGATGTGGTAAGGTCTGTGGTGTTTCCGAGGCCTAGGAAGTTGTCCCACGCTTGTAACAGATCGGCCGACTTGAGTGGCGCGACCGCTTCTGACATTTTGGTGAACTTATGGGAGATAATTGTGCCATTAAGTCTCGAATATGCGATCATAGCATGGCGGAAAGTAGAGGATAGGCTCGTGGTCCAAGTTGGTGTTGAATTCCATGCAGACTCCTTTCCACAGCTCGCCGAGGTGATGTCGGAATAGCTGCAGCTTGAGATTCCTGAAGAGGTCAGCCAGGGCACACACATCACCTCGCAACGACAATGGTGCTGGCGAGGCCTTGAGGATTGTAGCGTCACTTACTGGCCTGGATTTGATTCGTGGCAACGTTCTTTGCACAAAATCTGAAGGCGCCAAGGGTAGAGGTCAGAGCCTCGGTGTAATATGTTCGGCACTCTGTGCCGTTGTCAAACGTCCAGCTACTAGTATGATCTCCCTCGGTGAAGCGGAGAACATAGCCTTGATGATCTTCAACGAGCCAGGCATCGGCTTGCGGATGTGCATCTGTCGTGACCTGCGCAGCGATTTCCTCCTGCCCTGCAGCCAGGTAAACAGCTCTCTCGCACGTCTGTCCACCGCGCACGTCAGCTCCGAAAGCACATGATCTTCTGCGACTGGCATCTGGCGTGATGTCAACTGCACGACTCGGATCATCCAGAAACTGGCTGAAAGTGGCTCCCAGCAGTATGTCTGTGAACGGGGACAATGTAACTGCGACGCTGGTGTTCAGAGATCCCAACCCGAATCCAAGCGGTGCGACTGTCTGGCCCACCTTGTCGAATCTGAGCACTGTTCCCACCTGACCTGCAGAGAGAGTCAGCAATATTCGACACCCAATCGCCAACCCGGACAGAGATTACTACTAGTAGATTGGCATGTTCGGTAGTCGCCGTAGCAGAAGTGTGGGGACACTCACTCATAATCACGACTCCCAACACCGGCAATAATACCAGAGCAAGGAGTCTGAGGCCTCCCCAGAGCCTTGTCCTAGCCCGGGACTTCGCCCCAACAGTAAGCTGCATCAATCCCAGAATACCGGTTCCCTCCTGAAGGCACAAGAACTCGGTAAATGGTATTCCGCCTGTGCGGACAGTCAAGAGCCACTGCACTAGCTCGAATGCAGAGGCTACTGTAATCGCGAGCAGGAAACCCGTTGCTTCAGACAAGGCCCGGAGAACAAAGATCGCATTGCCCGGGGATGAGTTGATAAAGTCGCTCTTCCACAGATCTGGTCTTATGGCGTACAGTGCTGTCAGTGCTAGTAGGATGACAGCGAGACATGCCGGAACCAATGCAACTGGAATTTGCTTCTTCTTCCTCGCTTTTGTTGTAACGTTACTATTACTAGACAAGGGTGCAGTTCCCGTATTGCGATTTCCTGAACTTGACGCAGGCTCTGTCACTATGTGTCCATGACCCTCCTTCAAGGAGCATTCTGAGATGGTGAGACCGATGATTCTGTCGATGTCCGGATGTTCAACTTTGTTGGATTGTGCCTGACCTGCTGGCGGGGACCCTGGCGTAAGTTGGGCATGGGGCTCGTTCAGGAAAGAAAGATCTCGACCTGAGTGATGAGATCTGGGGTGCTCAGATGCTGCCATGTCTCTGATGCTGCAGTGCTGTAGAGAGCCCAGTCAGAGACATTGGGAATCCACGGTGGGAAATTGTTAGAGGACTTCATGGTCATGGGCGCAGTTTGTCAGGCTGGCCTACATATGTACGAGAATCAGGAGCACAACTCAAACCGGAGGAGATGACTGGCTGCAGAAACACGAGCTTTAGAATTGCCATCAGACCTTATTGATTGATGGTGAAACCTTGTTTGCCCGTGTTCGCTAAACCGTGTCAAAACATGTACCCCTTTAAGGCTGAATGCTTGGCGATAGGGCTGTTCTCGACCGTTCTCGACACGAAATGGCCCAGCCACTCTGAGATAGTTGCACAAACATCTGAAAGTTAATCAAAAGTTCCAGGTCGCATCTCTTGTTTATTTGCTGATTGTTATACGAGCCCGAACTGCACTTGCCCCCTGGATGGCGGCTGCCTACTAATAGCTCGCTCAGCCTTCGTCAAGCACGAGCGATGGTGAATCAACACTCTCTACATCCTCTGCGCAGTTGTTGCTACTACTTACTGCGATCTCGCACCTTAGATACATGAGATTGCTTCTTCTCAGCCTGCCCACAGATATGTGCAAAACCTTGGGACTGCTGCTGATTCTATTTGGGTTCCTCGGTTCAACAGTTGCAATTACCCAGGCTCCCAAGCTTCCTTCCCTCCTCAACCGTCAAGCAGGGGATCTGGCGTCTTGCGAGCTGGTCAACAGCATTGCAGCAGCATGCTCTGCCAGCACAAGTGGCCTTTTTAACCAAGGGTTCAGCGTTGCTGCCTCCTGCCTCTGCTATTCGGGGTCCGTATATCAGCCCTCAATTTATGATGGAGCAATCGGAACATGCCTCTCCTACCTTTCGACAGCCTCACCACCGCTCTATACCTCGCTTGCAGGGAGCGGACAGACAGGGAGTCCCTGCGCATCGGTCGGGGATGTTCGAACCAACACAGTGATTGACTACAATCTCATCTCTTGCTCGTCTTGGTATAGCATGGAAGCCTCTTGCTCCGGCGACAATATAAACTCCTCGCCTCCGCCGTTCTCGGTCCAAGCAAGTTGCCTGTGTTATACGAGTTCGGCCTTTGCACCTACGGTCTTTGACGGCTACTGGGACGGCTGTCTAGAGTACTATAAGACTGCTTCATCGGCATACTTCTACGAAACACTTTCTACGTCAGGGGAGAATCTGAACACACCTTGCGCGAGGGTCGGGGATGTCAGGGCTGCGTCGACAGTGGACAGTTCAAGTTCTGCCACACCAGGCCAAACTGTCTCGACCACAGGTAGCAGTACAAGTAGCAGTGGGCCTATTGAAACGGCGGCTAGCGAGAGCGCAGCGTGTTCTTTGCGTCTACCTAATGCTCGGTGCTTCTTTTTGACAATTTTGTTGTCATTAGCGTTTTCTCCCAGAATTCTCTAATTGCTCTCAAGCTACGATCAGATAATGGGTTCAGGACTACACAGGCTCGAACTGGGGCTGATTAGAGTTGGGTTTGCTTCCGATCGACTGGCTTAGAGATTAGGTTTAGTACAAACATTCTGAATCGATTACTATTGGCTCAATAGTACAGTAATGTATCAGTAAGGAACAAAGTAGGCTGTCCTCGCGCCGTGGTTGGAGAAGCATCTGCCGCTGACTGTTGAATAGTACTAGTAGAATTAATCATTTTATAAACTATTGTACACAACTTGAAGTACTTCGAGCGAGCCCCTTGCAGCTCGCCTTCGTTAATGCCAGGGCAATTATCTCGGAGCTGGTCTCTGAGAATACCTGAGAATGTCTCCGAGACTTCTACAAAGCATGGGATTCTCATCGATTTAAGATCCTATATAGATTGAGAATTCGAGGCAGATGAGAATAATTAACAATTCTAGCTTCAGACAGTACCGTAGTATGTATTAGCCCTCCCGGAATACTATTTAAGAAAGTAATGCGTACAGCGCTAGAGAGATGCAGCTAGGCTAATTTCGTCGAATTTCGTGACACGCTATAATCGGTCTTTTAGGGCGCAGCTTGTTTCAATGCGTCATAAGATAAAGCCTTCCTTCTCCTCGAATGATTCAGTACAGCTAACTCACTCTCATCCTGCGCCCAGCCCGGCAGGAGATTAATCTACAACGAAGCCATCTCCGAGCTTGGCGCTGATGACTCTTAGCTCACTTTATCGTAAACTAACTGTGTCCTAAGCCAGCCCACTACTGCTCGGTGCCAGTCTACTACTAGTACAGCTCACTCAGTCTTAGAGCGGTTGCAGCCTGGTTTTAAACCCAATTCGACTCGACTTCAATTCAGATTCTAATTAAGATTGGTTAAGATCAGTCTAGGATCAATTTAAAATCGGTGTCAGATGGAGCTGAAATCGCTGATCAGGCTAACTCGATTCGACTCGATTTACTACTAAAATACAGTCCTTCCCTCCCGTATAGGTGCTCAATTCTATCTCTAGATAGTCTCGATATAATATAAGAATTAAGACGTCTTAGAGGCATTCTTTATGTAGGTTTTAAATGGTCCAAATATTCTCTAGAGAGAGCTATAGGGTTACCGAAGTAAGCCGGGCCCGGTTTTGGCTAGGTTAGGGTGCGAGCAGGTTACTAAGATATTTCAGAGAGTTCATGGGTACCATATGCTAAGGGATCAATTTATATTCGATTATAGAATAAATCGCAAGATCCAACTGGGCTTTAATTTATTCAGGCCTAATGGGCGATCGATAGACAATCAATCACTATCGGCCGCGTTGTGAAATTAACTCAGAGAGAAATAGAGACTGTTACTACTACTTATAGTACTACTAGTAATATAAACATATAAATCAATTCGACTTAGTTCGGACCGATCTCAAATCGGGGTAAATCAGTCTAGCTCACCAATAAACCCCTTAAATCGAGTCCAGCCCAGGCTAGAATCAGGCTAGAACCAGGCTGGAACCCGGCTGGAACCGGTTTAACACTAGGTGGGCGGGCAATATAGTACTCTATCCCGTCCTTAACTGTTCTATACCACATAAATACAATCTTGAATCTGGTCCTTTAGTCTATCTCTACTCGATACATAGACAGCGAAGACGGAAATTGAGTATCTATACCATGCCCACCTCAACCTGGCCGTCTAAATAAGCTCGCAGTGGAAAAGCTCTACCCACTACTAGGATACAAGTAAGCTGCAATGTCGTGATTGCGACTATATCCGCATTTGTCAGCATTTCGATGATGGGAATGTTCATACACTGCTGATATCCAAGCTATGTTCGCATCAATAAAGACTTGCATGTAGAATAATTCTTAGCATTTCACACCGACACTAAAAATTTCCGAGAACATGGGTGACCACGAAAACCTCGCTGTCCACAGCAGCAAGGACGATGCACCTCGCCAACTCCATCTTACAGCATTTATGCGCCCTGTCTCCCTCCACACTGGTGCATGGCGATACCCTGGCGCGTACCCGGACGCCAACTTCAACCTCTCACACCTTAAATCCTTTATTAAGAAACTGGAAGATGCCAAATTCGACGCGTTCTTCATGGCCGATCATCTTGCCGTTCTGAACATGCCAATTAAGGCACTGAAGCGAAGCCATACGGTCACTTCGTTCGAGCCGTTCACTCTTCTCTCCGCTCTCTCACAGGTCACAGACAAGATCGGTCTGGCGGCGACGGCATCAACAACCTACGACGAGCCGTACCACATTGCACGTCGCTTCGCCTCTCTCGATCACATTAGCAACGGTCGTGCAGCATGGAATATTGTCACAACCGGTAACCCAGAATCAGCAAAGAATTTCGGCCGTGACGAGCACATGGATCACTCGGATCGTTACAAGCGTGCACGAGAATTCTACGATGTGGTTACAGGTTTGTGGGACAGCTTTGCAGATGATGCATTCGCTCGCGACGTTGAGTCCGGCACGTATGTCGATCCAGACAAGATCCACGTCTTGAACCACGTAGGGGACGAGCTGAAGGTCAGAGGACCACTGAACATCGCGCGACCCGTTCAAGGTTGGCCGGTCATTGTGCAAGCCGGTCAGTCCGAGCCTGGAAAGCAGCTTGCCGCAGAAACAGCCGAAGCCGTGTTCTGTTCACCGAAAGACATCGAATCCGCGAAAGCATTATACACTGACATTAAAGGGCGTGCTGTTGCTGCTGGCCGCAATCGCAATCATATCAAGATCTTGCCTGCTGCTTTCATTGTTGTAGGTGACAGTATCCAAGATGCACAAGAGAAGCGACTCAAGCTCGACAGCTTAGTTCACTACGACAGCGGTATTGCTTCATTGTCAATCGCACTCGGCACAGATGCATCCAAGTTCGATCCGGACGGGCCACTACCCGCTGACATTCCTGAGACCAACGCGAGCAAGACCAGTCGTGCAGGGGTTTTGAAAGTCGCTGCGGAGGAAGGCTTGACAGTCCGACAGCTTGCACAGCGACAAGGAGGGTATTCTGGACTTGCATTTGTGGGGACGCCTGAGAGCATTGCGATGGCATGCAGCAGTGGTTGGATGAAGAGGCTTGTGATGGCTTTACCATTGCACTGCCGTTCTTGCCGCAAGGTCTGGACGATGTGACTCAACGGTTGGTGCCAGAATTGCAGCGGCGTGGGATCTTTCGGAAAGATTATGAGGGGACAACGCTTCGGGAGCATCTTGGTCTTCCACGGCCAAAGAACCGTTTCTTCAAGTGAGAATGGCGTGCTGGTGGGGAAGTATGGCACGATCATAATCAGTGCTCGAAGAGGCACATGCTGCCGAGGTCTGCATCTCGCCGCATTTGAGGGGCTGTGATTGATGGAAGAGTAGCGGCTAGCAATGAAGCATGAATTAATTTGTTGAACCAATCTGAGGCCCTCAGTTGACTGACCGATTAAGAGAGAAGAGAGGTTCTGTGACCGAAGAGGCTTGCTTGAATACTACTAGCCCAGCAAGTGCCAAGGTACCGCTGTGCTAAGAGTCCATGTCTGGCTTAATCAGGCTAGTCCAATAAAACAGTTCCCTCTAAAGCAGGCTCTAATATGAAAGATACAACTTGCGAATAAATAGGCGTAGCTACCTGTTGCAAACCTCACAGTTTCCGTATTACTAAACTACTGTACTGGTATCTATGCGAGCTCTGAATCTCACCAGAAGAAAGACCTGATAGTGTGTGGAGAGAAGGGGTTTCAAACGAGAGAAGTCACGGCTGACTGTAAAGAAAAAAAATGCATGCAGCCTAGGTAATTCGATTGAATTACTAAATGCTTCTTACATAGAGCATTCTTCATGTGAATTTCTCATCCAGTCCCAACCGCAGGGTTCCTTGTCCCAGGAATCCTCCAATATGCCTTAGGCATACCCCAGGGTCCAGAAAGTCTCGATGTTGGTGCCAGAGTCCTCGTCGACATACGGCGGCGGCTGGCTCAGCGTGAATTTGTCGCCGTGGATTTCAGCAATCTGCCCCGTTAAAGTAGGGTCAGACAGCAATTGCTGGACTCCCCTTGTGAGAGTCGACATGGGCGTGAGGATCATGGCCTTGAAGAGATCCTTGCTCGGAGCGATATTCGTCTCTGTAATTTGCGTCCTTTGTCAGAATGTCTCCTCGTCTAGATAGTATCTATACGTATCGATTTTTTCTGGACGGGTGATAAAAGATAGTAGCACGCACCCAAAACAGCGGGAGCGAGGGCGTTGATCTGAATGGCTTCCTTTTCGAGCGAGCGCGCCAGTGCCCGGACCAGCCCGATCACCCCGGACTTTGACGCCGCGTAAATGGGTGCTACAGGGAACGGATACAGGCCGGCGTTGGATGCGGTGCAGATGATGCTTCCTCTCAGAGGGTGCTGGGCATTCGGCGCACTGTTTTTCTTGATATAGTGGATCGCCAACTTTACGGCTAGTTATGAGACTAAGGTTAGCCAAAAGCCACCCACCGCTCACGACGAGAAGACACGGGAGGGAAGAAGGAGAGATTTGAATTGTTGGGAGGGAGGGGAGGAAGGAGGTCTCATTTCTTTACTGTATATCGTCCCTATCAGGTTGACGTTTAACGTCCGCAACCCAGGCTTGGACGGGCTCTCTTCATCCATGATCAACTTCTCTTCGCGGGAAATCCCAGCGTTGGCCATTACCACGTCGATCCGGCCGTGGTCTTTGTAGATCTGCCCAAAGGTGCGGGCCAGCTCGTCCCAATTCGAGACGTCAGCGTGCTTGAAGGACAAGGTGCAACCAACCTCGCGATACTCGGCCGATAAAGCCTGCACGATCGCCTCGCCTTGCAGATCAACATCCACAACACAAACTGTTGCTCCTTGCGAGGCAAATGATCGTGTGATGCCGAGTCCGATTCCAGAGGCGCCTCCTAAACACAGCGGGCACGTTCAGTAAGTGAAGGTACGCGTGCGCGTGTGAAGAATTGAGAGGCTCATTTCCCGCCTTTGACGCAAATGATAGCAACATGCAGCTCCAATCATGGCTGAGGTTGAAGATTGGGTACAATTACTTACCCGTCACGATCACGACCGGAGCCATTGTTCTGAGCGAATCGACCTGCTGTCGAGTCTGGACTGACCCCTTTGACTAATGGATGGGATCTCTCTTTTCCTCCTGTGAGACTGCACACAATGCTATTGCCCTGGCGCGAAGGGTATGTGACTACTAGTATACTTAATCGACGTGCTAGACGTACTGCCACTGTCAGTGCAGGAAACGGGCTCCTAAAAGCCTGATGTCTTCGTTGGAGGGGAAAGAGTGACTGAGCGACCCTGCCGGAAAATCCCCCATGTTGTGTCTGCCGTCCAACTAGACAAAATCCTCAGAGCGAAGGTGATTGCATGCTGTGCCGCATTTCTTTGTTCTGCGGTTTCTCTGCCTATCCAGCCCAGATTGCGGCAGCCTGGAAGTCTGCAAATGTCAAAAGTCCCCTTCCGTCGTCCCCCCCACACCCCAATCCGCCCCCTCCCCCGCTCCCGCTCCTTCCCGCCTCCACCATCTGCCCGCACTCGCTCCACTCGGTCCTCCGGAGATGCTATCATTACGGCGCCGTTGGGACTCTCGGGCGAGAGATGTCGCCACCAGCGTGTTGGATCGCTGAATGGATAGGATGCAGGCGATTTGCACTGGACAGCAGAGACGGTGCCTTTCTGAGAACGCGCCTTAACACCTTTGCCGCAATGCAATACCAGCCTAAGGCAAGAGAACCTCCTATCACCCGACTGAAACAGACATCGAAAACTAAAACCTAGACTTACGACACACGGGTGTCGCATCAAAACCCAACAATGCATTAGACGGCGAAGCCTTCCTTGCACAGTGTCTCGTTTGGCGTTACAAAAAAGACATTGTTTCTTGCGTATGTATACCATGTAGTACTACCGAATTCCGGCTTGACTACAGAGTAGAGGAAAAGCGCAGCTAGCCAAAGAGCCAACTAGAGAGCTGCAGGGAGGTAAAAAGCCCCACCATTCAGCTGGACAGCCTCACTGTAAAATCAATCATTCTGGTACGAGATGCGTGATCGTGTCTCGGACGCCTTTCTCCTTGCCCCCTGTCTTACTACTAGTATACCTAGTTACAAAGGCACTTTCCAAGCATCCGCATCGTAAGACTTGGGCCAAATTCCGTTCTTGCCCGGAGCCAAAATGCCCTTGGGATCCAGGGCATTCTTGATGGCTTCGTTCAACTTCATTTGTGCATTGTTGTTGAAGTTGTAGGTCCCGGCGATCTGGTCCATCAGGGCCAGATGGGTCCGGTACTCACCCCAGCCGCGCTTCGCGGCGTCGTCGATGAGGGTACGGATTAATTCGTGGGCGTTGCGGCGCTGCTTGGGGTCCTTCCGGTCAAAGACGATACAGACGATATGGTGGATCTCGCGCATTCCGATGACAAAGTCGCCGATGAAGTCGAAGCCGAACTGCTCGCACCGTGCTCGGCTGACCTTGTACTGAGCCATGGCATCGTCGCCTGTGACTTTGGCAATCGGGCTAAAGAATAAGTGCGCTCCGTTTGGAAGCCAGTCCACCCACTTTAGCTCGTCCATGCTCGGGATGCCCTGCATTGTGTCATGCCGGATCTGCAGAACCTTGCTTTCGGGCACGTCCTCGGGGAAGCAGAATTTAGCTCCAGGAATGACAGAGAACGAGGCCTTCACTATCTGCCACAGCGCATCTCGAATTGGAGCAGGTCCATATAGAGCACCATAGAAGTTCCACCGACCCAGATTGAGCTTCTTGGCGATGGCGTCCATTTCGGCGTCCGTGAGTGGCTTATCGGAGTCACTGTACGCCTTTCGATCTCCCTGAATAACCAAATCCGTTAGTCTTGATTCATCTCTTGACAACAGAGAGTGGAACTGGGACGCTTTACGTACCACAACTGCCGCGTCAAGTAGGATATGCCGAATAGTAGGTACATTTTGCAATACCATGGCTGTCCGCAGTGGTCGGATAATTTCAACCGCTTGATGAAGATCCTCGTCGCGTGGGATGGTGATAAGGTACGATTGATACCCACCCGGGTTAGGCATCAGCCACATGCCCATCTTAACCACAATCCCTATGTTACGGAAGCTCTTAGTGATGGTGGACGTTATTGACAGGAGGGCAGGGGGGCAAGTCTAAGGATTTACCTAGCGACGACTGCGTAAAGATGCCGTCGTTGTACGGTCCAAACCCGTAGTTGAAAAGCTGCCAACACTTGTTCGCCGGTTGTTGGTCGACGGGTAGGCTAGCATCCGCTCCGGGCTCAGGTAGAGCACCCATGCCCGTGCGAAGTAGATTGCCATCCGGGAGGACGACTTCAAGACCGCAATGCATCATCCAGTGATCACCGTAGGGCTGGATCCCAGACCAGGATATGTTAGACATTCACGATCTAGACGATTCGGGGAAGGAGGCAAAGTCAAATGTACCGTATATCCAACGCCCCTTTCAATCGTGTTCCCCAACACTGATCCACCTCCTAGGTCAGGGACGTCGACCCAAAGCTTGTCTCGGAGGTTGTTCTGGACCAAATGATTGTGTAAGTCGGCGAAGGTGACGCCCGGTTCGACTAGGGCATAGGCGCCATCCACATTGACCTCGAGAACTTTGTTCATGTTCTTGCCCATGTCCAGCCCGACGCTCCCAGGCACCCGAGGCGCGGCGCCACCGTAGCCGACATTCCTCCCAATCGAGAACGGCCACAAGGGGACCTCGAACTCGTTGGCAAGCCGTACGATGGCCTGGACGTCCTGGACGTTTCGCGGCGCCACAACGGCTGAGCTGACAAAGTAGTCTTCATCGGCGATGTAGAACATGTCGTGCACCTTGCTGGGGTCGAGATAGCTGTCCTTGCCTAGTTGTTGGGCGTCCTTGATCACATTCACGTCATGTTCGCCAACGATGTCTGTGACCCTCACAATGAAATCCTTGAACGTATGTGAGCTGATACCCGGAGGCAGTACCAGGGGGTCGTCAGCGTTCTTTGATGCCTGCGCATTCGGTCTTCGGCGTGTGTCTGACATGGCGTCGCCACTCACAGAGTGCTTCGTCAGTGATATGCTGTCTAAGGTCTTGACTGCTTTGCGTGTCTTGAAAGTGCGGCAATGTGAAGACTGGTGAGGCTGATCGAGGCTGGCGGAAAATGGAAGATTGCCCTGCTTTTAAGTGAAAGTGAAAGTGAGAAAATATACCACCTCCTCAAGCTCCTAGTAGCTGTCGCACATTGTCCCTTACCCGGTATCTGGAGCTAGCAGCATGGCCTGACATATGTTCCTACCCCCTCGGATGTTACCCCAGCGGAGCAAATGAAGGCGGGAGTTTAGTTGTGGGGGAGGGAGGACTTGCATTTGGTCGACTCGAGCCTGTTTCCACGCTTCTTAACCGAGGCTGGGGAGTTGGTGACACTGCCAACGGAACACTTGGAATGTGAAAGGTCTCTAGAACCCTGGGACTATTCTTTCAGCCTCGCGTGATTGAACACAGTAATGCAGAAATGTGCAGGCACAGGATCCCCTAACCGAGTACAAATGCAATAGCGTTGAAGATTAGATGAAGATTCCACGCTCAGTCTGTTGGCTCAGATGGTGTAATCTCGCATGTGTAACAACATATCGTGGCGTACATTATTCACTCATTCTTAGCGGTTGAAAGCTGGTGATCAAGTCGTTCACCTGATCCATGCTGGTCTCATCAAACTTGGACAGGATCAACGGGACTCCCGTCCCACGAGAGTCTTTACATTCCAAAGGGCTATCCTCAGCCTCGTCCGTTCTTCGAAAGGATTCCACTTTTTCCAGCATGACACGCGCCAGCAACCAATACTCCGAAGCGTTCCTGTAAAACCCAATCCTTTTCCATGGACTGTCAGGTTCCGTCATACATTGAGGGGCCCACAGGTCGTGGGTGCCGTAGCAATCCACGAAGCCAGGCTCGAAACGTAGATTCCACACGATCCTCCAGTTGATTATAGCATTCCTCAACGTCTCGAACTGTGCGTCCGAACCAAAAACTGGGTCAATGTTGAAAAGAAAACTATGAAAGGACGACACAATGGTCCAAAGATTGAGAACACCGCATTGAGAAAGGTACGCTTTGGTGCCTGCGTCGAGGGTCTTCTGTCGCAAACTCCGGACGGCCGCATGGAAGGGAATACTAGCCTTCTTATATAACGGATGCGAAATCCATTTCTGGATTTTGTTGAAGCAGTCGACCGCTGTAGGGGCTTGGAAACAAGGTTCGGGACAAGCCAAATCATTTGTGGCTTCTCGGAGGACCATCCTTGGAGGAAAGTTGTTGAAGATGGTAAAGGCCGTGTCGAGTAGGAAGACATACATGATCGATCGAATCACCTCCTCTTTCACCACGAAGTGCTTCCAGGAGAAAGTGTGCGGATCCAGGCGGTCCAGTCGCGCATGGTTGGCGTAACGCATCAAATCGCGGGCAACCGAGATTACCACGCTGTATCTCTGCCTCCGGATCCTCCCTTTGGCGGCATCCCCGCCCTCCCAGTTCTGATAGAGGCACACTGCGTACGCAGCTTGGAGGGCGCGAAGCCTCGCTTCTAGCTGGTCCGGTAAACAGGGAATGCAGCTCCCTTCGTCGACGTTGTAGGTTCTCTCGTCGTAGAAGACGAGCTTTTCCACGACATCGAACCACAGCTTGGCGCGGGAATGATCATTAGCATATGGAGACAGGGATGCACCAATCAAGGCCATTGCAGCGAGTAATTGATGAGGTGCGGTCGTGGCGTCAAAACTGGGTTTGTGGATTGTTGGGCAGTTCGGATACCAGAGCGTCCAGAAATACTCGTGGAAGCGGTGGAGATTTGCCGGACGGAAAAAGTCCACGCATTCCCGCTCCAAGAATGGTGACCAATCGTCCGCGCCTGTCCTGTTGATGGATTCCATGCCCTGGCCGCTGAGTGACATCTTTTTGATCGCAGTGAAGATCTGGTGTGACTTAATGGCCAAGTGACGGTATCTTGATTCGCAGTCTGTGCTAGATCGCATCAGAGAGTGAGAATCCCTGGTAGAATTGGATCGCAATCCCTCAAAGGACGCATTTTGGACTGTGGGAGGCTCTATCCATTGAGAAGCCGCAAACGATTCGAGGGGAAGTTGGACTGGCCTGCCAGGGTTGGCGGCGGAGACAGTGTCTGCTGGTTGATCCCAACCTCCATGTGGGAAGATTTGCTGCCTCCCTTGCGGCAGATACCGGCTGTTGAATGACAATGAACCAGCATACTCAGCCACTTCGCTCAAGCCATCCGAGTCTTTCTCTGACAAGGACGGCTCTGGCAGAATCTCTCTCAATGCTTCCGTGTCGATTGCAAACGCCCCGCCCATGCCTTCGTCATTTCTCGTAAACCGGACAAGGAAGCTGAAGGACTCCCGAGGGTCGCGTTCTCGTTCAACAAAATCGGTTCCTAGAGCATGAGTGGAGAAGTCATTGTCTGGGGATAACCCGTCCGTGACCGCCCACGACGACTCCATGTCGTCGGATGTCAGATCGAGGGATCCGGGAGGCAGGTAAGTGTGCGTTCTGAAGTCGTCTGGAAGAGATTGTGGCTCTGTTCGATCCCCAGGCCAGGCGGCTTGGAGTGCCGACGTATAGGGAAAAGGAAGCGAAGTGGACAACGTGCTGCAGTCTCTTTCATGTCCTGCTTCAAGTGCATGTTCAAGGTCAATTTCGGGCGTATCATCCTGGAGCCAGGTGTAGGAACAGGTTTCTTTCTTCTCCGCGCAGTTGCTGCAGGGTCTCATCGAATCACACGCTCGCTTCAACCTCGCACAGCGGTCGCAGGCGGTCCGCTTAGCCCTCACCTTTGCGGGAGCACTCCTCGGGTCGTTGCCGTCCCCAGGGTGCGCATGACACATGATTGAATGTCGCCGCAGAACGTCCTTGCGCTTAAACGCTTTACTGCAAGTGCCGCACACGAACGGACGCCAGGGAGCGTGGTTTGCGAGGTGTCGTTGTAAATGATCCAGTCGACTGTACGTCTTCCGACATATCGGACAATAGACTCGGGCACTGGGCGACATGTTGCGTGACGACAGTGCTGAGAAAGGGAGAAGGAGGGACAGCGGGAGGAGCCCATGTTTACCTAACGAGTGTGAAATTTTGCTGAGTAGGTTTCGGTGCCGGTGCGTCTGGGCCCAATTGGCATGGGGAAGCTTCGTTCCTGATCATCCCTCTAATTAACTAGCGGTTGACCCCGTGCCCCGCATCCAGCACCCCCTCTGGAGAGGACAGAAGGGGTTAGTCTTTGTCTCTTGTGGCGAGACTTCCGCTGGCCAGGATAATTGTGGGGCCTGGCTAATTTCTGTGGGGGGATTGTTCGGATCTGGTCCTCAAAGACGCTGCATTACAGTCTTGCCGACGGGAGAAGTTAGAACGCCAGCAAATGGACCGACCGATCGATAGTCCCCATATGTCACTTAAGATCCGGATAGACGACTTAAAACCGTACCTGGAGTGTACTGGAAAGAAAGGTTCGAGAGAACAAGATGGTGTGACGCGGTTACCGCGGAAGCTGGGTCGCTAATTAGAGGAGTATGTACGACTCGGATTGTTGAAGTTCTCTGGCACCGATCTTGCTGATGACTAGAGTACGTTGTCCTCCACCTCTACCCCAGCGCTCTGTTCTCCCCGGCCTCTCCTACAAGTGGCAACGGAGGAAAGTCGATCTGATCATAATTGAGGTAGTCCACGTTAACCTGTTTGGTCTTCTCCTTGACCGTCCAGCCGTTGCCGATCCATCCACATGCATTCTCATTCTCATAGTCGTACAGAAAATCTTCCCACCGAGGATGCGCCAGGGCTTGCATAGCATGCAGAGACGAGCCTATTATTGATATAGTTAGTAAACTTGATGAAGGCGAGATTAGAGATGGATATGAAAGCCACACACCTGGCCAGAGTGCGCTCACTCTCCCATCCGAGGTCCCACCCTTGTACCAGCTGCGGCAGTCGAGACTGAACACCGTCGTCTGGAAGTACAAGTCGCAATACTGGACAAACCCTTCGACAGCACTCGACCGAGGGCTCATGCTCTTGATGTTGTCCCGCTGCATCTTTTGGAGACACAAAACGATATAGTCGATGACTTTCTCGATCAGCAACAAGAGATTGCCTGTCCCCAGCGCCGAGTTCGGACCTAGAGAAATGAAGTAGTTGGGAAAATCATCCGTCGCGAGCGAGAGATACGTCGACGGTACTCCCCTCCATTTCTCGGACAGGCTGAGCCCATTTTTCCCGAGAATAGGGAACCGAGGGCTGAACGTGGTGTCAAACCCAGTGGCGCATATGATGGCATCCACAGGGTGATGTTGGCCGTCGGCGGTGACAATCCCATCCTCCACCACCTGCTTAATTCCCGTAGTGATGACATCGACCTTGGGACTCGCGAGTGCCTCCAAATAACCTGGACCCGGTGTCAACCTGCGACACACGGGAGGAAACGAGGGCAAGAGGGTTTCAAGAAGCTCTGGCTTGCCGGCAAGTCGTCTCTTCATGTTTTCTGTGAACAACTCCACGGCTCCTAGTTGTTCGGGGGATCCTTTGATCGTCACTGAGTGGACAGACTGAAGTTCAAGTTCAATGTCTATTGCCACGGTCAATTTAATATTCAGCAGGTTGGGAACCGGCATACCTTTACGGAACCGTTCGTAAAAGGCGGGATCGTCCTTGAATCGAGCAATGTCCTCCTGGGTGAAGGAGACTGTTTGCCGTATGGTTAGACTTGTTCTCGGGAATCCAGTCGCGCTGTGCGCTTCACGTACAGTTGTCCAGCCCTTTGCCCATCTGATCGACCTTTTCTCGGGCGAATGTTGGGGCCAGCCACGTCCTCCCGCGAACGTAGTGGTCGATATGTACAGATTTCTCGAGCATAGCCGGAACGATCTGAATGCCGCTGGAGCCATTGCCAATGACTGCGAGTCTCTTCCCCTAACCACATGTGGTATTTGAATTTGATTCCGACAAATTGGCCGGGCGTGATTTTCGAACTTACTGTCCAATCAAATTCCTCGTCCCAATCCGCACTGTGGAGCAACTTGCCGCCAAAATCATGCAGCCCAGGGATATCAGGCCACTTCCAGTAATTGAGCGCGCCAGTGCCGGAGATCAGAACATCGCAAGAATCTTCGACGACGGTGTGATCGACGAGGTTTCGGATCTACAACGTATATCAGCACCCCTTTCCATGTCTCTGGACCAGCCAGCTGATACCGATACTCGCCATTTGCCAGTTCGGTCATCCCAAGTCGCTCCATTGACCTCGTGTCTCAGCTTGATGTACTTCCCACAGTCGTATTTTGCCACCACCTTTTTCCAATAGCGATGGATCTCCTGAGAACTGGCATAGAACTGAGACCATTCATGATTCGGTTCGAATGTGGCCTGGTACGTATGGGCGGGGATGTCGCAAGCACAGCCCGGGTAGCGGTTCTCAAACCATGTCCCCCCAACATCGGCGTTCTTCTCGTAGACCTGCAATGAAAGATTGGCGATCTTCTGTGGCAGGCGGATGGATGCCAGAATGCCCGAGATGCCCGCTCCAATGACAATGACACGCAGCGGTCGATACTCGTCGATGCATCGCTCATCGAGCCAATGCTTCGGTGCCTCTCCCATGTTGATGGACAGCTAAGTCGCGGAGAATAAGGCAATTTTTGGGTGAAGGGTCTCGAGGACGGGAGTGTATATAAGTCCATCTTGCTGGCAGATGATTGCTATGAGACAACTGCCGTAGACCTTCGACGAGTCTGGTATCGGAAAGAGGATCCATGTTTCCGTGGCAGCCCCCCATCATATTCGGTGGCATGACAGCCTCTTTGGGTGTGGAGGAGGCCCTGGGGCTCCACGAAGCTCGCGTGGCTAAGTCTTGGCTCCGGCAAAGGGCCAGAGAAAAGATGTTGGTCTCGGGAAAACCCCACATTGAGAATACCCATTCCGAGCTGCCGTCACTATCTGGATCCATCCTGCCCATCCCAAGTCCAAGGCCCTCTGGTTGAGAGACTTCCCGCCTGAGCAGATTTCGACTACAACACTACCGCGACGATCGGCCTCGTCTCCTATGAGAATTGGTTGCCACAATATTGGAATAACTCCAAGGTCGGCCCAAGCAGCCCAAATACCAAAAATCGCAAAGTCATCATGATGGCCATGCCAATATACCTGCGGAAAGCCAGTTCTCCTGGGAAATATTCGGCAGATCTCCACTTCGTCGTCGAGTAAAGACTTTGCTGGTATAGCAGTAGTAATAGGATGCGACAGCATCTAAACAGGCCGGCTCTCTACCTTAATCTGACACCAAAACCCGAACGCCTTTGCTTCCCACTTTCGGGAAGGGCAGGAAAAGTTCATGTACCATCGTGACATCTTCTCTTGTGGTCTCATATAGTTGGAAGTGCACTTCGCGGAAGATTTTGGCGAGGCCAAGGAGCATTTCGGCTCGTGCAAGACTGGAAGGGCGCATAGTCAGCTTTGTCTCGTCAAATGGATGCCTTGGGTACATCCGAGGAAAGAACCCACTTTAACCCGATACATTGTCGGGATCCTTTGCTGAAAGCGACGAGATAGTTTTCGAGTCTTTTACGCTCGTCGAGGTCCATCCATCGCTCTGGAATAAAGTTGTACGAATCTGGGAAGATCTTTTCATTGTGATGCATAAAGACGCTCGTCATACCAACGGCAGTCTATTAAAAAAAATGAATTTGAGTCAGTAACGAATGGGCTTGATGATTGCAGAAATCCTACCCCGGCTGGAATAGTCCATTCTTTGTACTGGAGATCGCGGTCGGGGGCAATCCTCTGCAGTCGAGTGCTCACGCCATACGAAAGTCTGGAGACCGGTGGCACCGATGAGTTAGAAACTAACCGTGACGTGTAGATAGGGTCTTTGTACGTACCTAAGTCCCTCAAGCATCACCGACGTCTGCAGATTACATAGTATCGGGCAAATTAGAATAGCTGACCAATTGGGGCAATCAAGAAGGAAGCTCACCAGATAAGGCATCTTGTCCAAGTCTGCCAACGATGCGGTTCGGGCTGGGTCGAGCCGATCCAACTCCTCTCTCATCTTCTTCAGCTTTTCTGGATTCTCAAGCAGATAGTAGGTTGTCCAGCTCAGCATTTTGGCAACGGTTTCCGCTCCGGCACCTACCACGGTTTGGATCTCTTGTGCCAATCGCTCGGCACTCTTTTCTTCTGGAGGTAGATCGCTGGCTAACACGTCGTGGAAGAAGGTAGGATGGTCAAACTTCTGTTTTTCTTGTCCACTCTTCTGAGACTCGATGACCGAGTCGATGAGGACCCCACAACGGTTCTGGAATGCAAACATCAAGCCCATCCCCGGATTGAGTTTTGTCACCAGACCTTGTGGCAAGGTTTTCAGCAAGGACACAAGCCAAGGGAAAGGCTTGAAAAAGGCACTGCTTTTTGCAATCCCGCTCAAGGTTTCGCTCCACTGGGGGACAAAGTTTGGCTCATCTAGATAATGGAAACCAACGCCCATCGTGTAGTCGGAAATAACGTCGGTGGTGAAGCAGGTGTAGGCGTGCTGGACTGTGATGGGGATGCCTGTATTCTTGAACTCATTTAGTCGATAGCAAAGCTTGTCAACCACGGCTTGGATCTCGGGTTCCAGCGCTCGAATCCGTTGCATGGAGAAGTAGGGATTCATATTGGATCGCAAGAGGCGGTGATGGTTGTGGTCCAAGATGGCGATTGATGCCTTGGGGGTACCAAACATGTTCGCAAAATACTTGTATTTGTTGCGGGGGCTGCTTCGCGAGTAGAGGATCTCATAATAGTCGGGATCGTCGATATGGAGTTCCCAAGGGCTGATCCGGACAATAGGCCCTGGAGGCGAAAGCCAAGCATCATCAGCGGTGTATGGTGCTTAGCTACCAGGCAGCGAGAGGGAAGCCATACCATACTGCTTGTGCATCTTACCAATTTCAAATGTGTACCTTCCATGGCAGATTGCATCGTAGTAAAACTCATACCACGCGGTAGCAGCAGCCAGCTTTGGTCCGGGGAACCGAGCCAGCGGTGATAGATAGAGTCGGTAAACCACAAGGCCCAGGATATACGCTCCCCAGACAAAGGCTATTACCAACAGGGGGTGCGTGAAGGATTGGGCCAGCTCCATTGTCACGCCTGGATGTGCGGGAAAGGAAAGCAAGGTTGAGGAGGGTGCAACAGGGTGCAACAGGGTGCAACAGGGTGCAACAGGGTGCAACAGGGTGGGAAGATATTTCGAGTGAGGTTCAAGCTTGTGCGAAATTGATAATGGGATCCAGGTGAATTGAAGACTCGCACGTGGCTCATTCTGATATGCCAGGTCGGTGCTTCGTTAAGCTTGATCAAGCCCCTCCTTGCCATGCATCCTGCTCTCGCCTGGTGTGCGAGGTATCATGCTCGGTGGGTGTGAGGTCTATGTGACCAATGCAACATGGAACTGCAGGCGGCTGAATTGAAGGATTTTAGGCCACAGGCTGGTTGGTCATTGCTGGTTTAACAGCCGGGGGGAGCTGCGTCGGCTGCGTCTTCCCCGTCACTACCAGCGACCTTATACGAGGTACTTGTACCCCGGTACTTACGGTAGGAAGGAATGGTTGCTTGAGTCGGCATCGTGCCGTTCCACTCGCCCACACAACGCCCACACACACCCACACCTACACACCCACACATAATCCGTCTCTGCAGAAGCGCAGAATGCCCCTTCTATCGACCATCATGACGACAGCATCGCCATCTTCGCCAGCATCACCCCCCAACGTCTTATCGGCAGATGAAAATTCGCAAATCGGGATGGTGTAATAAGCGCCTGCGCCCCTTGGCAAATCACCACTGCGAAGCCCACAATCGTTCCTTTCCCACCCGGCACTGCCTACGACACTGAATGAAGCTCAACCGACTGCCTTTACATCAGTCCCACTCCACTGCCATCATCATGTTCACTCTGGTGCAATTCAAGGCGACGACAAGCACCATCGTCACCGTCGTCGCCTAAGGAGGAATCTAAATTCCCCGCGAGCCGCCTTGTCGCCGCTAAACGGAACATGTCGGCCCCAGCCGCCTCCCAACCCTTGCACGATGAGAATCCACAATCGGATCAAACACAAGCAGCACTTGTCGCTGAAGTCAGTCAGAGCCCCGATCTAATCTCACCACATTCACGCTGAAGATCAACTAGCACGATAGCGCCCTTGGCGGCGACGACGACGACGACGATCTTGCAAGCTTGTAGGCCACCAATCCCACCTGTCATCGCTATCACTATTACATCCGAAATTGTTTCGCTAATAGGAATTTTGCCTGTCCCGGCAAGAGGTGGCCAAAGCTCCACGGCTTCGATAACCTCGACTGTCCTGAATTACAAGTAAGATAGATACTTATGGTTTCTCTGTTTCGAGGGTCGAGAAGGTGCTGATTCATCGCTCAGATACGAGGTCAGGGCGTTTGTGGCAAACAAGAGGCGGAGGCCAAACAGAACTGATATTTGCTGCTGCCAGAATGGACGACGATACCACGCGTACAGGGAAGGAGAATATGTTATCGTGAGACCGTGCATGCCTTGTCTCCTAGGACGAATCATCCTAACTTGCCCATCTCACCAAAGCCTAACGATGAAAGAGAACAAGAGCGTCTTGATATCGTATGCCGAACGATTCTAACGCTCGAGTATCCCTACTGATTCACCATCAGCACCATCACATTTTCAGCCTGGTACTTGGGGGAGAGCTATACTGCGCTCCCATCCCGGAGGGAGTGTCGAGCGTCTTGGATCTCGGGACGGGGACCGGTGTATGGGCAATTGACATGGCAGAGTATGGCTACCATACCTAAGACATGGACTCTCAAGATTTAACCTCGCCACCCAGCAAAATGCCCCAAGCAATTGTTATTGGTGTGTTGAAATTTGACGAGCAATGTCGACAGGACAAGGAGAGCTCACTCGCACCCAGGAATCGACCTAAGTCCGATCCAACCCACATGGTAAGACCGCAGATGGGACATGCATTGTCACGTAACATCAGCTAAAAGATCGCGGTTAAGGGTACCCCCAAATTGCCGGTTTGAGGTTGACGACTTCGAACTCGACTGGAGATACACAACTCCGTTCGACTTCATTCACGCTCGAAACATAGAAGGATCGGTCAAGGACCATAGAAGATTGTTTCGGCAGGCATGGGAAAACTTGATCCCCGGCGGCTGGCTGGAGGCGGCCGATGCCACCGTGGGGGTCTTCTGTGACGACGAGACAATCAAACGAGCACCAAATCTGCTCCAATGGCGTGAACATCTGGTGGAGGCGAGTCGTATATTCGGAAAGCCCATGGGCGTTGCACAACACTACAAGGACTGGCTGATGGAGGCGGGATTTGTAAATGTCAAGGAAGTGATCAAAAAGGTTTGTGCTCCCTTTCGAATCTTCGAAGGAGCGCGAGACGAGGGACCAGGGACTAACTGTACTTCACCCACTCTATGCAGGTGCCCTTCTCGCCTTGGCCAGTGGATCCAAAACTGAAGGAGCTAGGAAGCTATCAACAGATCTTGATGCTGGAAGCTCTCGACGCGTATTCGTTTGCCCTGTTCACGAGAGTCTTAGGGTGGAGTACTCCTCAGATCCAGGTATTACTGGCCGGCGTGAGAAAGGAGCTTCTGGATCGGAAATTCCATGGCTATTCCAAGCTGTACTTTGTGTATGGGCAGAAGGCGCCCTGACACAACCTGAAGGATGCTTAGTTCTTGTTGCAGGTTCCGGGAGCTATCTCGGTGTGTCACCATGCAACTCTGATAGGGCTTGGGCTTCTTAGAAAGTCCCACGGAAAAGCGGCATCTTGAGGACCCCGGCCTAATGATCGGCCGAACTGGGGGAAGTCGCACTTTTCCGTCCTTTGAAAAAGAAATCGTCACCATGGTCACTCACTCCTCATGGAAGTCTCAGGTTTGCACCAAGCAGTCAGTCGAATCCCTTCAGTGTGAGGCTCGTCAGAAGACTTGCAGACCTGTCCTGCTGGTCTCGCCCATGTGGGAAGCCCGAAAGTACTCGAATGTTTTCGTCCTCTCTTAATTGACAACTGCTGCATAGGACTCGAATCAACCTCAATATCATGCTATCCCACTAATGCCGCTGACCAAGGTCCAAGTCCCTGCCGTGGCCTGGATGTCCGAACAATCAGGGACTGAGGCCTCTCAGTCAAGAGGAGTACCCGAAACTCAGAGTCAGAATGATCTGACACCACCTCCAGACGGTGGCTACGGCTGGGTGTGTCTGGCTTGTTGTTTTGCAATCAACTGTTTCACCTGGGGTGCTGTAGCAGTAAGTCACAACCCCCCGTCTCGTACATTGCCATACGGTCGTCTTCCTGGGGAGTCCTTCAATCATTCGGCAAAGCTCGTTAACGAGAGACAGTCTTATGGCGTCTTCTTATCGTATTATCTGACTGTGGATGCCTTTCCCGGGTCTCGACCTCTGGACTACGCTTTCATCGGCAGCTTCAACTTCGGCATTGCTATGCTGGCAGCCCCCTTGATCACCAGCTTAGCTCGCTCCTTCGGCATCAGACTGCCCATACTGGCGGGCGCAGTCATGTTTGGAGGAGGCTTTATTGCGGCGTCTTTCGCAACCCGGATCTGGCATCTCTACCTCTCCCAGGGTGCCCTGGTCGGGCTGGGTGTTGGCTTCGTCTACGTGCCAAGCATTGCTGTTCTCTCCCAGTGGTTTGCGAGGAGAAGGAGTCTTGCCAACGGCATCAGCGCGGCAGGTTCGGGGATTGGTGGCTTGATCTTCTCGTTCGCCATCGGGGCCATGATCGAACGACTTGGAATTGGATGGGCACTGAGGATCACTGGGATTACCGCGCTCCTGGCCAATCTCGTTGCTGCGGTCTTCATCCGCGATCGCAACAGCATCATTCGCCCTAAACAACACCCCTTTGACCTCGACCTGGTGTCGCGCCCCGACGTTCTCTTGCTCCTCCTTTGGGCGTTTCTCAGCATGTTGGGGTATATCGCTTTGCTGTACTCGCTGTCAGACTTCTCGCTCTCCATTGGCCTATCCAGAGAACGGGCGACACAGGTGACTGCATTTCTGAACATGGGGACTGCGCTGGGGCGGCCTTTCATCGGCGTCGCAAGTGACCGCTTCGGTCGCTTTGGAGTTGCGACGAGTCTCACTTTCATCTGCGGTCTTTCGTGCTTGGTTATTTGGATTCCCGCCTCTTCATTTGGAGTCACGGTGTTTTTTGGAATCCTGAGTGGTGCAATCCTGGGAGTGTTCTGGATGGTACGCCGCCTTGCCTTTTCCCACCCGCTGAATCCGAACTTGCTCTCGGTGAATTTATTGACCGATTGCCTGTGTGACTAATTGACTGACTGCCTAGACAATCGGCCCCCTCTGCGTCGAGGTTGCAGGGCTAAAACAGCTCCCCTCGCTCCTCTCACTTTCATGGCTATCAACCGTCCTGCCGACTACATGTGTGTCTTCCCCTTTTCCCCCTCCTCTTCCCCCTTCCCATTTCCAGTCCAGACAACGCTCGCACGGACGTAGGCACATGTGTACTAACCCGTGCCCTCCTTCCACCGACCAAAAAGTCTCCGAAGTCATCGCGCTCTATCTTCGCCGCCCAGGGCACCCCCGTCCGTACCTCTTCACTCAGATATTCTGTGGTGTCAGCTACATCTGCGCGAGCTTCTGTCTCTGGGGCGTGCGCACGCTTTGCACGCGGCGGCAGCAGTCTCAGTCAGAGGGCCGCGTTAGACTTGCAGGGATTGAAGCAAATGTGGAGGCGGAAGAGGGGAAAATGGTAAGCATTGGTCCAGTCGAGGCCCCGACAACAACTATTGCAAAATAAGATAAGGCTCGAGAAAAGTTCTGGGGGCGGGAAAAGTTCATGGGTTGGGTTCGAGCACCCGCCTTTTATGTGGTTCCAGCCCGCCTTGCGTACATATCGGTAGACGATGGTAATGTAAATAAATAGGCCTTTCAAGCAAAAATCTGAGAACGTGTCTCAGCCCCTGGTGCTCAGCTCTCAGCTCTCTTCACAATTATATATAATCCACCCTGCCGCGGGCAAGTCAATTAGACTGCCGGAAGGAAAGTCAGTTAACTCCCCTGCGATCTACAATGGCCACAGAAGGTACAATTATCAGACGCCAAAGGAATATCTCATCGATTTTTTCACCCGCACCACATCCAGGGCTACATCGCCGCTGCCGGCCTCGTCCTTCTCCGCAGCTGCTGGTTTCGAGCTCTCTACGAGAGGAGGTGTGCTGTTGTTTGGTGGTCCATGGTTGGCTTTGCTTCCTCCTCCTCCTTCTCCTCCTCCTCCTCTTGGGTGTTGTTCTCTCCTCGTGCGATGGAGTTTCAGAGCTCTCCGCATTTGTCCAGCAAGCCAGGGGATCTGGTCCTGGCGAAGCAACGATGCAAGTATGGGGGGCGGCGGATCCCGCTGCTGCACGCCGGTCAGATCGAGAGGCTCCCCCGCCAGACCCAGCACAAAGGCCATAGGGCCGAGGATGTTGTAGCCGCCCATGCAGAGGTTCTGACGCTTGCGCTCGTCGCCGCTCAGCGGGATGACGTTGTGTTCTCGCGCGTACTCCCTGCCTGGACTGCATGGATTCGAGTAAGGGTCTCTGCTCGGCGACGGCCACGGATACTCGATGTCGGCTGTGTTGGAGAGCTCGTGGATGGAGCCTGGGTCAGTGCGGTTGCCGAGATGGAACGGGACGGCGGCACAGATCTCGTCGACACCGTGCTGGAGCGTCTCCTCGGCGGCCTTTCTCCACGCCTCGGACTTCGACAGCAGCACGTCGTCTTCCCTCGGCGTGTCGCGGACGGTCTGGTCGGCGCACAGCATCATCTTGACGAGGAGCAGCCGGTAGCTGTTGTACGCGTGCCACACGCCCGCGATCTGGACGGTCGGATAGACGTTGCAAAAGTCGCCGTACAGACCTGCCTTTCTGACCGATTCCGGGATCTCACCTGCCGTCAATCGGAAGGGCGAGTAGAACGAGTACTGCGCGCCGGCCCAGATCTGCAGGCGCTGGTCAATGGCAGCTGCTGTCCTCCTGAACGACGCTATTGTGCTGAGATCCTTTGCTGTCAACACTCTCTGGCCCTTTGCAAACGCGATCTGCAATCTCGTTTTGTATTGTTCAAATAGGGCCTGCAGGTTGGCAAGGTCGATGGCGATCTGGTCGAGATCGCTGGCCGGATTGTACGGCATGGGCCCGTCGTCTTCCCACAGGGCCGGGTCGGTGTGGACTGGTTGGCGTGTCCGAATTGCCTCGGACACCATGGTGCTGCGCACCTCTTGCAGGAGGCGCTTGGAAGCCATGTCGCGGAAGCCCTTGCTCTTTCTGTAGCTGACGACAGCATATGCGCCTCTTTGGTGGCTCCCGTCGACTTTGGCCATCTTGCGATGGGCGATCAGGGCCTCCCGGAACTGCAGAGCGATGATGGCGATCAACGTCGTGTCGGCTTGGCATCCTTGGGGAGTTTTGAGCGTGTCCTTCAAGAGATCGATAGCACGTCCGTAGTACCTTCTCGACAAGATCGAATCGGGTGCCCGGCCGCGCCACATCGAGAGCATGGTGGCCGTGAGCGAAGCAGTGGCGACCGATATGAGAGAGTCAGGCTCGGTTGGTTGATAGTACGGGATCAAATGCTCGAACAACCCCCGCGAAGACTGCACGCCCCTGCCGCTCATCATGTAGTTGTGGAAGAAGAAACACAGCGAGACAAAGTTCTCGTCCTCGCCGAGGTTGGGGACCACGGCGTTGGAATATCCATAGTCGTCGGCGGCGGCGGTTCCTGAGACTTCTTTGTCGTTGGCTCCTGCTCCTCCTTGGAACAGCTGTATCACCGTCTCGGTCTCGTCTCTGAACTGGATGCCGGGTGGATCTGGGACGCCAGGACAAGGCACTCGCCTCTTCAAGCAGTTTTGGCAAAACGGTCGGCTCAGGTCGCATTTGATGCGGCGCTTTTTGCAGGTGCCGCATCCGCGCGACGGGCCGGCGTAGACCATTTTGCAAGGGAGTCTCTTGAGTGTTGTTGTCGGTGCTGTCGTTGTGGCTCTAGCAGGTCAAACCCTTCCAGGCTGCCTGCTTTACTCTGCTAGATATGTCCCGTGACTAAGCCGAGAGCATTGGCGAATTCAGACCAGGCTATGGGCTCAGGAGCGGTGGGCTAGGAGGGGTTGTCGCCAAAGACCTATCCTTGGGACTGATTGGGCTTTAGCATGAATGCCGATCTCCTAGTCTGCCCTGTCAAAACCTGGGCGTTAGGGGCCTAGGGGGCCTTGCACTCTATGTACCCAAAGTATCGAGTTCCCATGCCAGAAATCTGCCTTACCAGCCTGGCTTTAGGTGGTCCTCCCTTGGACCTCCCTCTCCGGGTATGGTCAGAGGCTTGGCGGGTCGCCGCTTTCGACGTCCGTTACAAGAACCTCGTCTCTCATTCCTATCCCTCTACCGTTCAACACACTCTCATCTGTGCACAGCGGGAGCAAAGATGAAACTCCTTGTCTTTTCGTGCTGGAAACTACTTTTCACCGTCGATATAAGTGGCTGTCGTGTAATACTCTCACATTTATCGCACCTCGTCTGGACAGAATGCGCTGACCGACTACCTATCATCCAGAAGTTCTACAGAGCCGAGACAGGCATTGCAAGTCTTTGGGCAAGTCTTCGGCCACAATTGATTTTGAGTCGATCACAGCTTCAAGTCTGGCTTCATTTGTTCCCTGAAGTTCTTCCAGACCTCTTCCATTAGCTCGGACTGGGTAAGCAGACCATAGGCCGTTGCGGCCATGCCCTTCGCGCAGTCAAGAGCACGCTCGAAGGCTGGCCTGGACCCTGCTGCCGCTGCAAACGCCGGGGTATGTGGTTGAACCTCTGCGTCATCTGTACCAATGGTAAAGACACAATGCAAACCAGGCACTTCATAACTGACATTACCCATGTCCGTCGAACCTCCCATGACACGGTCACCCGCATCCTCTACATACTCGCGACCAAAGCCACGCATATGTTTTGTGAATTCTCGCGCGATGGCAAGGCTCGGGCACATGTCTTTGTAGTCATTGTCCCTGCCACTCAAGTCAATGTCATGTCTCGCTCGCAAGAAATGATGCACTTACAGTTGCCAAGCACAATCAACCTGACATCCAGTTGCCAGTGCCCCAGCCTCGAAGCAGGCTTTCGCTTTTTCCGAAAGCTGCTTGACCTCGGCGAAAGTTGAGCCCCGCAGAAAATACTCGAGGCTGGCCGAGTCGGGGATGATATTGGGCTCTGCTCCTCCTTGTCGAATGACACCATGCACACGGACGGTGGGAGCGAGCTGCTGCCGTAGCAACGAGATGTTGACGTACGATGCGACGACGGCGTCGAGCGCATTCTTCCCATTCCAGGGAATGACTCCAGCATGAGCATTCTGACCTTTAAACGTGACCTGGACTTGTCGACGCGCAAGCGACTTGCTGGCAGCGACACCATCTATATTCAATGGCATACAGCCCATAGGGTGGGCCATCAAGCAAGCATCGACCCCTTCATATGCACCTGCTCGGATGAGACGCACTTTCCCGCCACCACCCTCTTCGGCTGGTGTTCCCAGCAGCCGAACTCGTCCATCTCGGCCACTATCCCGGAGTGCCTCAGCTGTCGCAATGAATGCTGCGATAGAACTGGTGGCGATCAGGTTATGTCCGCAGGCATGTCCGATGCCCGGAAGAGCATCGTCTTCCGCGTTGAACACAACTAGGCGCCCTCCATACCCTGTTTCCGCCTCGAAGGAAGGTTCGAGGCCATAAGTGTGTCGCTTGACATGGTACCCGAACCTTTCTAACAAATCGCAGATATTGTCATGCGCGTGGAACTCGCGATAGTTCAACTCTGGATCATCATGAATCTGGACTTGAGGTCGTCAGCAGCAGGCTACTTTGGTGAACCCGAAAGGGAGCGATAAACCTTCTTGCAGATGTCAGCCAGGTGCTCTTCATTTTTGCTGATGTATTCTGAGATGTTCTTGTGCAGGCCCTGTGTCGAGAAGGGCTCGGCGCTGGATGGAGCATTCATGTTCGGAAATGTCTTTCCCAACGCCGAAGATTGGCTTCACTGTTGATCGCTTTCGTGATGGAATGGCCGGCCTTCGCTCATCTTTCACTGGTATCGACGTCCCCCTTTATATCGGCATAAACTCAGCCTGACAGGTGGGAAGCAATGGAGAGCTCCTGGCCGTTCTGCCTAATGCACTCGGCAGGAAATGTCGTGGTTATCTCCAATGGGGACATGCTTGCATCCCACCGGCCCCCGGCCTCGGCAATTCAACCATTCATGAAGTGATAAATGACAATCGTCATTCTCCGCCTAAGCGATATATAGCCGAGTCAGCCACTCAGCTTGCTTCCCTTCATCATTGTCTTCCATCCCAGATTGACCGCTCTCCAGAATTGCCGCTGAATGATAGCAATGACGGGCAGCACTGGATCGGCTAAATGTGGTTCTCGATCGAGAACTGGTACGTATGTCCCTTTGTGATCAAGAATCTTTCCGTTGAAACGCCAACTCGTGGCAGGATGCACAACGTGCCGCACCCGAAAGGTGAAATGCGACGAGATAGCGCCCATCTGCGGACGATGCTCCAAGACTCGCCTGAGATGCGATTGGAACCAACCCGTGAGACGAGCTCGCAGTGGGATCTCGACTGCCAATGTCTCATCAGTCAGGTTGCTTGCACCCGCCGGGGCTACTCATGCGAGTCCAGGTTCGACAGAAAGTGTGGTTAGCGATCGTGCCCGGCCGAGCTTTACATCTTCATCGCCCAGACTGACCCTGGACGTACCATCGCCTGTGAACTTTGTCCCCTCGGCACTACCAACAGCACATATTCCCCTTTCCAACTCCTTACAGCTCACTCTGCAGGATCAGCAATCCTTCATGTACGTCCGGGACTCTGTCATGGTCCTCCGAATTGGCAAGCCATTCCAATGGAGCAGCCTGTCTTACATCTACTTGAATATTGCAAGCAAGTACGCAGGTGTGATGAGAATCTTTATTGCTGGGGCTTCCATGGAGCTACGATCGAAAACCCTCCTCGACCGGCACGATGGGACATTGTCCTCTGACCAATACGAGCGGGCCCGCCGGTTGGAACACTCCGCGAGAAGCCACTATCACCTCGCTCTGAAAGATCTGTCCGCTTTGGTGGATCACATATCCTTCTCGGGGGGTAGCGATGACGACGTCAATGCCCTCTTTGCCATGTGGTTCCTGATCCTCCATTTTGGACTGTATGACTCGCAAAGCATTGGAGCTTCTCACGTACATCTGGAAGGAATTCGATCTTTTCTCCAGCCGTATTTGAAGTCGTGCAGGGAGCAGGACAAGACGACCCTACCCCTAGCGTCTCAGCAATTGTTGTACTACATATCGTAAGTCTGGTAGCCCTCTTCGAGAGGCCGTCCTAACGACCAACCCAAGGTACATGGACATTTATCTCGCATTTAGCAGTATGGCGGGTGGGAGACTGTGGATGGATTTGCTTTCAGAAGACGCGGACTCCCCAGTCTCTTATGATGGGCTTTTCTACAGCGCCAGATCCTGTCTTCCCAAGTTGTGGGGCACCCAGTATCCAATCTCCGAATTACTCGACGACCTGGAGAATTACCGACCTCTTCACTTCTTGCACTTGTGCCAGAAGCCAAAACTCAGCATCCTGAATCTGGCTACCTCTTCAGACATGGGCCGCAGTGACAGGGCCGGCCGGCAACAGCTGTGGAAGGAGCTGACCAAGCTGGGAGACGTACGTGCTGGAGCCACTGGGCAGGTTCTCTACATTACTAACCTCTGGCGATAGGAGTTTGCTGATGTCCTCGCATTGGCCGATAAGGTCGTCGACACCGGCACGAGGAGACTCATATGGACTGTCTACCACGCAAGCCTAGAGTTCTATGCTCTGCAAGTGTTGTACTCCTCCCTGGATCCTGATGATGAGTCTCCACCCTGGCTGGACCGGGTAGTAGCAACTGTCACCAGTATTGGATACAAGGCCGTGAAAGAAGATCCCCGGCAACTGTATCGTCTGGTCTGGCCACTCGCTATTGCGATGATACGGACCAGAGACTTAGTTCATCGCGACTGGCTCAAAGACCAGCTCTTGAGAGCACAAATCCTCCTCCCTAGCTTTGGCCTCCCTGGGTCGGACTGGGACGGTAAAGGCTTGCTCGGCCAGCTTCTTCTCGAAGCAAATCGCACATGCCATACGGTAGCCACGACGGCCGATCAACGGCTACTGAAAGGTTAACAATATGAGGGTAGAAGACATTTTGTCTGTGGCCGCTGTTACTACAGGGTTCTTTGCGCGATCGTATTCCGGAATCACATCTGTCTTCTACCGTCTCTAAGCCGGCCACCTTTTGACTTCTGCTGACTGTGTGATATCCATGGTCTTATCTATGCGAGTGTGAGGATGGTGGTCGTCGTAAGCGAGTTTGGGCTTCTGCCCTGGGTCAAACACTGCTCGGGTACTCTCAGGGATGCACATCGATTCGGCGACGCAGTGCTCCCACTCCGCCTCGTGTGGCGGATAAAGGCCTCTAATTCCTCTAATTTGTAAAAAGCCAGCTAAAGATAAAGAGAGTGTGGAGATGAGTTCCAGTGGTTGCCGATCTGGCCAACCACGGCGCTCGCTGGTTTGCCGACCTGCAGAGCCTTGCCGACATATCAGAGCTTCGAGATCAGCGGGCATATGCCAGTCGAATCGTCCGGACGGTGCAGACATATTTGCCGTCGACATGAGTCGCCAGAAACGACTCTCGAACTCCAGATTGAGGAGAAGACAAGCAAAAGATAACCAGCTCCATCGGGAAATCCTAACCAGCGTCTGAATATAGAAGAAGCCCGTAAGTATAAGTAAAGATCTCAACTTCTCGACATTCGGCTCCGTGGACTCGCTCAGCAACTCCTGCTCCAAGTGCTTCCTAAGTGCATTGCGAAAACTATTCATCGTCTGTTCGCAACTAGAGCACCCATCGCTTAGAGACAGGCTACTTCCTCTTTGTTCTTCTCGATTGAGGGCGGATAATCCCAACACGGCGATGGAAAAAGACAACAACGTCAGTTCTTCTGACGTCAAGCTAGACTACAGAATACGCCTTGGAGAGACACTGGAGGTTCAGGATGGAGACAGCTTGGCCATATCACCATCGGAGTCCAGGGAGGTCTTGAGAAAGATCGATTTCTGGTCAGTGGTCATGAAAAACAAATGCCCTCGGGCTCTCACATGAAGTCCACCCGGCTGACCATACTCGGATATTAGCGTGATTCCATTGATGGGATTCTGCTACCTACTGCAATACATGGACAAATTGGCCCTTAGTTCGGCGACTCTGTTGGGGCTGCTGCGGGATTTGGTGAGAGAGAGGCACTGCCGCCAATTGCGCTCCCATTGAGCAGACCCGTGCATCATATTCCTTCTTGTTCTCAGAGGTTTTGCACGCGCTGACACAGCTCCTTCTATTGCCAGGACCTCCACGGCTCCCAATACTCCTGGTGCTCGGCCATTTTCTATTTCGGCTACCTCACGTGGAGCTGGCCCAGCTCCTACCTCATTGTCCGGTTTCCCACGGGGAAATACATCGCCATGACTGTGTATGAGAAATGTTTTCTGATTCCGAATTGCTGTCTACCTGCCCCATCCGCACCCGGCTCCCAATTATCCGCCTTCTGACCCCCTACATGCAAGTCCCAAGCGAAAGGCAACCGCTGATGCAAATAAATCCACAGGTGTTTATGGGGCGGCGTTCTCATGTGCCACGGTGCAGTTCACGACTTTGGGGGACTCATGGCGGCACGTTTCTTCCTGGGTGTGGGTGAGGCAGCCGTCGCCCCCGGATTTGCCTTGATCACAGGCATGTTTTACACGCGCAAAGAACAACCTCTGCGGTAAGCACCGTCAACTCTGCACTTTCCTCCTGGTCTCTGGAGCTGCGATTCCATTCCATTTGGTCGCTAGTAAAGATTTCTCCCCGTCTAAAGGACTGACGAGATTTTGACACACAGACAAGGTGCTTGGTTTGCAGGAAATTCGCTCGCAAACATTTTTGGTGGCCTGGTCGCATACGGCATCGGTCAGATCCAGACGTCATCCCTTGCGGACTGGCGTCTACTCTTCCTCATCCTCGGTGGTATTACTTCGGCTTACGCTTTCGTTCTATACCTGTTCCTCCCGGATTCGCCAGATAAAGCCGTGTTCCTAGACGAAAAGCAGCAGCAAATTGCTCTGAGGCGCACGATCGAGACCAAGACCGGTCTCCTGGACAACGATAACTTCGTTCCGAACCAGGTTATCGACGCCCTGACCGACCCGCCGCTGTGGCTCTTGGTTCTCTATACTGTCTCGGTCAATCTGGCCAACGGTGGATTAACCAGCGTAAGTCCCATCCTGCCTTGTTCTCCTGTCTTCCATCGTCCTTTCCGCCCCTTTGATGCGCCTTGACCCTATCCAGTGCCACTCACCTCTGGAATTGTGCGCATCCGTCGCGGCCTCTTGACGGAGAATGCTGACGACTGTTTAGTTTGGAGCACTTGTCATCAAAGGATTCGGCTTTTCAGACCTTAAAGCCCTTCTCATTCAGATGCCTATCGGGGTGTCGCAGCTCATTTTTCTCCTCTTGACTTCGAGCTTCGCCACTCTCCTTCCGTCGGCCCGGCTGGTGCTCATGATAATTAACACTCTCACCTCCATGGTAGGCATGACCATGGTATACGAATGCAAAGGTCGCGCGGCGCGTATGGCCGGGTTGTGTCTGGCAAGCGTCTTCGCGGCCAATGTTCCCCTTTCTTTGAGTTTGATCAGTTCCAACGTCGGCGGTTTCACCAAGCGGTCCGTTACGAGCGCAACCTTGTTTGTCGCCTACTGCGTGGGCAACATCGCGGGCCCACAATTCTTCCAGTCCAGCCAGGCTCCTAGATATCCAGTAAGTCCACCCCTTCTCCAGACATACATTTCGTCCCACAACACTCGGGTCATTGAGATATTTGTCTTCCGATTTAGACCGGCCTCAGGGCATCGCTTTCGGGGTTAGCCTTTGGCACCTGGTTTCTTGCTTGTCTTCGTGTGTATTACCTCTGCGAGAACGCACGAAGGAACAAGCGTTACGGACAAAGCCAGAGACTGAGCGTGCATGAGGCACTGCGAGAAGATCTGTCGGGTAAGACGGACCAGCAACTGCCTGATTTCCGATATGTGATTTGATAGCGGGTGGAAAGGGCAGTGGTGATCGTCTCGAACAAGATGGCTTCCTGTTAAGGCAGATGGTGGGGGAGGAGCCTCTTAGTTGCCGTGGTGGAGGATTATAATGTACAGCTTGTGTGTGGAGAGTTCGCCGTAAAAGTACTGTACAGTGTAGACGCCAGGGAGGCAGAAAGATACTTTCATCCCCCACCCAGGGACCTTCACTCCCAACATCCCTGTTGGTAGTCCACAATGCCGATCCCGGTGTAGGATAAACCTCGACGGCTTCGAAAACTATTATTATCGTCTAGAAAGCTACTTTCCCTTCTTGCCTTTTGCTCGAGCGGTCGCCCCCGTCGTTTCTTTTCCTGCAATCTTTTGCAGCAATGAAGCGCACAGGCTGGCACAGGTTTATTCTGCTGCGAGCTGTTGGGACTTCGGCCTTGGGCTTGCGCGGACAACCGATCAGCGCAAGATATGGGGCCGGTGTAACAGCTGGGGGGCGTCAGCGTCCGTACACCAAACCTCCAGTCATATTCGGGACGCAAGCTTTCCGCCAGTTCAGCACAACACCGCAGAAGCCATATACCGATGATGAAGATGCTGGCACGTACAGTGAAGCGGACTACGAACACGCGGTCATCTCAACGTTTGATCTCTTCTCTATCGGCATTGGCCCCTCGTCTTCTCATACCGTCGGACCCATGCGTGCTGGCAACATCTTCGTAGCGGATCTCGTGGAAGCCAATCTACTGCACCGGGTCAACAAAATCCGCGTTTCCATCTACGGTAGTCTGGCCCTGACCGGTGAAGGACATATGACCCCGTCGGCCCTCCTTCTCGGCCTGGAGAGTGCTGACGTTGAGACGGTCGACACTTCATACGTGCCGAAGCGGTTTGTTGAGATTAAGTCAAGCAAGAAGCTCATTCTGGGCCATGGGCTTCCGGGCCACAAGGGCAAAGAGGTTGCCTTTGATTATGAACGGGACTTCATTTGGGAATGGGGAAGGAAGTTGCCCCTACACAGCAATGGTATGCGTCTTATGGTATTCGATGCCGAGGGCGACATGTTGGCGACCAACGATTTCTTTAGTGTTGGTGGCGGCTTTGTCGTCAACGGAGCCCTTTCCAACAATGCGGCTTCCAACCCAGAGGACCCGGACCCGCCAAATAGCTCTTCAGAAGAATCCCACGATCTGGTGGCTCAAGATTCAGGACATCATCCGGCTGATCTAACCGAAAACATGTTTTACAAGGAGATCCGCCGAGCAGATGCCGCTGGAGATCGGAAAACCGGGCCCGAGATCAAACTCCTTGACGGTTCCGGTGTGCCTGAGATTGGTTTGGAGTCGGCTCAAAGCGCTCTGTCTCCCACGTCGGCTGGTCCCACAGACATTCAGACCGAATGCGACCGCACTACTACCTCTCATCAGCCTCGCTACCCTTTCCGCGATGCTGCCAGCTTGTTACATCTGTGTCACAAGCACAACCTGACTATTGCGCAACTGGTGTTTGAGAACGAAAAGAGCCACGGGTATTCTGAGGAAGAAATATATCGGAAACTCCTCCGGATCTGGCGAGTCATGGACGAAAGCATCCTCGAAGGTGTCCAGGCTCCGCTCGACTCAACCCTTCCAGGCTCGCTGAAGCTGCATCGACGAGCCCCTGCATTGTACAAGCGGCTCACGAGAGGTCTCTATCCTTCACACACTCAAGGAACTCAAGATGTCGAACGCGCGGGATCTCCTTCTTCAAAGACGACCAATGTACCCTTACTCCACCCGACAGCCACAGTGGTGACTTCGGCACACAATCGCATCGGCCTGCGACGCGCTCCCCGTGTCCATGGTGCCCTCGATCATCCCATCCCACCGCCTCCCTCGCGCCGCACCACTTTCCCCGCCATGGATTACCTGACCGTTTACGCCATTGCTGTCAACGAGACCAACGCGGCCGGGGGACGAATCGTCACGGCTCCTACAAACGGCGCTGCTGGCATCATCCCTGCCGTGCTCAAATACACAATTGAATTCATCAGCGACGATCCAGAACGCGACGTGCCGACCTTCTTGCTCACAGCCGCGGCCATTGGCATGCTTTACAAGCGGGGCGCGACCATCTCCGCGGCCGAGGGCGGGTGCATGGCAGAAGTAGGGGTCGCCTGTTCAATGGCCGCAGGCGCCTTTGCGGCGTGCATGGGTGCCAGTCCAGAGGCTATCGAACAGGCTGCTGAGATTGGTATCGAGCACAACCTGGGCCTCACGTGTGACCCCATTGGTGGTCTTGTCCAGGCGCCTTGTATAGAACGAAATGCTCTGGGTGCCATCAAGGCCATTTCGAGCGCCAACCTTGCTCTCAGCAGTGAAACCGGCACACAGAAGGTGAGACTAGATGATGCCATCCGGGCCATGCGCCTGACTGCCAGGGGGATGCGGAACGAGTTCAAGGAGACGAGTCTGAGTGGATTGGCCACGAGCGTGCCGCTTCATATCCCAGTCAGCGTCCCTGACTGTTGAGTGGATCCAAAGCTCAAGCTTTCGGGCATTGCTTTGCCGTACTTGTCAACATGTGCACTGTGGTCAAAGCGATAGAAAGAGGTCATTGCTAGGTATGCAATCTCAGATGCGCAAAACTCCTTGCCCCTGCCTGTGGCCTGGCCATAGCCGCCTCAAGACGAGGCGGTATCTCAGGTGGTCTCTGGTCTTGAACCATTGTCCGGACAGGAGTCCACAAAGTCTAGGGTAGCGGCGTCACGAGTAGTAGAATGACATAGACGAGGAAACGTGCGCCATGCCTGGCTTGACGGGCTGCACGATGCCAAAGGACCGCCTTACCACACATGGCCTTGTGCGCCGTCGTAGAGCTCATATCGGCTGAAGCTTCTCTAGCTGGCAGCCGACGTGTGGCCCTGAATCAAAAACAATCGCCGGAAGTTGGCTGAAGATGGGGGCCGTCTGACAGGGACTTTTGCCAACCAGATTTGCCAGTGTAATTGCTGCTTCATATTGTGGCCGATGACCATCGCCGTATCCAACCAAGTATTCTGCGTGGCGGGCATGACCTTCCGAGAAATGCTGTTGATTCGAATGTTTCCTAGTTCCTCCCGCCACAACTTCCGTATGAGCAACTAAATAGAGGATTCTTTCCTGCTGCTACTCGATCCAAGACTGGATCTCGACATGTTCTGGGCTGGGTGGGTGGACACCGTCATGGTAGGTAGCTCCCTTCACACCATCTCGCTGTCACAAGGGAAAAGCCGATCATGCATTATTTGCCGCGAGAAGAAGAAAAAAAGAAATACACCAGAAAAATAATACCCGCGCCAGCCACATGGTGCCGCGCGGGAACAACACAGCGATGTGATTATGCCATCAGGGAAGGGGCTTGTCGTCTGCGGTCCCGAGGAGTGAGAGACCCAGACCCGCACAGGACCCGGGCGAGTCGTCGATCGTCTATAATCTGTTGGGCCTGTCAATCGCGTGAGACGTGAAGGAATTGAATCAACACCATGGCCTGTAGTAATACAACCTTGCCAAGGCCTTATCAAGCCTCGTCGTCATTGCGAAGTTTTGGCAACCCGCTTTTCTGACCTGTTGCCCTTGAATCACCGTCGCATGTTACCCCCTCTGCTCTGGGTACATAGCCTCCTTGTCGACCAAGGGGCTGAATGCCATTTTCAGTTCAATGAAGGAAGTGTCATGAATCAACTGGAATGTGATCTTTCGATTCGAAACTAGAGAAACCGTATGATGGATATGTGTATCAGACGTTAGGGTCAAAGCCAGCAGAACGAGCATCTTCGTAAATGGTAAATCCTAACCCTCTTCGCACGCCATGGCAGTCTCACAACAACCCGCTCTCCATATTACCGAGATCTCTCCCGTGAGAGGCAGTCTGGAGGTGTCTGTGGCTCGCCCTCGTTCTTAAGATCTTTCCGTGGTGTGGGAAAATGCAGCTGGAGTGAGCGGTGCCAAACGCAGGGACGACCGGCCTTGTCACTCGTCGACTCGTGCAACCACCCCCTTCGACCCCCTCCTCAAGCTCTGGCAGGCTTCGGTGGTCCGGACGATTGGCTCCCAGGCCACAGCATCCCCAAACCTGTCCACAGTTAAGCCCGCACGCCCGGGATGTTTGAATCCGGCCTCAAGCTGTTTCTCGTAACTGACGAGCCTCAACCTCTCACTCTCCGCTGGCGTCAGCTTCAAGTATGTCTCCACCCCGATGGCATGGATCGCAAGGCAAAGCCACACCGACATGCCGAACGTCAAGTGGAACGAGGCTGTGACGAACTCGGGACCGAAGCCGTGGACATTGGCTTTGATGATTACAGGTTCACTCGAGTTCGGCGCCGTACACGCGGGATATAAATATGGTGTGGGGTTTCCCGCTCCGGCAGGCGCGCCGTACAGGGTGTATTGCTTCCAGATGTCCTCGCAGGTCTGCACGCCGTACCAGTGGCCCTGTTGGTGTTGGGCGATGAAAGTGTTGGCGGCCATCTGCACCAGACGCACCGAGATGACGCTGCCCGCGTACACCCAGGTGCGGATCATCCACGCGCGGTGTTGGTCGATCTGCAGGCGTTTGATATTGATGTATGCCAGCACCACAGAGACTGTGGTCATCGTTCCCAGGAGGCCAAGGCCGGCTTGAGTGGCCGGTGACCCTCCCCCCGCGATGGGAATGACCATAAAGGCGCCCGCATTACCGGTCAACAACAAAAGAATGATGGCGTAGCCGTTCACTCGGTGGAACAGCAGGAATCTGTGCCTGATCACAGGCACGAACTGGAAGCAGACCAAGAACCCTGCAGGGAGAATGCAGGCGAGGTGCATGATGATTCCGACTCGTTTGGATCCTGATTGATAGTGGATTGCATCTCCGGGGATGGTTTTCTGTATATCATTTGACGTTAGTCTCAAATTAGGAGTTCGCGTAAAGGGCTCTTTTTGAACAGGCACCAGGCCAGGATACCTTCAAGAAGATACCGTCAACGTTCAAGTATTGGAACCGTGCGAGGACAAATCCAATGAGGGCCCCGACGAGGATGGCGAAGAGGACAAAGTTGTACCCCCTTTTGAAGCCAAATGGGTGGTAGATCCGCCGTCCGAACGTGAGGCAGAGGTGGCCAGCTTTGAGCCTGGGGCTGTGCCCTGAGGACTTATGAATATGATTAGACACTGGCATTTTGAATGCTGATGCTGGTTCACAATCTGTGATGGCCGAGGGTAGAAGGGCGGGAGTATATAGTGCGCCAGGGCGAATGATTGCTTCGAGTAAAGTCTCGAACCTGTGAAGTTATGTGTGGACAGGCCGTCGAAACATTCTCTGCTTGGGCATGGCCTTCGCTTTTATAGACGAACAGTTAATACTCAGAAGGTGTTCACTCTGCGTGTTTCGCAAACCCGTCTGAAAACAGAGTGACTCGGTACATGCTGATGCGCAGTCGCGCGTATTCGCGAAGAGCTTTTTGCCCTGCCTAGCACGTGGTCCTAGCAGGATTACATGGCACCTAGACGGGCAGCCTGACGCACTTTCTTCTTAGGAGCATGCAGCATCCGACAAACGAGGGTCGAGAACTGGACATAGCCTGGAGGGCTGCGCATATAGTTCAAAATCTTGACAGCAAAACGGCAAGGCAGCAGAGAGGGCTGGCGTAGGACCATCGACACTAGGCCGTTTCCACTCGAGTTTGCGAAGCGAGTTTCTGCCCAAAAAACACCTAAACTGCTTTCGCTCGACCTTGCGAAACTATGCTCGATCTGGAAGTATCTAAACCGTTGGACAATGAAGCTGTTGTACAGGGAGGTCCTTGAAATCTCGCAGTTGTAGGGTATCACGTTGCAAGTAAATGACCCTATGTCATACGTACATATCCAGAATCCCCCATCTGGCCAACTCTCGTATATAAAAAAAAAGTGGGTGGGTTCGGTCCCACAGAGGAAGTAGATCGTATAGCAAAGTACAAAAGGCCAGACCCATTGTCGCCGTAGCACATAAAAGCTGTTATCATCATACCTGATCCTGCGCTCTTCGCTCCAGCCATGCTCGGCCCCTCGTCATGTGATATGTTGGCGCAGAGACGATGGAAACAGATACCGTTGAACCGCTGCCCTTCAATGCTGAATATTGTTCAAAGGAGGGGTGTGGCGCAGAGGCATCATGGTGAGCCATCGGTCTCATGGTCTCCTCAGCCGGGGGAACGACATGCTTGTCTGCGTCTTGAAAGGAAGACTGTGTTCTGGGATTGTGCATAAAATGGCTATCTTCTGTCCCAGCTGAATTCCAGCCATTCGCAGACGAAAGGGCCCCGACTGTGCTCTGTGATGAAGAAAAAGATGCCATGGTCGGTAAGGGCTTTCGGCGAGGGACTTTATATGGCAGGTGATTTACGGTGGGGCTTGGATGTGCGAGAGGGCTCGACGGGCTAGATATCGTATGGGTTACTCTCGTTGACATCAACTTCAATCTCGAGGCATCAATCTCTTGTCGTTGCGTAACAGGACACTCATCGGTAGATACCGCGGGTTGATCGTCACTGAAAACCTCCGTTGATGTTGAGGATGTTTCACGGTATTCGCCACTGTTGATTATAGACTGGTGCTCCTCCTCGCCTTTCGCGCTTTGCTCCCGGTAGATACAATTCTGTGTTGTCGCGAGGGCAGTTTCGGTGTTGTGTCGCCAGATCTCAGCAGCCTCGACTTCCAAACTTAGTCGACAGTCCAAGCTCTTGTGTAAGTCGGTCAGTGCTTTTCCCGTGGCTGCTTCGCAGTCAAGCGCTCGACCAACCCGTTGTAGATAATCTGTGTGTGACGCATATCCATTGTTGATTGTCCCCAAACTGTTTATCTTGCGCAACTGAACTGTACCTGTCTCCATCGTACGAGGATGCTCAGAGGGCCGAACTTGGAGACGCGGTTCAGCTGCTTGTTTGGATCCGCTATGGACATCCCGCTGATTGTCATTGTCACGACAACCTGACGGTCCACCAAGAGAGTGGGGGCTATGATCTGTCGCAGGACGTCTTCTTCGGTTCAGGAATTCGCTGAGCTCGAAAGATAATTCTGGACTCGGTGATTTACGTTGTTCGCACGTATATAGGGTCTCCATGGCATCATTCAGAGGCCGACTGACAAGTGATAACTGCTGCGAATGATCTGTCGTCCCAGATGAGGCTTTGGTCGACCATTTCAATCGTTGCAGAAGGGATGAATCAGGATTCCATTTTGGGCGAACACCGACACTTTCAAGGGCTGGCTCTGGCAACTTGATGGCAGCAGCGGTGCCGTCTTTTGTGTCCTGGATTGCATTGTCAATGCGATCCTCTTGACAAGCACCCAAGTCGGCAGAGAACAGCTTTTGCAGTCTGGGGTGGAGGGAAACTCGATCATTCGCCTGAAGCACCGCATCAAGATGCACATTAGAGCGTTCAACTGATATACAAACACCAGACTGTGCGACAGATGACCCTATCAGAGACATGTGCGTCGTATCCAAGTTACCGAGATCGGACAGATGAATCACTTCCAGCCTCTCGGCAGATGACACTGCTTCATTTCCGGGTGACCGGGTCAGGGAATCTGCGCAATGCAGGTGTGGCCTGACAACAAATGGTCTTTGATTTGATACTCGTTTCAAATGCACGAACCTTCAGCCACACACCAAATGGTTGCAGTCCGGGAAATTGAGAGAGCCTTGGAGAAGTGCAAAATGGGGAGGAGAATACTCGCACGAGCACTCGCAGGTGAAGCTGTCAGGTCTAGGCCAGCGCTTGGGCTGCGCTGTCATCGCCAATAGTTAAGCGCCCTGTGGACGCTAACCTGGTCGCCTACCTCTTCATGTTACATCGGCAGAATAGCGGGCGTGTCGGAACCATGGGTTTCACGGCTGTGATCATCACGGTCAAGCCTTGCCAGGGTATGTATGTTTGAAAGGGTGGTGGGCCAGCAGTCGACGATCACCTATAGACAGCCAGGTCAATGTCGAAACCGCACCGGCGTCCATCACCGAATTGCGAACTACGGCGCTGGTTCGCTGAACCCCCACGGAGCACCCCGGCACTCGAATGCTTCCCAGCGTGACGAGGCTCACTTGCACTGTCGCTATCTAGGGCGCGGGCGCACTAGCCCATATCCCTAGGATGTTCGCATGTTACCTGCAAGTAGGTACTCCTGCAGTAGTGGAACAAGTAGTCCCGGATTTTCGCGCCGGGGCGGAATGGACGTGCCGTGGAGCGAGGAGAAAGATAGGGCGAACGTTCATCTGACCACAGCCCGACCTCTTCTGTGCAAGCCACATGCAAGCCCCTGCACCACAAGAAATTGCTCTAGAAGACTTCCCCCCTCCCCCCCCCAAAAACCGCGATGGTTAAAACTTGTCATGCCAGCCTAATCGAGGCTCAATCAGGTGTATCGGGGACGCAAGTTGGTGTACTTCCTCGTCCGTCATTTTGTAGAGCCCTGGGAGTACGGCAACCTGTCCTGGTCTATTCTTGGTCGCTCCTCCCCTGTTTCCAGCTTCCCATTGCCACTGGAATGAAGCAGGCTGTGAAAACAACATGATCCCCAAGTCACTGGCTCGTTGCATTATGCCAACAATGCTTTGGAAACGGGCATTCTCCGCCGAGCGAGCCCAGGGCTCGAAAGCGATGCACAACTTTGTCGCAGCAGCAGTGATTCTTCGATCACGCTCTACTCGATAGGCCTCGTCACGCTCTGGCTCTCGCCTTATATAGGCGGATATGACTCGCCAGTGGGCAAATGCTTGTGCAAATCCTATTAATTCCTAGTCAGCCACACCGACTCATCCAAAGACATGATTTCTCTTACCTTGCTTTTCCGGTGCAGTCGACGAAGGTTCCAAAGCTATCATACTTCCGGGTAAAAACGAGTCGCCTGAACCTTTCTCGAAGTCAATCCGCGACAGGATCAGATTGGCAATGCAATGTTTGATCAAACAGGTAGGTCTGCGAGATGTCCTGATGAGATTCGAGACAGAGTCAGGCAGATGACTAGAGTCCAAATTTCGCATCTCCGACTCAGCTGCTCGGCTGATAGACACATTGGTTGCGTCCTGGTAGAAGTTCTCGACGTGCATCTCAATTTGATCTAGGGTGCGACTGGCCATACTGCGGACAGCTTGGTCAGATTCGGACTGTGGAAGGTGCCTTTCCCATGCTCGTGTCTCTGCCACGACCACATCTTCATTGCTGCCGACTGGATCAGAACCCCCTTTTTCAGACCTGCGAGAGGTCCCAAGGTTTCTTCTGTTACGCCTTCGATACATGAGAAACGCGGCCACGCCGACAAGTAGGGCACCTCCGATCCCGCATCCCACTGCTGCTCCTGCCAGATCAGCAGTACTGTAGCCCTTGCTGACGATGGGCGACTTGGTTTGTGTAGGCTGAGCAGACACGGGACTGGTGGCAGAGGATGAAGAGCCTAGAGATGTTGCAAACGAAGCTGGGGAGGTCGACAACGATAGAGAGCTTAAAGATGGGGTTGGCGATGCTGAGGGTTGCTGCGATATAGATTTAGTCGGCCCTGTCAAAGACGCATTCGGAGGAGTGCCAGTAAACGCTGCGCTGACTGTGGCTGGGCTGCCAGGGTTGGGATAAATCGTGAAGTCGCCATTTCCAGTAATGATTCTTGACTCCAGAGGGGCTGCGATTGAGAAGATGGCGGTAAAAGTGACGGTTCCTGGCGGTGAGCTTCCGTAATATGCACTCAATGCGGTCCAAGTGACAAGACTTGTCGTGGTTGGAAGAGAGATTGACCCTGAGACAGTCGCTCCGGCAACGAGTGCCACGTTTGCAGGTACAGACACAGGAGCAGTAAAGGTGATAGCTGCCATGGTCTCTAGAAGAGTCGAGCAACGACTCTAGAAACAATGATTCTCGCACACCAGTATCCAGTGAGTGAAATCGAATAGAAGTAGAGGCCTCAGAAGGGATTGAAAAGGAAGGAAAGCTTCTGTAGTTGCTGATAGGCAGTTACAGCAGATACTCGTGCCTCCCTGGGACGAAACATGGTCGCTGGCCTCCACTAGTAATTGGAGTGGATGGTCCTGGCAAGGCGTATGCACAAGTAGGGCCAAATCTGCCTTGTCGACAAACTAAGGCGAGACTAAGGGAGGAGATGAGCAGAGACCCATGGGCTGAAACAGAACAGGGATCCGTGCAAGGGATTAGGGCGCATAAGGTCTGCCGGCGAGGGTTGGGCCCGTTGATAGTTCCTCGAGCAAACATGGGACGTAGATAAAATTTCTGGCCGCACAGGCGATGTTGATTTTCTTCGTTTATGACCTTCATTGCAACAAGCTCGTCGACGTCTCCAGGCTCGTGCTCCTTCGGAAATGGTGTCCACACCAGATGTCATTGTTGGAATCGATTTTGGAATGACCAGTACAGGGGTCGCCTATTCTGCCGGCCCTGAATGGATGAGGCCAGAGACAATTCAGAATTGGCCTGGAAACCTCAGAGGAGGGATAGCAGACAAGGTCGACTCTAAAATCGCCTATGATCCAAATGGTGATATCGTATCCTGGGGATTCATGGTTGACTCCTGTCGCGTCGGGGACAACGTTCGAGTGGAAGAGCTATTCAAGCTGTATCTGGATCCCGATTTCAAGGATCCATACGAAGGAGCGCCTTCCGTCCAGGAAGCTCAGAGGTGGTTCACAGACTACCTGTCGCGTCTCCATCAAGCGGTAGAGCGCCATCTGCGAGACACCATTCCGCGATATGATTCAAAACGTGTCGAGTTCCGGTTTAGCGTTCCCACAACTTGGAAAAATCCGGCCATGATCGCCGAGACAAAGCAGCTCATTCACAAAGCAGGATTCGGTCGACGCAGTGCGAGAGAAACAGTCGAGGTCAGTTTGACAGAGGCAGAAGCTGCTGCCGTGTATGCATCAAAGCAGCAATATTCTTCTGGGGACGTGTTTCTCGTGTGTGATGCCGGTGGAGGCACATCAGATGTCAACATTTTGAAAGTATTGGCTTCAGGGATAGGAGAGACGGAGCTCGAGCCTCTATCGTGGGTGGAAGGTCGAGCCATCGGGTCAACATTAATCGATTACCGAATGGAAAAGCTGATCATTGAGCGTTTGGAGCCGATTCGGGAGCACCTAGTATTGAAACCGGAGACGGCGGCGTATAGAATGCTAAGGGAAAACTCGAGGTTCGAAAGCTTCAAATGCAATCTCGGTGACGAGGCAATGGATTTGCCGTCATTGAGACTGCCGATACCGGGTTTGCCATACGGCACAAACTTTGAATTTGTCGGTGTTGAGGACTCCCAGATGATAATCATGAAGGAAGAAGTCCAGGCAATTTTCGACGACCAGGTGGAGAAACTTACCAACTTGATCGACGAACAGCTGACGCATCTGCAAACGACGAAGCCTACGGAGCAAGTCGCCTATATGGTGTTGTCTGGTGGGCTTGGAAGTTCGCCGTACCTCCAGAAGAGACTCACAGCTCGATACCAAGGCGGAACGACTCAGTTCCCAAACGCAAAGGATCTGCAAATTCTCCGAGTTCCCAAGCCTCAACTGGCGGTCTGCCACGGACTAGTTCTTGACCGGGTTCAGCAGATCAAAGCAAATCGATCCGTTTACAAGGAAAGATACTGTCGAAACTCATACGGGGTCGTAGTGAGGCGAGAATACGACCCCAAGTGCCACCTTGGGCAACCCGTTATCATCGACCCCAGAGACAACAAAATATGGGTTGAAAAGCAGATAGACTGGTTCGTTGTAAAGGTAGGTCCGGATGAAACTTCCACTAAGATTAAGCGTGGAGGCTTAAGGGTTGAGCAGGGCCAGAAAGTTTCTGTACAAAATGGCGTCAAGCAGCGGTACTCGATGAAAATCCAGCCAGGAAGCGAACGCTTGCCCTGGCAGTCTCAAATTGTCATGTCGAGTCTACCGCCAGATCAACTTCCCAGTAGTTTGAACGACCCTGGAGCACAGCCTGTATGCAAAGTCGAATCTCAGCTGCCTCAAGACATGAAACGGAAGAACCGACACTGGTACAATGTCGGTCCCGAGTACCTTCGTGCGGAATTCGAGATGCAAGTGCTCATTGGGCCGGCTGATCTTAAATTCCAAACTCTGAGTCGAGACGGGGTTATGAGTAGGGATCATGAGAGCATTGACGTGGAATGGGTCTCATCCACCAAGGAGGCGAGTCAACCGTTCATCGCGGAGTTGGAAGGATGCGACAGCCCTCACGTAGCGCGGAAGGGTCAGCGATGGAGTCAGCTTAAACTTGTCAATCGGTGATGGTTTCGAGTCTCGGATGGGATACCTGTGTCTTTGTTAGATATTACCGTGGGTAAAGTCGACCTATCTGCCAACGAAGTCTGATGGACCTTGTGCTTTGAGACCTTTCCGTTTCATGGCCGGAATATCGTGCGGCGAGAAATACACTTCAACCCGCGGGCCGGAGCACGAGGGCAGGCCTCTCCAGGAAAATTTAATGCTAGTCTCCGAGACCACAAAACAGAAGTTACACCAAAGCCAAACCAAGCTTAAACTCAAGGTTTATAAGTGGTTGCACGGAAATCTTTGGCCATGAGTTTTCGTAGATGCGCGCTGAGGTAGGTGAGGAATATCTCAATGAGTATTACCTCGTTTGGTATATTGGTATCACTGGCAGTGACATCCTTGTCGACGGTGGAGCAATCGCCGGACAGCGATGGGGTGCAACATCAGCCCAGAGTGTGACTGATGCTGGCCTCACCGTGTAAATGCCCTCATCTCCAGCATTGGCCCATCGGAGACACCATGTCGTGGGCTACCTGCCGGCGGTGGCGAAGCAAAGGGAGCACAGGCGGAGATGTAAGCCAAGAGTGCTGGTGTATATAGTGCCTTTGTATCCATTCACAATACTAATATTTCCAACTACTAATTCATCTCTTTTGTCGGATACTGCGCAAAGCCCAAGTTCGTGTTATTCGATCCCGCAGGAGACCAAAGGAGAACTTCCACCAACGCTGCAATCACACTGCCAGCCTTTGGAGGTAATGTATTAAATATCTTCCGATTCCGAAGGATAGTTGACCAAACCAATCACTCACTTCGAGTTTGGGCAAAGTGCTCCATTGAGTTATGTGCATCCGCATCATCCTGTGCTCCGCGACTTGATCGGGGCTTAGGCTTCAGCTCTGAATATGCCGCCAGTACATAGTAGCCACGATAATACTTGTCTAACAGGTAAACATCGATCATCCTCCTCCTGCTTGTGCAAGGCATAGCACCATCACAGCGAATGTTCCTATACACAACCTTCCCTACTGGAGCTGACCCGACAAAGCCGCGGAGAGATATTCGCCCACCGGCAGTCCTTAGAAGGAACCCCGTTTCATTGGCCGCGTCATGGTCCCAGGGTTTGTGAGAGAACAATCCAATGTCGTCGAGATTAACAGGGTTGATCTTCTCTCCGCTATTGGCCAAGCCTTGATCATGTCCTCGAGGTATGCCACTCGGGCTGGCGGCTGGAGCTAGCGGGTGTCAATGTTGGTAAGCTAAGCTACATTCATAGGGGAAAAGGGAGGTGGCTTTTGGGAGAGTTAGCCGCTTGTACGTTCTTAGGCATCTCCCCACTTGGCTTGAGCATCCCACTGGCCAGAGAGCCTCGCCACTCATGCCGATATTCTGCGGCAGAATACATTTCGATTCAAAATATGCCCCCCGTACACTGATACTCATAAGCAGAGACAACCCTTCGTTGCAAAGGCCATAGTTGTCATACTCCCCTCTACGACACATCCGAGCTTTTGCTACCCTAACGATTCCTCGGTGTACAGATGGCTGTTTTACAAACTACTCAGCTCGAACGACTAGACGGCAAGGACCCGTCTACAACGTTCGACAAAGTTGTTGAGATCATCCGAAGGGATGGCGGTGTGATAATCAACGGGCTTCTCGAAAAAGAACACGCTGGACGTATTAGTGCAGAACTGAAGCCCGTCTATGAAGCCGACATCCCCGACACCTCTGGGTTTTTCCCGACCACCACTCGACGTGCAACTGGACTGCTAGGGGTGTCCCCCGGGTGTGTCGAACTCGCCACCAACAAACTCTGGATTGATGTTTGCAACGCGGTCCTCACAAGCACTTGTCAACCCTGGTATGGAGAGAAACGGGCAACATGGACTTCGAAGCCGATTCTGGCCGGTACCTTTGGGTTTCAGATCCACCCGGGTTCTCGCCAGCAGGACCTGCACCGTGACGATAGGTATGTATCTCAGACTTTCGCGACCTAAAGCTTTGGTCATACTTTTAGAACCTATACTTATTTACTCTCGGACATATATAAAGTGACTATCATCTCCCGCCCGGAGTAGACTCTTGTATGATGGGATGTCTTGTCGCCACGACCAGATCGACAAAGGAGAATGGCGCGACGATGATCATCCCTCGCTCGCATCTTTGGAGTCTCGATCGTGCGCCGAAGAATATGGAAGCTATACCGGCTGAACTTGATGTGGGCGATGCTTTAATCTTCTCCGGCAATGTGTACCACGGAGGTGGAGCCAACAAGACGAAGTATGCGCACGCCAACAAACCCTTCTTTTTTTTCTCTTCGCTTCTTGCAGTTCCTCGAAACTGATTTGGTGATTCTAGGGATGAAATCCGCGAGGTTGTAGGACTGTTCATGTGCAAGGGGTTCTTACGCCCAGAAGAGAATCACACCTTGGCTGTGCCGCCTGAGCAAGCTAAGAAGCTCTCCCCTCAGGTACAGCGCCTGCTCGGCTATGGGATCAGTCAACCGGCGGTTGGATTCTACAAGTATAAGGACCCAATGCAGATCTTGTTCGGGGTAGAGGACGACGAGACAGTACATCTTTGAGCAGCCGAAATGTAGAGCATCTGAGCAGCTAGTTATAGTACAAGAAACTCAAAATAGTCTTTGGTCCATTTCCGTGCAAAGCTGATCCAATTCCGCTGGCCTTTTTGCGCCCAAAACGCTCTGAGGAAGCAGAGCATCCTTGGCCGGTCGATGGAACAATATAACTGGATGACACGGTTCATGCGATGTTCGACCCAGTGTTGACTTGATACATCATCTATGCTTTCCACTCCCACGACAAATAATGGCCAAGGCTGGTCTTGAGCAAAGGAATCGGGGTTCTGAAAGGCGAGGAGCGCGTCAAGGAGACGACCACGCATGCTGCGGAGGCTATTAGGATCGAATTCGAAGTGAACGAGCGCTCGGTAGCTATATATCTTGGTTGAGTAGAAGTAGGCGTCAATGAGATGCTTCATGTCCTCCGCATGGGAAGTGGGATGAATAACCAACTGTGATCTCAACGCATCGACTGCCGATTTGTGAGCTTGCGTGAGGTTCAGTTGTACTTCTTCGAAAACCCTTCTGAGGTGGAGCTGGTACCCAGGATCATTGACAGTCTCGCAATATTGTCGCTCAATGCGCGTTATCTCTCTGAGAATTGATAGGAATGGCGTGAATACAGACACCGGTCGATGCATTCTTCCTAAGCTCCACTTCCCGTCCAACTCGGAATCATAAATGATGAACGTCGGCTGGGAGTTGAACCTCGTCAGAAGCGGCCAAGTGCTGGCGGTGAAGAGCTCTTCCGTCAGAAAAAAAGCCGTGGCATCATTAAAGGTCGCCAGCTGAACAATTGCTTCCATCCTCAGCGCGCCGTCTAAGTGCATCAGCCACGCACCTGATGTTGGCCAATGTACCTCAAGGTAGGACAGCAATAGAATGCTCGCGATAACGGCCTTCGCACGCAGTTGGTGACTCTCCCTAGAGGGGTCGGAAGAGAGCCGGAGAGCCATGAGATCTTTGGAAAGCAACGCAAAAGCGTGTTCACGATGTGAGGACATGGCTACCAGGTACTCGTCCCTGATCGTTGTCTGGTCATAGAAACGCGATCCTAGATTGCTCGCTGCAACACCAAGGATAACAGACAATAGAGACGGAGAATGTGATGCAAGTGGAACAACCAAGCAGCACCAGGGATTAGACCCATCATCATACCAGGCTAGTTGATGAGACACAACCTTGGTAAAATGATCTAGAAGTGCCCGGTCTCGAGTCGAATAGGTTTCAGATTGGAAAAGGGAGATTGGGTGGCAAGGCTGCGGCCCAAATCCCCGGGCCAGGTTATCTGGCGCAACACCAGTACCGCACTCGGATGGATCGCAGGCAAGTTGTGTGTGCTCTTTGGCTCCAGCCTCATGAGAGACGAATTCGCGACGGTTCGGTCCTTTGCTGACACTGCCACAAATCCACTTGAGAGATCTGCCGTACCCAGGACAGAGGAACCCGCGAGAGCTGCACTTATGGCAACGCGGGCGAGTCTCATCACACCGAATGCGACGACGATTACATTTCTTACACCCTAATCAAGAGGAGCGTCAGATCAAAAGATTGCCCAATCAATATGCTGATCACAACTTGCCAGAACTGCGTCTCATATTGAATTTGGGTTCCATTTTTTGAGACTGGAGGAAAGCAGAAATGATGAAATAGAACGCAGGATGTCTTCGTGTGTGACAATTAGAAGGTGACATCGACATTCACGATAAAGTGTGCGGGGTTTAATGGTCTTTCGAAAATGATAGAGAAGACAGAAGCATGGTGGAGTGGAAGCCGGTTCCTCTTACCTACAAAAGTATCTGCAACATCTAGCCTCCGAATCGCCGACGGAATTCTCCGCGAGCCCTCTACTATGTAATCAGAAGAGCCCAACTGGTGGCCGATACGAATTCTCTGCGGGGACATTAGAAGACCTGTTGCATGAAGAATTCTGCAGTGCCAAGCAAAACATCGGGTAACCTACCATTTAGGGCCAGGCTTTGAACCAGCGAGCAGGCAGCGAACCAGCTCGCCTTTGTGACTTCGGCGCCGAGGAGTCTGACAGCCGCCAGATCCTCGTGAAAGAAACCATGTCCTCCATTGAGTCACACACCTTCTATACTCCTCACTCTCCCACCCCGGCAGTACTACTAGGAGATCCATGTACCCCGTACTCCGCCCTCATATCTATGCTCCCACTATCTGGCCCCGTGAAATGCGGAGCGCCCCGCTGTGGCCGTCAAGGTAGCGTGAAATTCGAGCCATCGACATGATGATGACGATGATGATGAGGTCTTCATCATGGTAGTAGGCTGTTGGAGAGGGCAGCCTGGCAGGATGTCCTCGCATCGGTGACAGCCCGACTAAAAAGGGCAAACAACCGCCCGCCGTTCTCAGCGATTTTCAATCCACTCCCAACTACCAGATCCGTTGAACAACATGAAGGACTTCGTGCGAGCCACCACTGGCGTTGAAGTCGTGACTGAGCTTGCCGATCAAGTCAAGGGCAAGACATGTGAACTCTCCTTCCTCGACTGACCTCAGACCCATCCTTACTGACAATGGGGCAGTTGTCATTACCGGTGCAAGCGACAAAGGTCTCGGTGCAGAGACTGCCATCGCTCTGGCTCAAGCCAATCCCGCACATTTGATTCTCACGGCTCGCGCCCAAGCTCGAGTCGATCCCGTCATCACTCGAATCAAAGATGTCAACTCCTCCATCAATGCCACCTTCGTACCCATTGAGCTGGATGACTTCGACTCTGTTCGATCCGCCGCTGACACTATTAACAACTCAGTCGATAAGATTGATTGCTTGATCAACAATGCTGGGATCATGGCTGTCGACGAGTACAAGACAAACAAGAGCGGTATCGAACTGCAATTCGCGACAAACCACCTGGGCCACTTCCTACTTACTAGACTCTTGATGGCCAAGATTCTTGCGGCTGCTCCTGGTGCACGCATCGTCAATCTGACTAGTCTCTGCTACAAGATTGGTCCCGTCCGTTTTGACGACTACAACTTTACTGACGGCAAGGAGTATGACCCCTGGTCGGGGTATGGTCAAGCAAAGACATCGAATATCTTGTTCTCCCGTGCTCTTGCCGACAAGCTCCGGTCTCGCCAGATTCAAAGCTACGCCGTTCATCCTGGCGCGATTTTGACCACGAACTTGGGAAGGTACATTACAGAAGTCGAAAAGTCTCTGGCAAGCATCGACCCTATCGCCGTCAAGAACACCGGCCGCCATTTCATCATGGCCGAGGACGTTCCCAAACCCATCGAGCAGGGTATCACTACCACACTTATAGCGGCCTTGGACCCTAGAGTCGAAGGGAATAGTGGAGCCTACCTGGCCGACACGAAAGTTGAGCCAACGTACGAGTACGCCGAGGACAGGGGCAATATGGAAAGATTGTGGACATTGAGTGAGGAGCTTGTTGGTGAAAAGTTTGATATCTAGTTGGCGCAAGACAGGATAAGGAAAGTGCTTGGAAAGAATGGAAACACCGCGTGGACGAGGCCTGGTCTATATGCATTGAATATCTATCTTCGAAGTGCAACCCCCACAAAACACATCTTACTGAAACATTTTCTTGATTCCTGAATCAATCTTTTTATCCTTGGAGAGAGGATAAACTGTGAACACCGCAATGGTGAAATCCCAACTAGTGCGCTAAGCGAGGATGTCAATGTCGCAACGTAGATGCCGCGCCTACAATGCGCCTATGTGCGGCTCGAGGATGAGACTGCTGATTTTCCCACAATGAACGAAAGATGTCCTGACACTCCGGGGAGTATTGCATTTTCCATTCAGTATTGATGCAGGTAACTAGTAGCGCTGACAGTCTGGGCCGCTCTTCTCCTCGATCTTAGTCATTGGACGTTCTTCGGGATATTCGCGCGTCCAACCCTGTCTCAACCACAAAGAAAGTGATATGATGTGTTTCCCGTTTAGAGTGTAGATCAAGAGGGAATCATTGCTTCCCATCAACCCCCCCTCCCCCCAACTCTCATCAAGCGTCATCCTTTGCCCTCACTGCTGAACTTTGAAAACTTCCCACCCTCGGAACCCTTGATTAGGCATTTCTCCACACACTAATTAGCTTAGCTTCCCACCGGGACTTTCCGCTTCTGCACTGGTCAGCAATGATTAACCGAGTACGGCAGCAGTATGCGGGGCGCGGAAATTCAAGCCTACCGTAGAACTTTTGAGTACCAAAAGCAAGGAGCTCGGATGGAGATCCTTATATCGACTGACTTCGACCAAGTCATCCAAGGACCTAAGGCTCGCCCAGGCTAACAGAACACGACAGGTTCACAAGCGACAGGATGGTGCGGATCGCGCTGGCTGGTGGCACCGGCAGTAAGTCCACTGGATCCCATAACGCACTTTGCGTTGATACTGATTCGAAGCCAGATGTTGGACGAGAAGTTTTGGATGGGCTAGTGGCGAAGGGATCGCATGAGATCATTGTATTCAGTCGCTCCGTAAGCTGCTCGGATTCTTATTTCGGCGCAAGAAATTCTTTCTGACCCGCCGTTGCATCCTCTAGGATGCTTCCAAGCTCACCCTGCCAGGCGTTGAAACGGCTCAAGTCGACTATAATGACCAAGCGGGCCTCATCAAACATCTACAAGGCGTGGATACGGTGCTCTCTTTCATCGTGAGCCACCTCGACCCAGATGGCACGGCCCAAAAGAATCTCGTGGATGCCAGTATAGCGGCGGGTGTGAGAAGGTTTGCACCCAGTGAATGGGCGCTGTAAGTTTTCGTGTAGTCGTTTTGCTCAAGACACCAAACTTTACTGATCCTGGTCATTGGGCACAGAGGGAGCAACAGCGGCAACCCACTTTATAAAAGTAAAGATCTGGTACACGAATATCTCCAACAGATCAATAAGGACAAGAAAGTATGAAGAATCCTCACCACTAACAAAAATGTGATACTCAAGACAGTTCCTTTAGGTACTAGAATACTGCCTCTTCCAGCCAGGTCTGTTCTTGAATTACTTGGGCTTTCCCCACGCCTCCACCAAGCACGTTCAACTGTTCTGTACTCCGTGGGACTTGGAACATCGGCGCGCGATCATCCCAGCCGACGCCGACTTTCCACTTACTCTCACGACTGTTCAAGACATGGTCAACGTGGTCGTTGCGGCCATCGACTATAAAGGCGTGTGGCCGGAAATAGGTGGAATTAGCGGCAACACGTTCATGAACTCGGAATTCTTGATGCTGGCAGAATCGGTGCGCGGTACGGTAGATGATCCCCTTTGCGCGCCTGCCGCTAATCCCAGCCTTCTTCCGGCCGCAGGCTCCATGAAAGTCGAGGCAGTCCCCAAGGCCCAGCTCAAAGACGCCAGCTTCAATACCTCGTGGCTGCCCCCAGCCGATCATCCCGCCATCGCCCCGGAAATGAGAGTGGCCTTTGCGAAACAGATAGTGGCCGGCGTCTTGCAGGCAGCTTTGAAGGGAGGGTTTGGCGTCAGCGATGAATGGAATCAACTGCTTCCAGGTTTGCGCATGACGAAAGCGGACGATTTCCTGTTGGAGATCTGGTCGGGAAAGCCATGAGATGACAACCACATGAAACATTTCGGGGAAAATCTGGCTTCCCCGAGCCGTGTGAACAGTTGCTAGCCGAACATCAATAGAAGACTCCCAACATGAATGCTAGACAAATTGGCAAACAGGATAGATGTCGCGTGGAATTGGTCAATTCTTTTGTCCGTGGCCCTTAAGTCATTCCATCGTATGGTCATGCTGTCGACCCGCGCCGGTAGACATCGTGATCAACCCCTAATTCAATTTCGAGCAACGAGGATCTTGGGTTCCTTGGGCCCCTAATTCAGGCGCCCTGGTGGCGACTAACCATTAGCTATTTATTTCCCCCGAGATGAAGATGTAAATGATATCTGCAAAGCGTCTCGATATACCGCTTGTTCCTAGACCCCGAAGAGCCGATTCGATGATACATAGAGTGTTTTCCTTCACTTCGGCAGGCGATGCCACCAGGATCTTTTGGAAGCTTGACATAGTTTTGTGCCACAGATTGGAAGCCGGGCTGTAGGAGCCGCTTTCAGTGCGTAACAGACGCAATTCAGGAAGCTGTGTCAAATATTCCATGATCTCGTCGGGGGTTGAATTAACCGGCATTTCAGTTGCGATTATCGTGGAGGGAAGGTAGAGGATGTAGCAATACCAGCAAAGAGCGGCGGAAAACAGTATCCTTGCCGTATGGATGGCGGTAGAGGATCCCAGATTCGTCGAGACGACCAGGTTCTGGAGATACAGGGCGTGAAAAAGAGACCGTTTCGAGCTCAAGGTCGAGATCCATGACCGAACGTATTCGCAGACATCCGGGACGATGCTGTTGCGGCCTTCTCTCCCAACGGCCACTTCGAGAGTGTTTAGATCGACTGTCAAAGATATGAATGTGTAGTGCCACAGTATCCTTAAGGAGGTAGGAAGTTCAGATGGGGTCCCGGATTCTTCGCTTGCTTGAGAGAAAATTCCGGCAGAAGCATACCACTGGACGAGGTCGGCGCCCAGCTTCCTGTTTAGGCCCGATGACAGAAGATCCAAACGTCGAAATTCGCAGATGGAGGCTCCTATGCCAGAAAGGATCGCGTAGGCATTGAGCATGTCTGGCTGGTGACGATGATCGATTTGCAGAGGTCTTTCCGAATCAGAAACTGGTTCCCTGTGCTCTGATGGAAGGTTGTTCCGCCCATCGTTTCGCTTTTGCATTGCCCTGTATTTAGCCGCCCATGCCGCCGCTGTTGGAGCAGCAAATAGTTCCGCCGAGGAAGCGGTGGGCAGGGGCCGGGTGTTGTGGCGAAAATTGGGCTCTTGGTGAAATAAAGCGGCCAATTCGGCGTCTTGAATGTACAGGATAAGTGCGAATCTGAGGATAGAACATGTCAGATCCAATCATGCCCGCGACGAGTCCAATAATTATTACCTTTTCATCTCCTCATCACTCGCCCAAGCTCTCCATGCTCTATCAAGATCTCCTGGGGATAGATCATCAGCAAGGTCAAGAGGAGGCGTGTCATCGAAGAGTTTCAAATGCCGGGCGCTCTAGATCGGAAACGAATCAGCCGCTGTTCTGTGTTCGCCGGTCTGTACTTACGGCGATCATGCCTCCATGAAATGAATTCCCGATCATCCTATGGGCAGGCTCTCCCGATAAAAGAGCAAACGTCTGCCCAATTGCCGCCACCTTGAGGTTACTGCGCGCCTGTTCTAACTGCCTAGATACAATTCTTTCCCAAGGGAGTGTCATGCCCGATTTGTTCACACGTTCGAAAAGCATGCAACCCACTTTGGCAGCGTTGCCCGATTCCATTGTCAAAGTCCCGGCCGAGCATATTGAGAGGACTAATAAGGTGTTGTTTGGAGTTGCTCGGAATGTCGGACCATGGACGAGAGGCAGCATCACATTTATGCGTGTAAAAAAGAGACGGATGCAGACATTCTGCTGACTTATGAGACAGTGTGACCTGATTGACTGTGGGACATCACTTACCAAGAGGTCAATCGATGGCAGAGGCTCGTTGCGGACAGGAGGCAGCAGTGTAGTTGCCATGTCCGCACGATAGGCCTCATCGATGTCGCCCCTAAGATCGGTCACCTGCTTGGATGATGTTGCATTCGCACTCGTCCCAAGATCAATGTCATTTTTTGCTACCGGAACATACCACACATCTCGCAGGTCCCTTATATGTGGGGAAGCATCGCCCTCCCTTGCAAGTTGACCGTCCAGCGGCCCTGATTGGAGGCCTTTAAAGTCGAACAGCTCGAAAAACTCATTCTCCAAAAGCCAGTCCGAAGTATCCAGAGAGTAGTCTGCATCACCTAAACCGCTCGCGCTAGTCAGTGGACTGCAACTGCTATTTTGGTGAGCTTCAGAGAAGACCCCCAGTTCCGGATTCTGTCCCGTAGTGCCTAGAGTTGTTGTAGCCTCCGAGCAGATCGAGCTAGCAAGAGATCTGAAATCAACATTAGTGTTTCCCGCGTCAGTCCCGGAGATGGCTTGGTTCGAGCGTTCCTGGGAGGGCCGAACAGAGGAGGACGCTGGGCCGTCGGTATCAGTACTCAGATTGAAGGTCGTGGTGGAAAAGGCTCGGTGGATGTGGAGTGAGGTTGTGGTGTCTACTAAGTCCACCCCTTCTGAGACATTAGGTACACTTGCTGAGCTTGGGCCATTTGGATATGAAGGGCGTTGGCAAGAACCCTGGACACCTTGATCATTTACAAACGCATGTCGCCATCTTCGTGGGTCCGATTCTCTCTCGTGGATTTTGACGTGGCGTAGCAGAGTGTCTCTGTGTCAGGTCAGCCATCTCCACGACGACCATGCTTTAAAAATCATTCACGATTGTTTACCGGCGAGGGTAGTGATGCCCGCATATATTACAACGAAATGGCTTTTCCTTTGTGTGGGATCGGAGGTGGCGATTGTAGTGGTCGTTTTTTGCAAACTCCTTGAAGCAATAAGGGCATGTTCGTCGCTTTGCCAGGCTATGGGGTGAAGTCTGTCGTTGCATTCTCACACGTTTTGAAGAAGGAGAAAGTCCCGATGGCCTTCTGAGCTGCAGTGATACTCAAAAGAGGCGCGGCGCGAGACCCAGGTCGCATTGTGTTCCGTCGCAAAGCGCTCAGTTCTATAGAAGGCAGTTTTGAGGTCAAAAGAAGCACTTCGAGCCGCGGCAGATCGAGTTTGATTCTCGGCCTTTGTCGGTCAACCTTACGAAGCCGGCTTCAGGTAAGGTTTTCGTCTGACCCGCATTTCGCGGGCCCCTCGTATGGTGCTCACATCCGTGCACGCACTGACTTTGCACCCATGTGGATAACCTTCAGACATGTTTGAAAGTTGATTGTAACATGGCCGGCGGTGAGACGGAAGGCTGAAAGGACTTGATATGTCGTTCATTTTCTCCCGGGCTTGCCTGCCCGCACAGAAGTCCGGAGATGCGAGTCTATCGATCTCGGTTGACGCTCCTTACCCACCTTGGTTTGAAAACGACTGCAGAGTCGATAGCGTCGAGACTAGTCATCGACATAAAGAGGAAGGGGAACTTGTCAGCACGAGACTGCTCCTTTCTGTCCAAGCATGCCTTACATAAATCCTTCCTCATCGAGAGCTGCTTACTCAGCGAGACTCACCATTGCACAGAACAGAGTACCAGGTACAGTAGGATAAGGCTAAGCCTTTAAGTGAAGCCGATTCCAAATGAAGTTAGTTACCTCCGCATCTCGCCCGCATTCTCAGGCGGGGCCTGGGGAAGTCGCGAGACAGAGACGGGGGAAAACTATCGAGACCAGCATGGCCTTGGAGATTTAATGATAAATATTCGCGGACATCAGCCTGCTGTTCGTGCGAGGGTAAGATATCAGCTGGCTTGGTGACCGCCAATTCAAAATATCACTTGTTCTCCATCACCTTAAAACCCATCTCGCAGTATTGCTCAGATGTCAACCCTCAAAGAATACGTCCAAGCTGAGGGCAACCACATTGAGACCGCGTCCGTCGACCACGATCAAGCTCGCCACGAGCTCGCCACGCCAATAAAACCGCAAAATCAAAACATCGCGCTCCAGAGGGCTGCGTTTGAAGGTCGTAAGATCGATGTGCGCACGGCGCTCGGCGCCATCGTGAGTATACTTGGCCATTTTTGGGGCAAACTCTGACACATGATCCTTGGAATTAGGCTCTTGCCTTTACCTACGAGGCATGCATTTTGTCTTTTGCGCTTCCATCGGCCATTCTCCTCACAATCAATGCGGACATTGGGCCTTCGGCTCAGATCGTATGGGGGGCCACAGCCTGGTCACTGGCGGCGGCGGTCCTGCAAACCATCGCCGGTCGGTGCAGTGATATATTCGGGCGAAGGAAATTTATATTGGCTGGCAACGTGTTTGGCTTGGTTGGTGGGTCTCATGTAAAATCCAGCTTTATTCCGTTGTTCCTGCTAAGATTTCCCAGGTTGTATTGTTGCCTGTCGGTTAGTCCTTCGTCTTGCCCTCCGTCGTGTTCAGTGGAGAGCTAATTGTCGAGTCTAGAGCACAAGCAGTCTCAGCTATCATTGCTGGATTTACTCTGACGGTGCGCTGGTGCGAACCACCTTCCGCACTGCCACAACTGACACCTGGTAGGGTGTTGCTGCTGGAGCTCAGCTTCTCGCATTCGCTTGCGCAGGCGAGATCGTTCCCAAAAAGTGGAGAGGGCAGACCCTGGCGGCCATGAACTGCGCAGCACTCCCTGGATCCTGCTTCGGCTCGGTGATAGGTATGTGATGCATGGCCGAGTCCTTTCCATCCGCATAAAGCGACCAAGCAAGCTAGGGAGAATTGACACTGAATCGCTCGCAGCGTACGCCCTCGTGGCCCACATGAACTGGCGTTGGGCCTTTTACGTGGGCATTATGGCCAATTCCATTGCATTAATTCTTTCTGCGGTCTTCTATTGGCCCCCGGGCTTTCTTGGTCTCCACCCAGAGGGCAAGACTCGATGGCAGCAATTCAAAGAAATCGATTTTGTGGGCCTCTTTCTTTTTGGCGGTGGCTTGACCGTCTTTCTGCTTGGGGTCTCTTGGGGGAATAACCCTTATTCCTGGAAGAGTGCACAGGTCTTGACTCCTCTGGTACTGGGAGGTACGCGAGATCCAGCCATAAAAGAAGGGTGAATGACCGCTAATATGACGTCTTTAGCCATCTGTTGCCTTGTGGCCTTGCCACTGTGGGAGGCTTACGGTCCCAACACAGTCGCAAAGCTATTCCCACCCCAGATCTTCAAGAATATTAGGGGATTCTGCATGCCTTTGTTTATTTCTTTTGCCTCGGGCATGCTGGTAGGTGTGCTTTGACTCCTGCGAGCTCCCTAGATCTGACAGCGTCCACTTACACAGTTGATCGGTCTTCCAGTTTTTTGGCCACAGGGTGAGTCTGAGGTGCAGCGCTATCTGTTAGCAACGTAGCACTAACGCTGTTTAAAGAGGTTCAACAGTTGTTCACGACCGTTCCCCAAACGGTGGGATGGTATAGTCTGGCATGGGGCTGTCCGAGCACTGGTAAGTTATGCCTAACCTGTCAAAACTTTGTGGCAACTGAGAAACCATCACGTAGTCGGTTCCGCTCTAGGAGGATATTCGTGGAGTAGATTCAAACACACGAGGTTTCAGTTCACTGCCATGACCGCACTGATGGCGGCTTTCATGGCAACTGTCTCATCGGTAACCCCGTACACACCTGCGCGAGCGGTCGTTCTGTTCGCGTTTTCCGCCGCTTTCGTGGGTGCGACATGCCTGGTCGGGATTCTGGAATTACAATTTGGAGCCGCAGACGGTGACATCGGTATAGCAACAGGGTAATCAGCGGCTTGTTACGCGTGTATTAATGACTCAAGCTAATCATGACACAGCTTGATGGGCACTTCCCGAGCCACGGGCGGGGCAATAGCCATTGCCCTATTTGGCTCAATCATTCGAAACAAAACGGCCGCCAATCTGGCTCCGGAATTGGCGGCTGCCGTAATTGCTGCAGGACTACCCAAATCTCAAGTTGAGGCATTCATCGGTAGGCATCTGAGCTGCAATCTAGACCGTTGGGAGCAGGAGTAATTAACTTGAGCCTCAGCCGCTTTCATCTCCGGCTCCCCCACTGCCTTAGAATCGATCGAAGGCGTCACTCCAGGTGTTCTCGCGGCCGCAGCAACAGCGGCCAAATATGTCTTCGCGGACGCATACAAGCTTCTCTATCTAGTCACATTGTCATTTGGAGGTGAGTCTTCTGATGCCGTGGCGACCTCACTGTTTGCGACAAAACTGGCAGAGACTAATCGATCTCAGTGCCGGCAATTGTTGCTGCGGCGCTTTCCCGAAGCTGTGATGACAAATTGACGAGGTAAGTTTTTCTCGAGAGCAGCGAGATGATACCATCCAGACCAACAATTTTGTCACAGTCAAGTTCCGGTTAGACTCGACGCTCCTCATCTTCTCGGCCAAGGCAAAGGCGAAGCTCTGGTACTGCACAAACTAGAAGAGAAGCCAGAAGCCTAGGGAAAGTGTATACCCAACAAGCGTCGTTCCGCGTGAGAGGAGAGCTCTGACACCCACACTCAGCAGGCACCGGTGGCAGGGCAACCGAATAGCTTTCTTCTAATGGTTTTGATACATCAGCAGCAGAGTCTAGTGTAATCTCTACAGACGGATCGGATCACAGTTGAGACTTACACAGTCACATGGGTTCATCCGTGGATTCCCCCCTTTATATACAGTCTCTTGAGTGTGCCTATCTTGCAAGGTCTGTTGAGGCACGACAACTTTGAGTACATGTATGTAACCACGCAACAAGGAGACATTTTGTTCAAGACTAGGCGTCTCAGTAGATTAGATACCACTCTCATTTATCGCGTGACCACGCATGATTCATGAAGTTGTATCCCTATCCCAGTTTTGAGTGGCTACTGTTTCCCCTGAGAGACGTTGCACCAAGGTACAGTGTGCTTTGACCTTGATGCTTCGGAAGATGATGTCAAGTCGGCAGTAAAGCGCGTTGAATCAGATTCAGGCTAACTGTGAACTTGACTTGTCAACCTCATCCTTCCTCACTCTACGCTGACCGACGTAGATTTCTTCCACTATAGATACTTTCGAGTCGTCTCGACAAGATGCTTAGCCATGCCTTCGGGATGTGAGACGTAGGGAAAATGGTTTCCCGGAAGAGTCTTGATGGGGATGCCCGCTTTAGTTGCGGTAACGACATTGTTGAAGAACTGCCAAGTTGGAGTACCCGCGCCCACGGTCCAGTCTATCGGTCTCTTGTGTAAGTCCTCGTCACTGATGGGTGCGGACTGAGTCAGCTTGGTGATGTAGCCATGCGCCCAGCGAGGATAGTTTTTGCGAAGCCTCTCGTGCACCTCGTCACCAAGCGCATCCCATGCCGCTTCGTTCCCGGAGGCGGCCTTGGAGTGAAGGGCCATAGTTGCCGCGATGGAGTCGGCGTCTTGAGACTGAAGATCGGCGATATGGTTCATGAGCCACGTCGGCGCTTCATGTGGTAATCCATTGCGAACCCGTTGCGGATAGTCAGCACATAGCGCCAGAACAGCCAACGCGCCCGAGCTGCAGCCCCAAAAGGAGGCATATTGAATGTCTAACTGGTCCATCAGACCGATCACCATGGTGGCCAGCTTTTGGGCTGTAACATCCTGGTACGTTTCAGGCGGCGCATTAAATGATCTTGACATTCCAGGCATGTCGAACGTCGTCACAGTGAAACCTTCAGCAGCTATGAGAGACATTGGTTTGTCCATCATCTGACATTCGCCTAGTCCATCTGGGATCAAGACAACATGAGGACCTGATCCCTCCTGTTCGTAGTACCATGTGATTCCATCCTTGGTGGTGACTGTCGACCTTCTGCGCGTAGAGACCATGGTGCCGGTATGTGTATGCATGTGTCAAAAGTGGTCATGAGCAGCATGTTTGACTCGTGCTGGTTTTGGGATTTGCATTTCTAATGGACCGTGATTCACGACAGGAGTAGAAGAGTCCAGCTCATAAAGTGTCTAGTGGAGAAACCGAAAGCGGGAAGGGGGGAAGGCGGGAAGGCGGGAGGTGGGAAGGGTGGGGAGGCGGGGAGATGGGCTGCCAGATCCTGGATGGACCCCAGTTCTCTGACTCAGTATTGGGAACCTCAGGAGAGGCGAGACCTTGATAGCCATTGGACCAATCTGGGGCCCATGAATTGATTGACTGATTGAGAAGGAAGAGAAGTTCTATCTGTGCTTGATCTGTGACAGAAAACGCTGCTGCAGTGCCAAGAGTCCAGATCTTGCCTATTCGGCTAGTTCAACAATAATGGCTATGAAACCAGTGAAAAGAGTGACTGCAAACATAAGGCGAGGTATACAAGGTGAAGTTCTTCAGACAACAACAACTTCAATAGCCAGGGTAGGTAGCCTCGTGGACGACACCGATCCTTGTTTATCACTACTTGCAAGGGGCTGCCACGAATTTAAAACGCCGCCAATAGGACCACGACGGGTTGTTGTTATTCAAATGTTAGAAGCTGTGGCACCACGAGCAGCCTCACGCCGGTCACAGGAAATAAGCCTCTCGGCGTTCTTCTTGTAAGCCATTTCCCTCTCGTCCATAGTTGTGAAGACACCAGGCAGGAACCGTTCCATATTCTCCGCCAGTATTTTGACGTGCTCTGCTGAAGTAAAAGGATAGTCGCTTCCGTAGAGCACCTGTTTCTTGTCAATGAAGGAAAGAAGATTAGGTAGTTGATCGGGCCAAACGGTCCCAGCCATGTCGAAGTAGAAATTTGACTTCAATTTCTCCTTGACAAAGGCCGGAGTGATCGCGCTATCCACCGATATCTTCATCGCACGCGCGGAGACCGAGAATCTTTCTATCAAGGGTGGTAGACAACCCCCGGCGTGAGGAATGATATAGGTGATATTCGGATAGCGAGTAACCGTCCCCGAGTAGAATAAGTTTATCACGGCTCTGGCAGTGTCGAAGAAGAACTCAAAGATAGGGCTTGGGAAATGTGAAAGCGGCATGGCCTTCCGACTTTCTACTGCACCGTCGGCCGTATATTCTCGAACACAGCTAGTCGTCGGGTGCACAAAGACGATAGCGTGTCGACGATCGAGCTCGGCCCACACCGGTTCGAAGTCGCGGTGACCTAGATAGAATCCGTGACTATTGGTCATTACCGCAACCCCGTCCGCTTGCAACTCGTCAAAGGCGTACGTGAGTTCGTGAAGGCTGCCATTCACGTCGGGTAGCGGAAGCGATGCCCAGAACCCAAATCGTTTGGGGAAGCGTCTCTTCGCATCGGCACCCTCTTTATTGCACTCTCGACACAATCTCCGTGCAAGCTCGTTGTCGTTTGGCACGAGGTGAACTCCTGGCGATGAGATGGATAGATATGACTTGGTGATGTTCAGCTGGTTAGCCAACCGTAGATGAGCCTCAATGTCCCATGCCTGTAATGTTAAATCAGGAACGATCCAAACGACAATGAGAGGGAATTAAAGAGCCTACCGGGAAGAAGGGGATTCCGTCAAAGCCACCATGGCTATTTGCCTCACACTCTTGACGATAGACTGACGGTATGTAATGGCAGTGAACGTCTATTTTTTCGGGTATTCCAGTCATTGCCTATGGAGACGAGATGAGAACTGTCGCCTTGGAAATAGGGCTGTGAAAACCGCGATTTGAGGAATCTGTCAATACGATTCTGCAGGCTGTAGATGTTAGAAACCACCTGACATCGCTTGGATGTCTGGCTCGTTTCTTCAAGCCTGGTTGTGTCTTATGGAGAACTATCCGTATGGAAAATCACCTCGATTGACGTTGACAGGCGGAGCTCATGGTACTTATAGAAGCCATCTACCCTTCAACTGACGGGGAAAAGAGACTAAGGAAGCCGCCTTGTCATTCATGCACTACCATGGTACAGATATGAGTCCGATGTTGCCCAGGTATTCTACGCACCTTGAATATAGTCCGCAATCATGTGCGGGCCCATGCGGGCGGCGGCGGGGCATCACGAAAGAAAACTGACCCCTTTTAACCTATTTCATCGAACCGCGGGTGTCTCAATCGCGCCGTCTCCAGCTCGACGGGGGGATATGCCGCCTATACTCGCCTTGGTTACCGTGGATTCCCGAATCGCGAGCATGAGGTCGCCGACGGCGGCCCATCGCGTGTAGACATCTCGTCCCGCCTGATGTCGGACGGGCGAGGCGTGAACGGTGGGCTGCCATCCCACCATACGTTCTCCAAGGTTCGCTCTTGCGGTCAGGGCGGACACTGGACTTCTAATACTACCTAGATTTGCACAGGATATCATGGCCGATAGATGTGCCATGTTTTCCAAATGTTTAGTGACATCAGGCAATTTTCAAAGGTATTTAAGGGTCATCAACAACAATTCCGGACTCGAAATTCTAAACGCTGCACACTTTAACTTGGCCTGAACATATTTGCAATTCGAACGCCATGTCTGACGCGCTGGACGCTGAGAACCTGGTACCAGCGGTAATGTCTCTGAAGTAGTGATTGTTAGTGCAGGCATCTCGGGTATCAATCCCGCCTACCGCCTCTGAACCGAGCTTCCTGGTACAAGGTATACCATTTCCGAGGCTCGCAAAGGGATCGGAGGTATATAAGACTTTTTCAAATATCCGGGGCTGCGTTCCGACTTAGACTTGTTTACCTTTGGATTCTCGTGGCGACCGTGGTCAAGGGGCCATCCTATTGCCAACGCAAAATCGATTCTGGATTATCTGGGAACATCGGTAGCTGCTAAGGAGATCCATGGCGATATTCAGTTCAACAGTCGCGTTCAGAGCGCGAATTGGTCGACCAAATCGCAGACGTGAGAGCTAACGGTGATCTCGCATACTCGAGTTGAACGAGTGGGCACGAAATTCCTCGTTCTCGGGACCGGGTATTATGATTACGAGCAAGCTTTATCACCAGTAGTTCCAAGCCTAAATGCCTTTACTGGCCGTGTTGTCCACCCCCAGTTTTGGCCTGAAGACTTCGACTATACCGCCAAAAAAGGTGGTTTGCATCGAGAGTGGCGCCACCGCGACCACTCTACTACTAGTGCTAGCGTAGAAGGCTACCATCGCCACCATGCGGAAGCACAGTCCGTCACAAATTATGTCGATACCCAACCCAACCTCTTCTTCTTGGTTGTGTTGGCAGATACCAAGGCCTCTAGCGTATTCTCTCGATCGGCTTTGGTTTATGATCGTCCCTATGATCTTCTATATATTCTGTCGTATGTTTCCCACGACTTCGAGTAACTTGATCCGCAGGGGTGCCACTAAATAACTTACCGTTTTCATCTTTGCTGACCTATGTACTACATGTAGCGCCTGGCCGTATTAGGCCATAGGGAAAGAAACCCTCTGAAAGCAGCGGGACTGACAGCCAAATTCGGTGGGAAATGTATCTGCAACCTGTACTCGATCATGACATCAAGCTCGCCGAGGCCTGGCAAAACTGCTCGGCGATTCGGGGTCGGGGGTTTCACCAGGTTGACCAGGCAAGACCAGGTTATCTAGACTCCCTTGGGGTTAGTTTGATGTTTACCCCCGACTCAAGATTTCCGAGTGTAGTATCATCGGGTGGCGGCCGAAATATGAGGGGACGTCCAGGAGGTCAGGCATCGGATTGTTCCCGACACGATTCTACCAGCAGCCATGATTCCAACAACCTGCATTGATAAGACGACGATATGGATATTATATTTTGCAGGGCTGGCATGGCGGATGAGGCGCTGAGTTACACCGCAGCTGTACTTCACCGGGTTGACTGTGCCAATAAGTTGTCAAAGCTGCTCCCTCTCTTGGTGACCGGATATCATAACGCCAATCAATCTTTCCATTGAGGATCAACGGCTGCCCCTGTCTACCTTTCACAGAATGAGCTCATCGTTTGCTCGAAATATACCGAGCCTCAACGTCGTTGACCTCCGTGCAGATTATGCCGCCCGGAGGCTCTCACCGGTCGACGTCGTTCGGCAGGTGTACGAAAAAATATCCTCCTACCATGATCACGATCCGGCCGTCTGGATCTACCTGATTCCCCAATCGGAAGCACTGAACCGCGCGGAGGAACTGGTGGACAAGTATTATCGCTCCGATCTGCCTCTTCCGCCGCTGTTCGGGGTTCCGTTCTCAGTGAAAGATTCGATCGACATCAGTAGCCTCCCGACGACGCTAGCCTGTCAGACGTTCACATATATTGCCACGCAGACGGCACCAGTGATCTCAAGAATCCTCGCAGCTGGGGGAATCATCGTAGGCAAAACCAACCTCGACCAGTTTGCGACGGGTCTAGCAGGCGTACGCTCCCCTTACGGCGCCCCTCGCTGCATCTTTGATGCAGATTACATCTCGGGCGGAAGCTCGTCGGGATCTGCTGTGAGCGTCGCTGCGTCATTGGTCTCCTTTACGGTCTGCACGGACACGGGGGGCAGTACAAGGGTCCCCGCGGCTCTCAATGGAGTCGTAGGTCTGAAACCCACGCTAGGGACCATCAGCACCGAAGGCTTGTTTCCAGCGTGCAAGAATATCGATTGCGTCTGTGTGATGGCCAGAACGGTGGGCGATGTCGAGGAGGTCTGGCAGGTGATAAGGGCATTTGATGAGCGAGACGTATTCGCCCGCCGAGAGCTGCCCACTTGGGGTCCTTGGAAGGATCCAGTGCGGTTTGCCATTCCACCAGATGATCTCCTGCGCAACCTATCACCGGCCTATGCCAGACTGTTCCAAAACTTATGCACAGCTCTAAGGGATCACAGAAAATGGTGCACGGAGGCAGAAGGATTCGATTATATGCCCTTCGCCTTGGCGAATCAGATGTTGTATGACTCGTCGATCGTCTCCCAGCGCCTTCTTGCCTTCGACCCGTACATCAAGGCACATGGACTCGGCTCCTTGCATCCGGCCATCCAGGCGACATTCCAGCAAGCCATGGATAACCGCTTCAGCGCGGAGCGCGCGTACGAGGACATTTTCACCCTCGCGCGGCACAAACGGCAGGCCGAGATCCAGTTCCGGGAGCACGTCGACGTTCTCATTGTCCCAAGCACCGTGGACCACTTCACGGTCACCCAGCTGGAGGAAGAGCCCATGGTGCGGAACAAGGCGATGGGGAGGTTCACCAACTTCGTCAATCTGCTGGACCTGGCCGCCGTCAGCGTGCCGGTGGGTTGGTGGGAGAACGCAAATGGGAACAAACTGCCCTTCGGCGTGACGGTGATCGGACAAGCGGGGAAAGACAAGGAGCTCATGTCCTTTGGGGAAAGACTCATGGCCATAATGTCCCAAGAGTAAGCTAGTGTTCGTCTCGAAGTACAGTCAACTCCGGTACACAGTGAACAAGGAGGTTGGGAATGTTCCATTCCAGTCTGTGGGAAACATTGAGGGAAGGGGATTTGAGAGTCCCATAGATACGGATAGGATTATGGATGTTGAAAGAGGTGAAATGTAACGATGTTGTATTCGTATCTGCTCTGGCTCGCGGCTCTGAATCCAACATACATCGAAAATCTATAGACATGGATATCGACATAGACTCTCCATCCTTCTCACAAAGTGGTCAGCATACGCCGCGCAGGTACCTAAAGGGAGGTCTGGCTGCCTCTATTCTTAACGCAGGGTTGAGTGCTTTGTGTACGGCGCATGTCTCCTCCGCTCAGACCACGCTGCCCACGAAATGAGCATTGACCTGGCTCTCGAATCCCTTCTTTTCACTCTCGCCGTTCTTGCCCTCATTCTCGCTTCGGCCATCATCACCACCGCCGCCAGCGGGCAACATGCCCGTGGTGATCTCGGGATCAAGGCCGTCAATCAAGTAGAGCTTTCCCAGATCTTCATCATTTGTCTTGACAGGGACCGGCGCAGCGGTCGTCAGGGCCACGTACAGGAGGCCCGAGAAGGTGACCACGAGGACGTAGTTCCAGGAATACAGGTTCAGGATGCCTTTATTGGTGATCTTGACCCCCATGGTCTGGAGCATGCCGGGAAGCAAGGGGCTCAGGGCCACGAACCACGCCACAAAGGCCCGCCAGTTGAACCCGTAGTCATACCAGTAGATTCCGTGCGGCTTGAAAAGATGGGAGATGTTGATGCCGTAGCCACGACGGATCCAGAAGTAGTCGGTCATCATAACTCCCGTCGTCGCCCCCAGGAAGAGTGTGTACGCGCCCATGAACGCTAGGAACGTGGTGGCTTTGGCTTGAATCTGCCAGGGACAGATCGCAAATCCGATCACCGCACAGATAAACTGCCCTCGACGGATATTGATATATTTTGGGAATAGGCCCGTTAGATCGTTGGCAAAAGGGATGGAGTTTCCGGTAACGTTGGTCATTATGTTGAAGAAGACGAACATGATTCCGGCAAAGAATTTGCCTCCGCGCGCCTCGAAGTTGTTGATAGTAACGAGTGGGTTCCACTGAACTTCGCCGTAGACCACAGATGAAGCCACGGCCATCGTGCATCCTAGGAGCTCAGTCAACGTGACGAAGACCGGGAGGGCGAAGAGTTGAGTCAAGTAAGCCGCCTTGTCGCTCTTCGAGTGTCGAGATATATCCATGATATTGACGGCAAAAGTGGCGTTGCCAGAGATGGCGGCATTCACGCAGATGCCAAAGAGATACCCGACGGACATGCCATTAGTCGGGATACTGGGTTTCGTCCAGACCTTGGGCCATCCCCCTGCAGCAGTGATCGACCAGGTAAATAACGCGGTCCAGTATAGTGGCACCATAATGCTCTTCACCACGAACAAAAAGCGTAGTGTTCTGATCGGTAGGTAAAGAAACGGTAGCGATATGAGCCAAAAGATGACAAAGCAGAGGAGTTCCTGGGCGGTGATGTTGGCAGATGCTGGAAAGGCATTGACTTTCCAGTGGCGGAAGGAGGGCCAGATAGCTGTAATACACGCCTGAACCGCTTGACCAGCGAGACTCGTTTGGATCCCGTAGTATATCAGGCAAGGGACTGCTCGAACAATCATAGCCCACTTAGATCCCCATAGTCCAAATGAAGCCCGAACAACACCAGGGAAATTCGTCCCCAGTTTACTTCCTAGATATCCAGAGGCCGCGCACGGGATGGAGACGATGATATTGCCCAAGAGACAGGCGACGACACATAATCCTGGATTGAGGCCGAGAGAGAAGGCGGAGCTGGACACCTGTAGTTGGGCAGCATTGAATCCTTCGGCGATCCAGAAGAGACCCATCTGGTACCATTGATATGTGCGGTCTTTTCGCTTGATTGGATCCATGTCTTCGTTGGTATACGCAATAGCATCTGCATCGTTGGCGCCAAAGGAACCAGGCTTCGGTTTCAGCACCACATAATCTTGCCAGAAGTGCTTCAAGGCCATTGTGCCGGAGGTGAGAGTAGGTGGCGGCAACAGTTATCGAATTGATCAGGGGACTTTCAATGGATTTGAAGTTCAGAATGGATCAGTTCCGGGCCGGTCGCCTGGGTGCTCTTTTATATTCATGAGGCGGCCGTGAGAGACGGGCAGTATACAATGGACTCCCTCTCGTAACATAGAGAAGTCTATCGGAACAACTCCGACAATGAGGAGATCGGGAGTGTTGAGCGGGAGCACGCTGTCTGGACGCCATATTTGCAAATTCGTATTGGTATTGGTAGGTAGCTGCTATGTTGATAAGAGAAGTCTTCCTTCAACAGGGCGGATAAGATGATTTCTAGAGTTTAGGGATGTTTGCCAGGCCAGCTGTGAGAGATAAGAAACCCGCAAATCAGAAACCACGAAGAGGCAGACCAATCGCGAAATTCTTGGTCCCTACGCCGAGCTAGGGCGGGATATTAGCTAGGTCCGATGCCAGCCACATCGTAGGAAGAACCCTGTCGGAGCATCTCCGAAAAATGTGAAGAAGGTTTGAACACGACCATTGCTCCTGTCTGGGTCAGGTATGCTGAGAAGTTGACTGGAGATTGTCGGTCTGTGAATGCAGTCTTCGGGCACTGGAGTCTAATCGGGTAACCCCAGGGCCAGGTAAATAGAAACAGCATTGTCGAAGCCTCTAATTCTGGCTTGGAGGGCGCGTCCACCGCCTATATCCGCCTTGAAACTCGCATCTGGCAAGCCCCAATGTCAGCAGTATTGGAACAGCACCCCCCATCCCTGAATCGAGCTCGTGTCTACTCCTGCAATTCGACCCATGTCCCACAAGACTGTCGCAATGGTGTCCAGCACAGTGATACCGGTTTTGGCCTCCCACCTGTCTACCAACTGGGCCGCCTTGAGCCCGGTGCAAAACACACTGACAACTCCGGCTCCTCTCTGTGCCAACGTCCAGAAACCGTCATCAAGCGTTTTCTCAGAGACGTGGGCAAACCCTCGGTTGTCGGATTGGCCCAGGTGATGCTCTACCGAGCAGTCCACGCCAAACCCGCGATAATTCTCTATGATGGCTGATTGCACGTCGTCGGTATATGGTGTCAGCAGCCCCATTTCTCTAACTCCCAGTCGCTTGATGAGGCGGTTGAGCCCGAGGACTGATGTTGTGGCGGGAATGCCAGTCGCGGCCGTAATCTCCTCGCATAGTTTCTCATCCGCGTCGAAGCCGAGCCATCCTGACGAGGTCCCGCTCCAGCCGATCACGTCGACTTTGGCATCCGCAAGCAGGCGGGCGGCCTCGATGATGGCGCTATTGTCGAATTGTGCCAGGGCATCTGGATCCAGGGCAATTTTGAGCACTCGAAAGCGCGAGAAATGAACCGATACATTGCTCAGTTGAGAGACGATTTGTTGTGTAAGAGGTTCTAACACCGTGTTAGAGGAGGGGACAAGAATGCCGAAGCTGATGCGTCTGGGGCTCTGCTTGATCATGGCCACTTGTTAGACGGCGGCAATATTGCTGGGAGTCCAAGGGAGTGTCAGATAGTCTGCACAGCCAAAGCGCACGAGGTTGAGGTGGTAAGAACTTCAACCGATGTGCTGGCCGTGGATCCCTTTTTGTTTTGGATTTGTTAAATCAGAGGAGCCATTGGGACGTAACAGTTCAAGCGATTTGTAACGTAAATCGAGCCAGGATTTTCTGCTTCGGAGTAAGTGAAATCCTCCTTTGTTAAAGGGAGTGAGCAAAGTAGGCTGGCGGGTCGGGAATGGCCGTCGGCCTTGAGCGTGCCAGAAGAAGCTCCATTCCTGGATCATGAACATCTAGCAGAGGGAGGACGCACACAAAACGCCTCAACGAATCAACTGCAAGACTGCGCAATATACTCTGTATCACAACTCCAGGATGCGTGGCGATTCGATCAAGACCGATGGGGTGGTGGATCTCGAGCCCCTGTTACCGCATGCTCTTCTTTTTGGTCGGATCGGGCCCGATCCGACAGTATTTATCACAAGCGAATGGATCCGGAGCTGAAGGATTCGGCTAGGAGGGTGTCCGCTTTGTGGCTCTATCCTGCCCCTCATTTCAGCATTGCGGCGGCGGAAACTGTTCGAAACCGCTCAATTCGCGATTGTAGCCGAGGACCATGCTCCAGACAGAACCAGTATCAGATCAGAAGCCCATACCAGTGCCTCCATTGAACCATCCCAGGCCCTCTTCCGTCAAGAACTCCTCAATTTCTCTAAAGTTCACAGGGTCACACTCGAAATCACTGTCCTGGGTCTGAACGAACTCGGTCATCATCTGCCAGACGTCCAAGCTATCTTTTGTCCAGTTGTCACTACTAGGTCGCTCCATGTCGTCATATGCAGTGGCCGGATGTGGCATCTCAGGTCCCGGGACGGTGTCGCTGGCTGCAGCCGATGCACGAAGCGGTGCCTGGAGACCAACAGATGGCGGTCGTTGTTGGCTGTTCACTTGTGAGCGCCTTGGGCTGAGGACATACTCTGCCGTCTTGCCCGCAATCAGCTCAAATGCATCGCGGTATTTCTTCGCACCTGCGCCCCATTGCTCGGTAATCAAATACAGCACAGTAGAGCAAGCACCCAGGTCAGCCGCCATTTCGGCATCGTAGAGACTTGGGTGGGACCACGCACAGTAGATCATCGAGAACCCAGCCACAAAGACGGAATGTAGATCAAGAAGTGTGAAGGGCACAGATCGTACGCGGTGAAGTCGCCTGTTGAGCTGACAGACTTCGCCTGACGACTTGGCAAAGGAAGAAAACGGGAATGCTTGATTGGGCAATTGGATTTCGGTGAGAATTGTCTGAAGGAGCATTCGGCGAGCTCGGTGATAGTTGAGCAGCAACGCGAGCCGCTGTGCTTCCGGCAAAGCAGGCCGAGACACAGGCGTTTGAACAGGAGTTCTGAGGGTAGACAACATCAAGTCCGTCGACGCATCCCCTCCGGTGGAGTGACCAAATATGGCAGTTTTCCAGTCCTCAAGTTCCTGGAATCGCTTCGCAATCTTTCGCTCGACCTGTGTTCCACGACTGGTCTTCGCGAGACGGGCGAGTGTAAGACGGCTTTTCGCGTTGAGCTGATCTAGCAGAACATTATGAACGTGGAATAAGATGTCGGTTCCTGCTACTGTGGAAGGCACCCCTGGCCCGCTGTGTTGATTCGATACCTGGTGCTCACGGCTTGTCTCTGCTAGCTCTATGATGTCCTCAAAACGGTCGTCTTCAATCTCGTGGGGTAATGGGATGTCGATTTCATCATCGGCAATGGCCAACGGCCTTCCCAGAACTAGGACAATCCTCCGCTCCAGGTGGTAGATGCTCCAGAACAACCTCCTCTTAAATTCGTCAGAGTGGGCCGTGTTCTCATCCTTTTGCAGTTGCCGGTGAAGTCCTAGTTCGACACATTGCCTGATCATCAGACCGCACAAATGCCAAACACTAGATCCTGCAGAAAGAGTTAGAAGATGGATTTGCAAAAGCATTTCACGACGCTCGAGTTCGGAGTCCCACGTGAGAGTGGAGGAAATGAATGCATCCAAACAAACCAGCACAACGAGCTGGACTGGCGAAACCACGACGCACCTGACGGAGAACGCAACGCATAGATGGCCACTAGAAGAATGAGCTGGATATTCTGAACACTTGGCACGTTAAGTTGATCTTGTAATTTTGCCATGGCTGAATGATAAAAGCTTTCTGGCTCCGATTCAGCGATGTGTTCTGACCCCACCAGTTTCAGACAGCGAGAACCAATCGCATACACCAGCTGCAACACAACATGATCATGGCGTCCTTCACTAGTTGTGGAATCGTCCACTTCCTGCCGATTGTGGTGAGCTTTCCATAGTTGATGTTTAGAAAGAAACGGGAAATTAGGGTGAATATAAGATAGATAGGCGGTCACGAAAGACGCTGCCTTCTCCAACGGCGGTGAAGATGCTGCGGCGGTCGAGCCTCTCTGGCTGCTGCCCGAGAATGGACTTTCGACCGTCTCTGAAGGTAAACTCAAGCAGGAAATAGGTCGTGCTTTTTCGTAGACGGCCGTCTCGATCATCAGAGCCAAAGACACCCCAGATGATACTCCAAAGTATTGAGGTTCGGCAGCTGCGTGGAGGGACAATAGCCCAACACTACTCGCCAGGTTTGGAGTGCCCGTGGGGGAAGTTATCCGCCCCTCTGAGCTTGCAGCTGCCTCATTGCCATCGCCGCCGGAGAAGTGCCCCTCCGATCGGGACTGCCGCGAGGGGTCCAGCTGTGCTTCCAGCCATGCAACTCTTGTTTCCAGTGCCTTGACATAGGATGACGGGTACTCGTTCTCGGGAAAGACACAGTTGAGCTTGGCCCTCGCGCAATTGGAACAGGCCGGTAGTTTGTTGTCGCACTAGGACTACTTCAATCTGGCTGTCGCAGTAATATTCTTAGATGGATCAAGGAGAAGCCGTACCTTTTGACGTCTCGTTTTACACCTCAGACATGCGACCACAGCTCGAGGGCGCTTCTTTGGCCTCTGAAAGCACGGGTCGGAGGATGCATCTGCTGGCATTGAGATATTGTCGAGTCCAGCCATGTTGGATTCGAGGGCTCCGCGAGCTGAATGGTCTGACGGTAGTGTTCTGAGGGAACGTGCCTCCGCATGTCAAGGCCTTCAGCTCAGCGTCTTAACTGCCTTCGATCTATCGTTCATCAGTAGAAGGGAGCATGTCTTCTTCATGAAATTGTCCAAAGGGGGATCCGGCAGCCTTATCGCCTGCCAAGCTGCGTCTTATCTACCACCTCGTGATAACATTACTTCGTAATATCGGGTAGCGGTTATTACAGAGTGACCTCGACTAGCCCTTTTTATGCTAGAAATCTGAAAACGGGCTGCCCAAGATTGCCTTAATATATGGGTTGCATGGCTTGCAGCGTTTCATCCTTTGATTCCCGAGCGAGTTCAAGGCGCAGAAGGTCATGGAATTTGTGTGAAGCCATGAACATGCGGTGGCGTTGGGTATCAGCGAAGCACTGCTTCGGCGTGTGTTGGAGCAGATTGCCTGTGGAACCTGTCGTTGATGTGCAGTCCACACTCTTCAGCGTCGAACATGCTATATATGTGTTCATGAAATGAGCCATTTCTGGCTCTCGATCTGCGTCGCTACTGCCGCCGTCTCAAGCTGTCTTGCTGTAGGAGAGTCGAACCTGCTCAGCGTCGCCGCTACCCTGTACGTTACCTTCAACACGTCACCATCAGCACTGGCATCATCTACGAGAAACGCTTCTATCAGCGACTTTCGATTTTGAAGTTCCCAGTCTTTGAGTATCATCTTGATTGGCGAGTGCTCCTCATCAGGTGGGTCATCCGGTACCAAGAGAGTTTCTAGGACGATCTGCGCTTTAGAACCTGGAGCGATGATACCTGCGTTTCCTTCTGGGAGCAACAGATCCACAATGTACGCCTGATCGGTTTCTGCGAGGCGAATAGGGAAGGACGCGGCGACGAGATGGCCCGGCCCGTCCTCGTCCTCGTCGTCTTCAGGTATCTCCATGAAACCAAGTTGGCGTTTTCCGATCCAGGGGACGATACGGCCACCTCGAGGAAATTCTATTGCCAAACCTGGCAGTATAGCTCTGATGCCTTGCTGAGTGACGTGTGCTCTCTGCTCTGAGAGCTCAATGCGCTCGCCCACAAACGTCACGGGCATCCAGCGATAGCCCGGTTGTTGCAGGCGCGGGCGACTACCGAAGAGGATGCCCGTGCTGACATGCTCCATCTTGAGGAACATCAGGCGAATCCGTTCCTCATCTTTGAGGTTGTAGAAAGTTGTCAGATCCATCCCAAGGAGGGTTGCGAGGCATAGGCCCTCATCAGCAATGATACTGGTCTGACGATATGGCAAGACCTTCTCTAAAGAGCTCCATTTCGTTCTGACGTTGTTGAACTGAGCTGCCGGAAGCTGCAAGATGCTGAAGAATCCAAGCACAGCAACCAAGGTCCCAAAGTAAGTCGAGTCCATTGTCAGACCTTCCATTTCGACATCTGAGATCTTTTGATCAAGCGCATCTGCATCGAGTGCCAGCCACATGCCACTTTGCACACCAGGCGGTTGTTGCATCGGAGCATTCCGGTCTTTTAACACGGGCCCAAGATGCATGTCGAGTATGAGTTTTAGCATTGCCATTCCCACACTTTCTGCGCGGAAGTCTCGATCATACCGCACCTGTGCTAGATTGGCAAACCGCTCGAGACGGTAATGCTTCGCCAGCCAAGGTAGGCTGGCAAGTCCATCTTTAAATTGGAAGCCTAACTCTTTAGCGAAAGCCGCTTCTTGAATCGTCCACAGCCGTTCATTCCAGGGGCTGATCTCTATTCGTGTGAGACACTCCCTCGCTGGTGTGTCAAGGCTGATTTGCATTAGAGTAGAATCAAATACCAGAACTCTGTCTGCCTCGCGATATATTCGTTCCATGTCTCGAAGGGCCAACATTTTGACGGGACTGTCATTGAATGGCACGCAGATTGTATCTACCCAAAAAGGTACTTGCCCATCGACGTCAAGGTCGGTAAATAGCTTGATGACAGCATCTTGGAACTTTTGCAGTTGGCAACTTGGCAGAGCGTTTCCTCCAGCATTTCCCGTGCCGTCTGCCCAGACGTGCGATATTGCGACATATCTCTTCGGTGCGCCTGTCTCTAGTTCATGGCTTCGGACCAATTTCCAAGAAGCTCTGCCGTCAGTCCTGGAATGCTCACGCAACAGTAGCGGTGCGTAACCATCTCTGATCCACCTGGCATACTCTGATCCATCGCCGAGATCAAAGGAAACCATGTCACAGTTGCAATCATCACGACAATGTTTCGTCGTGTATGTGCTTTTGTCTATCTGGTTTGCAATGCACCCAAAAAAGCAACAACTGGCATGTCGCTGCGTCGGACCCTTAGAGATGGAGCTCAGGTACACGGGCCTAATGATGGAACCCTCATCTTTAAACTTCCTGAGCCAGACCGGGCACCACCCTGCCAGGTCCATTCTCCGCACGATCGTCACAGGGATGTTCCATTTGAGGTTGAGTTGTCTTTTGTACTTGCGTTCAACAGCGTCGCTAAGAAGCTCCCCAGCGACCCCAATCGACAGTACCAGAGCATGCCCGGGGGACTCAAGTGAATTCGCACCGGAGTACGGTTCATCTGTAAAGAATGTTTGATTTTCTGGCGCATCTTGCAGCCACTCAGTCCACCCTGCACGGTGGTCGTGTCGATGATCATGCTGAGAGTGTACGTGCCTCGGCTGATAATTTTGGGTTTGCACTCGTCGGGGTCGATTCCACTCCCGGCCGGTAAGGAGGTTATAAAACACATTCACTCGCTTCAGGATCACCGACATAGCCAAGAATCGTTCGAGGTTCTCTTGATCAGCATCGATCTGGTCGAGGTTTGGGTGGATGTGGTTCCACAGAAGTATGTTGTAGGGCAGGAGTGCCGAAAAGATTCTGAGCTGTTCAGTCCCGGCATCCCTTTCAGCTTCGGTGACGAATTCGGTGCTTAAGCCGCGCAGGCCGCCAATGTGCATGATTTCAGTAATCATGCCTAGATATGCCCATCTCTGAATAAATGCTGCGGCTTCGAGCCACGTCTTGCCGTGGAAGTTACCTTCGACGATGTGTTGGATATTGAAACCTTCATAGTGAGGATAGAATAGCCATGATTCCAGGCCGCCCGCTGTGTATGTACTGGATGGTGGGCTGAAATAGGGTACAGAGAAGCGCGGGTGAGCTGGGTTGGTGATGGGTGGGATGAAGTCCATGTTCGTGGCCGTTTGACAAGCTGCTGCAAAGGAGGATGTGGAGGGCACAAGGAGGTGAAAGAAAGCGCAAACGTGGTTGTTGTACTTCGGAATACCTAGGTATATACAACATCGCCAGGTTTCGGAGCCTGGGTCTCTGCACCCAGGCTGTGTGACTGTGGTGTGCCTGGTGCCTGATCTCAGCTCGCGAGATGAGGCTGAATGAGGCTCTGAGGCTCAGCGTCACACGTGAGTGTGAGGCGTTCTTGCGTCGCCAAGCTTCGAGCCACGTGATGCAGCGGAGCTGTTGGAGGTTGACTGCATTGAAGCTCCTCGCAGACTGCGACCGTCACCTCCATCTACCTTATATAGTATCGACACTCGATCTGCCTGTGAAGGCTTCTCTCGGGTGCTGCATTGCAAGATGCACACCTGCCAACCCACCACCCTCGCGGTGCGCGCAGCTCGATCCTCATTCAAACCCAAATCCTTCCAACGAGGATACCTCCAAGACATTGCTATCACACGAACGGGCAAACCGATCATAAAACACCCGGGAGGAAGATCATCATTAGGAGGTTATACAGTTACCGTCTTCGGTGCGAATGGATTTCTCGGGAGATACATCGTCCAGCGACTTGCGAAAAGAGGATGCCAAGTTGTGGTCCCTTACAGAGATGATATGGCAAAGAGACATTTGAAACCCACTGGCGACTTGGGCAGAGTTTCCTTTATGGAGTTCGACCTGAGAAATACGCAGTCGATTGAAGAGAGTGTGCGACATTCGGACATTGTGTTCAACCTGATTGGCAAGAACTACCCGACAAAGAACTTCAGTCTGTGGGACGTCAACGTCGAGGGCGTGGAGAGAATAGCCGAAGCTGTTGCTAAATATGATGTTGACCGGTTCATTCACCTCTCGTCGTACAATGCGGACATCGACTCTCCGTCGGAGTTCTTCAGGTCAAAGGTCAGAACATCCAGAATTATAAAGAGGTAGACGGTCATTGACACCCCTCACAGGCCATGGGAGAACAAGTTGCAAGACAACTCTTCCCCGAGACCACCATCGTCCGTCCAGCACCCTGCTTCGGCTTCGAAGACACTCTTCTACATCGCCTGGCCGGCGTGACCAATCTGATCACCGTGAATAACATGCAGGAACGCTTCAACCCGGTTCATGTAAGTCCGCCTTTGTGCTCGCATCCATCCCCAACACTTCTAACCTACGATGCCAGGCCATTGATATCGGGATGGCCCTTGAAAAGATCGGCTACGATGATACCACTGCTGGCGAAACCTTCGAACTATACGGGCCCACGAACTACAGCATGCGCGAAATCGCCGAACTGGTCGACAGGGAAATCCTCAAAGAGCGCCGCCACATTGACGTCCCCAAAGCCCTCCTCAAACCAATCCTTTACTATCTCAACAAAGTTATTTGGTGGCCGATCATGACAGCGGATCAATTGGAACAAGAGTCACTGGATCAGACGGTCGAGAAGGGGGCAAAGACGTTCAAAGACCTGGGCATTGAACCAGCAGAGTTGAAGGATTTGACCTACTTGTATCTGCAAGAATATCGGAGCAGTAGCTACTATGATTTGCCGCCAGCAACGGCAAGGGAGAAGAAGGAAGCAAAGAAGTATTTGCATGTTATTGACGATCAGTAGGTGAGTGGGGGGAGGGAGAGGAGATGGTGTGGAGCAGGTATCGGGGCAGTGCAGAGTGATTTGAATCAAGGCTTATGGTCGAGAGTGGTTGAAATGCATGCTGAAGACCGCTGAGCCTTCTCGACACCCTCCGAGAGATTGTACATACATGGCTAGAGAACGAGGATTTAACCAGCAGAGGGGATTCACCGAGAGCATAGTCTCCTTCCTTTTATATTCCTGCATTGTCGCCTCAACTCTACGTTGGGTATATCATCGTCCCCGACACTACGATGGGATAGGTATAGCTCGGATAGGTAGCTAGTATTGTACTTACACTTGCAAAGGGAGGATATATCTCATCCTACACACCTTCCGAGGCCAACCAATTCGCATGACCGAACTTGGCCAGCAAAAATACCCGCGCTGAACCGCGAAAAGACTAGGAAGCAGTTCGTATAGAAAGAACGAGGGATGGATGTTACAGAAGAGGGCAAAGATAAAATAGAAATCCCCGCCCCCAAAAAGCGAAGTCCACCACCGCATATTAGGGGAATTTAACCAAAAAAAAAACACAAGCGTCAGCGACAGGGTTCGAACCTGTGCCTCCGAAGAGATGTGATATCAGTTCTTGAATGTGAAAACTGAAAACTTTCGCGGTGGGAAAACACCGATCAAGTTCACTGTTGACGGTTCAAGTCACACGCCTTAACCACTCGGCCACACTGACGGCGGATGTGCAAAATGCCCTGGAATGCTCTGAATTTTGGGGAGCAATTTTCAGGGTTGTCTCTGAGTGTTCAATATACAAAGCTTAGAGAAAAATGGGCGGGGCTTGGAGGTGGTTTGGGGATGGAGCCATAATGGAGGGGGACCAACAGGCGGGGCGGACGGTCTCATGCTTAAGCGGTGGAGTCTGAGTTTTCTTTCGAGAGAATGGTAGCAGAGGTTGAAATTGATGCCAGATGCAAACAACGGCTGCTGACTCTCGCCGAGTCAAGTGCAATATCTACAAAGGGACTCTATCCTTGCCTCACTGGTGAACCAGCAGCACTGATCGGCACCAACCACGACGGCGGCCTGGGATCCTCGAACAGCGCCGCGTCGCCGTACCTCTTGGCCCGTGGCACAACGTTTCCAGATAGTACCCCCTAACGTGGACAAAGACAGCTGCCAACGTACGAACATCGAAGGTCTCAAAGGCGTAGGTAAGACTCAGGTGCCTCGAGGGGCGGCTTTTATTTGCCCCCAACATCGAAAATATTCCACCTTCCGGTGGATGTCACCAGTTTTGAGAGTGCATACCGGCGGGGCACATGCTAAACCGCTTGTCAAGAACGCGATTAAACAAGACAGCTGTGGGAATGAACCGGTCAATTGTGGCAGCGCTGACGATGTGGGAGGTGCTATTTAGCACCATGCAACCATGCGAGTGTCTTCCAACCAATCCAACGGGCTTGATTTTGCTCACCACACGAAACCATGAATCCGTTGTGGAGCTAACTCCTCCCCGGGGGACATCGTCACGGCACAGGAATGGGAGTACTGGAATAATATGAAGGTATGCTCGTAATGACGACATCCAGAATTAAAATCCGTCGATATCGCTGTTCAAAGTCAGATTCAAAAGTGCGGCGCAGTCGGTGTGATCATATAATAACCTGACTAGCACTCAGATATTGCAATGCAGTATTGGAATCTGCTGTGGAGATCAGAAATATCGGATATGTCTACACTTCATCGAACAACTCATAGAAAGAGGACTCGTTCGAGATGGGGACAAACGTCCAAGACCTGGGTGAAAGAAGACGGCGAGGCGAGAAATGTCGACGGACCGGCAAATTTGCACAACCATTACCGTGGGGGGATGAGCCTTGCGCCTTGATTTTTCACAACAGGATACTTTTAACCGAAGGATTTGGGTCGAGGTGGCGCTGCAAACGGCGGATTTCCAGGACTCGTTGGCTAATCGGGAAGAGCTTCGAACGTCACAGCGTTGCACCCGTCTTTGCTTGAGGCTGGGGGTGGAAATCTACCACTCTCTCGCCAGGGAAGCTGGCTTTCCTCAGATGAATTTTGCCAGGGGCGTCAAGATCATTGCCACGCTTCTTGAACTCTTCCTTCCAGACCTCCTTCTATGCACCGACCGAAGCCTTTACAGCGGCTTGCAGCATCCACTTCACCCCCATGGAGAACTTCAAAAATGTCTTCGCCCTACTCCTGTCCCCGAACCGGCTCCGTTACAATCGACTCACATCTCAGCTACCCTGTACGCCAGGAAGACCTCTCGGAGGAAGATGAGAGAAAGATGGGATTAATTTGTGAATTCTGCAATGCTAGCTGATCTCAATATGTACACCTCCCCGAGATCAACTGACGACTTCAAGTAACCTTGGCCTTGGCCTCTCGAAGGCTAGTCCCTCCCGTCACCTTCCTCGTGCCTTCCTCCTCCTCGTGACCGCATGAGACGCTGATTCCTATCAGTAAATCGTGCGACGAGCCGTGATAACCATCAGAAAGGTTATTTCCTAGCTTTATACAGTGTAGCTAGATCGAGCACTTCACCAGACTTGCTTGCGACGAACTCATGCGTCATGTGCGTGGAGTTGTGGAACGTGAGTTTACTCCATCCATAGGTCTTATTGAGCGTGTCGAGCCCGAACCGAGAGTAATCCATCAAGGGGTATTGGAGGTTGTCGAGTCCATCATAGTGTCCCGCGGCACCATTGGTAATGTACCAGGGTGCCTTGGGATTGTTCAGACCGGCGGGGTCCATGATACCATTTGCCAGCGGGTTCTGTCTCTCATAAACATGTGCATGGCCTGAGAGAACTAGGTCGACACCGTATTTGATATAGAGGGGCTCGAAGACATCTTTACACGTCCAGCAGATGGTGCCGCTGTCGTTGGCGTTACTCAGATACCAAGGACGGTGGCCGGCAACGATAACCCAGGGGGTCGCAGTGCGATTGACACTGGCAAGGTCCGCCTCGAGCCATTTGGTTTGTGCGTCTATCGTGGTGTTGAAGGGCCCACTGTCTTCGCCCTCGACCCCGCCAGGCTCATCAGGAGCAACAAAGCCGTGGCCAAGGTCAGTCTCGGTATCGACTTGGACGAAGTGGGTCATGCCGTGGTCGAAGGAGTACCAGAAATTGCCTGTGCCGCCAGATTCTGCGCTCGGCATCCGAAAGTGGTTGCGATAGCCCGTAAAGTTTGTCTGGCCAGGGATACAAATGCTCACATCATACGTTATGTTGTGGTACTTGTCGGTATAACCGCCATTATCGCAGTTAGCTTCGTGATTTCCGGGGCCAACCATGTAGGGCTTATAGGCAGTAATCGGGGTAAACTCGTCGTAAAAGTCGTTGAGGATCGACTCGTAAACATGAAATCCTTGGGCGATGGTGGTGTTGGGTAAGAAACCCTGAATTTCCTCTTTTAACCAGTAGTCCGCATAGGCAATGTCACCAGCTAAGGGCATTTCTTTAGTGGTCACACCTGGTTACAGATGGGGAAGACTTACGATGCCAGACAAAATCATAGCCGCCCTTGAATTTCTCCAGAGACTGGATCGTGTTGATTTCGCCCGGGGAGAGGGTGTTATTTTCGGAGACACCCTTTCCAGCATAAGTTGTCAACCCCTGGCTTCCCATGGTGCCCAAGTCAACGACAACTGCGACAGAGAATTCTGCTGGATTTCCAGCCGGTCGACCAGTGATGAAAGTATATGGACAGTGCGAATTCATATGGAGCAGGTGCTCTGGGAGGTAGTAGTAGAGCGTGTCTGGTTTGAGACCCGTGATTTTCACGTGGTTGTTGTACGTTAAAGAGGTCGGGTAAGTGACGGAAACGTTGGACGAGGCGGTCATATTCAAATGGTTTGGGAGCAGACCATAATGAACAGTCGGACGGGCCAATTTCTCGAACGTGTTCCAGCTGACGTACATGCCAGTGTCGCCCGCATAAGCTAGACGAAGCTGCGAGTTGATAGTATTGTTGGTGGCAGCATGGGCCAGCTGAACCACGCCAGCAGCCAGCAGGCCGGCGTACACGAAGCACAGCATCTTCTCCTTTGTCCTTCTCTCGATGGTCCGGTAGTGGGTAAAGAAAGAAAAAGGATGAGAACCACCGAACCACCGAACCACCGGGTCAAAGCTGGCACTCTATAAACAAGATGCTGCCGACCACCTGTCTTTTCTTTTTGTCCTCTGTCATTTTGCTTTTTGCCTAACGTGGCTGCATGCTTGATGAGACCGTGAAAATACTGCCAATAAGGGACTATGCCAGTGCACGTGTTCCGAAAATGCGAGCATAGCAAGGCAGATGAATGTTGATCACCGACAAATCTTGAGGCAAGCGGGGCGACTTGTCATTGAGCTCGGTCATCTTGCGAAGATTTTGCGGAATATTAGTCCAGCTCCAGCAGTGACCAGTGCGCAGGCCATTTTCATCTGGACGGTGGTCTATCTCTGACCATGGCCAGCGAATCTTCAAATCTCTGGCGTCGCAAATGTGCTCCTTTCCCCAGCTCGATACTCGGCAGGACCACTCCCAGTCAGGTGCGGGATCACGCACCTCGAAGCTGGTTCTCACGTGCGGCAAGACCAAGTCTAAGGAGGGTGCGACGCGAAGCCCGCAGGGCACATTGGCCGTGAAGGGGAGAATGGCCGACGCTTAGCTAGGGGACGCGAGGGACCCTGTTTCCAGAACAACGGCTTGACGCTAAGGCAGCGACTTGTGTTGACGGATGCGAGGCACAAAAGGAAGAGGGAGAGAGACAGAGGCTGGTTATTGTCGATATGTCTGGTGGCAGGGGGAGGGGGGGGGTTATGTGGGGGAGGATGGTATTGTGACCACCCGTTGGTACCTATGAATGACTTGTCTTTACAGGTACGGTAATGACCGTCATGGCGGCCAAAAGGGCTCCTAACATTTGCTTCTACAAGACGTCAAGTCCTCACAGGGGCACTTCACACACTTCCTTCCACAGCCATCGCGCCTTAGCCACTCATGTCGGCCAAGAACAGCACCACTTCTATTGCTTCCAAGTACAAGCAAGAACGGATTCGTGACAATCAGCGCCGCAGCCGTGCTCGACGCCAGGAATATCTTGCATCTCTTGAGAGACGGGTTCACGAGTCCTATATTGCCTGTCGTGACGCGGACCTTCAGCGCATTGCTTTTGCCGATCTTAAAGCTGAAAATGCTCGTTTGCGAGACCTATTGAAATCTGTCGGCATCGATCCAGGCCGCAAGCAAATTGACAGTCGAAAAGACGCGCCCCGGAACGCGACTGGTATTGCGCCTGCTTCGTTTCGACAAATAATGCCCAAATTATCGGCACCCAAGACACCAGGTCCCCTGCCTCCCAGACAACAGGAACGCAGAAGTGGGACGTGTTGTTCAACATGCTCGTATTCGTCACGCTGCCCCCCGCAGCCTGCTGCGTCCACTGAAAATATTGGAGTCTTGTATGATCAATGCCTCGACCAGCTCATGACCCTTCCGACAACACCCGCGGCGACACCCGCAATGACAATATCCTCAATGACCAATGCCTCCCCGAACACCACTCTGGATGACGAAACGGCAAACGAGGGTCAAGACAGTGCCTTCATTCGTGATACAATTCATATACCCTCGAACGAGTCTCTACCACATGACGAAGATCGCGTTCAGCGCTCAGTAATCAAAGGGATCGAACATCTCGATACGCCAACCAGTACGAACGACAACACTATCTCGACAGACCTGGATCAAAATGGAAGTCAGGAGGCGGAACAGTTGTACATACAAGTGATGGAGACCAGTTTGAAGGTGTTAGGAGCCGAGCATGTCTCGACGCTCACTATCATGGCCCACCTGGCGTCGACATACAGGAGTCAAAGGCGGTGGAAAGAAGCGGAAGAGCTGGACGCGAGACTATTGGAGGCCAGAATGAGGGTGCTCGGTGCGGAGGGTCTCTGAACAATCTAGAGACTAAATTTGGGAGCCGACGCTGGCAGGACTTGGCTGGGTCAGACTTGGATGAAGCCATTCCAGTGTCACGATGGAGCTACAAGGACGTAGGACAACAAATCTCGGACTTGCAGTACGATGATTAAAATGTACATATATATCATCAATTTGTGATCGCAGACCTAGCCGCTCAACCTTAAGAAACCGCGAAAGCCATTGCATACACGACGTTGAACGTCCAGGTCCGCCAGAAGGGTGCTTGGCTCCTTCACCAAGGCTGCGACCAAGCAAAATCAGGTCTTGGGTAAAGGATCCTGTTCAATCGGACCATGTCTGCGCTTGAGTTGAGAATGCCTCTGGTTGTACCAGCGGGGTTGGGTTGGTATTGGAACTCGGGTCAGACTCGGTCTTTGTTTGGCACGGTTGGGCATGCTACATAGCTGCAAAGACTCATCACGAGTCTGCAGAAGCAGTACTGGTAGACAAAGGTCGGTGTGGGCGAAGATTACTCGTAGTTAACTGAGCTGCCAAAAGATACCTAGGTACTCGGTATGGATCATTACCGTACCACCACGTCAATACTTTCCTCCGCCGCTTAGGACCGCCGCTCCTCCCAAGGCTGAGCTCCCCTGGCTCCTCTTTCGCTGCTAGCGGGATCTTGGCACGGGGATCAAGCGTCTGCCAAGAAAATGCTTACGCGGCAACCTTTGGTAATTGCGACGGTGTAATGGGTTCGGCTTTAATATTTGCTTGCTGGCGTGGCCAAAATGGGCAAGGGATCGGTTCGTCAGAAGCCCTACCGGAAATCTGCCAACATGATTGGAGTCTCCTCACGTGGCCAAATGCCACCGCCTCCGTCGCCATGATACCCCAGTACCGTTTCAGTGATCAGACTCGTGGCCGGTTTTCACCTGGCAAGACCTGGGTAGCTGCGATAAATTAGACCTCGGGGACTCCCAAAGCTTATTTAAATAAGCTCTTCCCATAGGGGAAGGAGGAAGACAAGTTGAGGATTCTTGTTTAACCATGACCGAGGGGTGGGAGGTAACCCGTGGAATCCCTGTTCTTTGCGAGAAGGCCGCTCTGGAACAGACATGCATTGGCGAAGGAGGTTTTCGATTTGCCTCGTTTTCATTCTGATATGCGTTATCCTGTTGCTGTACCTCTATCGCGGTTTACTCCTGAGCTCGGGGGATATTTTAATCAGAGCATTGCAAATCCGTAAGGCTTGCTTTTCTACCCCATGTTAACCCGCCGCACCTATGCGCCTTGGCATGTCAGTCCTAACCTCGCTGTCTGTTTCGTACAGCAATGAATGAACCTGCTACAAAGACACCGCTATTGCATGTCTCAGACATGGGCAATCAGTCGTCGCCGCGAAACGATTCGGCAATTATAGCCCTTGTTCGGACCGAAGAACTAGATGGGATCATATATTCCATGCGTCAGATGGAGCGAAACTTCAACGCCAAATTTGGATATCCATGGATTTTCTTCAATGACAAACCCTTCACTGAAGAGTTTAAGCGGCGGACCAGGTTGGAAACGCGAGCGTCATGTCTTTACGGTAACAGTCCCCGCTTGATATCCAGGCTGTGTGAGTCGTGGCAAAGGATTCTCATAAACGTACCTGCAGAACAGATCCCTTCAGAGCATTGGGATGTACCCAGCTCTGTTGACCCGCACCAATTGACAAAGCACATGGCCGACATGAAATCCCGTGGCGTTAAGCACGCGTCAGACTTGAGCTATCATCAAATGTGTCGGTGGTACTCAGGCTTCTTCTACAAGCATCCTGCCCTTAGTCACCTTCGATATTACTGGCGGGTCGAACCCTGGATCAAGTAAGAAGCTCAATCTTTTATTTTGCTATCTTCTTCTTTTCCCCTCCCCTCTCCCCCCCCCCCGGCCTACCCCCCTCTCCCGGCCCCCAAAGAAGAGTGTTCTGAGTTGTGTTACTGGTCCCGGATTGACTGATCCAACTATTTTCATAGGCTCTTTTGCCCCATTGAGTACGACGTCTTCCAGTACTTATCAGACAATGACAAAGTATACGGATTCACCATTAATATCTATGACGATCCTCTTACTCTCCCCTCGCTATGGCCGGAAACACTCGCCTTCCTCGTGGAGAATTCCCATCACCTTGGCCAGAATAACGCCTGGAAATGGCTGACAGACAATACGCACAGGCCTGATGTCAACCTTCGGGCAAACGGCTTCAGCACATGCCACTTTTGGAGTAATTTCGAGATCGCCGACCTCAACTTCTGGAGAGGTGATGCTTACGATTCTTACTTTCAACATCTGGACCGCTCTAACGGGTTCTTTTACGAGCGCTGGGGAGACGCGCCGGTGCACAGCATAGGTGTGGGGTTATTCGAAAACATCTCTAGAATCCACTGGTATGTTACTATGGCCCCCGAATTAATGGCCCTCTTTAGCCCCACGGAGGTTCTTGGCTGATAATTTCCCCTTAGGTTTCGAGATATTGGCTACCAACATACCGTCTACGCCAACTGCCCCGATTCAGACCGGTGTAACGGCTGTGAACCAAACAAATTTGCCCCCATTGCTTTCTGGCTTAATCAAGAGGACTGCCGTGTCAACTGGCTGGACCAGGTGTGCCAAGGCAGTGCCATGGAACATGGTTATCTGTGCCCGAAACGAAATAGAAATCATTGACGAGATTGCCCTCTATATTAGAAGGGTCTTGCGTCTCAATTTATGGCTTCGCCGAACAGATCCAGACAAACACAATTACATTCCCCTCCCCTCCCCTCACCCCCCCCTCTTTCCATGCCCCCAAAATTGACAGTTGAGGCAGTAAATTCTGCCTGGACGTGCACGAATCGGACGCCGGCCGGACTCCCGGCGGGTCCTGTCATGTTTTCGGTCGTTTTAACTTCAAAATGCACGGCCAAGTGGCAGGGCCAGTCGTGATCCCACTTGCACCAGGCGTCATTCATACGATCTTTGAAGTTGGAGGCGTTTTCGTAGCATCGCCGTCGCTGGTGTGGGCTAAGCGGACCTGTAGGATGAAACCGAGAATCGAACTTCCGGAGCTGGACGGGAGAAGCAGAGTCCTCACATCAATCGATATGACGAATGGAGGCAGAAATGAGAGAGCCTCTCATTATAATAAGCTCACGCATTACGGTTAATTATGGTCAAAACTTAGATAGATGGTACGACCCAGTGCTAGTCTTTCCCCAAAACGTGCTGTAGTAGATCAAAGCACGCTTTGCGAGAGTCAAATCAAGGTTAAGATCTGAAACTTCTAGAAAGATCTATACAAAATCTAAACCAAACCACGGGGGGAGGAAATCACAGTGTCCGCTGGTGGCTTGGAGGCTTTGACACATGACAATCCCGGGTCAAAGTATGGTCCTGCGCCACAAGTGTCTCGATACCGTCTGCGCCCATTTGTCTCGGTTCAAACAGCTGCTTGTTGATGATCCCTCTTCTTTTCTCTCTCCATCCTCCACCGCATGCCATACCTCGACTGTGCCCAGGCCAGCGATGAAAACACGGCCGTGATTCCCGCCAATATCGCAAAGGAAATCTTGGGTCCAACGAGAGACAACAGTGGCTCAGTCACTCCAACGCCCACAGCACCAACAGAACACCGCATCAGATTATTCATGGCCGTTGCACTGGCCGATTTGCCGGGAAAGAGATCAATCACAAGGGCTGAATTGATATTAAAAACGGATGTCGCCGTGGCGGAGACTTTTGGGATCACTTCGTTAGTGACGGACGTCGGAAACGGTCAAGCAAGGCAGGAAGTCGACCCACTGATGAACTGTAGCAGAAATGGCAGATCAATGTCCGTACCGAGACTGAACCCGAATGCGGCGAGAGTCCCAATAAATAGCATGACTACCCACCAAAGATTGCGGAGCCGGGCACGCTCGACTGGAAAGTCGGAAAAGTCTCTTGGGTTGATCTTAGTCGAAGGAGGAAGCTTGCGCCGTTTGCGGTACTCCTTTTCTGTCTTCTTGTAGTCGTGGTCTAGGAGAACTCCTGTTGCAATGCTGCCCACGACGCAGCCAAGTCCTGCCTCCGATTAGCTTGTGCCCGTGCGTCGCGTCCCGCTGGTGTCTTGTAACGAACCACTGGGTACAAAGGCCAAACCCAGCTGCACGTTACTTAGGTTGTAATGTTCTTTGAAAAGTTTGGTGGTACTGGCAGTCATCATGCTCCAGACTGCGTAGACGATGCTCCCAAAAAAGAGCGTGACAAAGACGTCCTTAGCCAACAAGCTCTTCAGAGGTTGAAATACGGCGGCCCAGGAAAAGGCTGCTCGGCCGCCGAGATCCGCTTCCGTTCGGCCTGTTGGCTCATCCACAAGAAGAGGAAGCACTGGTCGATACAGAAAACCTCTTAATCTGACGCTTCCATCTCCGGCAATGGACCGTAGCGTCTCCGGAAGGATCAAGATGATGATCGTAACAACAACCGCTCCGAGGATAAGGAGAAAGTAGAATATGGCACGGAAGCCCAGAAATTGAGTGAGTGTACCTCCAACCACAGGGCCGACGGATTGACCGAGCATACGCACTATACGTAGTTTCATCAGCCTAACGGCCAGGGGAATAAAGGAAAAAGAATCACAGACTTCCACTGAAGACCCCAACGAAGCCACCACGTTCAGCAGGTTCTGCAAGATCACTGATGATACCAGAGCCTGTGACGCATGGCTATTAGTGGCTGTGGGCGCATAGAGTGATTGACCTGACCTATTGCAATTGTGGCCGAGCTCCCGAATGCCTGCAAGCCACGGAATACCATAAGAGCGGAGAAGTTGGGCGTCAACCCAAGCCCAAGATTCGCAATCAAATATGATGTCAATGTGTATATCAGAGTCTGTCTCCGGCCTCTTGAATCCGCAAGCGCCCCCCAAAAAGAGGGTGCCAGCCCCTGTACAACCATGTATACAGTAATGCTTAAGAGGACAGCGCCGACAGTGACATGAAGATCCTAACTCTCTGATTAGAATGGCTCTGGCAGATTGTTTTGAACAGCACATCATACCTTTGCAATCTGATCGACTGCTGGGAGATAGATATTGGACGATAGAGGAGAGAAAAAAGCGGCCATGGATATGAGGTAGACAATGACTCTCTTCTGTCTTTTCTCTAGAACGTGGTACGGTGCAGCCGGCAGGGGTTTTGTGATGGACGGTTCCGAAGACGACTTGCTCGACCCCGTAGGCTCGGAGGATTGGCTCTGATATTCTTCCGTGTTGGCCTTCAATCCCAGACTCTGCCGCTCGCCTTGCAGTAGGCGGTGCGAACGTGCTCGACCATCGGGTTGAGGTGGCACCGGCTCCCGTTTCAAGGCCTCTTTTCCCCCAGGATCTTGGTATTTGGGACCGTATTGCTGAGCAAGTTCCATAGTCATGGCCAACACAAGTCGAAGGAAGAGAAGTAGGGTTGAGCTTTGGAGGAAAACGTAGAAACTGAAGAGATCTGCGGAATTTATACAGAATCAACTTCCGGTCCTTGGCTCTTCTAGGAAAACTCATGGTGCAACAAGGCACGCCGGCAGAGGAGACGAATGTTGGAGAGACATTGAAGCATGTGAAATCCCAGCACTGAAGCCAATAGAGATCAAAAGTATCTGCATGTAACATAGATGTGTTGTCCAGTTTGGCGGACTCCAAAGCATTGGATATTGTACCTCTCCGTGAGCTCTCATGCATGCATGCCGCGCAATCGAGGACGGAAAATAATGTAGGAATAACGCCTGTCAAACACGACTGACTGACTAGTGTGTATCATATTTGTTAAAACCGGACAGGTGGTCGAGAACGGGTAGAAATATCAGACCGTAGAGACGCCAGCCTTGGTCACCGCAAAGGCAATATTCTTGGCTCGACAGTGGACGCCTTGTCAACCAAGCAATGCTTACGCGGCAAGCTTCAGCACATAGCTTCGCTGCCTTATCTGTACCTGAAACTAATTCCAAACGCTTTGGGCGATGAGTGTCCTGTCGATCCGCGACTAATGATCCTTTCTGGACGACTGGGGAACCTCTGGAATAACCGAAAAGGTGTTATTGTTGCTTCCATGGCTTAGTTCAGGCGAGGCGGGGTCTTGGGACGCAACGTCTTCAGAGACTGGGGGGCGTAGGAGAGCATAATAGGCCTAGAGCCCGAAATATTTCCTTCAGACGGGGTCGCTGGCATGAGTTGGCTCTTAGAACAGTCTCACTTCACGGTAAGAGTGAGCGTAGCTGCATACCTGAGCAGTTTCCCCAAGACAGCCCGATGTGTCGATTTGCTCCTAAATCTTCAGAAGGCCATATCAACATGTTACATACTTTCGGTCTCATGTTCTCAGTTCACGTTCTCTGGTTCTGATCGGAGTCTTGTCTCGTATAAGGCCTACTTCTGGTATACGATCACCATGCTTCATGATGTTGGCCTCCGAGTTCGGTAAGGATGCCGGCTAGAAATAATTTTCGTGTGTCAGAGTATATATACTCCCTTCATTCGTATACAAAGACATCGATTCGACCAATCTCTGATGCAGCAAAAGAACCCACTGGTAGAGGGGCCTCATGGTGACGAGAAACTGCAACAAAAGCCCGAGGAATTTTGCCGGCCTTAATTTGTTTTGGATGGTTGGATGCTGCGAGGTGCCAGAATAGGTTCTCCTGAACCACCAGTGTACACCCGGTCTGGAGCTTCTGTTCCTAGATACCGTAATTCGAAGTCGGAATTTACACCATTCTCTTCGTCCCGGGGGCGGTCATTTTCTACCACACCAAAGTCCTTGAGCTTCTCCCTAGGACGCCAGGCGAGTGGACCGTATCCTTGCCGGGCGGGCAGGTGGTATAGCCGAAAGCTTGCCCATCCAATAACTGTCCCTATGATGGCTCCACCAATGATGTCGAATCCCGCATGGTGGAAGTCTGCGTATCTGCTAGAACAGATGAACAGTGCCGCGATGATAGGTGCAAGTGTTGCTCCAGTCAGCCATAGAGGTGGCGCTGCTTGTTTGTCCTTCGCCGAAGCGAGTGCGTTCCAGCTGCTAGTTTCTCGCGGAGTTCTCTTCGAAGTAAGTTCAAGGTAAGGGATTCCTAACGATAAGCGGGCATAGAGCCACAGGCTGAGGTAGACCATACCGGCCGAGGAGAAGGAGGAATGTCCAGAAGGAAAAGCGGCGAAGCTATCGTCAAGGAGCCGTTTATCAGATTGCTGGCAAATGGCAGAGCTAACGAGTGACTCGGCTTCCGAGTTCAGCGAGTTTCCAAATCCGCCGACGATATATTGAGATATGTTTGATAAGTCGGGAGCACACCGTGCGAGGAGATTCGGTCGAGGCTTTCCAACCATGTCCTTCAATCCCGCAGTCACGAAAAGCGTTGCGGCGAGGGCAGTGCAGAGGCCCAGCCAGCCGACATGTGCTTCCCAGACTACCCTGCGCCATGCATCTTTTCTTGTGCGGTCGTGGTTGCGGTTGAAAGCTAGTCCCCCAAAATTCAAGACAGCAATGATGCACGCGGGTGCAAGTAAGGCGACGACCACGACGACCGGTATCGACACAATATCTGGCTTGTTGGGGTAGGCAATGGCGGCGTCAGTAAGCGAAAATGGTCTATGGTAGCCGCTTATATAATTCAGGACGCCTCCGGCAGCTGCAAAGACACTGTTGCGATGGCCACGGTGATTAGACAACTAGAGCTTCCGTAGGTTTGGCGAGGGCGGAAGAAGGGAGACTTACACCACAACGGCCCAGTCAAAGAGATAAGAAAAAATGAGTCGAATAGCGAAGGATGCTGCCATTGTTGAAAGAGAACCAAGGGTAGATTGACGGCCAAACCAGTCCACACTATCTGCCTGACAAGCCTGCTGTTATGATTCTGGGAGGCTCGTTCACTTGATTCGCAATGCCGTCGCAGCGTTGTGTGAAGGGTTCTTGGCAGGGGAGATTTCGAAGTTTGGTGTGTGCGTGTGTGAGAGAGACAGAGAGAGCGCGCGAGAGAGGGAGAGCTCTTGCCACTTCTCAGGGAGGGACGATTAAGTGTAAGATCAGAATATTTAAGACGAGCAGAGGGAGAGGGAGGGCGAGAGGGACGGACCATGTTGTCGGGGCCGGTCCAACAGGCGAGCCAGGCCAACGTCACTCGTCCGGAAATTGTTTATGCCCCTTGATGAGAGCCATTGACGCTCATCTGGAAGCGGATTGATGGTGCACATCATGCCCGGTTGGGTCATTGGGGGGCAGAGGACTTGAAGACGATTTAGAGGGTGGGCTCGTCATGATGCAACGACAAACATGCAGCCCGCCTCGCCATTGGGTGGTCGCGTGACCCATTCCGCCGTGGTGATGGTAGTCGTGGTATGGTGGCTTGCAAGCCGCGTGTCTGGTCTTGGCCGGCGAGCTTGTGTCGAAGCCAATGCTCTGTCGATGCCAAACGCCAAATGAGACGTCAAAGGGAGATGCTTCCCTGTCTTGTCCTGTCCTCACTCGTTTGAGTTGGCGTCAGATGCACTATTACGATAGGGTCTCTGAATGCCGCACAGACGCAGACGTAGCATTCAACCCACCAGAGGAATGCATTTCCTCCTGACCACTGATTAGGCTCCAACTAAAGCCAGTCCTTGCGGACCGTAACATATTCCTCCCGACTTCGTCACGTTCAAAAGCATTCTTCAGACGTGTGGAAGCTCGTTGGCCCCACGACGCAGAGCATAAGCCGCTGTGACCAATCTCATCCCTCGACTCCCCTTCCCAACCAACAGCAGCAACATATTCTGTCCGTCCTGATCGATCCGTGCCGCAGATTCAAGATACCCGTGGACCGGATAGACTAAATATCTTGGTCAACCTCCACTAGGGAGCTGGAGACAGCTAAAGAGACAGCGTTTGCTCAGGAGTGCCCGGTCGCGGCAACCATTTGGTTCCTCATCATCGTTGTTCATGTGGATGATGGAATGCCTTTAGTATTCATGAAGGGACCGTGCACAGTTGCTCACAGACTAATCAAATATGATAGATATATTGTAAGTGGCTACGGGAGAGGGCAAAGATGATCAATAGAGAAAGGGTCTGTGCAATCTGTACAAACAAGCATCCCCATTCCTGGTGGATTCGGAGGGATTCCGAAGAGTAAAGGTGGTAGGCATCGCCCGCTTCCCTGGCTTGTCCATTACGCTCTTTGACAAAAGATTCTCATTTTGTTACATACCATACAAACCATGTCAGATGCCCACTTAAGGTCCACTGTAGGTACTTCGTTCTGGAACGCCAAGTCTCTAGCGCATACTCTAACGAAATGCGGCATCCCGAAAGCCGATTGAGGTGAAAGTGCCAAGCTCAGTCGGCCGAAGCTTCTTCGGGCGAGAAAGCCATAAACCCGAACCGACGACTATGTAACCTAGGTTTCGATGAAGAGGTCTGGTGGTCATGGTAACGTGGGGGTATGGTATTGAGTAAATATACAGAATGACTGTACTGACTGTAAAATGGAAAAAAAAAAATGAAAATCATCAAGGGGCCTAGAGGTTTCACGCCGGGATCCAAAAAGGCAAGTAAGGAAGGCCTCCGCTAGCTTCCACAAGTACAAGAGTGGCGAGGGGGATTACACCCAGTCAAAGCTCTTTTCTTTTCTCCGAGAGGAAGAGTTGCTCTTCCTGGAGACGTGTAATAGTAGTCCGTATTTTTCCAGAGAGAGGACTATATTTTTGAATCTCTGCTGTCGATACCTTGATCATGACGAGGCCCCCCAAGGCCGAGAACGCTTGGGGAAAGCAACTTATATCCCAGGCTGCGCTGGAAATTAAGTGGAGAGGTGCGTCTTTGGCAGGGAAGAGTGAAGAGATTGGCGGTTAGGGTAGCGAGCTCAAAGTATCATGACTTCACTTTAACTCGGGTGCCCGGATGCTCCCGTGGCACATTTTGCCCGATAATAGAGGGAACGACTTCACCCTCCGGCGCATCCTTTATATATAGGCTTGGTTGTCTCTTGACGCTTAGAAGCCGTCACCTCGTAGTTTAATTAGCCGTTTGTTGTGATGTGAGGTCTGCCGATATCAAGACTACGAGTGCTGTTCATGGGAGAAAAGGCGAGAAGGCACTGTCACTCACATGGATCGACTTCTCTGGAAAATCAGACTTTCCCACATAAACTGGGTGAAGCGGATTGACGCCAAACACCGAGGCCGAACTTTGTATATCTGACCTTGGCGCCGAACTCAGTGGTCCATGCCCATTTCGAAATATACCACTTGGACGGAAGGGAACAGGGATTGATGCCAGTTTTGGCTAACTGGGAAGCCTTCAGTTCCTGCACATGTTCCCTTCGAAGGTGCCCTAGTGGTGGTCAGCATTCAATTTAGTAGACGGTCTAGCCAGGAATCAAGTACATCCGACTGAGTACAGGGTGACTGGATTAGGAAAGAAACCAGAAGGTCAAGAAGCACTGTCGCCATTGGCGAGTAGTGGAGCACTCACCCCGCGTATCCCCTCAAGATAAAAGTGCTCAAATGTACTCAAATGCTGGACGATCAAATCCCCCCTCCAGTACTTGCGATGGTGCATTAGTCGTGTCTGAAGGGGACTAGAGTGGAAAGTCAGTCTGGAATAGGTTAGCGTCATTGGTACTGAGGGAAGACCGCTAAAACCGCCAACCGCCTCCAAAAGCGGCGGGAAATTTTCGTGGGGATTGTCACGAGGACTGCAACCGGCGAGGTAGAGCGGTCATCCAGCGGTCGAGGCCCGCGATACCTAGCCCGTGAAAAAGGATGAAGCAGAGAGAAAACACGAAGTAGCTTTTAAAAGAACGGCGTGAGGGGTTGTCGAGTTTGGATTCTGCACTGATCTGGCCTCTATCAGTTCACGTCAATTCATGGATTTCTTTCTTGCAACTGTGGTGGACATGAATGATTCAATCGCCAGGGCAAAACATCTCCCATTTCCCTCTCCATCCAAGCACAACCTTTGGGGATCGCTGTTACTTTCTCGCATGGTTCCTCCGTCTCAGAGAATCCAGGGCCTAAAATCACATTCAGCCTAGACACGCTCATCAGCCTCGGCTCTGTTTGATATCCGCCTTTATCGACTGGTTGTCAGCCCTTTTCTACACATTGTTTCGCACAGCCCGAAAAGTTTGATTCTGCGCCGCGGCGCCCTCCGCACTTGCAAGCGCTGAGTAGACCCGAAATCCGAACTCGTCGTGCTCATCGCATGATCTCATTCCAAATCAACGCCTTCAATTCCTCCTTACTGAGCTGGTCCTTATTTCTATCGAAATCGAAGAACTCTTCTGGAATAGGCTCGGCGGTTGGCTCATCGTCAGGGTCGTGATATGGTTCGAGATACGGATGCTTGAGGGCGTCTTCAACAGTAATGCGCTTGACCGGATTAAACGCTAGCAGCTTCTCCAGCAGGTCCAGTGCCAGATCAGAAGTCTTGGGAAAGAGCGCTTTTAAGGGAATCTTCTTCTTGAAGGGCAAGGAACGAATGTATTCGCGTGCACGTCGGGACTTGATGCCATAATAGTCCTCCATTGTTGGGGTGCCGAGGACATCCAAGATGAGGGTGAGCTGATGGTGATCTAGAAGATTGTCAGCTCGGTCCACAGTCACAAAGGTCGCGATACGCACAGTCTTTGCCAGGGAACAGGGGCTTGCCACTCAACATCTCTGCAAGAATACACCCAACGCTCCATACGTCAATGGCCTTCGTGTATTCCTTGAAGGTGAGCATGATTTCTGGAGCACGGTACCATCTTGTTGCAACATATTCGGTCATGAACCCTGAATTGTCGTCGGTCGAAGCTGCAGATCTAGCCAAGCCGAAGTCGCAGACTTTGAGATCGCAGTTGGCATTGAGTAACAGATTTGATGGCTTCAGGTCTCGATGTAGAACGTTCGCAGAGTGCATGGCCTTGAGAGCGCGGAGAGTCTGATAGATGAAATACTGGCAGTGATCGTCGGAGAGATCTTGGGTTCTAATCACGCGGTGCATGTCTGTTTCCATGAGTTCCTGGAAAAGAAGTGTCAATACTTTGTCTTCTGCTCTTTTTCGTTCCCAAACGAACCTGAATGAGATAGACCTCAGAGAAAGACTCGTAATTTCGTGGCTTCTGGATGTCAAGAATGGAGATGATGTTCTCGTGGTTGAAGTATCGTAGCAGCTTCATTTCTCGTAGCGTGCGCAGGCAGAACATGGAATGATCAAAAGGCGTGATCTTCTTGATTGCCACTTTCTGACCAGATGGCTTGTGCAGGGCAGAGCTTTGAAAAATCAGTTGGCGCACCTTACATTGAGCATGAGAAACTTACCAGACGACGCCATAAGCACCCTCCCCAATGACATCCTGAATGTCGTACTGGTCAGAGACATTGAATGAAATTTTTCTGGAGCCTCCTGACGGCGCAGTTTGTTGCTGTGGTTGTCCCATGTTGCTGGCAAGTCGCAGTGTGTGATCCTCTTGGATCTACAGGTGAGCGATCGGGCACGAATCCCTGCCTTTCAAATCCTATGCGATATCCAAACTAATACAATCACTGTGCTTCGACCGCGGGCAGCTCTCGCCTTGCTGATTTAGTTCAAGGTAATGAGGGTGAGGGTGAGGTTGCGGCCTTTAAGATCGGAAATGAGAGCGAGGGAAAATTCGCTTGCGCTTGGACCCTGGTCGAAGTTGCTTTCCGCCAGTCTGCGCTGTTTCAGAGTGGAAGATGGGGCGTCTGGATGCGAGTCCCGTACTTGAGGCGACGCAGTTGATAGTGCTCGAGATGGTACCCGTCGTCGCTGGCAAGGAGCGATACCCCAGCAGTGTAGTTTGATTGCGCAGCTGGGCAAGTAGAGAGTTGTGGAGGGTGCTGAACGCTGTAGGGTGTCAAATTCCACATTCCTTTTGGCATGCGACAACAAACAAGGCGGAGACAACGTACCAAATTGGTTTCCTGGCTGAGCTTGTCGCGCTGCGAGGTTCAAGTTTTATCTACAGTCTTCAGGGCGGTAAAGGCCTGGTGGGTTTTTGGAGGGTGCGAAGAGGGTGCAATGGCGGGGTTGTGCAGATGAGGCGGTTGCAGGTGACCACCTTGCAGTCGGACAGGGCAAGAAAAAAAGTCTCAACAATGAGCGAAACGAGGAATCAAAGAAGAACGAGACAAAAAGTCTGCAACGAGATGGCGCCGCAAGGTGATCAGAAGGTGAAGGTGCGTATCACGTATCACACACGGTAGGAGAGTGAAGCACCTGGCATTCACACTCAAGGACCGAATCCCCATTCACGCCGCGACCGAATTGAAGGACGTCTCGATGAATAGGCGCCCGCATTGGCTCACTAGGCTGGGCTAGGCTTGGACCTGACCCGGCTAAGCAGAATATAGCGGCCTCGAGAGTCCCAATGGCGGCCTCACTAGCCCCCGGCGGCCGGCTTAACCCCTTCCATCCATGGCCTCAGACGGGGTCGCCCATCCTGTGACAGCCTTTGCAGGCCTCTAACCCACCCATTTGCCTTGTTTGAGCGTGTCGGATCATCGTTTCATCCTATCCCTGTTGCCGCAGGCCATGAGCTGCCCCAAAGCTAGAAATAGCCCATGTCTGGAGCCTCGTCGTCACCCTGATCGCTGACTACCCCATAGGCCACAGCGGAGCGAGCCTTCCTATCTAGCCCAAGTTTATTGTGTACATGCTTTGCCACAAGGACGGAGTATCGAGTGCGTCGTTCAACCTGACCTTGCATACCTTCCATGCACAGATAGCATCCCCCTTTTCTGCTTGATCTCGTGGGCGCTGAACCTCCTGTTGCTGTGGCCACCCAAAGACCCAGCTAGCATCCAAGCGTGGTATTTATTGCATGACCTGCATTAAAAAGGAGTCAACAATCCGCACCCAGCATAGCTGAATGTTCAATCAAGACTGTACCTTTTCGCGCATCATCCCCATCCATTGCTGTAAGCTCACTCCTTGGTCTGCTCGGTCCTCCACGAGCATCGTTTGTGCCCAAAGCCTCAATCCGGGTTCGCCATCCTCTTTCACCACATAGAGATGTGGCACCACGATACTGCCCACCCCTTTGGACTTGTGGTCGCGGCTCTTGGAGACGACTGCTCTCACACGCTCGCTGAAATCATTGTCCAGCTCAGGTAGTCGTTGCTTGCCCACTTTGAGTTGACTCTTGTCAGACAGACCGAAGACGTCGATTATCAGCTGCGGAACAGCATCACGTCCGACCCAAAGGAACTGGGTCTGACCGTCATCAATCAGATACAGTCCATACGGCACGATCCTTTCCGATGATAGATTGATTGGCGGCGGGAGAATGATCTCGCCAGTCTTCTCATCGACTGTCCCTGCATCATCTGGCATGTCGTGAAGGGAAAACATTTTGGGATAGATGTACTGTATCAGCAACGGGAGCGGCAGGGTCGATAGCAAGCACAGAGCGGCTGACCGCATGTCGCTGGGTATTTGTGACGATCTCCTGAGACCTAGGTTCTTGATCAAGGCAAGGAAAAGCACGGGCAGGCCTCGAAGGTTAGCAGGGAATTGAAGCCCACCTCCACCCATACTGCCTCCTGCAAGCTCTTTCTTGTACGTGGCCAGAAGCTCGACCAATTTATTTTGGATCATGTCTCGGGCACTGTCAAGCCCACTGTTAAGGACGCGTTCGACGGCTTTATGGCTGAAATACTCTGTGATAGCTTGCTGGTCGGCCGAGGCGTAGACATCGGCCAATTGCTGGGTCGTGGGTAGCGCGAGGGTCATGACTCGAATTCGTCGTTCGCCGTTGCATGTAGTGTGAAGGACAGCAGTCTGCATACACACTACAGGCTTCGTGATAGTCTCGTCAATCGCCACCTCCACAACGTAGCTCTGATCTCGTGGGAATGCTGGGAACGCACAGAGATCCGAGCTGCGGTTGAAGAAATTGCCATAGAAGGTGCTCATTCGCAATCCGGTCGTGGCTCGAACACGGAGAACGGCCTCCAAACCAATCTCTGCCGACAAGTAGTCAGAGAACTCTTTGGCAAACTTCATGGCGTCTTCTTCTCTCGCGGCATTCCAACCAGGATAAAAGTAAGTCTGTCCACCAGTGTATCTGGGCAAATTGCTCAGAGAAGCCACGTCCTGATACTGTGAGGAGAAGAGGAACATGTCCACCGAGATTTGCTGCTTCGAACATTCAACGGCAAAGCTCTTGTAGAAGCTGTTCCCAGTCTGCAACAGGCTGCTTTCCTTCGATGTGCCGAGTAACTTCTTGTCCTCACGCATTTCCAGTTTGCCATGGCCGATATTAGGAATCGAAGCAGTGACGACCGTCATTTTCCCACCAACTGGTCCAATAAGCTTATGCCCTGCACGAAGGGCAGATCCCATGGCAGATGCGCCGTTCTGGGTATTCTGGAACATCTCTTGAAGTTTATCCAAGAAATTTTCAATGTTTTCGCGGCATTCGGTCAATGTCACGAGTAAATCAGCAGGCGTGGGTAAGAACGCCTCTTCGAGGTCGCTAACCACCAGCATGCTTGTTTGGGCGTTCTCGGTCCCATCACGAGGGATATTGAAGAAGTGTAAACTGGAATCAACCGCAATGAAGCCCAGCCGCGTACGTCGATCTGCATTTGGTATCCGATCCAAGCTCTCTCGGATACATCTTGCCGTCGTCGCAAGGAGCCCACTCGACACCGCCGCATAACTTACGTCGAGCAAGAACAGATACACAAGCGGTTGTGGAGGCCGGACCATATATTCCTGTGGCGCAATGAACTCTACCACTGCGTGATTCAGATCTGGTCTCTGCCATCTGTCGAGACTTTTCTGGGCAGCTGCATCCCAGTCAAAGGCTTGCGGCACATCGTTGGTCAGGTTGCACATGTTACATCTCCATCGATGCCCGTGGTCCAGGAAGGTGACAAAGGGATTGATGTATGACCGACATCTTCTGCAACGGGATATCACCTGGTCCGGCACTACAGGCACAGGATCTTCAACGTCGTGTAGAGAAGTGTACGGTTGGATGACGAGGGCGAATGGAAGTTTTGACTTTTTGAGAAGGGAATGAGTAGTGGGAACAGCGTTCAACGTCGACCGGACGTATTTTGGTGGGCAATTGGCGAAAGGTGAGGGCGTAACACTTGTCTATCAAGATATTTAGCTTCTGACACGGAGAGGGGGAGGGCACATTCGTACATTGGGAGGGAGAATCACTGGTGGGGGTGGAAAGTCCAGCTCTGCGACATTGAATGGCTGATTTGAGAGGTCCGTTGGGTACAGCTGGTTCAAGACCGGAGCACGTTGCGCCTGTTGGGGCGCAGCGGCCACAGGCGGCTTTTGCGAGATGTCCATCTCACCAAACTGTTGAGTCATTCCTGCCACACCACCCGGCGTAGGGTAGGGTGGAGTGGGAGGTTGATAACCCCCTAGCGCAGCAGCTGGCTCCTGACCAGGGTACAGAGGTGTTGCATTCTGTTGCACGGCCGCAGGGTTCTGCTGATAACCTCCCTGCGGATAGCCTGCTGCATCTTGTTGGACGGAATATCCAGAGTATGCGCCGCCAGCTTGTTGTTGTCCTCCCAGGGCAGCATTCGCTCCAGCACCAAACTCATAGGCTTGTCCTGCATAAGCCCGCTTCTTCCGACCACCGTGAGCCAGACCTGGCGCAGGTCCTGTCTGCACTCCTGGCGGAGAGTTGGTTTCGTAGTTTTCATAATTTTGGCCGGCAGGTGGTTGCGCTGGCTGCTGACCGTAACCCTCCTGCACCGGCACGCCTTGCTGCGGATATTGCTGAGGATATTGTTGCGACATGTCGAATCACAGGCCCCGAGTCTCGTGCACGCAATTCTTGGACCAGACTTGAAGACAGCGACAAAGGAGCGAAGGTCCGACTGTGGAGTGGAGGGGACGAGGAGTGCGGAGGGAGGGCACTGAGAGGGAGATTTGCCGACAATGTGCGAGGCTCTTTATTGTCTTGATCGGTGCAGGATGACGTCCATACCGATCTAAAAATGAGCAAAATGTACACACAGCTTGGTCAGAGGGGAAAACAAGGAATGTTTCTAGTTGCGAGGAGTCTGGCGAGGTGGTGCTGGCTGAGCAGACAGCAGACAACTTGTCCTCAGACGTGATGGAAATCTGTTCCCCTGCGGCACTCGGCGCAGTTGCAAGATTGGCCAATCGGCGACAAGTTACAACTTGGTCCCAATGCCCCCTTCAAGGCGCCAGCTAAGCTCGCTCAACTCGCTCTCCTGCACTTTTTCGCGTCCACACGCTATCCTCAAGTCGTTCATGGGGCCATGATAGAAGCAGAGGTCGAGTGAAGGCATTATATCGATATTCTCTCAGGCAAATGAAATACCGAGAGAGTTGCTATCTGCCCAAATGTTCCTGGACACCTTACCATGCGCGCTAAATGACAACCAGACCCCTCGAAAGAACGCTTTTCGTCTTCAAGATGGTTGCAGCTGCTTAAGATGCTTATTGAATCATCCCTTTTCAGACACTCCGTGCCCCCCAATCGTAAGTTACTTTGCCTTCGTGGGCCGGTAGCAGGGTTGCAGGCGCTGTGGTCAACCCAGCCAAGATGAATATGGTGGCAATGATGGCCTCCATGAGAACGCCCATTATGCCATGAACAAGAACGGCAGTCCAATTGAGGCTCCAAGTGCTGAACCATTTGGGCTCGTTGGCAAAGACGCACAGAATGGAGAAGATCATGCGGACCGTCATAAAGGGCAGAGACAAGGCGACGGCAAACAGGAGGCGACGTTCACCTGGCAAGATGTGACTGATCTTCAGGAAACAATGTCCAGTGATGAGGATATTGGCAACGAACACGACCAAGAACAGACAGACAGCCGCCTTGAGTTCGCTGAAGCCGGTCGAGACATCAGTGGTGTTGTCCCCGAAAAGGCTCGTGCTGCCGATTATACTGAGGATGATACCAACAAGACTCGGGAGGTGAAGGAGCTGGAAGACCTGGTGAGGTAGACCGTGTGGTGCCATGCCGTCCTCGACGCGATCCAAGAGAGCCAGTGCGGTGGAAAGGACTGCGGACAAGCCGAAGCTGTTCATGACGTCGTAAGTGATGGTCAAGCCACTTGTTGGATGCTTGACAGCGACAAGAGAGGTAACAGCGCCGATAAGCCGAAACAGACAGATCATGAGGAGAAACCTCCATCCCAGTCGTTTGCGATAGCCGTGCTTATGCACGAGATAACCCGATGCTATCAGAGCAGGGACAAAGAAGAGGAGCTCGATGATATCCAAAATCTCGAACGCTGAGAGGCCCATTTTGCGATATGTTGTTCTAAAGAACGAGTCGAGCCGGCGGTATCCTTTATGCAATGGTTGAGCGAGTGCTGATCAAGTGGCCGTAAAGAAGAAAGGTATCCTTGTGAGAGCTGACGTCTCTCGTGGCCGGTGGGTTGGTGCTGAAGGCCCTGAAGGCCTGAAGCAGCATTGCTATATACCACTGACCTGGATCTGAGGCTGTAAAATAATATTCTCAAGCCACGAGAGGAAAGGCAGGTGTGGTTGGCCAAATCCGAGAGCAGAATGTGACTTCTTGGGCTCAGTGCCTCAGTGCGGCTGTGAATCAAATGCGTGCCCTCGCAGTATTGAACAGAAAAGGTTAGCTCGCGAGCGAATAAGCCAATCGCATTCGTCGCTGTCGTGTACAACTACTGCACATATGCCTCACTAGCCCAACAAGTCAGGTGCTCGCGAGCCTTCCAAAAACCTTGTCCTCGTCTTCCCTTTATAGAAACTCACCAACCTTATGGTATCAAGCTTTCCCACCTCGTGCGTGCAACCTCCCGAAGCTTACCTTGAAATTATCCTAAATACCCACACTGAGATGGAATGCCGCGTCTACTTGGCATCTCTCACCAGCGACCTGTCCATCAAACCTCCAATGTACTCATCCCTAACCAGCTGAAAACAGCCAGCTTCGGGGTGACTGTCTTGTTGAAAAGGTGGGTCAGATGATGTTAAAATATTGAAAGAAGGACTAGATTGAGGGTAAGGGATTTAGATCAATGGCCTGTGTTCGCTCTCGCGATAGTGCAACGGCTGCGAGATCCTAAGCCTGGATAAAGTGCTTGTACCCGTTGGCAGCGGCTTCCTCACAACGTCGCCGAAACTCCAAATTGCTGCCATAGTACCGTATGATTCTCCTTTGCTGCTTCCCGGCTCTATTCGAGTTGACTCCAGTCATCCACGAATCGATCTTGACAGACAGCAGGCCTTCGGTTAACCCGAACACATGCTCCGTCCACTCTTCTTCGCCTTCCTTGTCCGCGTTGATATAGGTGATATTGTTGTCTAGCATATATTGCATGAACCGAGAGACCCACTGTACTGCGTACTCGATAGAGTGCGGAATATTCCCAAGGGCTTGGTGAGGTCCCATGATGTTGAACATATTGGGAAATCCTCGCACCGTCAGCCCCAGGTATGTCCGGGGCCCCTTCTCCCATTTATCCTTCAGAGTCGCCCCGTCCTCACCACGGTAGTCAATCTCCTCATAAGAACCCGTGAGCGCATCAAATCCGGTGGCGTAGATGATCATGTCGAGCTCAATCTCCTCTGAAGTGGTTTTGATTCCGTGTTCCGTGATCTTCGTAATTGGCGTTTCGCGAAGATCTACCAATTTAACGTTCTCTCGATTAAAGAGCTCGTAATACCTGTTTTCGAGGGGCACTCGTCGAAGGCCGAATCCATGGTCCTTGGGGATCAGTTTCTCTGCAACCACAGGATCATGGACTCTTTGCCTGACTTTGTAGGCCATCCACTTGCTGAACTCGTCGTTTGCCTCCTGGTTCATGTAAAGGTCTTTGAAATTGCCCACCCACTTTGCCAGCCCTCTTGTCTGGTAGAGCTCTTCCCAGAATGCCTGCCGCTCCTCCTGGGGGACATCGAATGTATTCCGTGGATCAGGCTGAAACATAAAGCCCATGGGACTCTTTTTACATTTGTTATAAATTTCAGGATAGCTCGCACGGAGTATTTTCATCTCTTCCGGGGTTATGTCATTGTTTCTCATAGGAGCAGTCCAGTTTGCGGTTCGCTGGAAGACATGTAGAGACTTGGCCGTCTTCCCCACCTCTTGAATGGTCTGTATTCCCGTAGCGCCTGTACCGATCACGCCAACTCTCTTGTTCTCAAAGCTCACCGGTTCATGGGGCCAGCGCGACGTGTGGTATGCTAGGCCTTTGTAGTCGTGGACACCAGGGATGTTAGGTAATGTTGGCGTAGTCAATGGACCCAGGGCGTTGATGAGGAATCGTGACGTGTATGTGTGTCCACGCTGGTCGGTTAATAACCACGAATGGGAATCCTCCCTATACTGTGCAGACTTGACTTCTGCGTGAAATTCGACCTGTGGTCGAAGATCAAATTTGTCGGCGATGTAATTGATGTACCTCAAGGTGTCTGGTTGGGCAGAGAAATGTTCTTTCCAATTCCACTCGTCGAGAAGCTCCTTGGAGAAGGTGAATGCATATGTATAGCTCTCAGAATCAAAGCGTGCGCCAGGGTAGCGATTCCAGTACCACACACCGCCAACGTTGGATCCTCTTTCAATAACGCGGGCACGAAGACCCAGTCTCCTCATGCTTATAAGGCTATAGAGACCTGACAGACCCGCTCCGATGATAAGAACGTCGTAGTCAAGGTTCATAGACATGAGCGAGGAAGCCAGGTCGGTTGGGTCGCCCATATTGGATAGGAAGCTCGAGACCACTGCCAACCTTCCGTTGTCAAGCCCTCGGTAAAAAAGCAGGCAAGGTGTTGTGGAAATATAATGCGATTGTTTAGTCAGATAAACAGCCTATTCAAGAATGTTATAAGCTCGATTCTGATAGAGACCGTCCCAGGGGCGAAGTATATAACAGGGGCTTCATTGGAGAAGACCTCGGCCGTTAAAAGTCGTCACCTATGTGCAGTGCGGAGAATACATACCTATTTCGCTTCCACAGCGTTTCGGGGCGGTAGATATACGGTAGGATTTATTCTACGGTAGAAATACCGCGGAATAATAACCACGGAAGATATCCGGCTCGCCGCCCTAAAAAGTAACACTGGCTCCTGGGTAAATACAGAGTACTCGTAGTTGTGTAGGACGAGTCGTTAGAGTCATCGCTTTCACGGAGCTCATTGTGGCAGACCACAAGCAATGGTGGGCGCCCGTGAGACATAATTGCGAAAGGCGCAAGGCTGAAAGCGGCTGTTCGAAAGCCTTTTAGCGTGATACATGCCATGTATACTACGTGGATGTTGTGTAGATATCCGCATGTATGGGCGCGTTGATCGTGAATCAGCCTTGGGCTTTCACTTCCTCCTGCCACCTTTCGCACTAAAGATAGATTGTCAGCCCAGGAGAATTGTGGGTACATACCAAGTACATACCTAGCAAGCCCCAAAACAACGCTCTTGGCCCGTTATTCGATGTGATGAAACCCTTCCTCCTTGCACAGTGACATCCTGTATCTCCTTGTGATCTCCAACTCAAGTAGTGGCAGACGGTGGCGTGGCCCAGCTCTCTGTACCTCGTACATCCTGGCAGTTCACCACTCTATTGTAACCTCGTGTGGGCGACTCGTTCCCCTCATAATAAACTGATGGTCCTACATACCCTCTCAGGTCCCAGGCTACAGGGCTTCTAGCCGCGACAATTCAGCGAAAGGCACGAGAATCATATAAACTTGGATCTCCCAGACGAATACTTATATCGAGAAAGAACAGGCGATTAATAGAGGAGCGCCGCGCAACCAACAACTTCAAACAGCAGCCTGGGTGGCAGCCTTGACCCAAACTTAACAAGAGCCATTCCCGGCATGTCGTGGAAACCGAACACAGTTACTCTGGGCACTGCCACAGGAATAGCATCTTCAGCCATCTTCTAGGGCGCCAATCTCAGCATATCATTTTTGACCGTCCCGGCGCTTCTGCTGCCTTCCCCGTCAGCCTTGCCAGCACCGGCAAATTCTGAAAATACAGCTTCTCCAACATCCGTATCTTCCCAGAGACCAGCGACAAAATCTCCACATCTCGCCCGGCAATGGCAGTACGCTTACAACATAGGAAAGAAGCCAGGCCCATTCTTCGCTCTGCTGGCTAGTGGAAATTGGCTGTACACAGTCAATCACCTGCCAGCAGAAGCCAAACTCCGGCACAGACTGCTCTTGGCTGCAACTGGGCTCTCGACAGCTGTTATACCCTTCACATTTGGAGTGATGAAGCGGACAAATGACGAGTTGCATCGACGAGCAAATGCGGCAACAAGAGATGAAGAGGAGGGCTTTAAAGTAGAAGCTCCGAGGGGGACAGTGGAGAGTTGTGAGACCCACCATCTTATTCAGTGGTGGGCATAGCTCAGTTTTATGTGAGTAGCAGAGACGGGTGAAATGCTGCCTTTATTGACGATACACCTCCCAAGGGAGCTTTGCTTCACGTTGGGGCTATTGCTTGTGCCGCGACGGCTTTGACTTTGTAAAGGCCAAATAGTAATACTGGAAGAAGTCCTCCTCACCATGCAAATCTATCAAATCTCGTAATAAAAATTGATTGCAGCAACTGAGAGGTGTGTGGTACTTGGTGCAAGAATATTGCTTGCAAGGCCCCCTTGGACTTTGCCTCTCAGTCGATCCAACTTTGGAACTTGTGTTTCGTGCTGGGGCTGTTTGGACTTAATTATGCTACCTCGTGCTGATATTCAGAATCCCGAACGGGCTTGGAAAGAATGTCCGTGGTGACCAAAAATGAAGCAAGACTGCCTAGCACATAATAACTGTATGGAATAAGGCGTACCCCATAGTTTGTTGGATGATTGTGTTGGATGAACTTGCTCGGCTGCATCGGCTTGATAAACATGCCAAGACAAATATGTAACTCTTGGCAAGTTTTTCGCCCACAACTTTTCCACGGCCAAATGCAGGTATGAACTTCGAGATTTTGACGAAGTTACCGAACGACAATCTCTCCGCCAGTACACATCAATCCCCGTTCACAAACCCACGATCGTGATTGCTGAGACGAAATTGTCTCGGTATTTGCAATCATGGGCGGCGTTACCGTTCGAGATGTCGATGTGAGTGCGATCTGAAATCCTCGCCGGGAAGGATGTCCAATTAGCCGTTGTGGAAAAAAAGGAGGCACCTCATATATGGAGCTGGGGCTTTGGGACACATATTTCAGGACGGGAAGCTTGGACTGACAGTGTGGATCATGCAGGCACAAAAATTCATCGAGGCATATGCAGCATTTCTGAAGCGACAAGGAAAACTCCGAGTGCCAGGTACGAGTTGACTATTGCTGTTTACCAGTCCTGAATTGGTCGCGTGGAAAAGCGGCGTTTCGCTCTAGGGCACTCCGTGATAATGATACTGATATTGTACTTATTGCAGGTTGGGTTGATACGGTCAAGACCTCACACTCAAACGAACTCCCTCCTCAATCCGCCGACTGGTTCTACGTGAGAGCCGCCTCAGTTGCACGACATGTCTACCTACGAAAGTCCGTTGGTGTTGGCCGTCTCCGAAAAGTCCACGGCAGCACCAAGAATCGGGGTTCCAGACCCTCACACCACGTCAACGCATCTGGCGCAGTTGATCGCAAAGTCATGCAGGCTCTCGAGGAACTAGGCATCTTGGAGAAGGTTGACGATGAAGAAGAGGGCGGAAGCGGAAAGGGCGGACGAAGAATAACTCAGGCTGGTGCACGAGATTTGGACCGTATTGCGCAGACTGCTGTGGAGGGTGAGGAGGAGGAGGAGGACTAAAAGTTTGACGACAGCGTTGGGAACGCACTAGCAGACTCACAAGCCGCACTTTTCTTGCGAAGATGGCAGTCTCCTCATTGAGAGGTAGTCTTACAACCAGACCAATGCCGGTGTCGGGGAGCTGACAAATCAGTGATCAGACTGACTGGTTGCCGACCTGGCCTGCCCAGTTGTTAAATTTCTACGGCATGGGTCAGGACGGATCATATGGGCTCAATGAATTCCTTTCAAAGTTGAGTCGACTTTCTTCAGGTCCGCTGTTCATCGTTGCTTGTATCCGCACGAGGATCTGATGGGACTGAACGCCACATGTGCAGGGTCCTGGTGTAGTTGCACGCCCCGGGGCTGGTGACTGTACCACTTACATCACGGCACGTCGTCCCAATCCTCGCCTATTACCTTATTACGAAGTGTGGCTAGGATGCTCTGGAAGTACCGTCGGTATGACAGAGGCTGAAAACACTGGATCGGACAATAGTTGTTCCGCAAAGCAACGTGGTTGAGTCAGCCTTGCAGGCAGACTGGCACAGCCCTGGCTTGGCAGGGCCAAAATCCGCCTTCTAGAACCTAAGATTGAAAGCTTCCTTCTACCCAATCTACCGTCATTCCCCAAACACGCCTCCCGACTCGCCGTTTTGCTCAGCCCAAAGCTCGCCATCCAAATGTGAGACCAATCATCTCGTAATCCTGAAACAGATGCAGCAGCAATATAGCCTTCTAAAAAGATGCCGTTATACCTACCTCATCACCTTTGAAGTTTAGGACAGGGTGCACAGCCTTTCAAGGCGTAGGAAGGCATAACGCTTCTCTCTCATGATGATTGGCAAGTTTGTTCCCAGCAATGCACATGACAACATCTGAGAACGGCGCAGCTCCACTTGTACTGTGTTACACTCCGCCCACGGGCTTTGTATAGTTTCTCGCTACGACATGGTTAGGCAGTACGCCTTTCATGGGAATGCCACCAATGCCTCCACCGAATGCCGTTCTCCGGCCACCAGGCACACTTGCGACTCATCTCAAGCCGTGTCAATCATAAGGAAGATTCACCTTGAGTACTAACTCATGTGTTTTTAAGCCACCGTTTGACCATCCTCGATGCCCCGTTGTGCGTTTGTCTCCCAAACCTCGTATGGCACTCGCCCCGAACTAGCAAGCCTCCGACTCATTTTCCATGTCGCGGCCTAGGATGGGCTATGCAGCTCCCAACTGACAGTATTCAATGCCTTCAGTGTTCTTAACTTGTTCGATTTTCTTGTTGACCTGCTTCATCATCTATCTATACGCTCCAATGTTACAGAAGACCGCTGAAGCCTCCGGCAATAAGGAGCACACCCAAAAAGACATTTGGGAGGCTTTCAAGGATGTCAAATCTAATCCGCAGCCTACTAGTGCCTGGACAAGACAGAAGATACCATCTGAACTGCAAAGCGTTGAAGACGACTCGAACTTGCCAGAAAAGCTCAAACAAATCCTTGTCTGGTCACTATCTCTCCGTTCGCCTCCCTCACAAAGCAACGCTCGGCCTAACATTCAGCCCCCGGAGGAACCTACTGTTCAAGACTCACCAGAAGCGCATGAGGATAGCGAATTTCATCAGACAAATGCAGAGTCGGCTCGTCGGTCTGTTGCCTCTGAACAGTTTGACAATGATGACACATCCGAATCGCGGAGCACTCAATCCGAGCGCCGTCTCGAAAAAGGTCGATTAAGGCCACGGTACATTGGTGGTAGCGTCCTTGGGTCTACGATCAGCCTTATCACAGCCCTCAAGAACAGGTCGGAGAAGGAATCATCCCAGCCTCATATTAATGCAAAGAAGGCTCCGTCAAAGAAAGCTCCTCAAGTTGAATGTACAAGTTGCTTTGAAGACATCCCCGAGAATGCCACAAGCAAACTTCCTTGCAATCACTCATACTGCAAGCCATGCTTGACGACTCTGATCACAACTGCTCTCCAAACTGAATCTAGCTTCCCGCCCAAGTGCTGCTTGACAGAAATACCGTTGCAGACAGTTTTATTATCGCTCGACTCCAAACAGAGGGAGATATATAAAGAGAAGGCTGCTGAGTATGCAATTGCGCCTCAAGAAAGATGGTACTGCCCAAACACAAAATGCCTGAAATGGATACCACCCTCGAAGCTACAGCGCATCCGCATATTGAACCTGAAATGCCCCCATTGTGCAACCAAGATTTGCAGTGTATGTCGTGGCCTGGCCCACCGAGATTCCGCAGATTGCCCTCAGGACTACGGCCTCGAAGCTACAATTATGCTGGCTGAACTGGAGGGTTGGCGACGTTGCTTCAAATGCCGCACCATGGTTGAGGTAACATTGTATTTCCTCACTCACAGAGACCGGCTAACAGGTATCAGCGAACACAAGGTTGCCGTCATATGACCTGTAAATGTGGTGCGCAGTTCTGCTACTCTTGCGGGGCAAAGTGGCGGAGCTGTTCTTGCACCGAAACGGATGAAGCCAACCGTCAGGCAGAATTGAGACGCCGTAGAGGAGACAGAGCGATTGAAGTGAATGCTGAGGTTGCAGAAATTGATCGAGTAATTGCCCAGGTCGAGGAAATGGAGCGGCGTGAGGCCGAGGAACGTCAAAGAGAAGAGCAAAGACGTGAAGCAGAGCGGCGCAGAGAAGAGGTTGAACTTGCAAGACTCGAGGAGCAGCGCCTGCGTGAGGAGGAAGCTAGGCGATTGGAAGAAGAGCGAATGGCCCAAGAACTACGACGAATCCTCCAACTCTCCGTCGAGGAAACATGTGATGTAATCCAGTCTGCCTGGAATGATCTGCTGCAAACACAGAGAAAGCGCTTGGATGACAGACATTTGCAAGCTGAGCAACAACATGAGCAGGAGCGCGATGAGGCAATGAAACGACAGCAACAAGAGAACGGAGAAAACTTGGCCAAAATGGAATCCAACCTCGGAAAGAGAACTTCCACCATCAAGGAGAGGCACAATACGGATCTGGAAGCCTTTAACACAGAGCAGCAGGACCTGGAAGATGACATGTTCCTAGAAATTCAACTGCACCTCCGTGGCAAGCAGGACAAGGAAGCCCGAGAGCGCCGCCTTCGAGAACGATTCCAGAGACAGCGCGACGAGAAACAACGCGAAATGCTTTCAAAGCATCGATCCGAGTCAGAAGTTCTGCAGGCGAACGCCACAATGGAACTGCAGGGCCTCAAATTGAGCAACGAGAGCAAGTTGGCCAGGCTTGAGCACAGGTACCGAGTGGATTTTGAGATTCTGTTGGCGAACATCGTAGCAGACCGCGCGTGGTTTGGCTTCCTCGCAGAGAAACGGCAAAACATGGTCGACGCGAACCGGCGATTTATGCTTGCAGCTTTAGAAGCTGATCAAGAGCCGGTGGGGTTGACCGAAGAGACGGCCACGACGATCGAACCCTTCTTGACAAGCATGCAGTGTGAAGCACATGGTACTGAATCGGCACCTCACCTCAGCAGCGCAGTCCTTCAGGAACCGGTGCAGGAGCTATGGAGAGAGGTCCTATCTCCATCACCGGCACACAGTGCGTCTCCGGCACGCTCCTTGGTCGAGCTTGCTGCAACGTCCCAGCAGTTGTTAAGCAGTTTGAATGAATCACACATCGCGGCAGAGTCGGACGTCAAGAGTTCACAACCCGGCGCTGTCGCCCACCTCATGTCCAACAGTGCCTTCGCATGGATGACCGGTGGCGCTGAGGACGGTGCGACCTCAAGAATTCATCACGATGTCACTGCGCGCCACTCACCCCCAGCTGGTCGAAGTCAAGGACTCCACCGTCAAACTCGCGCCCACGCTGCGCCATTGAGATTTGCGGCAACATCCAATCCGACTGAGATGATGATGTCGGGAGGACTGCGGCAAACAGGACACTCGGCAGCACCACCCATGGACCGTCTTGAAGTTCCGGTTTTGATTCCCCCACCTCTGCAGACCGGACGACGACAGCTACAGCGATCCACGGAGGGCTTGAGGGGCGCAGAGCGCCACGTGAACGATCCACCTCCGCCGGTGCCCAAAGTGCCCGCCATCTACCTTACGAAGCAGCCAGACACCGAGGCAGAGATCGAACACAACCCATACACGATGCGACAGCCCAGAGGACTGGGTGGCTTAGTGCCGATCGAGGCCAAACGAGACAACAGGCACGGCGGCGCGAGCCACGGCGGGGGACATAAACGTCAATCTTCCTCTTCCTCCTCATGTTCTATCACCAGTTCCAGCTCGCTCTTGACTCCCTCGATAACGACGACCACGACCACGACGACACCGCGGTCCTCTCCGTCTGCGACGCGCACGTCGCGTTCTCAAAGCAGCCGTGAGAACCTCTTCCTGCACAGCTTAATCACGGCGACCACCAACGCGGCCACCGCGGCAGGGCGACCGTCCGAGACCTCGCTGTCGCCGGTCTCGCCCATCTCCCCTGTGGTGCCTGTGGACGTGGCCAAGCAGAAGTCTGGAGGACCGGGGAGCCCACAGATGCGCCCGACGCGGTCAGTGTGGTCGATTCTGGGCTGAGATAACTACAAAGCACTCACCACGGGAGAAAGGACTGGTTGGCTAATTAGTTAGTTGGCTGGTTTTGTTGGTGGGTTCGTTACTAGTTAGTGTACCTCGTATGTGCGGAGTGTTATTATGCAAAAGAGCCGGAAGAGGAAGGCGAGGAAGAGTCCACTGGACCCCATTTAACATGTAGAAAGCATCAATTGAAAACAAAAAAAAAGCGATTTGCTGGCGGCTGTTGACTTGATCGATTTTGCCCCTCGACTTTGTCCGCATTTAGCAAAATAACCCTCAGTCGGCTGGGACGGCCAAGGGACGGCCTTCTCCGTGCTCGTGGTGAGGAGGAGGGGGGGGGGAGCTTGTTGATTGAGATCTAAGATAGATGGGTAGATAGATATATGCACTTGCTTCGCTGAGCATATCCTGTCGCATCGCATCGCATCTGACGAGGTCTGGTGCCCCAAGGAAAAAGGGGCAAAGTGAGGAAACGCCATACAATACTCTCAGTGCCAGGTGCCAACGGAACCATGACGACCGTCGACAGCACACGATTCCTCACAAATGGCGGATATCTTCAGAAGGGGCGGGAAAAGAATCTCCGCCCGGACGATCTGGGGAGGAAGACGTTGAGTTTGGCACCTTCTAGGTACGTCACCGCGGCCACTTCACAATGCCTCCCTGCGCAGGTGTCGGGTCCCTTCTTTGGGCGAACAAAAACCAAAAAAAAAAAAACACTGCAAAGTTGGCACCATCAAAGAGTGCTATTGACGCAGTGCAGATGGTATCGCGACGAGAAAATCTTCCAGCTCGAGAGGCGTGCATTGTTCTCCACGGTATGACTTGTCTTGCTTTTCAAATCCTAGTCTCGCTTAAGCCGGATGACAAGTCTTTTAACGTGGTCGCGAAATTCTGCTGGGACGATGACGTGGCTGACGTCCTTCCTTACCTTAGCTATGGCACGTGGCGAGTTTCATTGCACGGTTTCAGAAAGCAGGAGATTACCTGACACTGGAGGTACGAGCTTTACACCCTCCCAGGCGATATCGTGGTCCCAGCTGAAGTACCTGTGGAGATGTTCGGCTGGAACTTGTTCCTCATCCGCGACAAAGACGGGAACATCAATGCTTTCCACAACATCTGTCGGCACCGAGGACACCCCGTCACTCAGAAGGCCAGTGGATCGAGTACGGTGCTGGCATGTCGGTTTCACGGCTGGTCGTACCTTCCCAACGGAGACCTGCACAAAGCCCGAGAATACAGCCACCTTCCAGACTTTGATCCCAAGCAGCATTCGTTGTTCAAAATTCACACGCATGTGACGGCTCAGGGATTCATATTTGTGAACTTTGATGCAAGGGAGACTCCTGCGGTGAGTTTCGAGGAGCAGTTTGGCGACGACTTCGATCCAGCACCAACGACGAAGACGGGGAGGGAGATTGGTGACGAGTTTGCGTTGTTTCCTAAGGATGGGTGGGAGTATGACCATACGTGGAACAGCTCTGTGGCGGGAACCGAGTTCAATTGGAAAACCTTTGCGGATGGATTCCAGGTTTGCCATTTTGGTGTCGTCCCTTGAACTTCAGTAACATGGCGTCAGGAATGTTACCATTGCCAGACTGGGCATCCCACGACGTTGCCCAAAGACTTTGCGCTGGACCAGTATTACTTGCGTCAGGGGATAGGAGCGTCACGGCACTTCCTGCCTCCCAAAAGAGAAGGGCTGTCGGAAGCGTATATCAGTAAGTTCGTGTTGAGAATTCCTACAACGGGAGAACGGCGATACTGACGTCAAGGTCCGCCTTGTCGGTTTAGCCTGGTTGTACCCCATCGGTGCTGTTATATTCAGTGACAATCTCCTATTCATCGCCCGATATAACGCAGCGGGAGCACTTGAAACATCGTATCAAAGTGAAACGTACCGGAGGTCGAGTATGCAAAAACCCAGCCCGGAATACGACCATTGGATGGAGCATGACATTGGGTATTGGCGATTCGTAGAGATTGAGGACGTTGAGTTGGCCGTCAATGCGCAGAAAGGGTTTAAATCCGGAGTGCTGGGCTTAGGCCGGTTGCACTCGATCGAAGGTATGTGACCAGAGTCTTACCAACCCCGTCGGACAATATATCCAGCAGGCTGACGACGCCCTCCTTCTGGACCACAGAACACGCGGTTAAATGGTATCTCGACAAGGTGAGGGCTGTGTTAGTGGGACACGCCGAGGCGGAGAAAGCGGCAGGTAAAAATATCGATTATTCAGTTCCCCAGGCACAGAGCGAGGCGGCGGAGCAGGATGAACTTTGCAAGTTAGTCGGGCCGGAGTATGAATGGTAGAGGAGCTCGAGCTTCAGTAGAGAGCGGACTCCGCGTCCTGCAAGATAGAGTTGATGTGTGCAAAGGGGCCGAGGGTGATTGGGGGAGTGGCTTGCCTTATCGGAGGCATTGTTTTGGTATGCCCCGACAGCATTGCACATGCATGCATCGAGCCAGTATCGGCGATGTGAGTGGTAGGGATTCAGGTCTACTACCGAGTATTCTGATGGCAATGGCAATGATGCTCGTGTTGATGACGAGGCGGGCGGACATAGTCGTTCGAAGACGAAGTGCAGAATGGTACTGTCGGATGGGAGGAGCCGACAAGGAAGTCTTCACACAGACGGTGCACGAGTATGATTTTGGGGTGGGATTTGAAACAAGGCCGAATCCACTCCTGACTGCAGATCAAACGTGCAAGATGGAGAATTTCTGTGTTGCCACAAGCAGATGGGGATGGATTTTGTGGGATGTCTGCGTCTGTGTAACATGGGGTGGGTGTACGAAGCATCCAAAGGAATTTGTATGAGGAATGGGAGCACGGAGTAGCAGGTAAGTACAGCCAGGGGGGGGGGTAGGGGTAGAGGCGCAGGCTGGTGGGTTGGTGAGCTGGTGGGCTCAGGGGATACTCAGTACCCAGTAAGAGGGTAAGAGAGAGGCAGAGAGGGAGAGGGAGAGACAGACAGTGGTTTTTTCTTTCTGTCAGACCCGCATAAGGGGGTTGCGTGTTGGGATTGGTGGGGAAGTTAATCCACCTGTGACGTCAATTCTTCAACAAGTGAAGTCGGAGTACCTATGAGGTGTCTCTGAATGAAGAGTGAAGAGTGAGAGAGCAAAGAGCCATTCGCTACTAGAAACGGCTTGCGCGTCCAGTCCTCTCAGTTCTTAATTCCAGCGAGAGGTCGTCAAGATGCCGGATGTTGTATCCTGGCTGCATACCGAGTACTGGGTACCTAGAGTCCATCATCACCTCATTCATGCATCATGACTGGCCTGTTGCCGCGCATCATCGAGTCATCGAATCATCATATGGCGCCCTTGATGTGGGTTGTGTTATGCCCACTTGTCTCTGTCTTTTCACACACGGCCGCCGTTGCATGCATATGTGGCCCTGTCGGGCGCCATCCTCTCGGGCGCCATCCTCTCGGGCGCCATCCTCTCGGTGGTTGCACAAGGATCTGCCTCTCATGTCGAACAACTATCTCTAAAAGCTTGACTTCATCGTGGCGCCAACTCTGATGCTGCGAACCAGGCCCTGGCCATCGAATGCAGGGCCCGACCTCATCTCCCCTACCTCCCTTTTCATCGCTGCCTGATCTTTTTTGAAAGGGCAAAAAGGACCGGGGACGAGGACATGGTCAATATGTAGCGATGAGTTTGGATGCGAAGGGCGTCGAGAGGAGCAGACGGATAGGTACTCGGTTCGGTACTCGACTTGTAAAGAGCTGGAGGGTCGAGAACCAGGGCCAGCCTTTGATGGCTTGATTGCTTGATTACGTGCAAATGTTCCACCACCCGCGTCTCGGGCTGCAGCCAATCGTGCATTTGCCCTGGCCACTACTTGCGGCTTGGTTCAGCCGCCATGGCTGGTTTGAGGCGTTGCCGGTGGTTGAAAGGTTGCGTGCTAAGACACATGCGGCTGGGGCAGCAGGGGGGTCCTTGGGGAGTAGCTCGTAGTTTTTTTAGTCTTCTCGCATCTTCAATTGCCATATCCACTTTGCCCCAGAGTGCCCTACTGGCACGCCTACTGGGTACTCAGACAGATGCTAGTACTTGTACTCCGTACCCAGTATTGTCTCTTGTCTTCCTACTGAGTATTCCTACCATCTTTTCTCGCAGTTCCCTCCATTGCGGCCCTTCGTTTTCTTCTCTCTTTGCTTGCCTGCGCTGCACCTAACTGTACTCGGTACGCTGGACTCGGTACTCTGTCCTTTTATCTCGACTCATTCGCTTTGTCGAGTTGGCGGTGCCTACCTGCTACATCCCTCTCTTCCTCTCTGGGCCTATACGGTCGACCTCCAAAAAAAACCCCCCCCCCCTTAACCCGCTCGTTGCTACCCTCGTCCTTTGAACCTTGATGGCAACTTCCCAATCTGCATGACGCCTGTCAATCTTTTGTTCGCTCCACCTACCATTGTCCCCATCTCCTCCGTCTCATCGTCTTCTACCACGACCGCCACGACCGCGACCGCGACCACCACCACCTTTCTCTCCAACTACACGCCTCCTGACCCTCAGTCGCTCATTTAGGCCTGTTTCCATTTTACCATTTCATCGACAACTTCTCTGTCAATTGAAACCGAACTCGTATGACCCGAAGAGTCACCATCACTGGCAGCCGCTCCGAGATGGGCTTGCTCGAAGACTTGCCTGTTGAGCCCGAAACACCTCCCCCAAGTTGGTCCCCCGCCAAACACGACTTCTGGAAGAAGCCGTCAAGATGGCAGATCTGCATGCCCCGGTTACGCATGGTGCTCAAAATCATCGCCACCTTTATCGGCTTCATCCTTCTCATCAAAATCATGAATGCAACGCCTCCACCTCCCCCCCCCGAACCCGCCCCAGAAATCCCAGAAGTCCCCGAAGTGCCTGATACCCCGGACATCATAGACACACCAGACGTTACGGATGTTCCACTGCCTCCACCCACCGAGGATGAGCTGATGGAACTGACGATGGAGAATGCAAAGAAAGAGCAATGGATCTGGAAAGACTTTACAACGTATGTCAACCACCTGCCTTGGCGTGTAATGATGGTCCCTGGCAGCGCCCTAACCGTGTTGATTTGACCAGGCATGACGGTTTGACACGTGGAACGTCACACCTCCGCGCTTGTGAGACCGGCGAAGTCGATTGCAAAAACAGGAGTCCACTCCTCATTCGCTATGATGGCTATCGCGGTTTCCAAGAACCTGTGGAACGCATCGTCTCCTGCGTCGGTCCGCGCGGTGTCCATTTGAATGAGAGCTATGAGGATGCCATCTGGGCCTATCCTGGTCAAGCGAATGGTGAGCGTGCGTGTTTTCGGATGCTTGGACATGTCTGACTTGAATTCTTTAGGTGCCGTTGACCCGACCCTGGGTTCATACAAGGCGTCCGGCTTGGATGGGAGCGTGTCTTTTGACCGTGTTGGTCGCTTCCAAGCCTATGGAATCGATCAATGGGACGCTAATGACGTCGAAGAGATGAAGAAGATGAGCGATGTTGACTGGGACATGGTTGACTGGGGTGAATTGCAGGATGATTGTGCTGTCGCCAACAAGCAGCGCTTTCGACCCTTCAAAGAGCGACCTGCGAGTTCGATCCAGTATTCTAACCTTCGACACAAGCACGACCGGTCCTCATCCAAAGCACTCTCATCCACCCTGGAACCTGGCATGGTCAACAAGGCCAAACGCACGGCGATTCTGATTCGAGTCTGGACCGGCGCAAAGTGGACCGCCGACGCCGTGATGAATATTCGTGCCATGGTTGCGGAGGCTTCCTTGGCCAGCGGAGGGAAGTATCAGGTATTTCTTCTTCTCCATGTCAAGGACGAAAATGTCCCTCTCTTCGTCGGGGAGGATGAGCCGCGGGCAACCATCGAGAAGCATATCCCTCCTGAATTTCGGTCCATGACGGAAGTGTGGAATCACGCTCAGATTCGGGGTCTGTATTCCAACTTGGCCGAACATGCTTTTGTTGGCCGGTCACCCTGGATGATCATCCAATGGTTCGCCCGCAATCATCCCGAGTTCGATTTCTTTTACCAGTGGGAGTTCGACGTGCGGTATACCGGCCACTACCTGGACTTTTTCGAAGCCGTGGAAAATTTTGGACGCAAACAACCGCGAAAAGGCATCTGGGAACGAGCTGGCAGGGTCTACATTCCCTCCGTCCATGGTGATTTTGACTCCGATTTCCGCAATTCAACGAGGGAGGAAGATCCTCACCATATCTGGGGCCCGGTATCCGTGGAAGGCGTCCGACCCCGGGGGCCTAAGCCGCCCAAGGAAGAAGAAGACAATTTTGAATGGGGAGTCGGCGAAGATGCTGACTGGATTGGCTTTCTCCCAAGCTTCAACGTGACTGGTACCGGCTGGTGGTTCCGCAACTATCTCTGGGGTTATGCGCAGGGCACGTCTACTCCGAGAAGGGCCACTCTCATTGCTCAAGGAAGAGTCAGCCGGCGCGTCCTGGAAATCATGAATTATGAAAATGCAGAGAACGGGCATCACATCGACGCAGAGATGTTCCCTCAGACCATGTGTCTCCACCACGGGCTGAAGTCGACCACATTTCCACACCCCATCTTTGCCGATCGATTCTGGCCTCCGGACGTGCTGCAATCGACATTCAATGGCGGGCCGTTCGGCCAGGCTGGAGGCTATTGGAATAGTACCTTCAGCAAATGGAACGAACATGCGTGGTCCAACATGACCTGGTATTACAGCTCTGCTCAGGCCATGCCAATCTTCCAACGCCTTCTCGGGGTCACGGCTCTCGAGAGCGGTGGTCCGGAATGGGAGGATGTTTATGGCAAAACTGTCGTTCGACCAATGCTGCTTCATCCTGTCAAGGGCGCTAAGACCTGGCAATGGACCGAGGATGGATGGCTCCAGACCAAGGCACGAACCTGATCCATTCGGACACCACCGTCGCCGCGCAATCCAACGGATTTCCACCACCACTTTTTGTTTTCGCATCAGCCCTGGCGTTTGGCGTTTGGAGAAACCTGTTCGCGTCAGTCTGACACTGCTCCATCGAACTCGTTGTTAAACCTGATCCGCATCGTTCAGAGGGCGGTCATTGCAGACACCGACCAGAAGACATCCCTTGGAAAGAAAAATCGTACATACCGGCATGACTGTTTATTTCCCATGACGACTAGGGGCGCCATTCCTCCCCCCATGAAAAATGAGACACTGATACATACATGACAGGAAATCCAGAGACAGGACAGCTGGATATGAGCTTTTTTTTTTAATTTTATATCAAGCTATGGAAAGCATGAGCTAAAGCCGAAAAACTCAGTACCCAATAGATAGAGATATGATCGACCATTAGACGGCCGGCATTAATCATAATGTAAATCTTCGCTGGCGAGGGGGCTTTTTTCCTGGATCAATGGTCCGCTTTCTAACTGTAACAAGCCCGTCAGACCCTTGGATGCCAATATTGAACGTGCAAGTAAGCTTTACGGGCAAGTATCTGTGGAATACCGCCGGACGCGAGAAATGCATGGATATGCAACGGCAATCTCGATGCATGAATGGAAATGTGGCTGGCTCACAATCTGACCGGGAGTGTCGTGATGTGTACGAGGAAACCACGAAATCCCGAATTGCGGGCGGGCTGCCACAGTGGTTCCGCATCGCTGCTTATCCAGGCCAGTCCAGTCCAGTCCGACGTCAGTCGGGGACTCGCAAGACCCAAGTTATCCTCGTGTGCAAGCGGTTTTTTTCTCTGTTTCCCCCCAAATCTCGCCTGGTCAACACAGATCAATGAGCGCTCACGCGGATTACATGGCTGTTGAGACCTCATGTCCACAAATCCCTTCCGTAAGAGTAGTTCATTGAAAGGTCCTGGCGGAAGCAGCACTCCCACTCCCACTCCCACTCTCAATCTCACATCGGATCCTCGCGGCACCAGCCCTGGCGCTCTTTCTCTTGATACCAGAGGTATGTGTGTGCCATTAACTTTCAGGCGCTTCTCTGGCCCCTACTGAATCATTCGAGCAGTGCACGGTACAACGCAGAAACATGTAAACTTCGCTTCTCCTCCGGCCATTCCCATCTCGCCGGTCTCATATCCCCCCTCGCCTGAGTCTACGCGACAGGAGTTTCTATCTACGTTCCCCAGCCCGAAATCTCCTTTCCCTGCGCCGACGGACTACAGCCAGGCCCTCGCGAGCGATCCCTTTGCGGCCGAAGCTTCCGACGACGACGACGATAGTGCGATCGAGGAGGCATTGGAGAATGCGAGAGCCAACAATGAGATTACCGCGCCTGGGTCGATCACGACGAAAGCCTCGAGAGAAGATGCAGTGAAAGAGACCCTAGGGCGATTTGCGAGCGCTCCGAGGCGGCCACTTAACAATCAGTCAGCTGCCGGTTCGAAAGACCTCAGCGGGTCCTCGAAATCAACCATGGATGTGGACGCCTTCAAGAGGATGTTGCTGACAGGAGATCGTGGTTCTTCTTCGTCTCGCGATACAGCGGTGCAGAGCTCGCAATCAGGCCCAAATCCTGTAAGTGACAGTGGTTCCAGTGCGGACACGGCATCAATCTCACAGCACTCAATATTTGAGACTGTCCAACCTACGCACGACGAAAGTCCTCGGACTTCAGATGAGCTAGACGGCAGCGAGGTGAATACCTACCGAGCACAACTTGGGACCATCTCAGAAAAAGGGGAGAAGCCCCCTCCGCCCAAGAGCAGGCGCGGAAAACCTCGCAAAGACCCCGGGACCGAGCCAGGTCCCACGGCCAAATTCGACAATTTTATCAACTCGCTGTCGTTGCCCAGCAGCCGAAACGTCAACTCAGAAGTGCCGAGTGCGAGGTCGCCTTCGATTGACGAAAGTCTCACCAGCGACCGATTCACGAGTGTCGGACCTCTCGACGCTCCCAAGAAAGTGCCGCCGGCGCCTCCACTAACTCGCCGGAAAAGCCAGCAAGCACCGAAGAAACCGGTCTTAGCACGAAGCAGTTCCTCTCGATACTCGGTTTTCAGCGAGACGGATGGACCTCCAAGTCCATCCTTTCCTAGCTCTGGATCAAAACCTCCTCCGCCACCCCCAGCGCGGCGGGCCAATAGTACCGGCGACCGTCGCCCTTCACTCGACGTCACCTCCATTCCGGAGAATGCGAACCTGGCAGATACCGAGTTGAGGCCGGGCATACAGTCTACTCCATCCTACTTGAAACGGATGAGTCAGGGACTTGCGCCTCCCGTACCGCCGCCTCGGCGAGGCAGAGGCTCTAGTCGAAGCAGCATGGAGACTACGAGGCCGCCAATGGCGCATCTTGACATGGTGGAAGCTGGAGGGAGTGATATGGGATTTCCCAAGAGTGACCCAAGAGATATTTTGGCGGACCTTGCAGCCTTGCAGCGCGAGGTGGACGCTGCTAGAGCAGGGGCTGGTCAGTGACGAAGAGATGACATTGATTGACGAAGAACAGTATATGTATGATATGGTAATAACCCCAAGAATCATTGGATTGTCCCATACCAGTTGGTCGGTTCTGCCTCGACTCCCGTAATGGAGGCTTTTTATCCTTTCGCAAGGGGCCTAGGGCCGCCAAGGCCGCCAAGGGATATACTGTCACGTGAAAACCGGGGCGCATGACGTAGCCCGGTAGCCAAGCGGAACTTGCCATTCCTGCGACGTGCATGCATACGTTTCTCGTTTCTGGGGAACTTCAGGTCCAACGTCGTTAACCCTAAGGCGTAACTTGCGAATTCCTCCCTAAACTTTGACTCAGGCCCTCGCTTGCACCCTCACTTCAGACTCATCAACATTAATTCTCCTGTGTCTATCACTATAACCAACAAGATCTTCCTCAAGAAGTCCTACAAGCGACACCCTCTGTCGCTCAGCCCCCGCAATCGTACTATTTCACACGCGCCCCCGCTGCTCGTAAAGCCCCTCGACCTCCCCAGGGGTGTCCTTCCAACCCGATCACATCGCCAGCCTATAATGACTGCGTGATATCGTTTCTATCCTCATCTCAACGGCAGCTGTTCCATTCGCTTGCCGTGTTCGCGCGTCGTGGTCTCAAGATTCGACCGCTACGAGCCCCCAAGTCCATCGTCGTCTACCGCAGTTCCATTCTTCCAGTTGAAGGAGAGATCCCTCGCGACCATGCCTAACAGAGGTCCAACCCTGATCAACCGTATGTCGCTGAGCCTTCTGTCATGATACGAACAGTTGGGCAAACACTAATCTGGCGGGCTTACAGTCCCGCCGCCTCCTTCAGATCCTGCCACGCCCAGCGAAATGGGCCCTGGCACCCCCAATTCCACCACCACCTCTCTCTCAACATTGTCCGTCGTCGCTATCAAAGACGGCGCGATCGGCCATGGCGGTAGAGGAGCAGCTGCGTCTGCAAACACTCTTGAGGCCGAACGAGCCGACCGCATCTCCCGCCTTGCCGGCCTAGAGAGAGTTGCGACTTCTCGACCCACCCCTCTGGGACACCTTGCCCCAGGCTCCGGTGCCCTGTACGGTCAAGCCTTCGATAACGCTCCTCAATTTAAGGAGCGAAGTACTGTTGGGAGTGCCAGCGCAACAGGTAGCGTCGGCGGCCGAACCACTTGGGCGAGTGGCAGTGTCGACTACGACGCGGACAAGATGAGCGAGGATCCAGATGACGGAGTCTCGAGCACAGGTGGATTCAGCGACGAGGACAAGGCGAGTCTCGTGGGATTTGGTGAAGGAGCCGGTAGTACAGTCAGTGGCCCTGTTTCCACGCCTTACAATACTCGCGCTTCTATTTCTCGACAAAGCACTAATGTCAACGCACCCTCGACCCCACGAACTGGAACTTTACCGATGTTTGGCTCTGGCCAGAGCACACCCATGAGCGGGATTACCCCTAGTGCTGCTGCAGGAAGCACCGATCCAAAGATGATGGACGGGATGAGTTACGACCAGAATTTCATTGACACGACAATGCAGCCAGCCCCCCCGATCGACGACACCTCCACACGTCCTCAGACAAATCGATTTTCGGGGATGGGAACTGAAATGGCAGAGGAAGTCATGCGAGATCGACTCAGGGATCTGGAGCAGGCGCAACAATCGATGCAGCCAGGGAACGGGCAGACATTAGGCAGATTCCCCTTCGAGAAGGAATAGGCTAATGGCGTCGGCGTTGACTTCCCCTTTGCTGATATAGGGTCAGATCAAGCAAGAGAGCCAGACAAGGGGTTTCCTGGGCAAAATCATTCTTATGGAACATGGAAGGATGAGCTTTGTGAGTGACTGTACGATATCGATAACTTGAGTTTGAAGCGAAAGGTCCTGAGACTTGCCCGATGACGGGTAGTACGCGGCTGGTTTGCTACGCGTTGGGTCTGTTTACCCGCTTTTGGCCGGGATCGCCAGGGACTTGGTAGAAAGAATGACATCCATTACAAAACGTCTGCCAAGGATATTCGAGTCAACTAGGTATGTAATCGGCGGCAGCGCGCTTTGACCAAGCTCCCCCGAAGAAGTTTACCTACGTGGCGAGGTGGACGGCGGAAGCACAGCACGATACCGGCTTTCTGCGGTGACGAACACGGCGCCTATGGAGGGGAGAGACGGCGAATCGTGCAGCTGGCGAGGCTGAAACTCCCTTCAAAGCAGCGGTCTAGCATCAGGGCAAGCTTGAGCCTCGCACTAACACCCTGGCGAGCCAGGCTAGGTCCTGGACTTAAGTAGCCGCAAAGCCATTCTCAGAGGCACCTAAAAGCCACCTAAAAGCCACCTAAAAGGGCAGGCTAACCCGTGCTGGGCTATGACACACCGTTAAACAGAAGTTTTCCAGCACCTGGGCCTGCGCCTGCGCCTAGGCTCTACCACAGTCTACCGCTAGCCTGGCATTCACGAAACTTGGTCCTCTGCTGTTGGACATTTTTTTTTGTCCCTTCTTCCACTCTGCCTCTCCCTCTTTTCCCTCCACCGCCCCTCTCGTCACCCTGTCCAATTTGTTTGTCCCCTCCTGCAATCGCTGATATTAGGTTATCAAGTACGGAAAAGACTCGAATTGTGACAATCTCACCGCCACAGAGGCTGCCGCTATCCGCAAATTTCCTAGTTCGCAGGGCTTTGTTGTTGATAACCTGACACAAGTCTCTCGTTGACCATCGACCGCTTCTTCCTGCCAGACCCACGCTCTCCTACGACAAAGTCTGACTATTTTTGACTGCTCGGAACGCCCAGCCGTGCTCAAGAACCCACGGAACATGGCTCTCACTCAGTTTGCCTGTATGTGTCATCGAGGGCGCAGCCCGCGGCAAAATATGTCCGGGCCTTGTTGCTGACTTCGCATATCACAGTCCGGACTCTGAAGGGGATCGGTGTGATCAACGGTGCACCTAGTTACGAGCCGCTTTCCGGGTTTGAGAGGTTCGTTCTGATGCCTCGCCTGACACCGCTCCATCCGCGTTGCTAACAGTCCGCATGCTAGACCCGAAGGAAATCTGCGATGCTGCTCCTACTCTCCCTGTGGCCGGTACTTTGCATGGGCCTACTCCGAAAAGTATGACCCTGGAACGCTTCCAAAACTCGAGTGAGATACACTGACTCGAGGCAAGGGTCAACATTATCGACGCTGACACAGGTGTCATCATCTCCTCCCTTCCCGCCGAGAACGTTTTCGAACTGGGCTTCTCGCCCAAGGGTACCTACATAATCACGTGGCAACGCCCTTCCAAAGACGACAACGGTGACGCCGTCAAGAATCTCAAGGTGTGGCTGGTCATAGACGAGAAGGCCCTGGCAGAAGGCGTCGACAAGGAACCAGTCGCCAGATTTGTGCAAAAGTCTCAGACTGGGTGGAACTTGCAGTACACCCACGATGAGGCCTTTTGTGCGAGAGTGGTCACCAACGAGGTACAAATCTACGAGAGCCACGATCTGACGACGGTTTGGAATAAAATCCGCGTCGAAGGTGTGACGGACTTTGCGGTGTCGCCGGGGAAGAGCCACACCATTGCCGTCTTCGTGCCAGAGAGAAAGGTAACGCCATAGACCTGCCGCAAGATTACGCTACTGGGATCTAACCGCGGCGATAGGGACAACCAGCTGCTGTCCGAGTTTACAACGTGCCGAATTTCACCGCCCCCGTGTCCCAGAAGAATTTCTTCAAAGGTGACAAGGTGCAGCTGAAGTGGAATGACCATGGCTCTTCTTTGATTGTGCTGGCACAAACCGAAGTCGACAAGACCGGCAAGAGCTACTATGGAGAGACCACACTCTATCTCCTCAGTGCGAACGGAGGCTTTGACTCGCGGATAGATCTAGGTGGGTCACTCGGTCGTTTCTGCCCGATGAATAGGTTGCTAACTCGAATGTCAGACAAGGAGGGCCCCATCCACGACGTCGCATGGTCACCAAAGTCGAACAGCTTTGCCGTGGTCTACGGTTACATGCCGGCCAAGACTGTGATATTCAATGCCAGAGCCCAGCCAGTACACACGTTTCCCCTAGGACCCCGCAATACTGTACTATTCTCCCCCCATGGACGTTTCGTGCTCGTGGCGGGTTTCGGAAATCTTGCTGGGCAGATGGATATCTATGACTTGGAGAAGGACTTCGCCAAGATCTGCACCATCGAGGCGAGTAATGCAAGCGTATGCGAATGGTCACCCGATGGCATTCACATTCTAACGGCAACGACGTCGCCCCGGCTCCGAGTCGACAACGGCGTTCGGATTTGGCATGCTGGTGGTTCTCTAATGTATAACGAGGATATGAACGAGCTTTATCACGTTTGCTGGCGGCCGCAACCGGCGGATGCATATCCTTTGAGTGCTAACCCACTGGCCGATATCCCTTCGGCACATGGCAGTGCGATGGAATATATGGCAGCTCGCAAGACACCCAGTAAACCTGCTGGCGCGTACAGACCCCCAGGGGCTCGTGGACAGGTTACGCCTTTGGCCTTCAAGCGCGAAGACGAAGGCGGTGCGGCCTTTGTTCGCGAGGGCATTTCCTCCTTCTCAAGCAACATCAACGGGTTTGGAAAACCTCGTCAGCGAATTGTTCCAGGTGCTGAACCTGCCGAAGAAAAGACACCACTCCCTCCTGGTGCTGCTCCTGGAGGAGGGGTGAGTTTGACAGGCACCGGGGAAGGAGCGGACGGAGAACCAATGTCCAAAGCGGCCAAGAAGAATGCAAAGAAGAGAGAGGCGAAGAAAGCGGCGGCGGCGGCAGCAGCTCGCGAGCAACAACAAGGAGGTACGGCAGCCAATAATCTCGCGCCAGAGCAACGACAACAAGGCGGAAGGGGGAAAAGTCCGAGTCGCAGCCCGGATGGTCGTGGCCATCAGCGCAGCCGAAGTAGGAATTACGTGCCCGCGCCTGGTCTTGAGCCGCCCACTGGTCCGAAGAAGGAACGAAGCAGGAGCAACAGCCGACGGCAACGTGGTGATACCAACAGTTCGACGTATGATCGCAGTCACGCATTTGCAAATGGCACGCCCAAGGGGCCTGCTCAGGGCACATCCAACGCAAATGCTAATCAGCAGAACAAGACTCCTCGCACCAACGCGCCCACAAATATCAACACGACTATTCCCATGCCAGCACCTCCACCTGTGCCCCAGGCCTCACAAATCCCTCCCGAGCTAGAAGTCACCTCTCCCATGACCCCTGGCGGCAATCCACAGGACAAGAAAATCCGAGGCCTCTTGAAGAAGATTCGAGCGATAGAGGATCTCAAGATGCGCTTTGCAGGTGGTGAAAAGCTGGAGGATACACAGATGAGGAAGATTCAGAGTGAAGAAGGGGTTAGGAAAGAGTTGGCGGCGTTGGGGTATTCTGCGTGAGGCATTGTTTGGGATGATCAGTTGGTCATAATATACTGTCTCATTTTTCAGCATGAGAGGATATCTCACTTGAGGGTTGAACCGGTTGGGCATCAAGGAGAACAGCACATCACTATGCGCAGTGGCTGCGTCTTAGATTGGAGGCGGTGACTTGCCAGAGGTTGTCCTTGAGAAAGCCTCACGCTCGGCAAGGTGTCTGTTATTGGGCAGGCCATGTCCGGTCGGACTGGGCCCTCTCTTTGGGTCGGAGGAGTGTTTCTTGAGTCCTTGACACGGATCTCTCCCCTGCCGTCATCTCGCAAGGCAGCAGTGGCTGTCTGGGCGTCGTGTCGAGCCGAGTTAGCTAGATCCACTTTACGATGGCTACGGGGCGTTTTGTCAAGGGAAGGCTGGACCATGTGTGCGTGTGCGCGTGCGCGTTCTGTTTTGTGTTTTGTGTGTTCTCCCCATTCTTTTGCATAGCGAAGGGGAAATGTCCTGTGGATGAAGAAAGGGGATCACGAGTCGGTGGATGGATGGATCGAGGCAGGCCAAAGGTAGACAGCGAGACAGATAGACATCAAACAGCAACACCGGTGGTCCATGCACAGCGGTGAGTGAAAAAGGCACGACCGCACTGGACGACGATATCATCCATCCATCCATCCATCCATCCATGCATACGTCCAGCCCATCATCAAGCATCCGTCCAAAGGGCCAATTGGCTGTGTGGAAATGGACCACCCAACCCAACCAACCCAAATCGACCGAAACGACGCGAAGCGAAACGCAACTAAACTAAATCAGACAGACTATATATGGAAATCAAAAGTACCAAAAAAAAGCCATACCAAAATAGTACTTAAAACGAATGAAAACATTTCAAAGAGAACAACAGAGTAGGATATTCGTGTGTACGTGTAGTGACGAGACGAGACGTTACCGTGTGTGGTGATGTGATGCGATGCGCAGTGCAGTGCAGTGATATGATATGACATGGTGTAATGCGAGGTGATGAGATGGGATGTAAGCCACCGAGACCAGCCCATTGAGAACCGTAGACTGCAGTTGAACATGCGATTCCCAATGTGACGTTCCGTCCATGTCCCTCCCCCTCGCAAAGGAGAGGCGTAGACCGGGGGGGCCGGGCAGCTCGAGCACCCACCACCCGTTTATCTTGATCCCAGGCGCAAAAAGGCCGGAAGGTAGACGTCAGACAAACGGTGGGGTTTGGAGGGAGTTCTGTGCTTTTTTTTTTGATCTTTCGCGAAGAATACTGAGCCTGGGGGATTGAGTCAAGGTATTGATCTCGCCTTGGGCTCCACCTTGCATCGCGATTGGCAG